CGACTAGGGAAGTCCCTATCCCTAGAGAGACTGAGGTGTTTAAGCGTTTCTTTGACGATCCGCACGAAGTTAAGCGTCTACACGTTGGCTTACAATGGGTAGAAAATAGTGAGGAAGCGATGGCAAAAGCCGAAGCAGTGGTTGAACAACGGGCCCTAGCCGAAAAGCAAAACAGGGACTATAAAGAAGCCTCAACTTTGCGACCGGCGGTCCGAACTGTTGCAGAAAAAGGAGATGAGAAACCATTGGGGAGTATCACTATCTCTGACCCGGTGGAACAATATATGATTGAACTGGGTACTGAAGCTAAGCCAGTTATAGTGAAAGCTGAAGAGTCGTCTTCGTTGAGGGTCATCTACCCTGAAAATCAATGGAGCCATGAAGGAAGAGTCCTTATTAGACGGCGGTTCGACAATCTGCTCAATGCATGAACAAGCCGCAAAAGACCACGGCCTTACTTGGGATCCGGCGGTGACGGTGTGGATGTCCTCAGCGGACAAAGGATTGAAGAAATCATTGGGTTTGGCAAGAGACGTGCCCTTTGTCTTTGGAGAAGTAAGAGTGTACCTCCAAATACATGTACTTCCAGACGTGGGTTATAGGATCTTGCTTGGAAGACCGTTCGAGATGATAGCGGAAACGCTAACAAAGAACAATCGAGATGGGTCACAAACGATTACCCTGACCGATCCTCAGAACGGCAAAGTGGTGAGGTTGAACACTTATCCTAGAGGAGAACCTCCTCCAGAGTTAAAGGCAGAGTTGGACGCCAACCGGCGGTCTTTTCAGAACTCGATGAATCATCAATAGATGTAGGAGAGCTTGCAGTCGTCTTTGAACAGACAGCTTCTGGAGAGATTAAAGTCGAAAAGGTGTTCCAGTCCGGCCATAAAAGTGGAAAGTTCAGCCAAGAAGACGTGAAGTTAATGTTTATTCAAGAAGCATTAACTAGGGAAGTAGAAAATAAGAAAGCCGCTAAAAAGGTCGAAGCTTTCTTGCAACAAGTCAGGACAGGCAAAAGAGACAAATCCGTCGGTGAAGTCATGATGTTAGATACTGTGATAAAACACTTCGAACAGATTTATCAACAGTTAAAAGAGGATATCATCGAGGATTCTGCCAAGACTTCGTCAACAACCTCCAGCGAGAACAAAGACGAAGTAGTAGCAGGGAACCCTAACGCTAAACCAAAAATTAAGGGTGTCTCTACAGGAAAGAAGTATAAGAAAGTGGCAGATAAAGTAAGACCCATCTTGGGGACTCTAGCAGAGGAGTTTAGAATTATTCGGAAGATTATAGGAAACCCATTGGCTGAATTGCCTAAGATGCCTACGAATCCGCCGGAATTCACACCCCAAGGAAGGTACACCACAGAGAGAAAGGAAGCCATGGATAAGGTCCACGGCGGCGATTTCATTTGGCCAGAAGAGCGAAAACTATTACACTGGTTAATAGGAGTACATAACCTAGCTTTCGCTTGGGAAGATGCGGAAAAAGGGAGATTCAGACAAGAGTTTTTCCCTGATGTCCCTATTCCACGATACCACACACACCGTGGGTATTGAGGAATAGACCAATCCCACCTGAACTTATGGATAAAGTATGTAGATTTATCAAGGAGAGGATAGATTCAGGCGTGTATGAGCCTTCGAACTCGAGTTATAGCTCGAGGTGGTTCTGCGTACTTAAGAAAGATGGTGAAAGTCTGAGAATTGTACATAGTCTAGAGCCTCTTAACGCAGTTACGATTGCGCACTCAGGCATCCCGCCGGCAACAGAAGAATTGGCAAATCACTTCGCCGGTAGAGCTTGTGGAGGTTGCATGGACTTGTTCGTAGGTTACGATGAGAGACGATTGGACGAAAAGTACAGAGACCTTACCACGTTCCAAACACCTTATGGAGCGATGCGTTTGGTTACCCTACCGATGGGGTGGACCAATTCGGTACCAATCTTCCATGACGATGTAACTCATATCTTACAAGACGAGATTCCTGCAGTCACGAAGCCGTATATTGACGATGTTCCTACGAGAGGACCAGCCACGAGGTATGAAGACGGAAAAGGAGGTTATGAAACCATTCCTGAAAATCCTGGTATCCGGCGGTTCGTATGGGAATATCTAAATGACGTGAACAGAGTGATGCAGCGTATGAAGTATTGTGGAGGGACATTTTCAGGAAAGAAGTCGATCATTTTGGCAGACGAGTTTACAGTAGTAGGACATCTTTGTACTTACGAAGGAAGGAAAGTTAATCCCGAACGCGCAGATGCAATCCTTAAGTGGGGAGCATGTAAAGACGTTTCAGATGTACGATCTTTCCTAGGAGTACTAGGGACTTTGCGAATGTTCGTCAAGGATTATGCCCGCCGGGCAGAACCTATCCAAGAACTAACTCGTAAAGAAGTACCATTTAGATGGGGACCAGAACAGGCAGCAGCAATGGCCGATTTACAGGAAGCCATTCGAGTTGCACCAGTATTGAAGGCTATAGACTACGACAGGAATGTGCCCCTAAAATTATCCGTGGATACGTCGTACAAAGCCATAGGATGGATGATATCCGTCCAAGATGATGATGACCCTGATAAGTGGCACTATGCTAGATTCGGGTCTACAACGCTAAGTGAGAGAGAAGCAAGGTACGGCCAAGCAAAGAGGGAACTCTTTGGCTTGATGCGAGCTTTAGAAGAAAATAGGTATTGGTTACTTGGGTGTCGAGAATTGATTGTCGAAACGGACGCTAAGTACATTAAAGGCATGTTACAAAATGCTGGAAATGGACCAAATGCGACTATAAATCGATGGATCGAATCCATACTCATGTACCATTTCACCTTGGAACATGTAGCTGGAAGTAAGTTTGCGATACCCGACGGTCTGTCACGTCGAGTTCCACACCCGGATGATAAACCAAAGACTCCTTACGATCACTCGGAAGAAGAGACCGGCGGACTCACTGGGTACAGGAAACCAAACCCCGACGACCCAGAACCGTTGGACTTCGAAGAGTTCAAACACGAAATCGATACTCGTGGAGGATATCTTCAAGACATCGCAGATTTTGAAGAAGATTTGGAGTTAGATAGAGCAGTGGCGGACAGGGTGTTGTCACTAGGGCCGAAAATGGAAACTCAATTCGTAAATGTGGAAGTACTGCCAGATTTATCCTTAAAGGAAGATCCTAAACTTCGACAGGAATACGATGGAGAGTCCCGCCGGCACCCACTTATCAAAGAGATCGACAGAAAAATACCGATCGTAGATAAGTGGTTAGAAAACCCTTCAGTTCGACCAAAAGGAATGAGCGACGCGGAATACCTAGCATTCGCTAGGTTTAGTACGCATTTCTTTAAGAAAGATGGAAGGCTTTTTCGTCGAGGAATAAATGGTGAACATAAGATAGTCGTTTATCCAGAAAATCGGATGTACTTGATGCGTACAGCGCATGACGCTACCGGGCATCGAGGACATTATGCTACTAAGGAATTACTAGCTAAACGGTTTTGGTGGCCAGACTTAGACGGGGACGTAGGCTGGTATACGAGGACTTGCCATGTCTGTCAAATCCGTCAAAAATTGTTCATGAGGATACCCCCGACGGTAACGGAAACCCCATCTATATTTCAAGTCTTACACGCCGACGTGATTCATATGAGTATTCCTAGCGATAAGTGCAGATTCATAGTTCACGGAAGGTGTGCATTGACACAATGGATGGAAGGGAAAGCCTTGCAGAAGCAAAATGCTAGTACTATTGGCAAGTGGTTGTTCGAAGATGTAATCTTAAGATGGGGTTGCATCAAAAAGATAGTGACAGATAATGGTGGACCTTTCATAAAGGCTGTTGGTTGGCTAGAAGAGAAGTATGGAATCCGTGGCATTCAAGTAACGGGTTACAACGCTCAAGCAAACGGGACAATCGAAAGGCCTCACTTCGACGTAGTAAATATGCTAGCCAAGGTGACCGCCGGGAATTTGTCTAAGTGGAAGTGGTATTTCCCTCACATTATGTGGGCGGACAGAATCACTATAAGAAAAAGATTTGGATGTTCGCCGTTTTATATGGTAACAGGAGCAGAACCAGTAACACCCTCTTGACATACAAGAAGTGACCTGGCTAATTGAACCTCCCGAATCGTTCGTTTCCACGGAAGACTTGCTCGCGCGAAGAGCTAAGGCGTTGGCAAAGCATCGAGACTTCGTTGAGTCAGTAAGAAATAAGATCCACCAGGCGAAGAAAGATAGAGTAGCTAAGTACGAGATTGAACACCGGCGGACGATTAAAGACTACAACTTCAAGCCAGGAGACCTCGTAATAATGAGAAACTCCCCAATTGAGGATAGCCTTGATCGAAAGCTGAAACCTAAGTACAACGGTCCGTACGTAGTGCTGAATAGAAACAAAGGAGGCGCCTACATAGTTGCCGAAATAGACGGGTCAGTATACCAGTCTGTAGTGGCAGCATTTAGGCTATTACCTTACCACGCACGAAAGAAGATTGAGCTACCTCGAAATATTCACGAGAGCATCGACCTAGGGCCGGCAGAGTTGAACAAACTAGTGTCTTCGCGGCGAAAAGGCGAACCGGCGGACGACATAGCGTTCGAAGGAATGCCTAAAGGGAATAGACGAAGCGAACAGGTGAATGAGGACAACGATCTCGACGACTTGGGAAGCTCAACCGAGGACGGTTGATATTTCTAAGTTGGGGGGAGAGGAGTACCAATAGGGCGAAAGAATGTAACTCAAAAAGAGTACATTCTGAAGACCAAGTAAACATTAACCTAAAGTTCGCATTAAAATTTTCGATTTTCCAAGTCAGGAAGACTTAGAAAGGACTTAAGACAACTTAGAGCACTTAGGAGGAGTTCACACACAGATAGAGAGGTGCAAAGCATGATGATATTCAATATAGTAGTAGTACTAGGGAAAAAGCGAAGAATCGCAACAAAAACCTAATACTACTACAAAACGAGGCCCAAAAACGAGAAGAGGCTAAGCCTCAGTCATGTCAACATCACCGGCGGCATCGACGTCGCCCCCAAGAGTGCTATCCGCCTCAAGAGGAGGAGGGGAAGCAGGAGACTCCACAGAAGAAGAAGGAAGATCCTTCTCCCTCAAGAGGAGGGAGTTCCTTTCTCCAGATGGGCCTGGATCCTATCATACTCAGCGAAGAGTACTTCAAGGAACCGAACGTCGAGACTGAGAAGGTGAACCCGCCGGAGGATCTCAGAGCGAATGTCAGTCAGCGTCGCACGAGTCGACGAACCGACGTTGACAGCGTCAGAGTAGTTGGCCAAGATGTTCTGTACTTGAGACAGAACACCATTGACCCACTCGTTGTTGACGGCGAAGTGGTCGGCTAAGAAGAAGAGAGTGAGTAAGAAAAGTAAGAAACAGAAGACGAGAGATGACTTACCCAGGTCTTGACAAGCATCCCGTCGGGGAACAGGTTGGGATATTTGGAGGTCAAAGCGTTCTTATTGACCTCCTCGAGCGCCTTGGCGTCGAGCGAAACGCGAGCGCGCTTACCCAGCTGAGTAGCCTTGAGAAAAGCGGGAGAGGATAAGTCGAGATTCGGAACGAGGTAGTAAGGGACTCGTACGACGGCAGCAGAAGCACCGGCGGTGGTACGAGGGCGAGAAGGGCCACCACCGCGGCCACCCTGTAAAGTCAAAGAGTAAGTAACGAAACGAAGAGAGAAAGAAAGAAAGAAACTTACTCGACCACGAGCGACGGCCTTGCCACCACGAGTCGACGAAGTTGAAGTAGAAGCAGCCCCAGGACCGCCGTTTTCAGTACCGACGATTTCCTGAAAAACATAAGTCAGTAAGGAACAGAAAGGGCAAGAGATAAACACTTACCACGTCGGAATCGTAAATGATAGCGGGGGACTTGGGTTGCTTGCCATCTAAGAAAGATGGGTAAGCAAAGATAGTAGTAGAAAGAGAATAGGACTTACGCTTTTTGGGAGTAGGAGCCTCCTCCTCCTGAGTCGAAGCCCCATTAGCGAGCTTTTTAATGTTATGGAACGCCGAGCTGACGTCGAACGGGTCAGCATCGGCAGGAAGGGGGATGGTGGGAGCTTTCACCGCCTCGCCAGACCAAGCGAGGTGGTAAGAGACCTCCGCCGGGACGTCGAGCCCGATGTCCTTGTCACCGCAGAACTCGACGAAGACCTTCAGCGCCGGGTGCATGACGCGAAGTTGCTTCTGAATGAGAGCGGTGTAGGCCATCTGCCCGCCGTAGAGGCGACGCTTAGGGTACTAAAAGAAAAGCGTAAGTTAGAAAGGAAACGAGTAAGCAAGGAAAAGAGACTCACCATGTAAGAGACGAGCTCAAGGGCAGCCGTCTTGTACTCCTTAAGGATGCTGAAAGGAATAGCCTCCTTGGCGATCGCACGAAGACGGAGGTGAACGCCGGTGAGCTTGTGGATGCCACGAGCGACGTTGGCGTTATCTTCAACGTAGACGCGCTTCATGCCATCCCACACGGACGGCGGGATAGACTTGGCCGGCACTGGGAGACCAAGAGGAACCTTGGGGTCGAAGCCGAGGATCTCCTGGAAGACGTTGGAGGCGGGAGAAGACATGGTGATAGCAAGAGAGGAAGAGAATCGAAGAGACGAAGAGGAGAGCGATGAGAAAGGTGAAAAGAACCAGAGGAGGTTGCTGGAGAAACTCGACCAGGAAACCGGCGGTTTTTATAGCAAAAAGCCTCTCAGTTTTAGGGAATTTCTATTGGTAGACGTGTTCAAGGAAAAACCGACACGACCACGATCTCACAGTCGAAAATCGGTGGTGCAGAACGTGCCCCAAAACCGAAAAACATGAGTCTTCCTTAGAAATTTGTGCAAAGTCGAGTATCCCGAATTGGCAATACCGCCGGAGGGGTTGATGGCTTGGCAAACGCCCACATTGCCACTTAGTTTGAGAATTGCTTCCGCGGACACAATCCGAAAGGGTTAAGACGAACCCCAGAAGGCAATTCAGCCGGACGGACGGCAATTTCACCGTTTCGAGAAATCACTCTAAGTCTCAGATAGGATACCGGCAGTAGAGATAGCCAAGAAATTGGATTTGAGGCTACACTAATATGACTACCTAAGAGTCGGTGTAGTAATCCAATAATGTACAAGATGGTGCGAAGGACATGAGTATACAACAACAAGAATGTGCGAAAAATAAATAAATACGAGTGTCCCCAATAAGCGCCTCCCCCGCCGGCGGCCAGAGTAGAAAGAAGAAATGTCTCTCAGAAAAGAGCGAGAGACGCGAAAAGAAAGAAAGAAGAAGAAGAAGAAAACGACGAACTTAGTATTCGGGGGAGTCAGAAAGGTCTCCCTCGTCGCTTGAGTTCGAGGACGAGGCGCCACCACCAGAACGAGCAGAGGAGAGGGCCGAGCTAGACCTCTCGTCGACGTTCATCGCCGAACCCTCGATGCCTGGCCACTCTGGAGACTCCTCTGACGAAAAGAGACCAAGAGAGTCCCCAATGATAACGTCAGCACTGGGAGCTACGCCAGTACGATCGTCGTAGACTAGAAAGCAATAAGTTAGTAGGAGTAAGATAGGAAAAAGAGCGATATGACTACCAGTCATCTTCGTCGTTCGGAGCAGGACCACCGTCCGCCGGGTCGACAAGAGGGTCGAATGCGGGAAGAGAGGACGCGTCTTGATCGAGGAAATCGTCGAACTCGTCGTCGATAGGACGATCGAGTTGCGACGGGGACCAGAGACGGCCGTCCTTGGCCATCGGGAACTCCTGCGCAATGAACGAACCAAAGACGTAAGGAGCGTGAGGAGGGTTGGCGACGGTAGGAAGGAGTTCGTCGTCAGGGATGGGTACGCCGGAGGCCCGACGCGAACGGGTGAAGAGCTCGTCCATACGCTGGACAAGCTCGGCCTTGTTGACGGTGCTACCGTCGGCACCCACGAGGAAATTATCGAAGGTAAACATCGAGCGAAACTCGAGGTACGCATCGAAGTCGTTGTTGAAAAACTCGACGACGATGGCCTCGGGTCCCTCAGACGTTTCCAAACGATAAATGGCCGAGAGGAGACGAGCGTGAAGCTCGTAAAGGTGGAGGGAGTGGGTGAGGTACTGATTGAGCGAATCTCGCACCACGTTAGACTGGTGCAAGATGTCGCGCACGACAGTGTCAATGTCTAAAGAGTAAGACATAATAATCAGTACCGGCGGAGGAAAAGAAGGTTATGAGGGGACTTACAATGAGAAGATCCCTCAGCTGCACCCGCCAGTTGGTTGCGAAGGCCGCGACGAGCGTCGATGTTCAACGAAAACGGACATGGCTTGTCCGCTCGACCGCAGTTGCCGCAGCTAAGACCAGGACCACGGTACTCACACCTAGGGATGCCTAAGAAGGCACACCTAGCGCAGGGGCCCACAACCTGGGAGGGTATTAAGTTAGTAAGAAGTTAAAGAGAAAGAAAAGAGAAAGGCAACTTACCAAGGCATGGTCGGACAACAACCGCCGGGAACCCATGATACCTGTAAGGTTCTGGTAGAGGATGTTGCGAAGGTCGGTAGTCTGACGTTGCGCGGTAGGCATGTTGCGACGAAGGGATCCGACGAAGGGGTTGCTCGAGGAGCGAGACGCATCGTCTCTAGCATCCGACGAGCCTCCTTCAGAGTTAGACGAAGAAGACGAAGACGAAGAGGAAGGGGAGCCCTTAGGAGGGACTGGTGGACGCAAGTAGTGCGCCTGGCGTTCCTCCCGGCTCAGGTGTTGAATGGAGACGCCAGTCCTCTGTGAGAACTGAAGCTCGAGAGGAGTGGTGTCCCTCCCTTGGGACAGGAAACCCGTAGGATCGTCAACGCCATCCCGGCGGACGATCGGGTTGAAACCAACGGAAGGGGGGATGGAAAAGCTCTCCATCGATCGACTCAAGGTTGCGCGGGGCCAGTACCGGTATAGCGCGTACTTGCTTGAGGACCTTTGGGAGCACGAGGGAAAGAGGAAGGACCGTAGACGGCGGGTTGACCAGGAATAGGAACGATTTTCCTCGCAGAGGAAGGAGTCGCAGGGATAGGAGGGATGCCGGGCGTCTTGGGCGTCTTAGGAGACACCTGAAAGGAGCGAGATCGACGAGGGGTTCGAGGAGCCTCTTGATGCACGTCTTCGCCGCTAGGCGAAGGGTCGAGTTCGTCGACAGCGTCCCCGTCGTCAAGACCCGTACCCGACGCGACTACAGAGGACGACGCGGAACGACGATCGTCTAAGGAGTCGTCAGCTCGTCGGTTAAAGGAACGAAAGAAGAGAGAAGAGCCTACTTACCCAGAGTAGACACAGGAGGCACCGAAGAAGCAGGAGCCGCCTGGGAGACCGACGCGCTGGTACCAAAGACTTGACGTTTCCAGACTCGAAGTACCAGAGGGCGAGAGTGAAGCAGGTGCAGAGTCGCGTCCCTCTCCTCGAAGGAGAGCAGTGGGCGGTAGAACAACGCCAGGCGGAAAATTGCGAGGACGAACAGTAAGACGAGGAAGTTGAGGGTGAGGATGACGAATAACAGGGGTACCAGGAGGAGGCGAAGTATGGTCAGCGAGCCATGCAGCTCGCTCCCGCCTGTACTTGGCCAAGGCCTCTTCAAAAGAAACGGCCACATCGATATAGATGTGCCAGTGCTAGATATTGGATCCCTCAGTAATACGCCACCCGCCGGAACGATCAGAAACTTACTTGATAGTGAGGATCTGCCCTCCAAGTGGCCCAATCCATAGGCAACGCTGGAGGAGAAATGAGTCGCCATCCTCGTAAAGTGTTGTCACGAAGGCGACGAGGAATGAGGAACGGCATCTCAGCGTCCTAACAAGAGAATAGTAAGTAAGTGTCCGAGAAGAGATAGATAAGGAAAAGACGAACCGTCGAAGGAACGATTGGACAGGTCAACCTTAAGATAGCCATCTGGGGGTCGGTGAAGACGATGTTCATCATTCGACGAATGCCCATATTTCGGTGGACTGGTTCAGCCCAGGCCCGCCAGGAGTAAGGCGCAGTAAGAGGGTAGCGAGGATGACCAGGGGGACCGTCATTGCCTTGGTAGACAGTCATGAAGGCCCATGGTGTAGGCCCTCACTGCCATCAGCGAATGACCGCCGGGCAACCTCTGTAAGATACACTGAAAAGTCAAGTCAGAGGACAGAAAGTTGAAGAAACAGCACAAAGACTCACCAAGTCGTTATAAGTGGCGAAAGATAAGAAGTCCCACTCAGGGGAATATATAAACGCCTCCTCGAACCTGAATTGGCCGAGGAAACGATTGAGGTGGTCGACGATGAAATTCCAGCACTGTCGAAGATAAGGGGAAGAACGAAAGAGACGGAACGTTTCAGGGTTGTCGTCAATTTGGAGACGTTGGTCGCCAATTTGGATGAGGAACTGCTGAGGCGAGAAGAATGCCTCGCTAGCCGGAGAGAGTAGCAGGTTGAGGAGTGGACATCGATGAAAGATAGCACAGTACAACAGTAAGCCAGGAGCTTGGAGAAGGGAAGACCGGCGGTCGTCCCCTATATATAGGCCAAAGAACGACCCCGAGCGGATAATCCCTCTAGGAGCGCAGACTGACTTCATGAGAAGAGGTGGGGAAAGTATTAACGCTGGTACTTCCCAAAAAGGAAAGTGATAGACCCTAACAGGAGTCAAACCACGGCAGCTTGACCCTTAATATGTGGTATCAAACCCCACTAGAATTTAACGCTCTACTCATCTAAGTCAAGGGCAGAAAGATCAGAGAAAGTAGAAAAGCGAAATTGTCGATCCAAAGTACGTTTGAAAGCAACGTTTGATGTCTTGTCGTAACGGCGGCAGATTCAAGAGCCACTTAAGCGCCAGATCACAAAACACCACCGTATCACAGACAAGTCCAAGTTTGGGACGACGGGCTAGTCTAGCAGAAGTGAATTGGAGTTCCTGTAAGGTGGCGAAGAACTTCAGAAGTCGATGTCAAGAGGAGTGACGGATCGTATATGTCGAAGTTCCAAGAACTTCGACAAGAATCTGACTGGGGACAGTCCTCATTATAAGTTGGGGGGAGATGTTACGCCTGAGGGTCATCTGACCCTTCAAAAATCGCGAATAACACACCGCCGGACTAATTTCGTCCGGTAAAACGTACATCTCGATAAGTGACTGAAAAGCCCTAAGGCACTGTGTTTTTCATAACCGGCGGTCACTTATTCTGTCATATGAGTTGAGACCGAGCCCAGAGTCGTCAACTAAGTCGAACTCTAAGAACGACTCTGAAAGAGGTTGAACGTAACGCATCATTGATACCGTAGTAATTGACGGGTTAAGGATGTGTACTGGACCGATTGAAGATCGAACTACGGTAGTGAGAATTTGGCACGAAGTCCTCACCGCCGGGAGCAAGACTATCCATGGGAGTGCACGATCGACTTCAAATCGACTAGAAAGCTAGTAGCGACTTAACAAGAACGACGACACTTAGCACCAGCGCCTGTCAGTACCCTAAGAGGAAACACCCATAAGCGCCGCCGGACGGTCGGAATCAGCCATCAGTCGCGGAAAGCTAAAGGGGACCTCTACGGATTAGGTACGAGATCGATAAGATAGAAGCCGAGATAAGATAACCAGAACGACGGGACCAGGAACGGATCACACGAGATGTTCTATTCCGTTGGACAGGGTGTCCTCTCTAGGACAGATGAAACAGGGTACTAACAGTCCCATGACCTGTCAACAGAAAAGAAGTAGTACAGAGAGAAGGGACAGAACGATGAATCCATACGCCGCCCTCCGGCGGTAGTTACAAAAGGGTATACCATCTGTTTCCGCGGAAGCATCTTCACGGAGTAACAATGGAGTTTCCCACCACACATTGGTTCCGTTCCGACTGGACGGAACTACCAAAATCCACGCGCTTCAACAGCGCATCAATAGACGCCTATGGGGCATACTCGGCACGACACCGCCGGGGCTTCTTTTGTCGCGTTTCTTTCCTATTTCGTATTTCTGATTCTCTCGTACCTCCGCTCCGTCTCTCTACTCTCCTTTTCTGTATCATGCGCATGTATTCGGTTTGTTTTATAGTCTTTGCTAGTCTTTGTTTTAAAGCTCGTAGTCAAACATTTTGTACCATATATATAGGCCCGCCGGGCAAAAGAATCAACAGATACCCCTTTGACTCGATTATATATCTTGTCCTGATCGACACAAGTCGTTCAGTAAAATAAAGAGGAAGTCTCCGAGCGTCGAGTGAACCAGTTAGCGAGTCAGAGTCGAGTTAGAATTTGCGCGTGAATACACGAGTCCGGTGTCGTGAACAGCTGGTATAGGCCCCTATTTTCATTTTCATCTTATCTTATCTGTATCCGCATCTTATCTTTCCTGTTACCCCTATCTCTTATCTTTATTCTCGTCTATGGACTCTTTCTCTCATGGAACACTGCCCCGTTTTGCCCTTTACCCTGCTTCTATTGTTCTTATTGTTACGCACTGCCTTGTATTGCTTTTCGACTCATTCTGACGTCTTTTTACTTCATTATTGTTTCATTCTTGTTCTTCGCGCAGCCTCGCGCAGCCTTGTGACTATCTTTTATTGTTCTTCTGTCTTTCACCATTTGCTCATCATCTCGACTCATCGTGGCTATGTAACTGGTAGAATAGGTATATAAGCTAGGTAGTTCGCTCTGTATTTCCTTAGCTTGACCTCTTCGTCAATTCATCGCTCTATTCTTCACTCCAAACCGTCGCTCATCGCTCTAAGCTCTTTCGTCGCTTTCATCGCTCCTCGTCTCTGGTCTTAGTTTTGGTTTAGTGTTCGCTCTTCGCGACATCCGGGTTTTTAAAAACGGAGTCAACGAGTGATCCCGCCGGGACGAGTTTACGTTTTTTTCGAGTTCAGATTCGAGTTTTCGAGTCTAATTCGGGTTTAAATCTAGTCACTAGTCGCACTTAGTGTTTCCCTTCCGCCGTGCGAGTTTAAACCGCACTTTGTCCTAGTCTGGTCCGGCAAGCACGCCGACGGGTACATCACCAACACCCACCTGAAGTGTCTACAACAGCCCTGTCCGAAACGGTATAACCCACTCCGCCCCCGCGACTACGAATACCTAGCCAAGAATCTTCCGGATTACGCCTCCTTTGTTGAAGCCTCCGAAGACAACTACGAAGCAGTTCTATATTCCGAACATCCACCGCCGCCGCCTGCTACACCCCCACCGTCCGAAGCTCCAGATACCGAAGAATCCCCAGCCGCTTTCCACTCCGCCGAATCATCTCCCGCCCCAGTAACAGCAACCACCAACACTGCACCGAAAACCTTTCGCCCACCGTCAACATCATCTGAAGAAGACAGCCAGGAAGAAGACGACAACGACGAGGAAGAAGAATCTGAAGAAGAATCCGAAACACCCGTCCCCTTTCACGTTACCTACGCCGCGTTAGCAGAAGCCCTCCCCGCAGTAACAAGCCTTCGCCGCTCCGGACACTCTACCCCCACCACAGCCCTTACTTTCACTCCTCGCCGCGCCCTCACACCACTTCCCACCCCCAGGGAGTCGGAGGACACGTCTGTTGCCCAACGCTCAGATAACGAACCTCCCACTTCCACTTTATCACCATCCCTACTATCTCCACCAGCTTCTCTGCCACCCGTCCAACTAAACCCCGTTACCGAACCCGCAAAGCCTACCCCCGAATTCAGTATGTCCGACCCCACTCTCCTCAAGTTGCTTGCCGAGCAACAAGAGACTACCAGGCGCATCCAGCAATCCCTGGATAAGCTCACGGCCGCCAAGACCGCTTCCACCAGAAGCCCCGTCAAAGCGCCTGACATCCGCTACTTCACCAACTGGGCCTCCGCCGACTCCGAACTCAAAGGCGATGACAAGAAGTGGATCTCAGCCGCCCTCTCATACCTTCAAGGTGCTGCCGCTTCCTGGGCCGTCCAATACCTGGATCAGATTGCCGCCCACGAGGCTGCTGCCGACGCCGCTCAGAAGGCTGCCCACCCCTGGCCTTTCACGGCGATTGGTCTGCCTTCGTGGTTGCCTTCAAGAAGCGCTTCCAACCTGCCGACCAGGAGAAGGCAGCTGAAGCTCAACTCGAGGCCCTTACCCAGGGTAAACAGTCTGCTTCCCAGTTCGCAGCCAAGTTTATGGAGGTCTTCCCCCGCACCGGTCTATCCCAGAAGGATGGTATGGCCCGCTTCCGCCGTAAGCTCAGTACCAATGATCGCCTCATGTTGGATCTTATCGCCATCACCAAACCGGACGATGCCAAGCCCAAGACCCTCCAAGACTACTGCGACATCGTCAATCAGAACGACTTCACGTTCCACGGAAGCAGCACCTCTTTCTTGACCCCGACCACCTCGTCTCGCTCTGTCCCGGCCCGTGACCCCTATGCCATGGACATTGACGCAACCCGTGTTGGACCCAGTGGCCGCTCCCGCGAGGACTTCCTCCAAGCAATGCGCGGACGATGCTTTGGTTGCGGATCTTCCGCCCACATCAAGAAGGACGGCAATCACGGTTCGCTTCGTTGCAACCACTGCCAGCGCCTTGGCCACTCTGCCAATGTCTGCCAAGACAAGTTCATGGGTTACCCACCCGGTCGAGGACTCACCCAACGTCGTCGTGTTGCTGCCACCCAGGAAGCTCCTTTCTCTCTCTTCAACGATTCGTCCACTGCCACCGTCGCTTCCACATCCTCCGCCCCCGCTCCGACCAACTTCTCCATCGCCGACCTCCTGGACCATCCAGCAGAAACAACAGGAGACTTTGGCTCGCCTCGAACAATTCCAGAAGCAGGATTTTGGCGAAGGGTGTCTGTAAAAGCTGCGGCACATTCACCCTTCACCCCGTACCCGATTTCCGAATATGACTCTATGCGAACATGTACTATTAGCGCCATCCGCGAAATATACCCTGGTTCATCACACTTTCGCGTGAACGTGAGGCTTAGAGGCAGAAATCGGAGTACGGAATCCGCAGCAATGGTCGACAGTGGTGCAACTGGTCGGTTCCTGGACAAACCCTTCGTGGAGAAACATCGGATCACAGCTTTTCCCCTTCGACACCCCATTCAGCTTCTCAACATTGACGGATCACCCAATCAGGCTGGCAGTGTAACGCACTTCGCCCGACAGGAACTCACGGTTGACGGACACACGGAATGGACCGACTTCCTTATCGCCGATCTCGGAGGAGAGGATATTATTCTGGGACTTCCCTGGCTTCGCAAGCTCAACCCCACCATCGACTGGCGCAAAGGCACTCTTCACATTCCCAAGCCCAAGGTCGCCAGCGTTACCATCGAGGAGGTGCCAGACGATGATGCCCAACCCCCGTTCCGCGGCGCTCCTTCCGGTGATGCCATCTTGGAGCAGATCAACACCATATCTGAACCACCCGCTCCTGATCCCCTCCCAAAACCGGTCCCTTCCCCAGCCCCCGCCCCCAAAGACGAAGACGACAAACCAGCCCTCTGCCGCATCCGAGCCAATCGGACCACTCGTCGGAAATGGCTTCGTGCAGGATTGATCGAGGAGACGGGAGATGAACTTTGGTGCGCCGCCGGCTTCACTTACTCCCAGCAGATAGCCGAAGAAACCCAGAAGGCCAAACCACAGAAGTCATTCGAAGAGATGGTCCCCGCCCACTATCGTCAACACGCCTCCGTCTTTTCCGAATCCGAATCCCATCGTCTACCCGAGCACAAACCCTGGGATCATGCCATCGACCTCACCCCTGGAGCACCGGCCACCATGCGAACCAAGGTCTACCCCATGTCCAAAAACGAACAAGAAGAACTCAACCGATTTCTCGACGAATATCTCAAGAAGGGGTACATCCGGCCCTCAGAATCGCCCCTCTCGTCCCCCGTCTTCTTCGTTAAGAAGAAGGACGGCAAGCTCCGTTTTGTTCAGGACTACCGGAAAACTCAACGAGATCACTGTGAAGAACCGCTATCCCCTCCCCCTCGTCTCCGACATCATCAACCGCCTTCGAGGAGCCAAGTACCTTCACCAAGTTCGACGTTCGCTGGGGCTATAACAACATACGGATCAAGGAGGGAGACGAATGGAAGGCAGCATTTGCAACCAACCAGGGTCTCTTCGAGCCGTTGGTCATGTTCTTTGGTCTTACGAACTCTCCAGCTACGTTCCAGGCTCTTATGAACTCCATCTTCTCTGACCTCATCGCCGCAGGAAAGGTCGCAGTGTATCTCGACGACATCCTCATCTTCACGGCCACTCTCGACGAACATCGAGAAGTTACCCATGAGGTTCTCCGTCGTCTCAAGAAACATGACCTGTACCTTCGCCCGGAGAAGTGCGAGTTTGAACGAGAGGAGATCGAGTATCTGGGCCTGGTTATCCGAGAGGGAGAGGTGTCTATGGACCCCGCCAAGGTTGAGGCCGTCCGCAACTGGCCTGTTCCCCGTAACCTCCGCGCCGTTCGTGGCTTCCTCGGTTTTGCCAATTTCTACCGTCGCTTCATCAAGGATTTCGCCACTGTCGCTCGCCCGCTCAACGACCTCACAAAGAAGAATGCTCCCTGGCAATGGAACGAACCTCAACAGCAAGCCTTCGATACCCTCCGCAACGCCTTCACCTCTGCACCTATCTTGACACTCTGGGACCCCGATCGCCCCACCCGTATTGAGGTTGATGCCTCCGGCTTCGCCACTGGAGGAGCGCTCCTTCAGAAGCACGACGATGGACTCTGGCACCCTGTCGCTTTCCGCTCCGCCTCCATGCAACCCGCCGAACGCAACTACGAGATTTACGATCGAGAGATGCTCGCCATCATCGAAGCTCTCAAGGACTGGCGCCACTTCCTTGAAGGACTCCCAGAGCCATTCGAGATTGTCACAGACCACTCCAACCTCGAGTACTGGCGATCAGCACAGGAACCTTAGTCGACGACAAGCACGCTGGGCCCTCTACCTCTCCCGCTTCAAGTTCCTCCTCACCCACCGCCCCGGCAAGGCTAACACCCAAGCCGACGCCCTATCCCGTCTCGACATCCATCAGGTCACCGACGCGGAGGACAACAAGCAACAGATCGTCCTTAAGCCCGAAATGTTCGCCAAGCTTGCCGCCTCTAGTATGGTCGTCAACCCTCTTGAAGATCGCCTCCGCCAAGCCAGTGCTCGAGAGTCACAGGTGCTCGATGGTCTCGCCCAACTCCGGAAGACAGGTCCCCGTCGCCTCACTAATGGCCTCGCTGAATGGGAAGAGGAAAATGGATTGGTCTACTACAAGGGTCGCGTCTACGTTCCTCCGGATGACGAGCTCCGTCGCGATGTCCTCAAGCAGTGCCACGACGATCCCACTTCTGGTCACCCCGGCGTCCACGGAACCCTTGAGCGTGTCGAACGACAGTACTGGTGGCCCACAATGCGTGCCTTTGTCAAGAAGTACGTAGAGGGATGCGACATCTGTGCCCGGAAGAAGCATGCCCAACACCCTCGCGCCTCGACTCAGCCGCTCGACGTTCCTGAAGGTCCTTGGGAATCTGTAGGAGTCGATCTCATCACGCAGCTCCCAGAGGCCCACGGACACGACGCCATTATCGTCTTCACGGACCACTACAGCAAGGTCCTTCACGCCCTTCCCTGTACCTCTGACATCACCACTGAAGGTGTCGCCGACATCTACTATCGAGAAGTCTTCCGTTTACACGGCCTCCCACTCCGATTCATCAGCGATCGTGGTCCCCAGTTCGCCTCCAAGGTTATGCGCACCCTGCTCAAATGTCTTGGCATTGAGTCCAACCTCACGACGGCATATCATCCCCAAGCCAATGGACAGACTGAACGCGCTAATCAAGAAGTCGAGAAATATCTCCGACTCTACGTCAGTCGTCGTCAGGATGACTGGGATGAGCATCTTCCAATGGCTGAATTCGTGATCAACTCCCGTGTCCACTCTGCTCACAATCGCTCCCCCTTTGAGGTCCTCTACGGCTACATTCCCCACTTCAACATCCCCATCGGCAAGCGCACTGACCTCCGCCCTGTCGACGAACGAGTCCAGCACCTCCAAGAAGTCAGGAAGGACGCCGAGGCAGCTCTTCGACTCGAAAAGGCCCAACAGAAGGACGCATACGAATCCGGCAAACGCTCCGCTCACCAATTCCAACCTGGCGACTACGTCTGGCTTAGTGCCAAGGATATCCAGATCAAGGTACCGACTCGCAAACTCGGCGATCTCCAACTCGGTCCCTACAAGGTCACTAAGCGTGTCAGCGATCTCGACTACGAACTCGATCTCCCCAAATCCCTCTCCCGCATTCACCCCGTCTTCCATGTTGACAAGCTCTCCCCCTGGAAAGGCAATGATGTCAACGGCATTTTGCCACCCCCGCCTGAGCCTGTCGAACTAGAAGGGGAGCTTGAATACGAGGTTCACGACATCTTGGACAGCCGTTGGAGAGGTCGAGGAAAGAATCGCAAACTGGAGTATTTGGTCAGTTGGAAGGGTTATGGGTCGACGGACGACACTTGGGAACCGGAGGAGAACCTGGAGCACGCACCCGAGATTGTGAAGGAGTTCCACCAGCGACACCCCTCTGCACCACGCCGCATCGCCGCCACCATCTTCAGCTCTCTCCCCTGGCGCCCACTTGAGAACTTCACCGGACGCTCCGCCTACCGACCTCGACTGGGAACTTGGACGCCGTCTACCATTGGTCATCGAGGACGATGAGGCTTAGAAGGGGGGTAATGTCGTGAACAGCTGGTATGGCCCCTATTTTCATTTTCATCTTATCTTATCTGTATCCGCATCTTATCTTTCCTGTTACCCCTATCTCTTATCTTTATTCTCGTCTATGGACTCTTTCTCTCATGGAACACTGCCCCGTTTTGCCCTTTACCCTGCTTCTATTGTTCTTATTGTTACGCACTGCCTTGTATTGCTTTTCGACTCATTCTGACGTCTTTTTACTTCATTATTGTTTCATTCTTGTTCTTCGCGCACCCTCGCGCAGCCTTGTGACTATCTTTTATTGTTCTTCTGTCTTTCACCATTTGCTCATCATCTCGACTCATCGTGGCTATGTAACTGGTAGAATAGGTATATAAGCTAGGTAGTTCGCTCTGTATTTCCTTAGCTTGACCTCTTCGTCAATTCATCGCTCTATTCTTCACTCCAAACCGTCGCTCATCGCTCTAAGCTCTTTCGTCGCTTTCATCGCTCCTCGTCTCTGGTCTTAGTTTTGGTTTAGTGTTCGCTCTTCGCGACATCCGGGTTTTTAAAAACGAGTCAACGAGTGATCCCGCCGGGACGAGTTTACGTATTTTTCGAGTTCAAATTCGAGTTTCGAGTCTAAGTCGTGTTTAAATCGAGTCACGAGTCGCACTTAGTGTTTCCCTTGTGTGTAGAGCACAACAAAAATACCAAACACCATCCGTATAAAGTCAAGAGCCTTTTCAAAGCTCTAAAGCCCTAAAAACCGTTCTATACGAGTCAGAGAGTCTTCTCCTCGTTAACTTAGTCTACTAAAAACAACAACCCCATCGAACTTGCGTGCCAACGTACAGACAGTACCTAAAAGTCTTTAGATTCGGCCGTCGGTCTTCATCTTCGTGTCACTTGTCTCACAACAAGTTCCACTCGATTCGGGACCGCCGGTTGTCTTCTTGCTCTTCTTTGTGCTTTCTGTGCTAGCCAGCACATCACCGTGCCACCACCAACTCAGTCGAAGAGCCCCTCGCGATAGGTCTTCGTTGTGTTTTCATTCCTTAAACTGAAATACCAGTACATTCGTTCAAACCAATAATACACCGATAATACAACACATTCCTTTTACCAGCACGATCACTATACCCCATAATACACGATGGCAAGAATTGAGAGGGACCCGACAAACGACGTATGTCCGGATTTTGAGCAAGAGGAGTTCGAAGAAATCAGGGAAGCGCTGAAGAGAGTTGGAGGAGAGGGCGGAGGGGAGTTGACTGAAGAGCAAGTCATAGAGAAGCTCAGACAGGCATGGCAAAGCAGGCACGACAGGGCGGTGCAGCAGTGGCAAGAACAAGTCCAGGCAGACGAGGAGGAGGAAAGAAGGCGGGAGGCAGAGGAAGAAGAGGAGAGGAGACTGGAAGAAGAGCGGAGAAGACGAGAGGAAGAGGAGGAGGAGGAGGAAAGGAGAAATGTAGAGGCGGGGGGTAGGAAGACGACGAAGAAACCGATCATATTCGACGCCAACAGAGGGATTGGGGACACCATCACCAATCGTCCAGCGTCCTACGCCCTGAACAAGCTCAAGAACAGAGCCTACGTTCAACTCGACTACTTCACCAAACGAGGGTGCACACTAGTGAAGGACATGGGTCACCCATGGCTCACTCAGGTCTGACCCTCACCCATACCCACCAAAACCCATACCCATGAATGTGGGTGTGGGTTTCCGTGGGTTTATGTGGGTGTGGGTGTGGGTCTGAAACCCATGGGTTTTGGAAGCATGGGTAGAGTGGAATTGTGAGTGATTGGAGTACAAATAGATATTGGACATAAATATTTAACTTAATAGAGTAGATAGCATCAATACAAGAGCAATTGAGGTCAAAATAGTTGCATACAGAAGCATTTTTCCCATTGGCACTTGAGACTCCAGTAACCCGTGGGTCAGGTGGGTTAGGTGTGGGTGCCGCAGAAGTGACCCACACCCACACCCATCTGACCCATACCCACCAACCCACAGGGTCAGCCCAACCCATGTCCTTCACTAGTGCACACTGGCGCGAAGCGATACACAGGCCAACTCGCTTGACACGATGGGCATAACTCAAGTGAACGGCGAACTGGCGTTACAACCGCTTTCCACGCTGAAACCTCTGAAGGGCATTCGAGAGGATAGTGAACTCTCATGGTCAGAAGTTAACCAAGCACGACACGTCATGATCAAGCAGATGATCAAGCTGGGAGAGACAATTTGGCAGGCCGAAGTGGTGGACTCATTCATCGAGATGTATGAGGCCTTGGACGCACACGGAATTAGGGAAGAGGACCACGGGGATGAGGCGGTTGCGGAATATCAAGCTAATGTCAGGAGGGAATGGCATGACACCCTAGAGACGACCGGTGGGGCATGGAATATCGGCCTCATCAACGAGAAGTTACTACACACAATACGGCAGCAAATAGTCACAAGAGAAGCCACAGCGCAGGTGAAAGAGGTGCGTAAACACATTGTGTCACGGCTAGTCTCCAACTCACATCCCTTCCCTCGCCCTTCAAACAAAATGACCTATCGGTACGCGCACTGTTGCCTATGACGCCGAATTGCGGCTCATGCGGTTCGCGGTTTCCTGCGGTTTTTGCGGTTCATGCGGTTCGCGGTTTTCGCGGTTCATGCTTCTTGCGGTTCTTGCGGTTTTGCGGCTCCTGCGGTTTTGCGGTCATTGCGGTTTGCGGCTCCTGCGGTTCTCCTCAACACAGCTACGCGCCATAGCTGCGGCAGCTGCCACCTACCAACACCGAGCCGAGACCTCAGGAAAGCGTCGACGAAGTGGATACGAGTATACGACACGACGTCAGCCGTCCCTGCGCCAGCCAAGAAAGCGAGGCACGATACTGCCACGCCGCCGACACCCATTGGCCCCAGGGGAGGACGGTTTTTTCACCGAAGCGCTACGGAGTTCCACAGCGCCCCCGTATGCGCGGTCTGCCTTGGGCGCCACGAGCACGATTTCGCGTCGTGCGGCAGCAGATTGCTCTGGGATGGAAGGACCAAGTCGTGGGCAAAACGGGGAGGCGACAAGAAACTCACCAAGCCAGACGGGGAGAGTTTGTGTTTCCAGTGGCAAGTCTCGGGATGTGGAAGCAAACAACACCCCTCGAAACACTTCTGCTCAGGCTGCGGGAGTCCTGGACATGGGGCTCAAAGCTGTCCTCGCGCAGAGAAGGAGTAGGCCACTCACGCCGTACAAAGTGGAGAGCTGGAAGAGGAGGATACGGGAGTTCTCATTGGAAACTCGCTATCGTAATGTGGTGGATGGCCTGCGTCACGGCTTTGATCTTGGGGTTCCCATATGGCGCATATAGCGTTGCATAAATAGGCCCAATGAAAAAACATGAAATTGCAAGTTTTGAAGGGCCTGCACATGTTATTTTTTACCCATGTTCTGTCCGTTGACTGCAGGTTTCGACCAATTCCACAGGTTTGGCACGCATTTACACATGTTCTCACCTCCCTCACAAGTTTGGTACGTGTTCGCACATGTTCTCACTTCCCTCACAAGTTTACTCAGCGCGCGCCGCCCACATGTTTAGCTCTTCTCCATGCATGTGTTCCATTGACTTCGAAATAGTCGTTCCATCACACATCACTGATGGCCCCCTTTAGGCAACGGATTTCCTTTAAATCTCTACTTTACTACGTTCGAAAGCATTATCATCGTGTATACTACTCAGAATTCAGCACACACTGTCTAATATACAAACCTTAATTTCGGGACTCTTGATACTCTCATTGAAGCCATGGAACAGGAGCGAGAAGTACCAAATAGGTCAAGAATTAGATAATCCATGTCCTGTACAGCTCAAAACATCGGCCGGACGCGGCTTCTCCTTCTCGGTTTTTTTTTCCCTCTCTAGTCTGGCTGGTTTCCCAACTACCTGGCAGCCGAGAACATCGCCATGCTGTCTGCTTCAAATCTTGGCGACTGCAAGAACCCTTCCTGTCCTGACAAAGGCGCTTGTATCTGGTACTACCCTTCGGATGGGAATGCTTCTGAGGACCGGAACTGCATTCTCGTAGTTTGCGTCTGCGGTTGCCCTGGAAGAATGCATGCCCAAGTGTGTGATTAACCATCGTATTCTTGTCCCCTATACTTACCACATATGTATCTAGCGTGCAGCAAAAGGGCCATCGACCGAAGCAACTCCGGAGCCTCCTCAGGCTACCAACCATCCGGCTCCACCCTCTGGGCCAGAGATCAAGACCGCCCAACCCCAGCCTTCCACGACCTCATCAAAGACCTCGACCTTTCCTGGTTTCACGTCGTTTTCTGGCCTAAACAAAGCGTATCAAGAGCGGCTTCAGCAGCAGACTCCAGTGCCGGGGTTTGATCCAGGAACTGCGGTGAGTCTTCGTTGTATCAGGATGTGTTCACATGTTAATAGTATGTAGGCGCGCAGAGAGGGCTTAGACAACCTCAAAAAGACGACAAAGAAGAGGTCAAACCCCAGTACCAAATCCAACCAGAACCCATCGTCGAAGCGGCGTGCATCCGATAAAGAAAAACAGCATGCCTCCGATGTTTTGGTTCTTGATCTCAGCGTGGTCCTACACCCTCACGCACGAAGCCTGGACATTGTCGGTTCTGTTGCCATGCCTGATGCTATTGGGTACGAGCACCCCTTCCAAAGTTACGCTTGCGGCTTCTGGAGTGTGAGGCTAATGTAGTCCAGATTATCGAACCTTTTCAGGGCAGGGTTTGCAGCCATGAACGTCCGAATCAACTCGTCCATGGATCCTGCGGCCATCTTGAAGGTTCTCAAAGAGCAGCTCCCCCGTGCACTTTCCAACCACCCGGAACTCTCCCTCGATGGCGTCCGAATCCTTATAAAGGCCGGCGGTGGCCAGGGAAAATATACTCGGATGAAAGCCTATCCGGTTGTCGGTGGAGACGCAACCTTCGCCGATATTCAAGGGTAGGTTGGTTCATCGTTACTATTTTCCTCGTTCTCATTGCTGTTTCAGATGTTATGTCGCTGGGGCGTACCGCGGGGCACCTAACTGGAAGAATATTCTTTACCTTATCCCTGCAGTCGGAACCAGGAACTTCGACGTCGATGGCATTGAACCAGAGGAAGACTCCTCTGCCTCTGATGACGCAGGGACTGAGGACGACGAGCGTTGTTCTGTAAGTCTAATCATGCTTCTACGCAAAGTGTTGTTGTTATTTAACCGATCTACAGATGTCTAGCGGTGAACAGGTGGACAAGGATGGACGTAGAATGGAGGGAAGCCATGATGGATCAGCAGTTGGTATGTTGGACCGAGCTCCCCTATCGCCCATGTTCCCTTTCACAGTACTGACAAGGTGGCATCATTCAGTATCATCGTCGATCCCTAAGCTCTTCCGTCTTACCGTGAACATTTGTCGTCCAGACTCGTTCGAACTTTGGGTATGCATTCACCACTGGTTTACTCCGATACCTCAGGCTAACAGCTGCGTGTTTATTCCTATTCTAGTGGCCAAGTATCAACTACGATCTCTTCGACAAGATGCCCTCGGCATATTCTACTGTCAACAAACTGGTGCTGGTAGCGGAGAACGAGCTAGCGCCCGAGCTGGCTGAGAAGCTTTTGCTATCTGCCTATGATGGGCTGCAGAGCAAGCTTTTCCCCATTCTCATGTTTGTCATGGAGCTGAGAGCGCTAATCAAGAACAGCTCCACCAGCTTCCAAACTTCATGCCGGTTTGCTGAAGGCTTCAAGCTCGGGGAATTCGGACTATCGCCGGCCATCGAAATCTTCCATCGACTGTACTCTGTCACACTTTCTGCGGCCCGTAGTGGGTACATCCCAGATACTGTACGCGACCACATTGTCGATGGAATGGAGCCTCTCGCATCTTCCATGCTTGTACTTGTCAGCCACTTCCGCTCCTCGACCAGCAGGTCGAGCTGGGATCCTCCTGGGGTGCGAGACCTCCGCACTGCTTTAAAGCTTTCCCGTGTCTCCTATTTCGAGGTACGCTTTTGTAATGTTTGGTTTTACGTTCTCCCACTCAGTCTCCTATAGGAAGCGAACGAAGAGGACCGTCTAGAAATGTTTCACCTCACACTCGACAGTCCTACCGAAGCATTACGGGCAGCACTGGTCAAGCATTTTGGAAGCGCCAACAGGGCTACTGATATGGTGCTGACCAACGTCAAGACGGGCAAGCACGGAATGGACGAGTTCTTCCAACGGTTCATCGACCCTCTCCTTGACATATACCCTGTCGATGTCTCCAACTCAAAGGATATGTTCACACTTTTCACCGTATTTTGTAAAGAGTTGGCCCACAAGATCACGAACTTCAAGAAGGTAAGTGTACTTGTTTGCGCTGTGAACAGATTTCTAACTGAAATAACTTAAGAGCTATCGCGGAACACGTCAGAGCACCATGACCGACGACGAAGAGGGAGGGCCCGGAGGGGATGGGAAGAGAACTAGGGCTGGCTCGGCTAAGGCTGCGGACAACGAAGGAGACGGTGAGATACCTAGAAGGAAGACCAGGGGAAGCGCCTCGAAGGATCCGGGTACCAAGGGAGACACAAAGTAATGACCTTTCGTTCTCATGTCTTTCCTACTTGTAATGAATACATTCGATCTAGCACCACGCCTCCCAATCCATCTGTTGTAGAAGATACATCAGACAATAGCTCAGGTAACAAGTCAAGTTCTCTTTCCCAGTTTTATAGCTAATGTTGTGCGTTAGAATCTCACCAGCACTCTGCCAATCCTGATCTGGGAGAAGGCTTCTCTAGGAAACGCTCCTCTGGCTCATACCCATCAATGGACCAGAAGTTCGCTAAGGAGAATCCTAGCGCCAAGCGCAGCCGTCCAGAGCCAGAGTACATCTCATCTGACTCCGAGGACAATGTGAAGCGTCCTCGACCACGCCCTCGTCCTCGACCGCGCCCTAGTGCTCGGCCACAACACCCTTCTACAACTCAGCATGCTACACTTTCAGATCCCTTTGAAGTGTTTTGCTCGAAGAGACATAGTGACCCTCGTGCTGTAATGCTGGAGATCCTTCGAAGATGGCCTCATCCGGATTCCGCCCGCCATCAGTCGCTTGCTGATCTCTTCAAGAAAAAGGATACAAAACTCGATCTATTATGGAAACGCTTCGCCTTGGTGGGTAGACTCATATTCTTCTTTTACAATTGTTTGCTGAATCCACTCGCTTAGCTCTACTTCCCAGATAAGAACGTTAGCCAGAGCGTCGAATGGCAGGCTAAATGTGCTAAGCTGGCACAGGTTGTTAATAATACATTTGATTCGAGTAGGAAAAGGCTGTAAATTAGTGTCTATGCAACGGTATATATTTTGGCTCTGTCAAGACGTAGAAAATTTTGGATTACCCAGACATTCCGTTCAGTGGCGAAGGCTGGTGATTTGCTGATTCAGAATATCTGGCTTAATATATACAAACAAGTGATCAGAGACGTGCACTCTCACTTGGTCGTTCACCATCCACGCTAACATTGGACAATGGCCTCATCATTTCCCTCCACTCGCTCAAGTCACCAGTCCACAAGAGACTTTATTTCGACGTTCTTATCCAAGGCCCAAAAGGCGTTTCAAGATGCTCGCTTTGCCTCTTCATCAATTCCTAACCTCGAACGCACTACTGCCGAGCACCATTTGTACAATTTGAACGCCATCAAGAACGCACTGCCCTCCCTTTCGAGCCCATATATCACAGAAGACGACATCCAACAATGCCATTCATTCCTTGATCCCGTTATCAATGAGCTTCAGTTATTCCTCTCCTCATCACCAAAATCACAGCGTCCTACACCTTCCGTTTCCCGCAACGGCATCAGGGGCCGCCCCTCGTACCAATTGGACCTCGGGCGAATGATTGAGCTGCATAATATGGGAAACTCGTGGGAGTCTATTGGCGATGCCTTTGGAGTTGACAGAACGACAATCTGGAGGCACCTGGAACGAGCTGGCCTATCTACCAAACGTCCTGACTACACGGAGATTTCCAACGACGACCTGGACGATGCCATTGCGGTGCTGGTCGTGGCCCATCCACTGACAGGGGCTAGGGTCATGCAAGGCCACCTGCAGGGACTTGGTATCAATGTCCCTCTGCTTCGAGTAGAGAAGAGCTTGAAGCGGGTGGATTATGTTGGAACAGTACTTCGGTGAGCTTGGATTTTTTCTCTCCAATCGGTATAGCTGACAATGTGTGCATGGTCCAAAGGTGGAACGGCATGAACAGGCGCCGGGTGTACCGTGTCCGGGGTAGCAACGCTCTATGGCATCACGACGGAAACGAGAAGTTGAAGCCTTGGGGGTTCTACGTGCATGGATGTGTGGATGGCTATTCCAGGCTATTCATTTACCTTGTGTGCTCGAACAACAAGCGTTCAGCAACAGTGGCCGCTTGCTTCATGGAGGCTGTCTCACGTTACGGTTGGCCAAGTAGGATGAGAGGGGACTTTGGGACAGAGAATAATGAGGTAGAGCGAAGGATGAATGCGAGATGGGGTGCTTTACATCGTGCATATCTTCGTGGAAAGTATGTCGTGTTTCTTGCTTATACTGCTACACCATCAGTGACTTAACGCAGATCGCTGAACAACATACGTATGGAACGGGGTTGGAGGGATGTCAGGAAAGAATCCTTGGAGTTCTTTCGCCAGATATTCATGGAGCTCGAGGAGCTTGGCCTACTTGACCCGAACAACCCCATCCACCTTGTGTGCCTGTATGTGGTATTCCAACCGAGGATCCAGACCTCTCTTGACAGAGCGATTATTTCCTGGAACCGTCACAAAATGAGCACAGCTGGTAACAAGACTCCTTTGGCGATGTATGAACTCAGCAGAACGAAGGCCATCAATGCTGGGTATTGGACTGGGGATCCTGGTGATGCAGTTGAGGAGATTGACGATGAATATGGGGTGGATGGAACTAGTGGTCTTGCACCACCAGACGACGAGTTGGCAAGTGATCCGATAGCACCGAGGTCTGACTCTTTTGGTTCAAAAGAGGAGGAGCGTGAAGCCGGTATATTTGTTACAGAGGATGACCATATTGCAGAAGCTAGGGAGGTTTTGAAGGAGTTGGACTTGGAAGCTGATGACGGAAATTGGGGTATTGACATATATTGCTCTGCTGTACTAATTATATGTAGCTACGTAGAAAGGCTTGGGGAACATGTATAGTATCACATCTGTTACTGATTAAAGTCATATTAGTGTCAACTACAGGCTATCTTATTCATCATATCAAGGCTCTAGTACTACACTGCATGTTCAGTACAAGGTGTATAGCCCTCCTCGTACCTCCCGTGCTGGTGTCTTGGTGAGGCGGGGGAGTGGGGACCACTTTTCCTATGTCACCAAACATCACCAGACCATGATACAAGTGGTCCCAGGTGAGTCCCACCAGCCAATCTTCCTTCATAATTCAAGGTACGGGGAAGACGGGTCCCGTACAGGGTGTCTGGGCCTCCTCGTACCTCCCGTGCTGGGGTTGTGGTGAGGTGGGTGGCTGGGGACCACTTTTCCTATGTCACCAAACATCACCAGACCATGATACAAGTGGTCCCAGGTGAGTCCCACCAGCCAATCTTCCCTTCATAATTCAAGGTACGGGGAAGACGGGTCCCGTACAGGGTGTCTGGGCCTCCTCGTACCTCCCGTGCTGGGGTTGTGGTGAGGTGGGTGGCTGGGGACCACTTTTCCTATGTCACCAAACATCACCAGACCATGATACAAGTGGTCCCAGGTGAGTCCCACCAGCCAATCTTCCTTCATAATTCAAGGTACGGGGAAGACGGGTCCCGTACAGGGTGTCTGGGCCTCCTCGTACCTCCCGTGCTGGGGTTGTGGTGAAGGTGGGTGGCTGGGGACCACTTTTCCTATGTCACCAAACATCACCAGACCATGATACAAGTGGTCCCAGGTGAGTCCCACCAGCCAATCTTCCTTCATAATTCAAGGTACGGGGAAGACGGGTCCCGTACAGGGTGTCTGGGCCTCCTCGTACCTCCCGTGCTGGGGTTGTGGTGAGGTGGGTGGCTGGGGACCACTTTTCCTATGTCACCAAACATCACCAGACCATGATACAAGTGGTCCCAGGTGAGTCCCACCAGCCAATCTTCCTTCATAATTCAAGGTACGGGGAGGACAGGGTCCCTACAGGTAAATGAGAATCAATCAGATCAAACCGTTTTCATAACATATAATACCAATGTATACAGGTTAATTATTTCTAGCTACTCTGGACCTTGTCTTCCTGGGAGAGGTTAGGTTACCAATAACCTGTTCAACACCATGCTCTAACATAGCTCTCGATGTAGGCTCGCGGTTCTCCTTATTGGCCAACAAACGCTTGGGAAAATGTTGGAGCTTATTCTGGCTGGTAGACACAGGTCTTCCAGGCTTTCCAGTTCGGATCTACAGCACTTCAGTAATGTATTCAACACTATGAACATGAAAGAGACATACCTTACGAGGCCTACCCTTCTTTGCCCCCATAAGCCTCTTCACTTCAGGTACCACGACATTAGAGATAGTTTCGCGAAAGGAGGCCGGCCCCAGTGTGGTCTGCTTTCCTTTAGTCTGGTAGTCCTTGATATAGTTGGTCTAGTAAAGCATTAGATGCCTGATGAAATCCATAGCAAAACAAGCACTCACACTTAAAGACCAATACTCTCCATCAGGTGGGCGAGCAGTAATGATGGTCCAGAACTCTGTTGAGCCATTCCGGTACTGACGAACTGGAACAACCTTGAATCCTCTGGGATTGGCCTGCAACTGGGAAGGCTGTGTGGAGAGGTACGGCGTTCCTGATAATGAGATGATAAGTGGGAAGCTCAAGTGTAATGTGAAATGGCACTCACCGATGACATGGTTAGGATCCAGATACCCTTGAGAGACATATAGATTGTATAGGTGTAACGGTACGTTGACCCACTTCTTGTTCATCACCTTGGTCCATGTCTTGAGATAGTTGGTGTTGGAGTTGTAGTTGAATGCAAATGGGTTGTCGCTGTTGGGAGTAGTGACACATTGCCTGATGAACTTATCTGAACGCCATTGCTCCATGTAAGGAGCTATCCCATCGCGCAGACGAGTCCACATGGACGGGTCAGAACAGACATAGTAGGACGACAGCCCTGGATGGATAGCGACGGTATAGAGGAAGTCATTAGCCAAATGACGACCAAACCCTCCAAACGCCATGTTGGAGTTATCACAAATCGCATCCACGATGAGCTGGTCACTGCCCCGGCTTAGTACAGACTCTTGCCACTTAGCAAGTGCTGCCTCCGCCTGCGGTCGCTCCAAGACCCAGTCAGGGCCATCAGGGAATGGAGCCCAAAGGCGTGGCCACATCTGAAAACAGTACAATGAGACCATATTACCAGTCCTACCTAGCAATGGGATACTCACCTCAGATCCAACGGCGAGGTCTTCCGCAGTCCACATGCGACCAAGGCTGGTGACATGGAAGCGAGCAAGGCGAGCGAAATCACAGATAGCGACAGCAAAGTGATCCGTCACAAAGGCTGCCATGATATTGACAGTACGCTGCTTCGGAATGGGCTCCAGATACTTCTGTCCATCCTTGGTCTTCTTCACAGTCTGGTCTGAGCCCTCGACGATGAATCGAGAGGGCAAGACGAAGGACCTGAGCTTCTTTGCCTTCCCCTTGGAGCTGTTGGTTCCAGGGATGCTGTTGGCCGTGATCTCAGCCAGTTCGGCCGGTGTTAGGATAATAACGGAGGACTCGAGGCCAAAGTGGATGGCTAAACCGTGCTGGATTGGAGTGGGTAAGTGAACACACTGGTGGAGGGATGCTAAGGGGAATACTCACATAACCACCTGCGAGGTAGACCGCCTTGCCACGAACAGCGACGTGCAAAGGACCTGGTACGAGAGGCTTCTCAACCAGGTACCTGCAGTCGTCTGAAACGACACCTCGTTTCGCTCGGACGAGGTCATGTGGGTTGGGGGTAAATGATGGGTCTAGGGGCTCAAGGGACTCGTTGTACTCGGAGGTGTCCACCGTGATGCTCCCCCATGCACGATCTCGGGTGCCTATGGCAAAGGTGGACGAGTATATCTGTAGCCGGCCTTCAAATACAATATAAAAGACATACAGTGGTCAAAAGATCTGGTTACTTACCATTTGGGTGTTTCCCTGTCTTCTGTTTCTCCTCCTCTATCGCTCTCTTGATCTTTAGGTAGAAAGCGAACCCTTCCCCAGACTCTGGCATGGGATAGCCGGCGCGTAAATCCTATAAACAGCGACGCGTAGATCCTACAAAAAGCGATGTGTAAATTGCATAACAGAGATTATAACAAAATTAGACAGAGGTCACATACCGTAAAGAACAGCTCGAATCACGCGATTAGAGTGAAGAGGGGGGATAGATTAATCCTATTAAACAGCGACGCGACGCGACGAGTAGATCCTACAAATAGCGATGTGTAAATTGTATAAAAGATATTAACAAAGTTAGACAGAGCAATTTTGAGGCCACGTACCGTGAAGAACAGGTCGAAACACGCGATTAGAGCGAAGAGGGAGGGACAGATGTGCTCACTGCTGGTTGGGAGTGCTGGCAGTGCACCAGAGTGGCTGTGTCGCGTGGGTGCCATCAATTTCCTCAAACCTGTGTCAAATTCCGCGGCGGCCAGCCCAGGAAACATGCGAGAAATTACTTTTAACTTGTGTTTTTCCAAACATGCTTTCACGGTACAAACTTGTGGCCAGTGGTATCTAAGGCATACATGTGTTGTAGAAAAGAAACCTGTGTGCAAGGAATAAACATGGTGTATTAAATACATCGGAATTACATCTTGTTTATGCAACGCTATATGCGCCATATTCCCAACATACCAACGACTTTCTGCCCCCCAAATCACCATTCCACCATCACCTATGCCTCCGCGTTCGACGATATTGTGGCAAGAGAGTTTCAGGCACGGCGATATATTGGCCCGCTATCACGACGACAAACCGAAAGCTTGGTGGGCCCATTCCAGTCATCGCCAATATCCCTCATACCCAAAGCTGGAAAACCAGGCAAGTTTCGAGCCATACACAATTTCTCACACCCGCACAACCCCACACAAGGAGCCACATCAATCAACTCCAGCATCCAAGCCGAGGACTTCCCATGCACCTGGGGAACCTTCTCCACCGTATTCCTCCTCATTGCACGCCTACCCCCGAACTCACAAGCATCGATCCGCGATGTCTCTGAAGCATACCGAACCATCCCGGCTCACCACAGCCAATGGCCTGGTCTTGTGGTGCGTCTCGCTGGAGATGACCGTTTTGCGATCAACACCAGCAATGACTTTGGTCTCGTATCTGGAGGGGGAGGATATGGGATGGTCGCAGATGCGGGTCTGGAAATTGCCAGACACAGTGGCATTGGGCCCGCCTCCAGATGGGTGGACGATCACATTTTCGTTCGCGTGCTACGAGTTCATTTGGAGGAATACAACGCTCAAAGAGCGCAATGGCGAGAGGAGATCAAGGCATACGGGGGACAAGAGAAAGAGAGAGGCAGGATCTGGTACCGGGGAGGATATTTGGAAGATGGGAGGCCGGAAGAATTTGACGAGGATTGCAATGCGGTACTGCGGGACTTGGCAAAGGAGAAACGTAATGCAATGCTCGAAGACGAGCGGTATTGCTACGGAGATGAGGACATCGAAGAGCTATCACTGGAGCTGGGAATCCTTTGGGAGCCTTCCAAATGGATTCAGTTCGGTTATGTGGTCCCTTATCTCGGTTTTAGCTGGGATCTACGCATGTACACAGTGGCTCTGTTGGAGGAGAAACGCCTTAAATATCTGCAGGCCATCAAAGAGTGGAAGACATCGGAAACACACACGCTCGAAGACGTACGAAAGCTTTACGGAAAGCTGCTCCACACAACTCTTGTTGTTCGTAAAGGACGAGCGTATCTCACGTCACTGGAGGCCATGCTGGCCACTTTCCACAACAGTCCTTTCGCTCCACACCATCCACCAAAACACACCAGCGCCGATCTCAAATGGTGGGAGAGCACCCTCCGCAACACGTCACTTACGTGATCGGTCAAGCTACCACCCCCAATACACGATCTCAAGGCCTTCTCGGACGCCAGCTCCGGGGTCGGGATCGGCATCACAGTGGGCAATGGGTGGAGAGCATGGAGACTACGGAAGGGCTGGGATACGGACGGACGGGACATTGGTTGGGCCGAAGCCATTGGATTTGAGCTACTCGTCCTCGCGATCGTACAGCAAATTGGCGAGGCAGGTCGGGGAAGACATGTATGGGTCTACGGAGACAATAAGGGCGTTGTCGAGGGTTGGTGGAAGGGCCGGAGTCGTAGCTGGAGAGTCAACGAGGTCTTCCGCAGAATCCACGACATCTGCGAAGAAAGCGGAATCACGGTACACACCAAATACGTACCAAGTGCCGATAACCCAGCAGACGACCCATCAAGGGGCAAGTACCCGCCATCGTCCCTCCTCCTACCAACCATGGCGGTCCCCGGACCAACCACACCGTTCATCGCAGACTTCGACAACCCCGAGTTCATCAACCAACCGCACAAGGAGCCGTTACGAAAGCCAGCTAGGGAGGCCAATCGAGATGAACGCCAGACCGCCGCCTACGAACAAAGACGCGACGAACTGCGCGCCCTCGGAGACAGCCTACAGTAACAAAGGCAGAGGCACAGCAATACGTGCAGGAGGTAGGGAGATCAGCAGTTTACCGGAACGTCGACATGCTGTTAAGCCCAAAATCATGCCATATCCCACCCTCCTCACGCCAACCCCGTCCACCCTGAGGCCACACTGCCTTGCTAGGGAACGCCTCGTAAAGTGGAAGCCCATGCTAGCAACTGAAGCAAGCGAAGAGGGAATCTCGGAGAAGGACCTGGAGAGGGTTGGCCAAGTGTTGGGTTTGAGCTGGGAAGAGAGCACAAAGACCACGTACGGTAGTGGTCTGCTGGCGTTCCACGTCTTTTGTGACAAGAGGAAGGTCCCAGAAGAAAAACGAGCACCGGTGTCCAACAACGTGCTGGCGGCGTTCATCGCTACCATGGCAGGAGCATACTCGGGCAAAACCTTGCGGAACTACGTCCACGGCATTCGGGCGTGGCACCTCCTGCACAGGGTGGAATGGTTAATGAGGGAGGACGAGGTAGAGAGGTTGCTGAAGGCGGCGGATAAATTGACTCCAACGTTGTCGAAGAAACAGCCGAGAGAACCAGTAACGCCAGCATACATGGTGGCAGTGCGGAATCACATGGATCTCAACGACTCGCTCGACGCGGCGGCTTACGCCTGCCTGACGACATGCTTCTATGCCACGGCGCGCCTCGGGGAATTCACGGTCGAGAGGATCACGGACAAGATAGATCCCTCACGGCATGTAACACCAAAGCACCTATCCGAGACAACGGATCGCAACGGCAACACCGTCATCACCCTTCGAATACCAAGAACCAAAGTGTCTGACGACGGGGAAGACGTCTACTGGGCCAAGCAGAACGGCGAAACGGACCCAATGGCGGCGCTGGAGAATCATCGAAGAGTGAATCAACCGGCAGACGACGAGCACCTGTTCACCTATCGTGATACGAGAGGAAAGCGACGGCCCTTATCCAGCAAGGGTTTTCAGCAGCGAATAGCCGCAGCTGCACGTGCAGCAGGCTTAGAGCCCATACCAGGCCACGGTCTCCGAATTGGGTCGACGCTGGAGTATTTATTGCGAGGGATGCCTTTCGAGACGATGAAAGCGAAAGGGAGATGGGCCGGAGACTCCTTCCAGCGATATCTCCGAAAGCACGCACAAGTGGTAGCACCATACATTCAGGCTGTTCCCGAGGTTCACGAAGACTTCGTGGGGATCATAGCAGATTCTGGCAACGTGCCGCAAGCAGGTATGAGCAGTTGCCAGTCAGTCTTTCCTAATGTTTGGGAGCCGAGACTCACTCGTCGCGTCAAGACTAATTAGCGGGTGTCGGCGCTCATCACGGACTCCCAAACACGGATATCTGAACAAGTTGGGAGGGGCGCACTTCGTGCGCCGCTCACCCACCAATCGCCATCTATCTATCTATCTGTTTTATAATCGAGTATATTCTCGTTACGAGTAACCTAGTACTGACTAATGCCATGTGCCTTTTAAGCTGTGGAACCTACCGCGAGAGTCAAAGAACCACTAACACGCGAGGCGAGCCAAAATTTCCGAAGATCTCCAGCGACGGACATGCTTCTGCCGTATCACGTGCCAAAGCTATGAACTGCTCCTTCTCTTTCTTGTCCAGTGCGTCAAGCGCTTTAGGAATATACTGGACGAACAGTCGCTTGAGTCGTTGGAAAGAGGCGATGTCGCTGATGATTCGTGGCTGCGATAGTTTGGGAACGTCTGGTGTAAGCTCGAGGTTAGATGATAGCATCTACAAGAGCTTACATGGTTCTTGGGCCTCATCTCCAGTCCGCTCAAAGCCAGTTCCTCGACATTGGGCGCACCACGGGAGATGGAATGTAGGTATCCGTTCCACATAGGCTTACGCCATCTACATCTGCCTGTTTTGTCCGCCTCCTTGAACACCCCGTTGGTTGCTTCGTACCAATGGGCACCCTCGATTTCGCTGAACTCTACGTTATAGAAGTTGGTGGTTTGCTCGATGAGCAAGCTTCGCAGGTTGGGAAGTCCTGAAGGGATCACTGAGCGGAGGAGGTAGGGTACTTGTGCATTGTTGCTTCCGATGACTTCGAGCTTGGACAGACGTTCGAGAATCGGAGCTAGGTTTCGTATTTCTTGGAATCGGGCCTGAAACTGGGTGAGTATGGAGTTCGGACGTTACCCAAGTAGCGTCACGCTTACCTTCAAGTTCCTCAATCTTGGAAGAAACGCCGAAGTGTCCATGGCAGAACAATCGATGAACCACCACAGGGTGCCGACCAGAGGGTCAATTTCAATCTGTTCCAACGTGGGGTGCCTGTCCCAGAATTCCATAGCTTTCGCGGAATCTTCTAATTCCCACCATACCAGCTTCAATGAGTCGAGTACGGGGAAACTGAGGTCTAGGTATTCGTCGATAAAGAGTCGCTCTTCTCCGTCTTGGCTATCGGCATAAAGACACAGACTTCGCAGATGAGGGGCCATATTAGCCACACATTCTTGCAGCTTTTTGTTTCCCAGTCGATCAAGACTTCCCGAACGAAATTGGAGAGAGAGATGGGTGAGATTCTAACGTTGGAAGTTGATCTGGGTCAGCCTGACTCAATCAGGGGACTTAGAGACGTGTGTGGCATACCTGGATATCGAAGAGCCCAGAGTTAGTGAGATGATTGTCCTCGGTATTTCCAATCTCTGAGAGAGTAAGCGATCGAAGGTGGGGACAGAACTGTTCGAGGTCCGTCCAACACGACTTCCTGAATTCTGCATATCCCTCCAAAGGGCGCTGCCATTCCCGTTTTTCCGGATCGTCGTGAATGTACCACGATGTTCCGTAAAGATGAACTTCGAGAGTTTGAAGACGAGGGAGACCGCCGGATAGAATGAGTTTTTCCAGTGCCGTCAAGACGTCAATGGCGTTAGGGTCGTCCAGTGTCTTCTGCGACAACGTCGATGCAATGTGAAGCCCGCGGACGCAATTCCCCTTGCCCTCCCTCTGCGCCAACTCTTTGAGAACAGCCAATGCGCTTCTCTCGTTCCTTACGACAACGTGTGAGTACAGTAGCGGGATTGATATATCACGGAATTGATGACTGGTCATCGCAAGGGCCAGGAGACAGGAGGAGGATGAATAGAGCGGAAGGTGCGCTGAGATGTTTGAGAATAGTTCGACTGGAATGTCGGAAAGCCTCATTATGTCTTGGTTCGGAGGACAAATGTCTTTGGAAGACGGGGCTGGGAGAGGGCGGTAGTGATAGGTTTGAATGCTGTGAATCTATCACAGCGCCCTTCTAGATCTGTGGGTACCAGTGTGTGACTCGGACGACTCCACCGCTGGAGCTCTTGAGTGTGTTGTGTGTAAACCAGCACCTGGATCCGTCGATGAAAGAACATAAGTGATAATATTACACAAAGCAAAAAGAAATGAAGGGTAAGGAATAAGAACGTAATGGGACTAGTACGCCGACAGTCCACCGCTGGTTAGAGGGAAGGCGCAATTCTCCTGTCCTACCACGAGTCCATTACCCAGACCGAGCCTCACTTCTTTGACTTCATTGTCCCCCGCTCGAGAAATCCGCGCTACCAGGTAGTTGGAGTCTTGGTCGAGGGATCTATTGATATTCCCAAACGTCTCCAGGAGAGGGCATGCCTCTGCTGTGTCCCTTGCCAACGATGCAAATCGGTCCTTAGTATCTTCATCAAGATCGCGGGGTAAGTATTGGACGAATATTTTCTTGAGGCGTTTAAAGTTGGAAAGGTCCCCTAAAATGCGGTGCTGCGATAGTCGGTTAGGTTCCTAATCTCCCAGATTGAAGAAGCCGACCGATAGACCCACATGGTTCTTCATATCCATGTCACGCCCTTCCAGCGCGAGCTCTTCGATATTCGGTGCACCACGAGCAATTGAGTGGAGATACCCGTCAACCATCGGTTTCAAGAACCCCTGCTTGAGGCGTTTGGGTTTCTCCGCTTCTTTGAACTCGCCGTTAGGCGTTTCGTACCAGTATACAGCCTCATGTTCGCTGAACCTCCCACCATAATTCGACGCTTGTTCAATCAGCAAACTTTTGAGATTAGGGAGGCCGGATGGTAGGATTTCCCGCAGAAGGTAAGGCACTTGGGCGTTGAGGCTAGACGATACTTCGAGGGAAATGAGGCGATGGAGGATTGGCGCTAGGTTTCGGACGTTTATGAACGAGGCCTGTTACGAACGTAGTTTATATTGTGCTCTGTGGAGGTATCCCATTTAAGATATCTAGACACGCACCTTCAATCTCCTGAGCGCCGGGAGGAAACCGGAAACATCCATGGATGAGCAGTCGGAGAACCATGCATCGCCTGGGTAGGCGCCAATACAGACATCTCGCAGTGTTGAGTGTCTCTCCCAGAATCGCATGGCCTTGGTGAGATCACCCAGTATCCAGTGGCCCACCGTGAATGACTCGAGATAGGGAAAGTTCATGTCCAAGAAAGGGTCGAAACACATCTCTTCATACGAGTTCGGATCGAGGTACAGGCTTCGCAACCCGCCAGACAGTCTTTCAACGCACTGGCGTAGATGAGAAACCTCTTCTTCGTCCAAGGAACCGTGACGGAAACTAAGCGTGAGGTGGGTAATGTTCTGTGATCCGCCGCGGCCATTCCGCGACTCGTAAATCAGTACATTTTGTTTCGTCGAACTCGCATTGAAACGGACGCACCCGAATATTAAACAGACCGGTTTGGTGAAGACTTACGTCTTCAGAAGCTTCCACAGGCTTCAGGCTAAGGTTCCTCAAATTTGGGCAGAACCCCTTCAAAGACTCCCAAAAAGGCGCCTCAAACTCTCCAAAGCCTTCGTACCAAATAATCTCGCCCAATTCTTCATCGAGTCGCTTATACCACTCCCCTCCTTGGAGGTGTAGTTCCAATGTATGAAGATCAGAGAGATAGCCTGTGCGTATGAGTCTTTCCACGGCTCTGACCACGTCCAGTTCGGTGGAGCTCAACCGCACCTCGTTGGACAGCTCGGATGTGATATGAAGTCCACGAACGAAACGGGTTTTCTCTGGGCTGGTCGTCAGCGCCTTGAGGACGCTAAGAGCGTGCGTTTCGTTCTTTAGGATGACATGCGAGTATAAGAGGGGTAGGCATAGTTCGTGGAACGTGCTGTTTGTCGATGCGAGAGCTAGGAGAGTAGAGGGGGCCTCGCAGAGTGGGAGGTGCAGCGCGACGTTGGGAAATAGTTCTGGGGGGAGGTCGACGATGCTCATCTTCTGGGTCGTTGGTGGGTAGTTTGTGATCCTGGATGAGTGTGAGACAAGACTCGTGGGCGTCGTGGTGGATACGATCAGCTTTTTCATATCTTTCATATCGGAAACCTCCCGCCCAGAGTGTGTTGTATGCAGCTGAGGGCACCTCACGGCCTAGTTGGACTGATCATCAGATGGCCGTACATATCGGTGACATGAGAACCCCGGGATCTCTGCGCTTTGGTCCCAACCTGGTGCCCACAAGCTTGTGACATTGGGTTACCCGGATTTACCTGGCCTCTAGCCCATTTGGGATAATTGCAATGTACATCCAGTCTTATTTGAACGCGCACGGAGGCCGTCGAATTACAAAATTTATAGAAGTCTTACCGGTTCCACGGGATGAATAGGATAAGTGGTATGTTCGAGTCTTTACCGTCTTTACCCCCACATGTCAATCCAGATCTCTAGTATGCATGTCCAGTCCGTAAGGTGAAGTAATTGGGAGGCGCCGCCTGCTGTAACTCAAACTTCCGATCATGCTAACGGCTCTTCTCATAGGAATATCACTTTGGAGAACAACGGCGGCCTTTACTCTGTTGGGACGTCCACGAGTTTGTCAGGACAGTGGACACGATCATAGCGATACTCTGTATACGCGCCACCGCGGAACAACAAGACACTGCCAGTATAAAGCTGATAGGTTGCCGTTTATTCGATTATCCCAACACAAGTCACGACTCCTCCTCGCCTTCTTCACAATGAAGATTCCACTTCACTTTTTAATTATTTTGCTATGCACCGCTCTTCCGGTGATCGCTTGCTGGGATCCAGAAGAGGGGACCATTGCACGTAGGAACTACCTGCGTGATGCTTACACGGAACTTCTGGAGGCACGCCTGGTACGTTGCTAAAGTTCGGTACATCCATACTTAGGCTTTGCTGGTAACACTCGCTACAATCCCAGATCACGATCTCCGATGAGCTTGAAGGGCTCTATAGTAGAACTGTCTGTCTTATTCTCTTACCTGTCTTTTGCCTTTTCCTGACATTCCCATCGATACAGGGACGATTAGCCAGGCTCAACAATAGCGATAGGAAAGAGGCGAAGAAGTTCATAGATAAAGCTCAGAAAGACGGCAAGATTGGCCTAGCCGCCACCCGAGGCTCCTCCGCCAAAACCATTTACACAGACAAGAAATTCCACCTTGACCGACAATTAGGACAGGGGGCAGACGGGACTTTCAAGGTCGCTGTGCAACTCACCACTAACGGACAGAAAGGGCGCCCTAAGGGCTCAACGACTGTGGCTCAGGTGCAGATGAAGGACTTCCCACAAGGCAAGCAGCCACCGCCCGAGCGAGTGAGTTTCCTCCTTTATGGTCTAGATCTAATTTGTCTGGGAAGATAATATTGCAAGTGCTAATCCCTCAACATTCCTTAGGTCGCCAAGGCTCTGAAGCAGTCCCTCAAAACTGGCCGGGAAAAAACTGTCCCATTTGAAACAGCGAAGCAGATAGCGCACAGGGAGAGACTCGAGGCTCAAAAGAAGAGAAACAAAGTGAAGAAGAACGGAAAGCAATACAAGTTCAGACGCTAATCCATCCTTCGATCGGAATACATGCCGCGCTCGAACAGGCTCGAATCGTTGTTACAGACCGGATGACCGATTGCTCTATGAGCGATAAATCGAAGCCTCTCTTCCTGATTTCGAAAGTCTTAATTCTCGGCTGGAAGACTCTATCGTTGTTATAGTTTTGATGCTATGGACACCTAGTCACATAATATTCCATAATTTCCAACCACAGTGACTGTTGGTGTTTTCCAATCGCACACAGCATGCCCATTGGCGTCCACAGTGTCCAGGTGGCCCGGCGCGCGTCCCATAAGCGCCCAGTGCCTAAACTGATAGTGCCCGAAGTAAGGTCCGATTCAATCCAGTGCATTGGAAAGGATGGTGGCATCCTCTCTAAATCCGTCGACGAAGCGGATAGCAGTGATGAAACCACGGAAGGTGTGAAAATAACTTCGATTATGCTTGCACTCGAGGACATACGACAAGAAGCTTTAAAGGAGTCTTGGCCTGGTAAGAGGAAACGCTTGATCTTCCTGCCCCAACACCATACCATGCCCAATGGTCATATCTGCACCGATATCGTCACTCATTCCCTCTCGACGGATCCGTGCGATCAAGTACCGAGGCTCCTCTTCATTGTTGAAATTCCCAAATACCTCCAGCGTCGGACAGGCCCTAGCTGTTTTCATCGCCAACGATCTGAATTGCTCTTTCTCTCCGTCTTTCATTTCTACGATCGGCCCTGGAATGTATGGAACGAAGAGCGCCTTGAGATGCTCGAAATTGGAGAGACCGCGCATAAAACGCCGCTGGATGAGATAGAAGCACATGTAAACCTGAGATTAAGTGGAAGCACGGTGTGGACGACTTACGTGGTTGGCCATGTTCAAGTCTGGCCCTTTCAGAGCGAGTTCTTCAAGATTCGGCGCGCCGCGTACGATAGAATGCAGATACCCGTCCGTCATGGACTTGAAGTACCTGCTCTTCCCAAACTTGTCGGCTTCTTTGAACTCTCCATCGGCGGTCTCGTACCAATGCGCACCCTCCAGTACCCTGAAGTTTCCGCTATATCCCGACGCTTGCTCGATCAATAGGCTTTTGAGTTTGGGAATGCCGGATGGCAGAACGTATCGCAAGAGGTAGGGAACTTGGGCATTGAAGCTTGCCAAGATTTCGAGTTTGAGGAGGCGGTGGAGGATGGGAGCAAGGTTTCGGACGTTAATGAACGAGGCCTGGCGTGTAAGGGTGGTCAGTGTCGCTGTATTGAATCCAGAGTTATAGCCGTTCTGAGTCATACCCTGAGTATCTTTAGCTTTGGCAGAAGGTCTCCAGTCACTCCAGCGGAATCGAGGAACCATGCTATTTCTTGTCGATTAACGAGACTGATGCTGTGGAGGTTTTGATGCCTTTGCCAGAATTCCATCATTTTTGAGCGGTCGTTCAGGACCCATCCTGTTAACCCGAGCGATTCGAGGCATGGAAAGGTCAGGTCCAAAAATCCGTCGAAGGTGACTTCAGTTGCGAGCATGGTGAGCGTAACGTTCAGGGTTCGCAATCGCCCAGATAGGACGGAGACACTGCGCCTCAGCCGCTCCACACCATCATCGTCAAAGTGCGGCGAGCTTAAGCTCACTGTGAAGCAAGTGACATTAGGAAATGCCTATCAATGATAAGCGACAGTTGGATAAAATGGGACCGGCGATGCGTACCTGCAGCTCGAAGATCCCAGACTGGTTGAGATAGCCGTCGTCGGTGTCACGAATTCCAGTAACGGCAATGTTTTTCAGCTGCGGACAGAACCTCTGCAACGATTTCCAGAAACCATTTCTGAATTCTCCAAATCCCTCGAAGTCAGTGTAGATCCCAGTCTCGGGATCTGTCTCCTCATACCACGAGTACAGGAGCAGGTGTACCTCCAAGGTAGACAGATTTGGGATGTTTCCGCTGTGTATCAGCTTTTGCAGGGTGCGGACTACATCTAGTCGAGCATGATCCAACCTGACCTCCCTAGAAAGGGCGGTGGTGAGGTGTATACCACGCACGAAGCGTCCCAAGTTCGCATCGTCAATCAATCTCCCCAGGACGCATAGGGTGTCTTCTTCGTTCTTTAGGATAAGATGTGAATGGAGGAGAGGGTATGCTATGCCATAGAGCCTGTGGTTTGTCGATGCCAGGGAGAGCAGGGTCGAAGGCACCGCGTAGAGTGGGAGGTGAGCAGCGATGTTGAGGAATAGCTCTGGTGGGAGGTCGGACAGATGCATTGGACAGTGTACAGGCAGGTGAAGGAAGAGTTTGATTGAATGGTCCCAGATATATACAATTTGAGCGCCCATCTTGCACAGCGTAGACATACCTGGTCAATCAATCAGATGTACACAATCAGACGCACATAGGAAGCAGAAAGGCACCCACACGATTGTCTGGTCCGTGCGCTTGGCGGACTTTGCACTGACAGTCGCGTGACCTCGGTGTTCTCATAAATAGAACACAACGCGTCGTTCAAGTCCCCCCACTTCTTTTCTTCCTTTTCCCTCAATGTCTCTCCCTCTCCGCTACTTTGAGTTCGTTTTCGTCCTGTGAAAGCCCGTAACATAGTCCAATCATTATCCACAAATCCGGCAGAACAGCGCAGGCCGATTCTTGGGGCCAATCTCTGCCAGTTTTCTGGTGGGAGGTCCATGAGGTTCCTTGCAGCCATCAGCCTAGGGGACAGCAAAATTCCTTGTATGATATATCTTTTCATGAGCTAGATCAAGCGCCTCTTTGTTCTGGTACTGGTCTTGCCCTTGGCCCTTAAAGCTTAACCAATAGACGCCCAAAGCCGAAACGGACGCCAAGGCGATAAGATCACCAAATGACTCGGAGATAAGATTAGATTACCGAAGTTTTCTAGACGCCAATCTGATTTTGCCCCTCTCTTCTTTACAGCCCACTATCTGTTCAAAGAATTAGCGGTAAGTGAACCAAGCTCATTCTCTTTTGACTATTCTAACAAAATCATAGAAAATGCTTGTGCTGGCGGGCAGTTCGTCGGTGTCGGAACCACGACGCCAAGCTCTCCTCGCCGCCATCCAAAAGACCTGTCCGCAGGTCACCTCGATCGACGGACTATGGCTTCACATCGTCAAGGCCCTTGACCAATCCAAGGAAGACGAGCTCAAGGATGCTTCATCGGCACATCGACAGACGCTGGACAAGCTCCTGACGTACGGCGACGACATCTCGCTCCCAGGATCACGGGAAGCCATCGCTAACGGCACCACCACCGACGGTGTCGTCCTCTACATCCTTCCACGACCTGGTTCGATTTCTCCGTGGTCCAGCAAGGCTACCGATATCGCCAAACTATGCAACCTCGAGAACCACGTCGAGCGTTTGGAGAGAGGCAATGCGTTCGTCATCCGGGGAGCAGGAATCGACGTCGCCTCGTTTGCGCACCTTATTCACGATAGGATGACCCAGGTTATCGAGACAACCATCCCCGACGAATCGGCCCTTTTCGCCCATGGAGAACCCAAACCCCTGCGCACGGTCGATCTTGTCAAGGAAGGCGAAGTCGACGCCTCCAAAGCCACCGCCAAACTCGTCGAGTCGAACCAGGAGCTCGGCCTCGCCCTAGCAGCAGACGAAATCGCCTACCTCATCAACGCCTACGTCTCCAGCAACCGCAACCCCACCGACGCCGAACTCTTTATGTTCGCCCAAGTCAACTCGGAGCACTGTCGTCACAAGATTTTCAACGCTTCGTGGACCATCGACGGGGAGACCATGCCCAACTCGCTCTTTTCCATGATCAGGAACACCGAGAAGGTCGTCGAGGGCAAAGGAACCATCTCTGCTTATTCCGACAACGCAGCTGTTCTCGAAGGTCACCCTGCGCCTCGATTCGCTCCCACTCCTTCCAACCTCTACCAGTCCCACGTCGAGGAAAACCCCATCCTCATCAAGGTCGAGACTCACAACCATCCCACCGCCGTCTCCCCTTACCCTGGTGCTGCTACCGGCTCCGGTGGAGAGATCCGTGACGAAGGTGCTACAGGCCGCGGCTCCAAGCCCAAAGCCGGCCTCGCTGGTTTTACCACCTCCAACCTCCTCATCCCCGGCTTCGAGCAGCCCTGGGAGACAGACTTTGGCCGCCCCGACCACATCGCCAGCGCCTTCGACATCATGATTGAAGCTCCCCTCGGTGCCAGCGCATTCAATAACGAGTTTGGTCGCCCTGCCCTGACGGGCTACTTCCGCACCTTCTCGGAGGAGGTCGATGGCAAGGTTCGCGGCTACCACAAGCCCATCATGATCGCTGGTGGATACGGCAACGTTCGACCCAAGTTTGCACTCAAGAAAAAGATCCAGGTTGGATCCAAGCTTGTCGTGTTGGGTGGACCTGGGATGTTGATCGGTTTGGGTGGAGGCGCTGCGTCGTCCCAGATTTCGGGTGCTTCGTCGGCCGAACTCGACTTTGCGTCGGTCCAGCGTGACAATGCTGAGATGCAGAGGAGGTGTCAGCAGGTCATCGATGCTTGCGTTGCGTTGGACGATGAGTCTCCGATCCAGAGCATCCACGACGTTGGTGCGGGTGGTTTGTCGAATGCTCTTCCTGAGTTGGTTCATGATGCTGGTCTCGGTGCCATTTTCGAGATCCGCGATGTCTTGGTCGCTGATTCGTCCATGAGCCCCATGGAGATCTGGTGTAATGAATCCCAGGAGCGCTACGTCCTCGCCATCGACGCCGACAAGGTCGAACTCTTCGAACGCATCGCCAAGCGTGAACGATGCCCATTCGCCATCGTCGGTGTTGCGACCGAGAAGGAGGAGTTGGTGGTTACCGATAGGTTGTTGGGCAACGAGGTTATCAGGTTGGAGATGTCGACGTTGTTTGGCAAGCCTCCTAGGATGTCGAGGAAGGATGTGACGAAGAACATCGAGGGCACGCCTTTCGATTCCTCCTTGGCCAAGTTCTACCCCAACACCTCTACCCTCGAGGAACGACTCGCTCTTGCGGCCGACCGCGTTCTCCACCTCCCCTCTGTCGGCTCCAAGTCCTTCCTCATCACCATCGGCGACCGAACCATTACTGGCCTCGTGACCCGCGACCAAATGGTCGGCCCCTACCAAGTCCCCGTCGCTGATGTCGCCGTCACCCGCTCCTCTTACGGCTTCGATGTTATCTACGGTGAGGCCATGGCCATGGGCGAACGTACCCCTCTCGCTATCCTCAACGCAGCTGCCTCGGCACGCATGGCCGTCGGTGAAGCCCTCACCAACCTCGTCGCCTCCACCTTTGGCGACGACCTCTCCCGCATCAAGCTCTCCGCCAACTGGATGTCTGCTGCCTCGAAGGAGGGCGAGGGCTCCAAGCTCTACGAAGCTGTCAAGGCTGTCGGAATGGAGTTGTGCCCTCAACTCGGGATTGGTATCCCCGTCGGCAAGGATTCGATGTCGATGTCGATGAAGTGGCAGGATAGCAAGCGGGGTGGGGAGGTCGAGGTGACGTCCCCTCTTTCCCTTATCGTCACTGCGTTCGCGCCTGTGGAGAATGTGAGGACGACTTGGACGCCCCAGCTCAAGACGCGTGCGCGTGATGGGATTGAAGAAGCGACGTCGCTTGTGTTCTTTGATCTTGCGCATGGGAAGCAGAGGTTGGGAGGGTCGGCGTTGGCGCAGGTGTTTAAGGAGGTTGGGGAGAGGAGTGATGTGCCTGATGTGGAGAATCCGGAGACGCTCAAGGCGTTCTTGAAAGGGTGCCAGCATATCAAGGCTGCGCTGGACGAGGACTTTGTTCTGGCGTACCACGATCGCTCGGATGGTGGTTTGTTCACCACTATTGCGGAGATGTGCTTTGCGGGACGTGTTGGAGTGGAGGTTTCGTTGGATGCTATCGCTGGAGCGAAGGCTGATCCCGTTCGTGTGCTGTTCAACGAGGAGTTGGGAGCCGTTGTCCAGGTTCGCTCGTCTCAAGTCCAGATGTTGGTTTCGGCGTTCAACAATGTCGGGTTCCCCTCAACTTCGATCCATGTTATCGGTACCGTCGAGTCTCCCCTGCGCGACGCCGACACTCTCTCCATCATCCACAACGGTTCGATCCTCTACTCGGCTGCGATTGGTGACCTGCAGAAGAGCTGGTCGGAGACGTCGTACAAGATGCAGTCTCTTCGCGACAACCCTAAATCCGCAGACGAGGAATGGTGTCTGATCGACGACAAGAACCACCAAGGTCTCTCGTACAACCTGACGTTCTCCCCTCTCTCCTCGATCATCCCCGTCGCCAACCCCCTCGTTCGACCCAAGGTTGCGGTTTTGCGGGAGCAGGGTGTGAACGGGCAGATCGAGATGGCTTGGGCGTTCAGTGCGGCCGGGTTCGACGCTGTCGATGTGCACATGAGCGATATCCTCTCTGGGTCGGTCTCGCTCTCCCAGTTCCGCGGTCTCGTTGCTTGCGGTGGGTTCTCGTATGGTGATGTCCTCGGTGCTGGTAAAGGCTGGGCCAACTCTGTCCTCCTCCACTCCAAGGCCCGTGCGGAATTTGAGGCGTTCTTTAAGCGCCCGACGACGTTTGCGTTGGGTGTGTGCAATGGTTGCCAGTTCCTGTCTAACCTGAGGGAGATTGTGGGAGGTGGAGCTGCGGAGGTGTGGCCAGAGTTTAAACCGAATAGGAGTGAGAGGTTTGAAGGGCGGGTGTGTATGGTTGAGGTGGTTGATTCGGAAGTGACGCGCAACTCTGTGTTTTTGAGTGAGATGGTTGGGTCGCGGTTGCCTATCGCCGTCGCACATGGGGAAGGATACGCTTCCTTCTCTTCACCCACTACCCTCTCTACCCTTCAGGCTCAAGGCCAACTGGCACTCCGCTACGTCGACTCGCAAGGCCAGCCTACCACCCACTACCCGCTCAATCCGAATGGAAGTCCTGGAGGAGTGACGGGTGTGCAGACGCTTGATGGACGGGTGTTGGTTATGATGCCGCATCCGGAGAGGGTTGTTACGTTGGAGAGTAATAGTTGGTATTCGGGTGAGGTGAAGAGGGAGTGGAAGGGTGTTGGGCCTTGGTTTAGGTTTTTCCAGAGTGCGAGGAGGTGGTGTGAGAGGGTTCCGGAGGAGGCGTAGGGGTGGTTTTTTTTAACAGAGGGGTCGTAAGGGGTGTTTACTGACGTGTTATGTAGGTCAATCGGAAAGTAGGAAAAGGATAGGTATTTGTCGTTTTTGTATTATCATTATCGGTAACGTGTGTACACCTGGTACAGTATGTAGGGATTTTTTTGAACGATTGGATAGAGGATGTGAATGTGGAATTCTCGAAGAATATCTCATGCTGGAAGGTGGCCGTTCGAGTCCCGCGTATTTGCGATCGGATTTCTCCCGAAAGTTTGGCTGTAACAAGGTGAGAGGCAACATTGTTCCTCCGCCACCATATCTGATGAAAATGGATCTCATGCGGCGGTGGGGCTGGCGTGATATTTATTGGATATGTTGGGATAGAGATTGGGTCATATGGAGCATCCGGGGATGGCCTGGGAGCGATATGAGAATAGACGTTGGCCGCCAGAGAGGCAGACTCCAAAGCGTCAAACCATGCTCGAAAGTTCCTGCGTCCCGTAAGGGTAGGGATGGATTCCGTGCTCGGGAGATCTTCCGTCCATAAAAAAGACGCAAGGAAGGGATTAGGGTGGAGATATGGGTGATGAAGAGCGTGAGGTTGCGGATCCCGGCCAGCTACCGGTTGCTGAATGGGAGGAAGGAAATACTGCTGTTGATGATGAAAAAGCGGATAGGAACACCGGGCTGGGCGGGGATTTTGATGAAGTGGTGGGATAGGGACCGCTGAATGCATCACAGGCACTGTATGTGGTGCGAGATTTGGTGAAATGGGTTTACCTATGTCGAAATTGCTGCGGACACCAATCGCTAGGTTGAAACCTAGAGTTGATTTCGTGCGACTGCGGAGCATTATGTAGTGTGACCGACCATCCCAGACGCAGCAGTATCGAAAAAAGGTTGTGATGGCGGACAAGGATAAACAGGGTTAACATAAGGATGATATAGATGATATGGCAATGTAGGAAAACAAGGTAAAGAGCCGTGGATCGGGGAAATTTCGGATACTTGTGTGAAACCACCCATAGGCGGAGGAATATTGGGACCAAAAAAATGAAGTAGAGTGACACCATCGGTAACACCACCCCGTAACAGTGTAAAGGAGGCGGCGAATTTTGTGGTAGAGGCATATTGGCAGACTGTGGCGCCATTTCCTGCCAGTAAAAATCATCAACTCGCGGGGCTGCCGACCCATAACCAGATACTAAAGAATGAGACTGGTGGTCATTTGAGCCAACTGGAGTGGATATAAAAGATGGGTTCATTATATACGAACAGAGAAAGAAAAAACGGGTCGAATGGATTTGAAGATGGAGTCGGTTTTGAAACACAAAAAAGGTACTGCGCCCGAATTTCGAAATGATAGGCGCACCAAAACTGTTTCCGACAAGCACTTCTTTCGCGACGGTAATATGTCTTTTCGCTCTGGAGTCCTGAAAGGATTCTAGGTCGGTCGATCTTGCTGTGCGTCAGCGTTTGACTCGGTGGCAGTGTGCTATTTGCCGGGGCTCATAATAACCTGTCGGCCGAACACACTAGGGAAGAAGACTCAGAATCTGTAAAGCAGAGACTCATATTGAGAATATACCTAGAAGACGAAGACTATAGGTACGTATAGGTAACTATAGAGACAGAAAAGAAACAAGGGAACACACCTCAGAGTCTGTAAAGCAGAGACTGAGGGGAAAAGACGAGCGCGAGCGAAATCGCGTATCAAGAACCGTGAGACAAAAGAAGCAGTCGGAGCGGAAGGCAGACAGGATGGAGTGAGACGAGAAGGTGGTATCGTTCGATCGGTATTCTACGATCCTGGGAACAGCCTCCGAAAGGAGCCTGTACGGCGGCGACGCTGATGCGGTCGGCTCGCCTAGAGTCTTCGAGTCCCCCTTGAGGCCTGCAATCACTAGGTAATTAGAGAATTAGTGGTATACCAGACCCCCCAATCAACATTGTACGCGATGCTCTTGCTGATGGTGACTTGAGCGGCGGTGTGCTGTGCCAGCACACTTCCAATCTTCTTAGGGAAGCGGCGTCCTTTGACTTACTTTTCTGCAGTTTCGGTTAGTGCTTTACTTCAATGCTACGAAGATTCAAGAAAAGTGGAGTGCAACGGGAGCAACTCGCGCGTCGGCGGTCCCCATCAATCCATCATCTTGTACCCCGAGACTCCAGCTCCCAATGCACTCCCATACGTGTTGCTGAGGTCAATCGCAATATGTCTGAGCAATGTTACTGAGCCACCAAACAGTGTGACAGCGATATCCCACCAGCTAGTGTCCGGGATTTTCTAATGAGAACGACGTCCCCAGGACCCTCCCCAAGCTTACCTTGGGTTTACCATCTGGAAATGCCGGTACGGGGTCGCATATCCCCTCATATTCTCTCAGTGCACGGAGGCCACCCCGCCGCCTCTCCTCGCCCAGCCCGAATTGATTGGTGATGCCCGACGTTTGCCAAGCTAGTGCCTCATCGTATAATACCGATCGAAGTATGACTCAGACGAGAAGATATCGAGGGCACTTGCGGGAATGTATACTCCTTGTACCCCTGACTCCTGAGGGAACATGTCGCATGGTCAAGGCTGGTTACGAGAGGGTTCTCAATTATACTGCTTCCAAGCTGTCCATGTTGCTCAGCAAGTAATGTGGCTGACAGAGCCAACCCTGTCTGTAGGATGGCGATTCGTGTATACTGACCCCGAAGTAATATACCAAACACATACGTTAACGGACAATAGCCTTTGTTTTTGCAGCTCATGTGTGTGGATGAAGGGAAGTACTGTTCATGCCCATACCTCGCTCTACATTTGCCCGTGCCTGAGTGCTTACTTCCAAGTGAGGGTTGTGATTGGCCGACTCGGAGTGTGCTGCATTGAGAAAACGGCGAAATGTGCATCTTCCGACGTAGCCTTTCAAGTGCAATTATAAGCCTCATTCGCAAAGGAAAGCTCCTTTGCCTATGGGAAATTCCGAGCGACGAACTGGCATTCCTTTAACAATACTTGTGACAACACTCGAATGACCGGATCGTATCATTCGCGGTCGCGGTTCAGGTAAAAGCACTAAACTCAGGGCGGGGGTTCTGTTGACGATGGAATCGCGCTGGTAACATCTCATTCCGAGCGCCTGTCCCGTGAGGGAATATCGCCAATGGTCTCCGGTGTGAGAATGTGTGTCAGTTTCACTATGCCGCCTAGCATCGGTCTTTAATTTAAGGGCACTCTACGAGCACTATGCTCTCCATCTGTATGTAAGTACGACAAAAATGTTCCCACAATGTTCATTAATGTGACTGACAAACTTTTCCTTGCTGTCCTTCCATTGAGCCGTCAATTGGAGGTCCTTCGTGTGTGATTCGCTCCCTACACCTCCTATCTGCCCTTTTCTAACTGAAATTTTTGAAATGATTATACGAGGCCTTTTCCAAGTCACCACTCTTTCCGAAGTATGTTTGAAATAGGAATTAAACTTGGCGAAGCTGTTTTCCGAAGTGCGAGTCGGAGGTTTGATAGAGCGGCACGAAAAATTGTGCTCAGTGAGGTCCGAAGTAGTTTTCTCGATTAAGCTCCGCTTCCATGAATGGCGAATGTCTTTCATCGTGTGGGAGTGGTACTTAGAGTGTGATTGTGTCCCGAAACTGTTCATGTGTGAAGGTCCAGTAAGCTCGACCACGAGTGTTCTGATCCAAAGTCTCGGTTAAGGCGCACATGTGAAGGCCGACCACCTACTCCCCCGAGTCAGTATATGCTTCGAGTTCGTAACCAATGAGCATCCTTTTCGAGCTGAAGTCCTTCGCCCCTAACCCCTAACCAATATCATATAAAGACTTGAGCAACGGAAGAAAGGTATCCTCAGGTCAGCGCCTCTTGAACCAGCTTAAAGGAGTCACAAGGGATATTCACTAAGTGACTTTTTTCTATGCCTGGAGTTCCTTCACGCTTACAAACACGCTTTCGCCAGTGTCTCAAGCAGGGATCACACCTATCTCCGAGCGTGAAACACGCGGCTCTCCCCCTACTAACTATATTCTCCCGGAATACGTTCACTTCAAAAATCCACAGGGACGATACCTGAAAAGCACTGCGAACAAGATCGGATGGTACGGCCTCAAATGGGACCCCACTGTTCCCGACATCGACTGTCGTTTCAGGGTCCAACATATCCCTGAAGAACCGGTAAAACCCACAGGCTTCACCTACTAAAAGCAGGGCGCCCTAACTGACAGCTCGACAGGGGAACTTCTACGTCCTGGGAAGGGCCGGCGATAAATATCGCTTCTCAGTCTCCATGTACAAGACTAGTGGAAGCACCAAGTACTACGACTGCGATGTTTCCAGCATCCCTGTCAATGTAGTCCCTCCTTCCTATGTCTGGCGTCTCGTGGCTGTCGGTGGAAACGACATCTACCTCGTTTCCGACAATACCTACGATCGCCCTATCATCTTCATGAGCAACTATGACAACCAGCGCTACAGGCTTTGGGACCACAACAATGACTCATGGCTCGACGTCGTCCGCTCTACCACGTACGCCGGGGATTCCAACAGGATCACCGTCGAGCGTGCCGCCCTGCGAACCGATATTTACGACGTCAACTACAATATCGACGCCGGCAAGGTCATTGATCTCACGCCTACCATCGCCGTCGAAAAGGTGTTGGAGAACAGGACCGGTGCCGATGCCAGCCAGTCCGTCGCGTATACCTATACGAAGAGCGAGGAAGGCAACTGGAATAACGTCCTTGGCATCGAACTCGGACAAACGGTCAGATTTCTGTCTGAGGTGGTTTATGCAATTGACAGACTGACGATATCATTTTCCATAGTTCACTTTCAAGGCTGGCATCCCTTTCATTGCCCAGGGAGAGGCCGAGATCTCCATCTCGGAAGCCTACGAGCGTCAATGGGGTGGCTCGACGATTGAGTCGAACGAAGTGCAGACCTCCACCACCGTCACCGTTCCTGCCCACACCACCGTCAGGCTCACCGTATTGATCTACAAGAGTCAACTCGATATTCCGTTCACTTACACGGTCCGTTCACCCTCACTCCTTGAGATTCTCAGACTCGGATCTAATTCTTTCCTTCGCGAATAGGAGAGGATCACCAACTTTGATGGAACTGTCACTGAGATTAAGAACAAGGAGGGAATGTACCACAATGTCCAGTTCATCAAGGACCATGCGACCAGCGAAGTCATCGGGCGTATCTGATCCAGATTCTGCGTGGTGGCTGGGCGTTGAACGTTGAATATTGAATACCAACCCGTCCCACCCCAACCTCTGACTCGGGGATAGCGATTCATGACCATGGTTTCGTATCTCAGCCGTACAAAATACAAAATAGCGGACAATAACCTGTACCATCATCGTCGTTCGTAGTCAAATTGCTCTTGCCTTCCAACTAGCACCGGCGAATGTTTGTTTAATTCTTGTGTCCCAAACACAGCCAAGCAAAATGTAAGCACAGTGTCGATGGTTTGGGCCTCGACGATCGACGTGCCGCACCTCTCGTCTGAGAACGAACCTGCCCTCCACGTCGACACCATCCCCGCGAGTTCAGCAGCCAAGAACAGAGCTGGCTCCGTGTGTCGAAAGTGGCGGCAGGTTATCACCAATTCTCCAGAATTATGGGACACCCTGGTGTGTTGGAATAGCGATGTTATGGATCCGCGAGTCATATCCGCACACTTAGACAGATATGTCCACCGCTCCCACCAGAAGAACCTACGAGACAAACTCATAGGATCTGAGCTCCAAAACACAGAAGACTTTCCTGATTACCCCGATATCCCTCTCACATGCAGATGAGGACATCTGGACCTCGAGACGCCGGTGGACGAGTGTCGAGTTCCACTACCAGCATTTCATCTCCCTCTGCCTGCTGGGAATATTCGGAGGACTTCCTAACCTCTGCGAATTGGTGATCACTGCGGACGATCCGTTTCCGCGGGACCAGCCGTCGATTGGGGGAGTCCCAGACATCGTTATCCAGGGTGTACCCAAGTTGACCCATCTCAGGATCATCGGCGGAATAGCGCCCTGTGTACCAGGCAGGGCCATCCTCCGCCAGGTCCCCCACCTCCACATCCTCGCGCCCATCTCCTTGCAGCCTCTTCTGGAACTTCTCTTCGCCATCTCAATCGATGGGAAGCTGGAGTCACTCGTCATCGAGGAATATGGTGAAGGGGGCCGAAGAGGATTCATGTTAGATTGTCCAGAAGGCCAAGCCCTCCCCACTGAGGGCACCCTCGACCTGAAGGACATGACCCATCTCTCAATTGGAACAATTGTCCTCGCGTTAATGGGGCAGTCAGACGGCGAATTTTGTCCCAAATTGGCCTCGCTGGAGGTGGACTCATTCACGGTCTTCGACTTGCCAGATGGCTCTTCACATATCGAACAATGCTCCATCGAGGACATTGCCGGTTGGCTCACGGATCTAGCTTCAAGCGGGGTCGCCCATCAACTTGTGCACCTGAAGCTCACCAACATCGAGTCGTTGGATTCTGTGCTTCCTTCGCTATCCGTCACAAAAAATCTGCAAACACTGGAGCTGTCCGTATATCATTATCCCAATCCCGATCCCGACGAAGGCGAGGCCAACGCAAAGGCGGTACAGGGCCAAAGATTGCTGACCGGACTGATGCATACCGATAGCGATGACAAGATCCTCCCGAACCTGACCAAGCTGACCCTTGGGTTAAGCAACCTTTGTGGCCCCGATTCCAGCCTAAACCTCGACTTCGACGCCCTGTGTCGCATGTGCAGGTCACGCTTGGAAGTCGAGGCATCCAGTGGCGCAGCCAACGCGACGCTCTCCCAAGTTCGTATTGTCGACCCAACAATACCTTCGGATGACTCTCGAAGATCCCTCAACGAATTGAAGAAGTTCGCAAAGGACAGAGGACACAGAGACTTCCATATCTGGTTCGAGGGTGTTACACTAACCGACTGGGAGAAAACGACCGCGTACACCCTACCCGGGTGGTTTTCGTGGCCATCCCTGGAATAGAGGCTGCGATAGTGCATAGGGGCCTAGTGTCCAAGGTTTGGATTGGAATTAGAAGTAATCATGTAACATAGCAGTCGTATCAGTACAGACAAGCGAATCGTCGAATCCTACTCACTCAGAACCTCGAGAACCGTATCAACCCCACCATGACGATGAACAGGAGTAACACCACCAGTATAATCCCGATTGTCAACCACGTTGTGCTGCCTGTCGTCTTATTCAGTAACGCCAACCTCCCCTTCTCCTTCTGCATCACATCGTAGTTCTGCTCCAACTTCTCCCCAGCCATTTCAATAACCGCCTTGTCCTTTTCGAGGTTCGACGAGAAGTGGATCGCGTTCCGCTTGAGCTGGGCGGCCATAGACTCAAGCTGGCTAGATAGCTCTTCTTGAAGAGAGGTGTGGCCCTGGGCTTGGAATGCCTTCCGGTTCGTGAATGACCCAGAAGCGTGGATGGGAAGTGCGGATGATGTAGCGGTAGACCGCGCGCCTGAGAAGGTTGGTTCGTATGGCGGTGGTGAGATAATGTCACCCAGGCCAGCCGAAGGAAGGTTGTCAAGGTCGGACGGGGACAGTAGAAGGTTGTCAGCAGGTTGTTTGACCTCTGGGGCGGCAGGTTGAGACGAGGTTGACGCCACGGGCTCCTCGTCCGTCTGTGGCTGGACAGCAGGCTCCTCAACCGGTACCGGAATAGGCTCAGGCTTGGGAAGTCGAGCCAGAATTGACGGCGGTCGCTGGGGTCGCTCAGTGTGTTTCTGAAGCAAGTCAGAACCGTTCAAATGACCTGGTTTCAAGCGCCTTACCTGGACTTGATCTTTCAGGAACTCCTCGACGCGGTCCAGCCGAATCTTGACATCGTTCAGTTCGTGTATCCGTCGGTTTCTCTCAGTGCCATAAGGATCCTCCACATCAAGGTCGTATGAATCCACATTCTGCACTAGTTTTCGTGCGTATTTCACTTTCTATGGATATGATAAGAACTCAGTTCATTATTAAAAGACTGTGTTCATACCTGAAGGTCCTTCTGTGCCTTCAACCGTATCTGAACCTTGCTCGACCCAACACCACGGTCGGCCCCCAAATCCCATTCTCTATCATCCTGTACACTCTTCTCCAACCGCCTCAGGAGTCTGTGTAGGTTTACGACATCGTGGTGGGGTTCTGAGGAATAAGAAACCATCTTCAAGACCGACCGACTTTTGAAGAATAAAGGGGGAATAAATAAATGGTATGCCGCCGCTTGGGTGTGTGCTGAAGCGCAGGATCGGAGTGACGTTGACCGCACGTTGCTGTTGTCTTGGGCCATTGATGCCAAACAATGCTCTCATCACCCAGCGCCAGGGCGTCTATTTCAAAGTTGAGTTTCATGACTTGAGTGGCCTGCGTAACACTTGTATCTGAGCCAAGATGGCTCCTTTTTCAACGTCTATAATTATCTTCCTCTACTCACAATAAGTATATAGAGTACACATTAGGGAAATACGAAATTGAAGACATTCTAGGTCGGAACTCTAAATTTGAAGACCAAACTTGTCACTTGCATCTACCTTGCCAAACCCTGTACAGGGGGGAAAGGGCTAGGGAGTACACTTTCTCCATTGCTATTATACAATCACCATCCGTCGCACTGGAAGCCGTTAGGGAATCTACGAGTTTGTCGGCCAGGGACGCCGTATACGACCAAGTGTTCCTCTCGTTCGCTGAACACGGTACCGAATGGGAAAGGCAGGAAGAATTCATCAGTAGACGGGCGGATTGAGCATTATCAAGGGGTGAGTCCTCGAAAGCGGGGACCGGTTCTTCTACTTGGGGTTGAGCATGAGTGGTGCTGGGGCCGGCCTTGCCGGGGCTAGAATCGGGGGCACTTCCTGGCCTTGGGCCGAGTAGGAGCTTGAGCCTTCTTAGCATTTACCGCCTTTCGTTTCTCAGCGTAGCGAGGTGTGTCGTGTGTCTTGCGATGAGCCAGATACTCTTCTTTGTCTGTCGACGCAAAGCGACACCCACGTACGACGCAAGTGTACTTCACTCCCGATCGCAGCTTTCGAGGTGTGGAGATGTCGACAGGTTCGACCTTGCCGACATCGTATTTGGCCTCGGCGGGACCATCGGGAGCCCACTCCCAGCCATTGTGAGTGCGGCTGCTCAAGTGCTTTTCCTTGTTCTTGTAACTTCCCTTGCACTTGTCGCACCAGAAGGGGAGGTTGACTTTCTCGGCCCTTTCCCAAGTCGTGAAGCTGACGAAGGAGCCGCCAGCATCGGCCAGAGAGCTAAGGCTTCCAGAATTGTCAGTGAGCGAGTCTTGGGTGAAGTCAACCTCGGTACGAGCATCGTCGGTATCGTCAGAGGAAGATTGTTCGGAGTGGGCTGAGTTGTATGCGTAGTGTGGATTCAAAGCGTAGCTCGCCCCCGACGCGCTAGACCCAGTTGAAGCAGTTGGTGGCACAATGACTTTGACAATTTCGTCGCTTCCGGGGATGAAAGCGGGGGTACGGTCCGTGGTCTCCCAGGAGCCGGTAGATCCAGAAGAGCTGCGAGAGAAGCTGGCCATTTTATGTTACGATAGACGGGTTTGTTTAGAGAGGTTGCGATTGGCTGGATTGGTTGGATACGCTGCAAAGGTTCGTCAAGTTATTCCAGCTCTAGACGTTGGAATGAGTTGACGAGGATGGGGAATGTGTATCCAGCAGCATCCCTCATGACACCCTTTTATACTTCCGGGAGAGAAGGTTGACGCCACCAGCCCTTTGAGAGATGAAATTCGGCGCATTGACAGACACTCAGGCCTGTCCGTCGACGGGGAGGGCTCAATGGACAAGGAAAAGCGCTGGACGCCTGCGCTTTGACACCATTGTCCACTACCCCGCGCTTTGCAAATTGCCGCTGGTCGCCAACTTTGAAACGTAAGCAAGGCGGATCCGAGTCAACACTGCGAACAATACTAGTAGGCACCCTTGATCCGGCCCTACCACACACTCGGAAACGCTTGACGAGGACACAAGGACAATCAAAGCGCAGACACGGGAATGGATGGGAATTACTTGGCAGAAGCTACGAAAATGAAAACCTAATCCACATATCGTACAAGTCCTACAAACGTGTAACGTATAGGTTAGACTGCCTCCTCGGGAAGGCTCGATCTTCATCTCCAATGATCAGCCCTCTGCTTCGACCCATCCTGATAGTAGAGACACTGCCGTCCTCATTCCTTGAGATATACGCCGTCGGGAAGCCTCCATAAGCAGGCGCGCAAAGAGAGCCGACCTGTGTCAACGAGCGACACACATCGGCCATTTTCCGAACTTGGGACTCGAGGAACCCCTCCTGATAGTCATTACTCTCGAGCTTCCATTTAGCGTCGTAGAAAAAGAAGCGCTCCAAATTCTTGAGGTGAGCGAGGTCTGGTGCAATGATGTCCTGTTGCCAGCGGGAGGTTAGCCCGCGGTGCGAGTTTTTTCAGCTTGGTGAACTTACGCAATTTATGGCGATCAAACTGTGGACTCGTATAGCCAGCTCCTCGAGGTTCGGAGCGAGGTATACAAGGGTCTTCACCAGGTCGTATACGAAAGTCCTCTCCAAAGGGTTACGGTTCTCGAACCCCAACGCAGCGGCAGCTTCGAGGGTTTGATTCTCCGCATCCACAACGAGGAATTGGCTTTGAATAATGCTCAAGCTTCTCAAGCAAGGGAAATCCAAAGTCAGAATCTGGGAAAGGATGGTCGGAACGCGGGGGCTCTGCACTGTGAGACGCTCCAGTCGGCGAACGATAGTGGGAATATTGAGGAGATCAAAGGGCTGGGCCTTCAGTCAACATTCAATGAATTTAACGGATTAGCTCGAGTACTCCTGAAGAATGGACGATGGATAGTAGGACACACCTCGAGATACTTCAGGTTCGGAAGGAGCCCTTCGATGGCGCCAGCCTCCTTTGAAAACCGATGCTGTGTCGCTACATTCTCCCACTTCCAGCCATAATGGCGAACGTGAACTCGCTCGAGCGTCGGATGTGCCTTCCAGAATTCTGTGGCTTTCTCTGTGTTGGAGAGCACGAATCCGGCGAACATTACGCGTTCCAAGCAGGGGAATTGGATCTCCAAGTATCCATCCATCGGTAGGGTATCAGCCTGCGCGTCGGATGGCTCCAGACTTAACTCGAGGGTGCGTAGCTGACTTGCCAATGACGATACTGTCCTGACAAGACTCCAACGTGAGGCTAGTGAGATTCTAGAAGACACGGCGCGTAAGTGACCACTTCTACTGCTCTGGAGAAGGATGACGACGAACCTGCACCTCGAATATACCAGACTCTTTGATGAAAGAGGTCCCATGCTCCGACCAGTCGTCCATAGATCTGAGCGTCAGACTGGTGAGCTGAGGACAGCTCCGCTCCAAGGCTCGCCAAAAGGACGTTGGAAATTGACCATATTGTCTAGGGTGTAGTGTCCCGGATGCATCCTGATGCCACGAGGACCCCACCGGGTTCAGTTCGAGCTTTTGGAGGATGGGAAGAGCGCCAGTCTCGACGAGTCGTTCGAGAGCGCTCAAGACGTCCAACGATTCTGGATCCAGCCGGGTCTGCGCTGAGAGCTCAGAAACGATGTAGATCCCTTGTACGCTCGCTCCCTTTCCCCTGTCCTGAAGAATAGTTTGGATGGCTGTTCGAGCATCGCGCTCGTTCCTGAGTATAAGGCGGGACCATAAGAGAGGGAGGATGATGTTTGAGAGTGCGCGTCCAGATAATGCGAGGGAGTAGAATGTTGCAGGGATTTCATAGATCGGAAAGTATTCTGAGATGTGAAGGAATATTTCTGGCGGGACAGAGATGATCATTGGTCAACCTAAAGAGGCTCTGAAGCTGGCGAGAATCGATGAGTGCGTAGCTGAATGATCGATCTTGGGAAGAAACAACGTGTCTGCTGGGTGGACATCTTGATGCACACAAGGGACAAACAAAGAGTGTGGACCCAGGAACATTATGAACCTCCAAAGTTCTCCAACTCACGATCGTCGAATGTGGATGCCAAGCTTCTCGACAGCCATGACCAGATTAGACGCCCGAAGGCATGATTCTCTCAACCTTGAGGACTTGATGACTCGAGATAGGCGGCCTAGCACTTTGTCATGAGGCGGCTGCCCACATTAATGTGGGGAGAGACGTTGAGCTCAGTCTACCTGTCGCTTCGACTTCGATGCTGTGGGAGTACTGCGCATATACCCTAGCTCCCCCAATTCTGCCACCTCTCCTACCTGTTCCTAGTTAACTGAGATTGCCAACATAATCTTCACAATAGGTGGGGGGAGAAGGCTCTCCTGCCTCTGCCGTCGTCACCGTCGATAGGACCAAATCATGCGCACACAGGCTCTTTAAGCGCCCAGGAAGACTGGCCCCGTGGGCACAATTTAAGTTCAACTTCCGCATTCACACGACTTATAGATGTCGACGACATGCTGTATACACATCTGATAACGTGGCCGCCTATCCACAGCACCCATCGATACGCTCTTCGCCCCACATCCCATATGTCTTGCTCCCAAGATACAGTCTTTGTTCAGGCAAGTTGCTCCAAGTATGATACTTGCAGCTTGTAACTAATCACGACGTTATAACGAAGGTAGAAGGCAGGGTCTATGAGGCATCACGAAGGCAGGCTTAGGCAGCTCAGCACACTTTCGTTTCGCGCTCTGATGTTCTCTACCGGTCATCAGGACCTCGAAAGGCTGCACAAAGTTGCAGAGGGTACCGAATGGGACCCTATCGTGATTGAGGGGACCAGCATCGACTTTGATCGACTCCTTGCAGTGTTGAATCCAATGTCCAGGAGGTTGGTTGATTATTTAAGGTTCATTTATTGGATATCTCATGACCATTGCTAGATGTGACTGGCTCCCTGGCGATCCCTTGCCGTACCAAGGAGGAGTGGACGAGTATCCTCAGGTTATCGACCAAGTGGGAGATGAATAGAGTGAGTAACCCTTGTAGCCCAGGGCTTCTATATGGAAAGATTAACCAGTACTTCTCGTCATAATTCGTCGCCGCCAGATCAAGGAGCTAGCCATGAAACACCTCGAGGCGATGAACTTACCTCCGATTGAGAAATTCAAACTGGGGGTGGAGTATTGTGTGCCAGGCTGGTACGGTGACGCCTTGTCGCAGCTTGTCTCTGAGAATCTGTTTGACAAAGATCGAGAGTTTTGGGAGATAGACAAGATCTTTAACGCAGATTGGGAAACCGCAGCATTGGCGCTTTGGGTTCGGGGCAGGGCGATGCAATCGTTATTCGAACAAGAGGAGATGGTCAGAACTCGTGGTGTAACAGCTGCGACTACCTTCGTGGCAGATAGGGCGACGAGAGAACTCGAGAATCTTGCATGAACGATCCCGCAAGTCTGAACCTCTTCTTTGAGCGCCCATGAGAGCGGGATCAAACGGCTTCCGGATTCCGGTTTGGCGCCCTGAACCACGCGGTGCAGGCCTGTTGCTCCCTTCTTTGTAGCGTACGTCATTGCTGTACATATGTTCGTTAGTTCTTCCCAGTCAGAACAAACCCATACATACTGTTAATCGGGCTCAAATTCATTGATCAACTCCATAACACACTTCTATTCGATTGGCTTTCTTTCTGTCTACCCTTCAAGTTACTAAATTCTAAAGCTCTAGCCTCGACGTCCTCCAAAAAAACTCGGCATCCGAAATCAAGTCTTCCGATCTTTCAAACACTGGCATGTCTCCTCCCAGCGCATCGCTGACCTCAAGGCCTGGGGAAGCCCGACTCGGACACCTGGAAGAAGATCGCGGTCGAATCGTTGTGTCAGAGTCGACATCATTTTCCGATAAGTGCGAGTGTTTTAGAGACTCATCGTGCGCTTTGAATGACCTTAGGTTTCTAGCCTTACGAGAGTTGAAAGGACGGCGGGGTCTACCGGTTTCTTGGGACCTACGACGGGACTCTGAGAGAACCAAGCGACGAAGTTGGATTCGACGAGCCCTCATTTCCCGCCACCGGCGAATGATCCCAGTCCCAGAGGCGTTATCTTCTACATCTGCATCGTATTCAAAGTCGGCTTTTGCGACCCTCCGAGTGGGTGGCAGTGAAGGGACGCAGATAGCGAGTGGTTGGTTAAAGAAAGGGTGACTGTCCATGCTGGTGTTCCCTCTGTGCCTTCACTTTCAGTGGGGATTGGTGGGATTATCGAGCGTGCCCCGAAAGTATTGTATACTAGTATATATATGTGTGTTTATATGTAGCAAGTGTCCAAGCCAACACTGTATTAAATTCGTTGATCAAGGCGCCTCGACGGTCGAGCAGTGTGAGGGTCAAAGCCAAGGTCCGGGAATGGTAATGTCATAGGATTTGAGCGGTCCTAGCATCAAGATGCCAAAGAGCTTCGATGGTTGTCACTGAGATGTAGTTCGTGACGAAATGCTGACGTTCAGTCCGAAGGCGAACGATGTCAACAGATCACCTTTCCACCTGAACTCCAGGGAATCAGACTAGGTCGTGCCAAGTTTATGGTTTTACTCTTAGGTCTAGATAGTAGACACCGAGCTGTTTGAAGAGACGGCATATCCATATTCATATTCATATTCTTAGGCATAGGCATAGACATATAAAGAGAGCGCATCAACTAAAAGGGAACGCATAGAAGTGATCCAAGCAAGAATATCACAACAAAACACATCGAAAACCCCTTCCCATCCTCACCCTTTAGAAATCCACCCTGCTTACACTCGCCGCAAAGTCCTCATCTGAGATCAGGTCCTCACGAGATCGAGCTACAGGGCCGGCGCGGACTGTCTCGTCAGATGCAGCTGATGAAGAACCGGAGCTTGAACCGGAGGAAGAAGAACTCGAGGAGGAATCAGAGTCTTCGGAATCATCCGAGTCAGAGTCAGAGTCGGAATCGGAATCGGAATCGGAATCAGGTCCATTGTCAGAGACTGGTCGACGAATAGTGCCAGTCTGACCAAGAACATGGTGACCTTGAAGTATACGTCTCATAAACCAAGCTTGAATTATAGCAGACGAGTCGGAATCATCGCCGTCACCATCCTCCCTAAGGTGGGTATTACCGTAACCAGGGTCCGAGTCCTCGTCAGAAACATAGTCCTCGCCTGCGACGATGACATTATTTTCATCGTCCTCCCCTTCTCGAGCCTCATTATCTAGCACAGGAGTCTCGATGATGCCCCCACCGGTGCGGTGGGTGTACCATTGGGCGATAAGGTCGTCGCGGTCAGACTCTGACATTCGGTCAATGTTTTCTGTAGGCTGGGATAGGTTGGGCAGACGCTTTCAAAAAAGATTGGAGAGGATTGGCGAGACTTGGGACCTTGAACGTGTCTATCTTTGTCGTCTTATATAGGCCCGGGCGTTCTGCGTCAACGCGACAGGGAGGTGTCAAAGCGCGACAGTCGGGACAATGGAGGCATGGAAACCGTCTTTGAGCCCGCAGGGGGTAATCTCTAGCGTGACAATGGACACAGCCCGCTCGATGTGTTCCCTCGCCTGCCCCATGCCTTCTGAATTTCCGTGACTATTATCGTAGGTCGCGAAGCGACGGACCGCACGTACTCAGGGGCCACTTCTCCAAATTCAAACCCCATCAGTTACAAATAGGGATAAACTCGCGGTCTGCAGCAGCAACATTGATCGAATGTTCATTCCACTACTCTATCATCAGTTCTAACATCGACCACCATCGAGGCTACATAAACATCTCAGCCATAGGATGGACTCTGAAATAGACCAGAACAGGGACGCAATTACGAAGCCGGAGTCCAGCTCGGAGGCTGTGACTCGTCACAAAACTTTCTATTGCGAAAATGTCATTTTCAAGGTTGGCTTCGAGGATCCCTGTTTGTTGAAGCCTTACTAACAGAACTGGTGCCTTTAGGTTGAGAACACTCTCTTTCAAGTACCAAGGTACAAATTTGAGACTTTGTCTCCAGTGTTTGCGAACATGTTCGACATGCCTTCATCGGATAACCCAGCAGTGGTGGTTGAGGGTCGGAGTGATGAGACCCCAATCGTACTCGAAGGGTATACGGCAGTCGACTTTGAGAGGTTACTCTCACTTCTCTATCCAAGGTACGTCTGCTTCTGTCGGCACAGTACGTTCTGTTCTTTCTGACTCGGACGTGGCACAGCGGAGACCATGTGTCTGGAGACCCGGTCGCTCTAACCAGCAAGGCGGAATGGCTCAGCGTTCTGAAACTCGCAACAGTCTGGGATATGGCCAAGGTAAGTGCAGAAACGCACATTCTATGAGCGTTCAATTGGGTAAACTCGAACTCTGTTCAGATAAGAGAGATCGCCATTGGGAAACTGACCCTCTTGACGATGACACCGACAGAGAAGATTCGTCTAGGGAGACAGTACCGTGTGTCTTCGTGGTTCGTCAATGGTATGAAAGAACTCGCAACGACGCTCGCGAAGGCGCCAGCTGTCTCTGTGGATACCATCGCAGCTGATATAGGATGGGAATCCGCCGCGAGAATCATGACCATCGTTAGCAACCACAAGACTGCGGAGATGGCCAGGGAGAAGATCATCCCTTCGTCTGGCGAAGTCAAGTTGCGGTTGAACAATGTCTACTGCCAACGAGAAGTATGCTCCATCAACGAAGGCAAACGTAGGGTGTGTCCTCTAAACCACAGCCGCTTGTCCCTTTCGGGATCATCCAGGCGTCCATTCCGGCCCATTGGATCGACTTTTGATCCACGCGACGCTGTTTTCACCGACGAGGAGGATTACTTTACTCAAAATGATGATGATTCGGAGGAATTCGATATCGGTGGACCATTGGGTCAGTCGTCTCGCAGAAGGCATCCCCTCAGTGGAGTCGGAGGCTCGCTCTCGTTAGCTTCGACTCTGAGCGGGGGGTCACAGTCGCGAGGAAACTGCTCTATCGACTGGTCTCTCCTCAAGACGCAAGTGACGGAGGCCTCATCGCGCGATGTTCCTGCGGACACAATTAGGAAGGCATTCGAGGAGGAGATTAAATCTTTACATTGAACAGCGTGACGATGTACCAGCTGATTTTTTATCTGATCTTACGTTCCTAGGTTGTTTGTGTCGGATGGTGAAATTGTCCAGTTAACCAAGTGTCCTCCGAGGAGTACTGGAGAATGGGTTAGCGCGCTAGATCTCGCCACAGCATGGGAGATGAATCTGGATTCTGGACACTACGCGAACATGGATTCGATCCTCAAGAAGTGGTGGTATAGGTGGATCATGACATAACGAGTCGTTACTCTATCCTCTTCTGACAAAAAGGAATATCTAAGGAGGGGGTCCGTCAACAGGGAAGATCCAACCTCTATGGTCTGCACCAACAATCGCGTCGTAGAAGCACCTTCCAATCCGCTCGTACGCGGCATCGTTGGGATGAGTACCATCTGGAATCTCTGTAACGCCAACAAGCCGACCACAATCGGCAAACACCACCGACCTCCCTCGGTTAGCCCAAGATAGGACAACGTTGGGAAGTGCGGCGTTGTAAGCGTTAATTCTAGCATTTGCAGCAGGATCCCTGTTGGGAGGGAGGGTGGAGACGACAACGAGGGTGAGCGGTGGGAAGTCTAGGATTTCACCAATCATCCTGCTGAGTCTTTCTGGTGCTCTGCCGACATCGATGTTCCTTGTCATGTCGTTGGTTCCGACGAGGACAGTGACGATGTTAGGACGGTTCTTGGGCATTGAGATTCGCATCTTCTCTGCTACATCGTCAATGGTCCGGCCAGACCATCCTTCGGTGTCCTTGTCATGGAAGGTCGAGTCTACGGCGGGGTTGTTCCCGACCATGTTCACGACGTTACCATCTCGGGCAAGTAGATTGTAGAGATCGTCGCGGTATCCATTGCCCTGACTGCTTCCTACACCAAATGTGATCGAGGCTGGCGAACACGGAATTAGCTTTCATGAACGATTCAAGAATAACGGAGATAAACGCACCACCAAGAGGCATGATTCGGCATGTTTTTCCCGTAAACGCAAACGCGTTGGGAAGGAGGGCTGTAGCAACTGCCAAGCAGATGAGGGAACGCATATCTCTGCAGGGCAGCCGATGAAAGAAAAGTAGCGAAAGTACGCGCCTTTATACAGATTTTTCTCCCCCAAGGTGAAACAACTTTGACGTTTCACGGAGATCACTGATTTTGTCCATGCGAATACAGGGATGCGCTAACGCGCAGGGGTTACCAACACGGCTACCGACGAGTTACGCCCTCACGCGGTGCGTAGTTTCGGGTTACAGGGCGATCCACTTACCTAAAGGTTTGGCTGGAAAGTGACTGTGTCATTGGGTATTGTCTCGGCTCCCACCTACTAGCTGCGACTCGGTGAGGTGAGGTGAGGGCAAGAAGAATATTTCCCGACAGAAAACATTGCCCATAGTGTCAGTTTTTCCGAATCTAAGACAGTGAGAGCCGTACGTACCTCGCCCGTACCCCATTGTCATGCTGTATCCATCTAAGTCATGACTAAATGTGCGACTGAGCCGGCCGCAAGCATTCCAAATTGTTACCAGTGAGGAGAGGGCAATGCCAATAAAGGAAAGGCACGAACATGGGCACTGAGATCGGAGCGCGGCGGTCCGAGAGTATCGCAAGCTCGCCTTAACTTTAAATCTGACCCAAGCTGCATCCAAGTCTGGCTGCTCTCCTGACTCCAAATGTCCTTATCGCCCGAGAAAGACTGGGAACAGTGACTGTGACTGATCACATTTGGTTATCAGAATGCAGATAACGATGCACGCGGGGTGAACGTTGCATGCACGAGGCCTCAGGCACTTCAACGCGTTGTTCCTGGGAACTAGTAGCTGAAGGTCCAACTCTCCACAGTTCCTCAATACCGAAGGACGAGACGAGATTCGAATTAGTTCAACCATTATAATATGGGATCACAATCGGGCGAACCATCCGAATCTCCGTCCAATGCGGCGGTCGCGACCACCACCAAGCCTGTCCGACATCAGAGTCTCTATTACGAGACCGTGGTCTTCCAGGTAGCAATCGCCATCTACAGTATCTGACAAAGACTATTCTAACAACAGTTATTTTGGAGATTGAGGATACACTGTTTCGGGTACCGCGTTTCAAGCTCGAGGCGATGTCACCAATATTCGCGAACATGTTCGCCATCCCTCAGGCAACGACCACCAACGATGAAGGAGCACAACCACGGGAGGGAGAGTGTTTCGATTGCCCTATCGTACTAGAAGGATACAAGTCCATTGACTTCGAACGCCTTCTTTTGTTGCTTTATCCAAGGTAAAAGTCGACAACTTTCTGTGTTAGACGAAGGAAAGTTAACAGCGGACCCTCCGTTGTCAGTGGAATTTCGGGTGACCCCGTCGCCCTCAATACCAAGGAGGAATGGATCAGTGTTCTCAGACTTGCTACGGTGTGGGAGATGGGGCAGGTGAGGAGCAGGCGTCCTCTGCGCCTTTCGATTTATGGCTAATAGCGGTCACAACAGATAAGAGATTTAGCGATCTCGAAACTAACCCTGGCATCCATGACACCCGCCGAGAGAATTCGCCTATCCAGAGAATATCGAGTCGCCTCTTGGTTCACTCGTGGTGTCAAAGAGCTCGCCGACTCTCCGCTCTTCCCAGGCGCTACCCCGATCGACGAAATCGCAAGCGAGATAGGATGGGAGACGACGGCTCGGATTATGGCCTTGATCAGCAGTCACCAAATGGCCACAGGAGAGAAGATTCTCCCCACGACTGGGAGTGTCAAGGTTCCATTGACAAGTATCTTCTGTAGACGAAGTGAATGTGGTCGAACCCCTGCAGACAAGCGCTCCTGTCCTCTGAATCACAAGGACCTCCGAGTCTCAGCTACCACAACGTCATCCGCTCTTGCACCCCCACAAGCACCATCTCTCTTTGGAACCTCATCTACTACTCGCCAACCGGCGCAATCATCCACTTTTGGAATGTCGGCTACCGCCACCAACCAACCAGCGTCATCGTCTCTTTTTGGAGCCACAACTACCGTCAGCCAATCATCCTTTATGGGATCAACAAACCCGGCTCCGTTGTTTACCTTCGGTGGGGGAAGTAGCTCGATAAAAACAGCAGCCGGCCAGAATTTTCCCCCTAAACAGACAAAGAACGAAGATACAGGATCTAGAGAGTGCGAGATCCACTGGTCCTCTCTAAAGAGCCAGATACCAGGACAAGTCCGCCGCAGCATCCCAGACAGCACCGTAGAAGCCATGTTTGCTAATGAGCTCAAAGCTCTTCGTTGATTGTAGTTTATGGGCGTTTACCTACTTTAGTTCAATGATAAAGTTGGATTCTGCTTGATGTACAGCTTCGACCACGTCGAGGAATATTATGAGGCGGTGCAACGTCTCGGGCCCCTTTGGCAGTGAGTCGCGGTTCCGGGTTCGGCTGCAATGTACAACTCCCTTTGTGTCCATGTTCCAGTGATGGATCGACGTTCGGGGACGCTTGGGCCTTTGTCCCAACCCAACCCGCCCGTCCAATCCCAATTGATAACCATACCCATGCTCGTCCGCACGAGAAAAGACAACAACAACAAAGCCTATACCAAGGGATCATTACAAGCGTCACAAAAACGCCAAACCCAAACCCAAAAACAACCCACAAAAAGCATTAAAACGGTCCAACCGCACATAGACAAAAAAACCCAAAGGGTCCTAACCGCCCGTTGTCTCTCATCCTTATAAAACGGAAATGAATACGAAGAAAAATATTTTTTCTTTCTCTTCTTGCATACGCATACACATACATTCGACGAGGAAGAGACTTCTGAGAATATCATCACTCACCCAACACGCGAACTCATAGACATACCGATACTTCACGAATCGACTTACCATGGCAATCACGCGATCCCAAACCAAGAGCACCCGCAAGCCCAAGACTCCCTCGCCTCCACCTCCCGCTGCCGGTCCAGCGAGGAAGGCCAGAGCAAAGGCTAAGCCTAAGCCCAAGGGGAAAGCCAAGGTCGACGACGAAGATGTAAACGAAGACGGTGGAGAAGTCGAAGCGCAGGGCGCTGGAAAGGGGAACGGGAAAGGAAAGGCGAAGAGTACAGGAAAAGGAAAGGCAAAAGCGACGGAGGAGGAGGAGCAGGAGAAAGCAAAAGAGCCTGCAGTGAAGGAAAGCGCAAAGACGAAGAAGACAGCGACGAAAGCGAAGGAAACGAAGGCCAAGGCGCAGGTCGCCAGTAAGGCCAAAGACAGAGAGACGAAAGCGAAGGAAGCAGCAAAAGCCAAAGAGGCACGTCTTTTCCACTTTTTGTGCTCATTCATTCCTTCATCGCGATCTCCATCTCTAATGTCCATCCATCACCGTCATTCTCGCTCCTCTTCGATGCGATTTCTTGCTTCGTCCGTCACCCCGGGAAACCGACTGCTAACCGCGTTCTTCCGCTCATCAGGTAGGGGATAAAACCCAGAAGAGGACGTCAGCGAAAAAGGCAGCCGCTAGTACCACTGCCGCCTCTACCACCAACGCTGCTGCGTCGTCTTCCAAGACACCCGCGGCCACCACCGCCGCATCCTCTTCTCGAAAGGGAAAACGCAAAGCCACGAACCCCGAGCCCACACCCGACCTCGAACCCTCGGAATCCGTCGAAGAAGAACCTGCACCTCCCCCCGCACCTCGTAGACGTACGCGATCCCAAGCTCAAACCTCTGAGACACAGACTCGCGCGACTCGCCCGCGTAAACGTGCGAAAAGGGACGAAGAGGAAGAGGAAAAGGCCAAAGAAGAGCCCATCACCCCTGCCATGGTCCAACCACGCGTCGAGCCACCAGCGGCTCCTCGATCGCCTACGGAACGAGCCACCGCGCCTCTGCTACCCTACCCTCCTCTTCCGCCAGCTGCACCCGCCCAATCACCCCAGCCGCCGACAGCCAAGGACAAAGGCAAGGGAAAAGCGAAGCCTAAGACGGCGAGGATCAGCACGGGAGGGAGACGACCCAGATACAATGTGATCAGTGCTCGCGCTCAGGTGATGGCGATGGCATCGAGTTCTCGTGCTGGGCCGTCTGGGACTCAACATACCCCTCATCGCGCTGGACCGTCTGGGACTCAACATACCCCTCCTCGCGCTGTACTGTCAGGGTACCAACATACTCCTCCTCGAGGAGGACCATCCGGGTACCAGCATCATCATTCCCCTCCTCGCGCAGGTCCATCAAATTCGCATCACACCCCCCACCGCACGTCCTCCTCCTCTCAGGACCAAAACCACCAAGACCACGACGAGCTGCCCTACCAAACGCCCATGGTCCAACGCACCTTCCCCAGCCAGCTCCTCGCCAAGCTTTCCAAGACCCCCCGGCTGACAAGCAGTGCTAGCCCAGTAGGACAAACCACTGGGTCGTCGCCCGATGAAGGCTCTCCACCCGAGGAAGGACCGTCACCAGCGCGCCATAATGAAGAAACACAGGACCCCTCCTCCTCCCCCGTGGCGGCAGACTCACCCGAGTCGCTCATCTCGCACATGTCGCCCAACTGGCCTTCCTGGGCTCTACCAAACGCCTCCACGTCGATCGCACAGGGATCATCCGCGAACCAAGCCCAACAGCTTTACCTATCTCCGCCTACCAGCGAACCACATCACCACCACCACCAGCAACAACACCAACCACATACCCAACCACACCCGGGCCACCAACCACCGACTCCACCATCCCACGAGCACACACCGATCCAACCTGACCAACCGCAGCTTCCTGACCCGGGCATCCCCACCAACCAGCCCCAAACGCCGCCCAACGCCCCACTCACACCCTCCTTCCAATTCAGCTACCACAGCTCGCAATTCAGCTCCCTGCCCTCCTCAGCAACCCGCGCCGAGCACATTTTCCACTGGCACCAGCAGCTCCAAGAGGAGGCGCAGTACATCTCGCCCCCGCCCGAGCCTTACCGCTACCCTCCCGGTTTTCGTCCTCCCCTCCTTCTTAGCCAGCAGGCCGACTTGAACGCTGAGGCAGATGGCGCAGACGAGGAGCAGGGGCAGGAGGATGACGGGTGGGGCTATACGTGGAACGACGGACTGCCCAACTCGAGCCCCCTCTCGCCGAGTGGGAGTGAGGCCAGCGGGTTGAGCTATGCGGATGAAGAGGGTGTCGTGGACCGCGTCGATGTGCTCTCCCAGGCTAGCCCCGCACAACGCGGCGGCTCGGGCGCCGAGTCCCCCTCCAACAATCGCACACCCTCGTCGAGGTCGTCAGGCGAATCCGAACCTTTGTTTTTACCCATTTCTTCGTCGCCCGATGAACGCCAAGTCCAACGCCAAGCCCGACAAGCTCGACTCCATCGGGAGACGGAGGTGTTGTCTCCCGGATCGAGGTCGAGGCCGGGGTTGACTAGGTCCAGCGGGGAGACGTCGTCATCTCCCTCTGGATCTGGATCGATGTCGATGTTGAGATCAAGGTTGACTAGGTCCAGCGGCGTGTCGCCTACATCAAAGAGGCTGAGCGCAGAAGCCTCGTCTTCAGGTAGGTTCCCCAGAACCCCCTTCACTTCTTATACCAAGAGACAAACTGACGCTTGGTCTCCCAGATCCGCCCGTACAATCACAACCACGCCAGGTCCCGGTAGCGTCGCCTCCCTCTCCTCCTCCTCGCCCTCCGGCGTTCACAGCTGGCGACGCTGGTGATGGCGCGCTTCCATTTCATCCAGAATCCCCTGCCTATGTCCCACCTCCCGTTGATCCCGCACCTCCAGTTAATCCAGCACCTTCTGTTAACCCATCACCTCCAGTCGCACCACCCAACGCAGTCCAACCGCCCAACCCCCTCGCCTCACCAACAACTCCACCACGCCTCCCCCGCGCGCCAGGTCTGGAACGACGAAGACGGCGCGCGATGCTGCCGCGGATCGCGTCTCCTGCTGGTCCTGTTGGTGCTCCAGGCGGTGCCGGTGTTTCAGGTGGTGGTGGAGGTACTTCAGATGGTGGTGGTAGTGGTGGTGGTGGTGATGGTGGTGGTGGAGGTGAAGGTCCTCCAAACGAAGCCGAACAATCCCCTTCACACAGCAGCTCACCGGAACAATCCATCTCTCTTGCCCAACTTCCCATCTCACCTACCCACCCCATCTCACCCATCCGACAAAGTCAACCACCGGCACTCACCACACCGCCCTATCACCGTCTTCCAGGAACAACGCTCACACCACCCTTTCACCATCTTCCAGCAACACCCACACCAGCCACACCTCCCTCTCAACTCGGAGACCACCCAAGCGCACCTCCCTCTCAACTCGGGAACCACCCAAGCACACCTCCCTCTCGACTCGGATCACGAGGAGACGACCCAAGCACCCCACTCTCCCAACTCGGATCGGACCACCCACGCACACCTCCTTCGCTCCGCTCACCCACCAGCCCGCCCTTCTTCCCCATCACACCGTCGCGCCAGGGCCAGGGTGAGACCCAGCGTCTGCCTGTCTTTTCTCCAGGCGGTGGTGGTTCTCCAAGCGGTCGTGGTGGTCGAAGTTATGGGGGTTCTCCAAGCGGTCGGGGTGGTCGAAGTTATGGTGGTTCTCTAGGTGGTGGTTCTCTAGGTGGTGGTTCTCTACTAGTAGGTGGTGGTTCTCTACTAGTAGGTGGTGGTTCTCTACTAGTAGGTGGTGGTTCTTCGGCAGAATGGGACGACAGGATGGAGCAGAGGATGGAGGAGTGGGAGGAGAGGGAGAGGATTAGGAGGGAGAAGAGGGAGAGGTGGAGGGCGGAGAATCGGCGAGCGGGTAGTGGTGGTGGTGGTGGTGGTGGTGGTGGTGGTGGTGGTGGGCGGGTCGGAGATAAGAATAAGGATAAGGATGCGGATGCAGGTAGAGGAGGAGAACGAGAAGGATGAGCACGAGCACGAGCACGAGAGGGACGAACAGAGGGAACCAAAGGACGATAATCATGAACATGAACACGAACATGAACGTGAGCTTGAGAACGAGAACGAGGGTGAGGGTGGGAGGGAAGAGTACGAGGTGCACGAAGGGGACGAGGGAGAAGACCATGATCGAGAGAGCGTTGCGTGGGCGGGAGAGGGGCGAGAAGATGACGAAATGGAGGAAGACGATGGCGTGGTGGATGGAGACGACGAGGCGGACGGAGACGACGAAATGGGCGGGGACGACGAGATGGAGGACGGAGACGACGACCAAAGCCACATCGAACCCGACGACGACGACGACGAGCCAGAGGAACTACTACCCTCCTCACGCGCAAAACGCGAGCACCACGAACGCGTGCAAGCCGAACAAGCGCGGTGGGAAGCCTTCCTCCAAAAACGGAGGGAACTCAAGGAGCGCTTGCGCCGTCGGGTGGGGGAGAGAGCTGCTTCCGAGGGCCCAGCCCCAGCCCTAGCCTCAACATCGACATCGACATCAACGCGTGCGCCATCCGGAACCGCAAGCATGGCCAGAGACAGAGCGGCCACCGCAGAGTCCACCACCACCACGAGACATTACGCGTTCGTACCCCCGCCCCTCCCAACCTGGACACCCTACGGCAACCCGCGGGAACCCGACGAGCCGGTCCAGGGCTGGCTGCAGCGCGTCGCCCGGGTGTACTGCGAGCGGGTCGAGGTGGAGCGGAGGGAGAGGGAGGAGAGGGAGGCGTGGGTCGTGGAGGAGAGGGAGGAGAGGGAGGAGTGGGAGGAGTGGGAGAGGAGGGAGAGGGAGGCGTGGGTCGTGGAGGAGAGGGAGGAGAGGGAGGAGTGGGAGGAGTGGGAGAGGAGGGAGAGGGAGGTGAGGGAGGAGAGGGAGGAGAGGGAGAGGAGGGAGAGGTGGAGGTGGACGGAGGAGGACCCGGAAGGGGAAGGAGAGGTCGTGTGGGGGTGCGTGATCGACTCGGACGACGGGGAGGAGGACGCGGAAGGGGAAGGGGAGAAAGGGGAAGAGGAAGAGGAAGAGGAGGGAGGGGAAGAGGACGACAAAGGGGATGGGGACGAGGATGAAGAGATGGCGCAGGACGAACAAGAAGAGACGGAACCCCGCCAACTGACAAGACGCGATCTGGCGGCTATGGCCGAAGCCCGGGCTCGTGCTGCCTCACGCGCTCGACGGATGATTCGGGAGGGGGATGGTGACCAATCTTTCTCTCCCACTTCACCTTCTGCTGCTCCCCCCTCCCTTTCAACTGCCGCTTCCCCTTCCGCTTCCGCTGCTGCATCCACCTCCACTCCCGTTCCCGCCGAAGCTGAAGCTGGTCCGTCAAGGTCAAAGTCGAGGTCGAGGGAAACGAGGATGACGAGGGCTGCGACGAGGGCTGCGCTGGAAGCTGAGATGGCTCAGGCTGTATCATCAGCTCCAGTCGTGCCCACTCCGGAAGCGCTGGACGCCGTGACGCAGGGGAGTCCACTTCAGCCTGAGGATGGATCGAGTATGGAGCTTGAGCTGGATCCCGTGGACGACGAGTTGATGTATCCGCCCAGTCCTGCTGCCGAGTGAGAAGTAAAAACGCTTAGGGGATTTGGGAGTTGAGTTGGTGCCATTAGACCTTTAGTAGTGGTGACACGGCGTTTTCACGTACTTGGATACCCCTTTCTGATTTTTCGTGCTCGGTTTTTGATCTTTCGAGGCCCGTTGAGGTCTTCTTAATCGTCGTGTACCATGGCGATTCACAATATCAGATTATACTCATAGTATTCTGTAATATTTTGGTTTTTTTCGTTGAGTTTTCGATAGATACTTCGTGTAGAGTAGGACTCACTTTTAATTCTGTGCCTCCGTTGAATATAGTAATTCTGCGTCTGTCGAAGATACATAGTTGGAGTCAAGAGGGTGTAAAAAAAGCAAGGGCGTGTTCACGAGAGCAAGAAACGGGAGTAGTATCCGCAGAAGAACCAAGCAGGTTCTGTTAGAGTTTCAGTATGTCGTGAGCGGTTCCAACATCATGGTGGCGAGGTAAAGTCGAAGGTGAAAGTGGCAGTAAAAGAGCGTCCAAGTTTCGTGGAACCGAAGGTGTGTGTTCTGGCGAAGTCGTCGCGTTGTTTGTCCTTTTGTACTCTCCAGCGGTCGAGTTATAGTTCGGGAGATAGAGAACATATGCACCTTCCAGGGTGGTTCAAATTCCAAAGGGGCTGCTGACATTCGAGATGGAGGCTCAGGTAAATCGCAGAACACGGACAGTGTGAGCCTGGACCCTCGCCCTCGAGATGCCATTAGCTTCTAGAACAAACACGAACAATGCACAGCCCCAAGAGTCAGGCGACCTGCTCGCTCCCGCCGATGTAAGCTGAGGAACTGCACAGCACCACATCCCACAGACTCATCATAACGACGACAGCAGCAGCGATTAACCGTTAAATCTCTGCTCGACGCTTATAACGACGACAACTAGCACTCGACAACAACGACAGAGATCTCTAGCGGTCTGAGATCCACAGCTGCTTGGGCTTGTTTAGCGGATTCAGACAGACACCGACGAGAAGAAGAGAGAAGGATGACGACTGCCAACCCATTCGCCCGCAGCGCTGTCTTTGAGACGAGTCTTGCCTCTGCCCGGGAGCAGACTGTGAGTATGTCCTCCCTTTCTCTTCGCAACCCTACCCTGTCCACGGCGCCTCCTTCTCAACCTTGTTCAATTGTGTGAACGGTATGCTAACCCAACGCTTATGCATAGATTGAAGAAATGTACAGCGTCCCAGAAAGCTTCCTCGAAATCGAGGTCCGAAACCCCCAGACGCACGGTTCGTATCTGTCCTTTCCTGGAGGAGTCCATTTCTCTGACGTGCGATTGTGTAGGATTTGGACGAAAGATGTATACGGACTATGAGATCGTGTGCAAGGTACGCTTTTACTCCTTTGACGGGATGTAACCCCTTTCTCACCTCTTTCTCTTCGTACCTTTTCTCCCTATCCCATCCGCCTCTCCGTATCATCCACGCAACATTCTTACCACCTACCTCCTCCGTCCCTCCCCACGCCAGACCAACATCCCCGCCTTCAAACTCCGTCACTCCGTCGTGCGCCGGCGTTACTCCGACTTTGAAGCCTTCCGCGACATCCTCGAGCACGAATCCACACGCGTCAACATCCCCACCCTCCCCGGCAAAGTCTTCACCAACCGCTTCTCCGATGAGGTCATTGAAGCACGAAGGGAGGGCCTCGAGAGGTTTTTGAGTATAGTTGCGGGCCATCCGTTGCTTCAGGTGTGTGTTTTGGTATTCTTAGAATTGTTTGAGATTTGTTGGGTTGTTGCAATTGGTTGGACTGCGACGTACGTCCGCGGAGCTTGGGCGGATGGATGGTCCGTCGCTTTCCATCTTCCGCTTCCCCTTCTCATTTCCTTTTTCTTCCTAAAACCACAGACATCACTAACATCTATCTCCCTTACAGACAGGAAGCAAAGTCCTCTGCGCATTCTTACAAGATCCAGCATGGGATCGTTCTCAGTGGGTTTAATCCCACCCCACCGCGGCGGTTCGATCGGGATGAAGGACGCGGAGCGGGGACGAGGACGAGGAGTGCGGTGATGGGGGCCGAGACTGAGAGGACGGCGGAAAGGACGAGGGGGGTGGAAGTGGTGGCGAGCACGATGGGGGAGAGCGAGACGACGAATACAAGCGCGAGTGTGGCGGGAACAGAATCAGAGACGATGTCGGCGCGTAGTGATGGGGCAGCGACGAGCACGGAGACACAGGCGGGAGACGGACGAGTTGAGGAGCTTGGGAAGAGGAGGAAGTGGTGGCACGCCTTCGACGTACCAGGCGATATGTGGTCTCTGTTGGTTTGATGGTTTATCGAGCGCTATTTGGATCCTTAGGCTGACGTGTGTGAACTACATATAGGATTGGTGTTCAGATCGGTTTTTGTCTTCTGCTACTCGATCCCGTCTCCTCGTTGTCCCGTTTCACCCGCTCATGTTTCGTGTTCGTGGTACTGGCTCCCTAAACGCATTCGTGACGCTTTCCTACCTACCAGTCCTCTGATTTTTCTCTCTCACCTTGTTTCGTTTCGTACACATCCTTTCGGCTTCAAGTTCCTCTTTCTTCTTGTTGTTGTACAATACGATCGATCACTTTCTTCTTCTTCCTCCTCTCACTTCACTTCTCTTGTTTATACGCTACTTATGAATCGGTTTTTTTCTTTTCTTTTTCTTTCATTTCTTTACGCTTGACCTCGTGTCTCGTTTCGTGTTCGTCCTCCAGTTTCGTCCCCCGTGTCCTTAGTCCGATTGAATATCATTATCTTTTCTCTTTCTGCTCTATTGCGCTTAGTTTCTAGGCTTGTTATCTCTTGTGTTGACGGTATCTTTCTATGATGATAGATCTGTTTCTTCGCCAGGAAGTTGATTTGGGTTTCCTTTTTTACAGGTCAGCGTTTCAAATTTCAAATTTCAACCCTCGTCGACGGTTAGGCCATATGCAACATCGCATCCCCAGTACGTACGTATGCATCCGCGTTGTTACACCTTCCGTCTCTTGGAAAAGCACTGACTAGATGGCGACCCTCGAGGTTCATTTAGTGTGGTGTAAACATGCCCATGGACGACTACACGATGGGGACGGATGGGATGAAGTTGAAGAGTTGGAAGACGCGCAGGACGCGGAGAAGCGTGGGGAGAGACGGTTGCGAGTCAGTCCGTCAGTTACAACGGCAGGCCACCATGTTGATTCGGATGTTCATGCGTTCATGATCCACTTTGAATCCAAACACCCCTCGGATGGTCGTCGGAGAATAGTAGGTAAGTATGCGTAATGAATCCATCCCTTCTTTCATCAGTTTTTGAACAGTTCACTTTCAGATAGATGGTAGAGCCGTGCACTCCGAGTCGTGGTTGGTGAATATGATGGACGGCAGAAATCTCTTTTACTTCTCTTGACATTACTCGTTACCAGCCGTGCTCGATCCTCCTCCACCCGCATCATCAAGCCTCAACGCCTTAACGTGACCTGGAATTCTGAATCCTCCAACGATTGCCGCAACCAGTCCCCCTCCCACGCTGGATCCTACCCCCTTACCCTACGTCCTCCCCGACTTCAACCACACAAACCCTCACACCCTCGTACCCAACCGGCGCACGGAGGTTCCACACGTTATCGAGCATAACCGCATCCTCGACTTTGTGGAACAGCAGGATCGCTGTGGTGGGTGAACCGGGAGGGAGGTGTACAGCGCGTACGAGGGTGCTCAGTTTTACGGGTGATATGGGTTGGACGGGTATTGGGTTTATCTGGGAAAAGGGTTGCGCGATTGGGTTTATTGGTGGTGGTGGTGGTGGTGGAGGAGGGGGGTTCACCACTGCCACTACCGTCCCCAGATCCTTCGCCACTTGTTCAGGCGGAGGCACGAACGGGAGTGCATCGACCAATGCTCGCACCTCATTCATCGGGTCTGGACCCCATGTTATATGCGAAACCGCTAAGCCTAGGTGGGATACTGCGAATCCAGGCGGTGGACTCGAGCCCTTTGCAGACGGGGAGGAAGAAGGAGGAGGAGGAGACTTGGTTGGAGGTCTTGAAGACGCAGACTCAGAGGAGGAGGGGGAGGAGGAAGGAGATGAGGACTTCCCAAGCCGAGCGGGGGATCGAGTCGTGGACGATATCGACAGAGTGGAGCACGAGGACGAGGACGATGTAGGCGAACGGGATGAGGTGGGAGGGGTATACGCTATCGACGCCATCGACGACGCCGACGAACAGGGCGAGATAGATGGGGAGTTGGTCAAGGACGACGAGGCGGGTCCTAGCGGCGTCCGTGTTCGATTCGACATCCGATTCTCGCTGGGATCGTAGTAGCCGTGGAGGGTTGATGGTGGAGGAGCGTGGTGGTGGTGGTGTTCGGGATAAGGTATGCCTCGCCATTTACGCCAGAACGATGTCTAATGCCCAACGTTAGCTAGGTCGTAAGCATGGGCGGTGGTGCAACGCTCACCTCTTCAACTTGCACGGCCCTTCTCCATCGCAGGATCGCTCTGATGAGTGTCTTGACGCTCTCGGAGCGTATTTTCGGGAGAGACTTGAGGTGTACGAGACGGTTGAGCAACCTTCACGAAGATCACATCAACATTCCATTTGAAGACACGACAAGGGGAAGCAGAATACGGACTCTTCACTCTGCCCAGCAAACACCCGCACATTCTCGCTCTCTACCGCTTTCCCTTCGGAGATCACCCTGAACGCGTGGAGGTGTCGAAGTGCGTCGTCGAGGATGAACTCGGCTTCGTGGAGGAGTTGGACGGTGGATGGGCGGTGGATGTGGAAGGTGGTTAGACGGGTCGTTGGGACCGGCATCCTCATCGTCGCGGTGGGTGGTATCGAGCTGGAGCTGTGGTGCGGTGAAGACGAGGAGGCGGAAAGCAGAAGCTCGGGCGCTGGAAACGCGAGTATAGTCTTCATCTCCAATTGTTGGTGTCGTATCAGCGTCTTCTAATGGGATATAACTCTCCAGGTTATATATCTCCCGACTATCCACAGCAGCTGTTTCGAGAAGTCTAATTATGTCAAGGCAACCGGGGGTGTTTTACTCCGTTCCGTCTCAGCTCCAGACAAACTCTTCAGACTTGTATGACTAGTGCCAACTTCCGCCAACTCCCGACGAGGTAGGATGTGGGTGGGAGTTAACGTTGAAACCTTGGTTCTCGTGGGCGGGTTGGGTGGGTGGGTGTATGTCGGAAATGGAGGTCGGAGATGAATATGCGTGTTCTGTGGGTGTGGGTATGGCGTCGGGGTGTGGTATTAGACAGATGATAGATGATAGATGATAGATGATAGATGGGTTAAATAGCTGACTGGGAGTTGTGTGCTGGGCTTTCGGAGGTGCAGGCGGAGTACGATAGTGCCGGTGTCACTTCACAGCATAACCCCGCACATATAAATAGCTCGCCGTGCTGCCCTCAATGCTTCTTTTTCTCTCAAACACGCCAGAAACCAAAAGCTGCCGACGAAAACAAGCATTGTGATTTTATGCTAGGCGGGTTGAATGGGGACTAGTGTTCATTGGCGGTGAATTCGCGAGTCGCAATCACCCGAACGCAGACATCGGTATTCAAGTTCTGACTCGAAACCTGATCTTTCTGTTTGGATGTGAACGGGATATTCGAGTAGTCACCGTTCAAGTATCCCCGCCAAGTAATACCGAGCACGTCCAGACGCTCACTCCGACCATCCCTTGCCCTCTCATTTCGTAGAGAATGATATCAGAAACGCGAAAAGAAGCAACCAAGTTGTGGCAAACCACGTTTCATCACCTTCTCAAGCTCCCGATGATCCATGAAACACAACTCAGAGACACCTCTAGCCGCCTTAAATTTATAACTCCTGCCTTAACAACACCACAGGACACCACGGCGGAGTTCCAGATGGGGAATTCTTGGAAGCAATATGTACGGTTGAATTTGAAAAACTGCTCGGCGCTGCGTTGGGTTTCGGGGGACGCCACTTCTTGCGTCGACTGAGTTCGAAATTGGGGGATGACTTGAATTGGGGGACTATGCGTCGCTTGCGATAAAGCCTGACGTCGCCGCTGCACTGTTTCACAGTTGCCTTTCTGGCTACTTACTCCGACTTGGGGTAAACAGATTTTCAGGACCGAAGCTGAATCGTCGGTCACCGGTCAAGGTTCATGCATCATGCTAGGCCGTGAGGGGCAACACCGGCGGTGGCGTGGGTAGGGAATGTAAGCCTTAGGAAGAGAGTGAATGTAGGAAACACCGTCTAAACATCGCAATATCCACTTAGCCACGATTAATCAATTCCGAAATAAGCGCCGAACCAGGATTAAACGCCCACGGGGCCTAAAAATAGCAGTGGAGTGGCGTGCTCGCCATGGGATTTCTGGTCTTGGACAGGTCTGAATCCACATCTCTGAACGTAGATGACGATTGGATCAGGTGACGGGGACATGAGAAGCCCACATGAAGCATTCCCTTTTCGCAATGCACGCGCCTCCAGAAGGCTCGGCGGAGAAACTTGCACCGAAATCAGAACAAAATCCCATAGCCACTTAATTCAAGTCGTACGTTCAAGTTTCAGTAGTAGACGGTCTAGACCGAAAGATAGTCAGCTTCCAAGACTGCATGTGAGAGGATGACGGTGCCACACGACGAAGAAGTGAATTCATCAACGCGCCTAGCGCATCACGGAGTTGAAAGTCGCAGCGAATTCATTCCCAGATGACGGTTGGGAGCCGCTTTGGTTTCTCAAGAGTGAGGACAAGCGGAGCACCCGATGGAGAGAGTCGAAATGGAGAACGTCGGAGTCCTGTTTTGGAAACTTGCGATGATGAGTCGACCGTGCAACGAGCAGCTGAGTTGGAACTTGACTGGGCCTTAGGGTGCGCCGTGGCTCAGTTGAGTTTGAATTTTTGTGACATAGAAGTTGGACCTGTCAAATGCAGAGAAAAGGGGTATATGTAAGTATATCACAACACTCAGATCGCACTGGGAAGTTGCGAAGTCGGCGTCATAGTTCTATGGGGAAGAAATTCTAACGGAAGCAAATCGACATGGGCGGTTGAAAAGAGGCCGAGTCTTCTTGGAGGCCAAAATGGGAACCTGGAGGAAGCCCGATTGCGGGAGATGAGAATGGAAATTTTGCTTCACACCTGATGAAATGAGCGAGGCTGAAAGACGAGTCTTCGAAGAGAATATGTACTCCTGGTATGTAAGTGTTTCCTGGTCAAAACAGACAGACAGGGTGAGACCTACGACCGTCGCTGACAGTGCGGGAGAAGGACCATTGTTGGAATCGACCAACAGATTGGACTGGGATTGCCCACTAACACCAAAGGAGCTCAAACGTAGACCTGGGGCACCACTGAACAACGTTACAGGAGCAGCCCGATGTAAGAGGCTCGTAGAGACTCCTCAGCTAAGATGCATTGCGGGCTCTCGATGCGGAGCGCACCCATGGATAGATAGTAGGACGCGGGCGGCAGGCATACATCAGCAAACCCGCACGCGTCTGATGGGTCTTGCCCAAGGCGTTTAAGACCCATCAGACGGCAAGTCCGCGCGACTTGAGCCAGGAGGTCCCTTTCTTGGGCAAGCTGGCTTCGTCTTGAGCAAGTCTTTGGCAAGACACACTCAAGACGATCCAAGTCTCATCCAAGTCATCCCCAAGACTTCCCAAGACGCGATGCTATCCCGCTTAAATGCACGTATAACAATGCAAATGATTTTATTTACCGTCGTACAGTTAAGAAATAACACGAGGTTACGATAGCAACTACAAAGGTTGAGTACAGTACGACCAATAAGGGGAACTAGCAAGTATTAAGATACGAGATTTGCGAAACAAGCACTACTAGCCATCGACTTCCTCGGGCTCGATGTCGGAAGACTCTCGCACCTCCAATGCCATGAACCGCTCGTCCTCCTTCGACGGTTTTTCGACGTGGCCAGCAGTCTTGAGAGAGGCGGGGACAGGTTGACCGGTAGCCAGACAATAGGCTTCACGAGAGCGCTTGATGATGTCACGCCATTGGCGTTTGTTGAGCTGGGCGACGAGAGCCAGATATTGGTTGGCCCGGTTGCCGTGCGCTGAGTGGCTGAAGCTGCCGTGACCGCGAACGCTTGCTGGCTGGATTCCGTTGTTCTCGCCCCAGAGTTCATGGGCGCGATGGACCTGCTACGTGTCAGTCATTCAGACCTGGGAATCGTCCAGCAGCAAAACGCACCGCGAGCACTGACAACGTTAGACCTCCCGGATACTGCTCAAACTCGAAGCGGGAATTCTTGTGGGTGCTCAGCACAAACCCGAATGTCGCGAGCACGTGTGGAGTGCGGAAAATCTTCCCTTTAATCTGAAGAGCAATGTGCCGGATGAGTACCGGTGTAGATAGCAAATAATGAGATGCAACTACCTCGGGTTTCTCGTAGATGAAGGAGAAGGTTGCGCCGTTGATAGCTTCTTCGATGTACAGGATGCGCTCTTCGACATTTTTGTACTTTTCCGGATTGTCCTCTTCGCCGACATTGAAAAAATGTGCAATGCCGTTGGCAAGCGCCCAGTCGGCAACTGCGCTGCGGTGCTCATAACCGCGCTGCGCGAGCTGTAGTACAAAGGCTCAGGACACGGAGAATGTTAGAGCAAATATAGGACGTACCAGACGGTAGACGACGCTGGAGGTATTGAGGTCGTCGATGTTTTTCCCGGTGAGTGGTGCAATCAATTTGTTGTAAAGGTACTCGATGTTGGCAAGTGTGTCTTCGTCCGTTCCAACATCCCAGATCGTATTGAGAGACGCTAAATAAGCGTACCAAGTGGAGCAAAGAGCCGTCTTCCAGACATGTAGTTGGGCGGCGGTAAGGCCCAAACTCTCGTTGGTCGGTTTCTTGGAAGTTGATTTGGCTTTGGCTTTGTTTGGAGCATCGACCGCCTTTGCGGGTTTGTTGAACTCGAGCTTCACCATCTACATACACCGCCGTTAGCCCACGTTTGCCTTAACAGATGACCACGCACCGAAGAATTGGCCTTAAGCGGACCCTCTGCTCCCACAGAGGCTTCGTTGTCCATGTCGTCAACCAGGCTACCCGGGACGGCCATAATCGCAGCGGATTTGGCAGGCTGGTTGTCGGGAGATTGCAGGTTAGTCGGTTTCTTGTTTGTTGCATTGTTGCGCCAGTTTGACGGAAGACCACCGCGCTTTTCGATAGTGGTCTCATGGATCTTGTTGATCTTCAGGCGCTTGTCCACCATGGGAGGCCTTCGAAAGAACACAGAAAGGTAAGTCTGAGTCTACAAGTTTGGAAGCCACGTACTCAAATTCTCCCTTCCTTTTCTTCTCATCCTCCTCAGCCGCATTGCGAGTCACTTTCGACATGATCTTCTCCCTGAAATTCAACGCCTTGCCTTTCCGAGTCTGGAAGTTAATTGAGTGAGATCAAGACTCTTCACGTATGAGGTCAGGGGAAGCACACCGTGACTGGAGGTTCGTCTTCTGACTCTGACCCTTCCGACTCTGTGTCAGTTTGAGCTAATCCAAAAAAATGATAAGTTATTGTTGGTTCATAATCGTCATCAAACCAACCATCCTCAACTGGCATCGCCACATCCCTGTTCCTGTTATCCGATGTCGATGCCATGGCGTCCAGGTCAATACCTGCAGTTGACAGCAAGTCCTTGAGGATTTCCGCAGCCTCGCCCGAATTGGTGTCCTCCATGGCTTCGTCGCCACAATCATCCGGCGTTGCACCTTCGAAAATTGTTGGTCCTTTCTTCAAGGGTCCCAGCATCTTGCGTAGCTTTGCTATGGCCAAATCCTGCGGACTGGCACCTTCGACCTTGGATCCCGAAGGTTTGGGAGTCTTCTGGGTTGTGAGCGTGCTGGCATTGCTATTTGCCGTGGCGTTTGGGGCAGTTGCTGACGACGATGGAGATGTCGCTGATGTCGAGGAACGAGTGACACGTCCCATGCTTGGGGGGATGGCAGTGCTAGCAGGGGAAGGAGAGCTGGGTAGTTGGCTTTCTTCGATGCTGGACTGTGCGACGAGGGCCGACCTCTTCGGTTTTGTTGGTGCTTTTGATGCCAGATCCATTTGCTCGAGTTGGCTCACTCGGCGAGCGGGAGTCGTGGCGGGTGGGTTGCTTTTATTCCCCTTCTTCTTTCGTCTGGTACTCATTGCGACAGTAGACAGCGATAGAGGGTGAAAAGTGATTTGAACGACGTCGATGGATGAGGTGAGAGTTCAAGTTACTGACAGAAGATTTTTTCCGAGTTTCTGACCCGGTTGTGTCCGTTTGACAGTGTGTAGTCAATTGACTTTTGTAATCATGTCTCGGAAATTCGATATACCCTCTCTCCATTCTCTTCCATCATTTGCCGCGTCTCTGAGCAAGTCCGAAACACCAAACTCTCACTTTTACTCTTTACACACCATGTCCCAAACCAATCCCCTGCTCACTCGAATCTCTTGCACGGTCAAATCATGCATAAGCACATTCTCGAATATCGGCGCAAGAACACAACACTTCAACCGCATGCATCGGAAGAAGCCCAACACAATACCGCCTCTCCAGGAGCAGGAAAATCGGTCCCGCCATGACAGCCTATCGCCAGCCAGTGGTGACCTACCACTACCGACGACGTTGGACGATGTTCCTATGGATGGAGATGAAGATATTAGGAGTGGGGATTCTTCAATGCAGGCGGATGACAGGTCTGCGCATGTGGCCCACGCTTCGTTCCATGGTGCGTCCATTTTTCTATGGATTGCAGAAATGGCATTAACAATCTATTTTCAAGGTGTGAGGTGCTCGACGACCGGTGTTGACCTCTCAGAAGAAGAAATCGCTCGAGGCCCAGTCAGCCCTTCCCAGCCCGATTATAAACCATTCAACGATCGAACACATTTTGAAATTACCGACTTTCTTTACCGCCGTGTTCGCATGCCAGCAGGCCGTGTTAATGAGCTCATGACGTTGTGGGCTGCTCATGCTGTAATGACTGGTGGCTCGCCTCCCTTCCTCAACAGCGACGATCTCCATGCGACCATCGATGCGATCTCACATGGCGATGCACCCTGGAAATCATTCGCAATCTCATACAACGGTAACGACATCGACCCTCAAGGAACCAGTGCCAGCTGGAAGTATCAAGAGTATGAAGTGTGGTTCCGGGATCCGCTCGCTGTCATCCGAAATATGCTGTCAAATCCGGATTTCGACGGCGAGTTCGACTATGCACCTTTCCGCCAATTCAACCGTCACGGAGAGCGCGAGTTTAAGGATTTTATGTCTGGGGACTGGTGTTGGGCTGAAGCGGTCGGTGGTCTAGTTTTCTGATTTTATTTCCGTCTCATCGCTGATGAACGACACTAGAATAAAATCCTTCGCGCTCATCCTACCACACGAGGGAACCTTCTCGTCCCCATCATTCTCGGTAGCGACAAGACTACTGTTTCAGTAGCAACAGGTCAAAATGATTACTACCCGCTGTATCTCTCAATTGGCAACATCCACAACAACGTGCGGCGGGCGCATCGGGAATCTGTCATTCCCATCGGCTTTCTGGCTATTCCCAAGAGTATGTCCCTTGATCTTTCGTCGTCTATTGGTACTTACTCACAACTATTGACTTCAGGTGAACGGAAGCATGACTCAGACCGCCAATTCCTTCGTTTCCGACGACAGCTCTTCCACACCACACTCCAGGCAATATTGGAAAGCCTCAGGCCATACATGGAAGAGACCCCAGACATCACCCTCTGCCCTGACGGTTTCTACCGACGCGTCACATACAGTATTGGGCCATACATTGCCGACTACCCGGAGCAGGCACTCCTTGCTTGTGTCGTGCAAGGCTGGTGCACCAAGTATGTGAACTGTTTTTTTTGTTGTAAACTAAAGCCCTTATTGACGACGTATAGATGTACAGCTTGGGTAGATGATCTCGACAACGATAAAGACGCTTTTTTACGGACCCACGAGTGGACGCAAACGATGATTGATGGTTTCGAAGCTCAGGAGGTATGGGATGCGTACGGTATCATTCCTGATGTCACCGTAAGTCACTCTCCTTCTTCTGTGGCTAGCGTGATCAATAACAAGGGTTCTGTCATCGTTCCAGCCTTTTACGCAGTCCTTTCCTCGTGCGAACATCCACGAACTCCTCGCTCCGGACCTCTTACACCAAATCATCAAAGGAACTTTTAAAGACCACCTCATCTCGTGGATAGGAGACTACCTGGTGAAAGAGTATGGTGAAGCGATGGCAAATACTATCTGGGACGATATTGATCGAAGGTGAGCGCATTCAGCTTTTTTTTAATGGTACTAACACCCGTTTCATTGATGACTGGCTCCTAGGATATCTGTGGTCCCACCCTTCCCTGGTCTACGACGATTTCCCGATGGCAGAAGATTTAAGCAATGGACCGGCGACGACTCCAAGGCATTGATGAAGGTGTGTTTATTGGTCTACAGGACGAATTTACGCTTACAGCTCCACCGAGTAGGTTATCCTTCCTGCACTGGTCTCCAAGGTCCCCGATGATTTTATCCACTGCATGGCGGCTTTCCTCGACTTTTGTTACCTAGTCCGCCGATCTGTCATCACCGAAACCGACCTCAACACTCTCGACGAGACCCTTGCTCGTTTTCACCACTACCGCGAGGCCTTCCGGAAGGAAGGCGTTCGAGATCACTTCTCACTTCCTCGGCAACACGCTCTGACCCACTACCGGCTTCTTATTCAACAGTTCGGCGCACCAAATGGGCTGTGCTCATCGATCACGGAGGCAAAGCATATAAAGGCAGTGAAGGAGCCATGGCGTCGGTCCAATAAGTACAACGCTCTTGGTCAGATGCTTCTGACCAACCAACGCATCTCGAAGCTCGGCGCACTTCACGCATATCTTAAAGCCAAAGGCCTTCTCGAGGGCACCATTGCCGATCACCTCCACATGCTTTTGCAACAGCTTCAGGACAGTGTTGAGGAGATGGACGGTGACCTTAGTGCCACTGAGGATGAGGACGAGGAGGGGGAGGAGGACGACAGTGAATTAGCGGACGAAGCGGTGGAAGATGATGATGGAGGACCGGTCCCTGGGGTGGACATCCTGGGAGAGGTGGTTCTAGCAAGGACACCAGGTGCGCCACATGGATATTCTTCCAAAAGAGCATGAAGTCACTGACCTTTAGTCGTCTTCCCGTGGTGCAGAGCGTATTTCCATCCCCAACATCAAAACACTGGCAGACCAGCTCAATCAAGCTCATTTCGACCTTGTCTACCTTGTCACTACGTTTCTTGAAGAACAGCTCGAAGCTCGACACCGTCACCCGCCGCCCGTGGATCTCTTGAAGTGCAAGAAGATTCGAAGATTCAAATCCGCCATTGCCACATTTTGCGCGCCCAGTGACCCCTCAGGTCTCGGAGGACTGAAGACCGAACGTATACGGGCGACGTCATCATGGAGGGGTCAGGGTCCACGTTACGATACCGTCTATGCAGTTGTCAACGAGGGACTCGAGGGGATGCGCGCACTTGCAGTCCTGCGAGTCAAGGCTTTCTTTTCGTTCGACTATGACGACCAGTACTACCCCTGCGCACTGGTGGAGTGGTTCTCTGTGGTCGGTGATCGACCAGACCCACTCACAGGGCTTTGGATTGTAGAGCCCGATGTCAACCGCCGTGGGGATCGGGACACGACCGTTGTCCACATCGATACGATATGGCGCCTGGCTCATTTGATTCCTGTTTACAGCCATTCTTGTATTCCATTTGAACTTCATTTCTCCGATACTCTTGATGTATTCCATTTGTTCTATTCAAACAAGTATGTAGACCACCATGCTAATGAAATTGCCTATTGAACTCTGCTCAAAGTGGCGTGAATGATTAGTCAGTGAAGCTACCAAAATGTGCGCTGACAAAAGCATCAATACGGGTTTTTCCTCTGCCCCTCGAACACTCACTCTCTCTCGCTTGCTCCATGCCCAGAAGGAGCATCGATCCCAATCTAAAACGCGAACGATCCCCTTCTAGCTCGCCACCTTTCCGTGTGCCTCCACGTCGCTGCCAATACAACTGGTCCAATTCCCCCGACCCCAATCGCCCCCCTCCCCTCTTTGATATTGACACAAGCCCTGTCCGACCGATAAAAATTCCACCCTTGAGGAGCCGTAGGAGTGATTCTGCAACCACCACGGCAGCATCAGCTCCTAGAAGCTCCAACGCACCAATGGAAAAAGTGGAGAGGGAAGATAGCCCTGAGGGAATGGAACGGCAGAAGATCGGGTTATACCAGGAAAACAGTGCGTAACAATCTCGACTCCTTTGGTACTTGAAGATATCTGACCATCCTGCCGGCCGTATTCTGCCAGAAACAGCAGAGTCAGCATCGTCTCTCGGACAGTTCAAGCCGCCCCGACTCACTGATCTTACGGTAAAGGAGCGAGGCATCGAAGAAGAAATCAAGGCGAAGATCAATCTACTTTCAGATACACGGCTTCAGCAAGCTCGGTCTGAGATTTCGGTTCTACGCGCAAAGCTTAAACTTCAGGAGACATGGGTTGAGCGGTTGGAGGCGACGCTGGTAGCAAATAAAATCCCTCTCCCAGACTTCCCGGTTGTTCACATTTGAATTGACTTTTTACCCTCGGGTTGTGGTCTTTGTGGTAGTAGTGTAGATCTGCAGTAGTATAAGTATACTAGAAATAACTATTTCGTCATTAATGCCCCATAATGAACCAGTTTCGAGACTCGAGAGACCCGTGAGCGCCGGTGGCTGTGACAGGAGCAATCTTGGTGAGGCCCAGGACTGCGACCTCCGTGGAATGCCATATTATAACGTGGCATTCAATTTCATGACAGAAGGTCAACGATATACCTTTCCTGTACAATTATATATACTCCGTTAAGTTTGTAATACGACGGACCTCGAGCATCAGTGAAAAACCGGACTGGTGCCCTCCAAGCCCCTCCCCCCACAATTGACGTCCCTTGGAAGGTCATACGTCATCGTGGCATTCGATTTTATGGCAGATATACATTCTATTAGCATTCTTATACCTATATATGTACTCGTATTGTCTTACAATACGACGGACGATGAGTATTTCTCGAAACACCTTGTGGTCTTGGGCGCGTCTTGACGCGGCTTGAAATTGATCTGGCTTTTCCGCGCGCGTCTTGATGGACTTGCCCCAAGCCACCGAAGCGCGGCAAGCCACATCAGACGCGTGCAGGTTTGCTGATGTAGTGGCAGTTGAAGCTGACTGCAAGGGGCGAAATTCGGGTTACCGCTACACAATATGGCAGGTATATTCTCCTTGCAGAAATCCGCTTTGCGTCGGCGTGGCTTAGAGGCGGCGCCGTTGCCTGGATAAGCTGTGAATCCTGTCGCTGGTAAGTACCTTGTCGCGCAGGGATATGGGTAAGTCTGCCTCGTGTGCGACGTGACAATAGCTTGTAGCCTGGCTTGAGATTGAGACTATCGTCCTATGCACCCGACGTGACTGCATGGAATCTTTAGATTCGGGCGTTCTGCGGGTAGTCCATGCGCGCACCTAAAGGAACTTTACTGAAATGACAGGTGTGCTCGGCACTTAACCTCGCCTATAAGCCATATTACTCCTATGGATGTCCGTTGACGATTCAGAATTCACTTCAGAATCTCATCCTTGGGGAGCAGTAGCCATGGCGATTAACCCACTCCAAATCTTCGGTGAGACTCCATCATCGACCACCATGTGCGGTTTCCTTCAATCGAACCTTGAGGCAATCCGGACAACATAGCATGAAATACATTAGCTCACGGATATATTAACAATTTTAACAGGAAGTACCAGGCATTTTGAGACGCGAAAGATGGTCCTGTGCCTAAGCGCCGGTTAAGCGCTTAGAACCGTCAAACGCTCCCTCGCGGGTTACCGTTCCTCAGGACTCGCCACAGCTCCCCAGGCGCCTGTGGCATGAGTGCACTATTGGGTCATGTGCCACATAACGACGAACAATGGTCCCAACATCTGTGTCAATGGCGAACAGCCTCTCACGGACACTTGGAACTTTCCAATTTTGGAAGTTAACCTGCCTCTCTTTGTCATAGAATGGGGCACGTGCCCGTCCGTTTAAAAGGCCAACTGGGGGCCACACGCTTGGTTCTTTCTTTCCTTCACCGCCATCACATCTTCCTTTCCAACGTTCGCGTCTGTTGAGACCCGACAGCCTAGGACATCCCCCGCTAGTACTACCCTAGCTATTTCGTTAAGCGCTCCATCCGACTGCATCAAAGCCACAATGGTTGGGAGAAAGAGGCCCTTCAGCGAGATTTCAACTTCGCCCGGTTCCTTCCCCCTTCCTAAGCGCGGGCCTGCTGTAGAGGCATCGCAGAAACCTGCAAGCACCAGTCACGCTGACCGGGGAAGCGACGACATTATTGAGAGCACGGACTCTGAGACCGAAGAGAGCGACCAGGAGAGTACGGACGAGTCTGAGGATGAGGTTGAGAGTGTCCCGCGCAAGGTGCCTACCTTCCTGTGCAAGACGTGCAAGAAGGGATTCTCTCCGATGCTCTATCTGCACGAGATGGGTGGCGAGTGCCCAGGAAAACCAACCACCCCGCCCAACGAGAAGTCGACTAACGAAAAGCCTCAACCACCAAAGGAAAAGCCTCAGCAAAAGCAAAAGCACCAACCAAAGCAAAAGGCGGCGCCAAAAGAGAAGACGGTCTACTGGTGTGCGATGCCCGACTGTGCCTACACCACAACTTCCGTGGCTTGGTTCAAAAAGCACTGCTTGAAGCGACACAACAATGACCAAACCCAGCCTGGATGGGATAAGCCCGAGATTTCTGATACTGAAAGCACTGTCCCCAACCCCAAGGCCACCACTGAAGCAACCCCCGACACCACTACCATTGCGCCGACTTCTGAGAGAGCCAATAGTCCGCCTATCACTGAGTTCACTCCCGAGCCTGTTTCTGGACCGTCGACTCCTCCACTGCCACCAACTCGCATTCTTTCGCCCACTCTCAGCCTCTCCTCCCTTAGTAGCCTCTCCGACATCTCTGAGGAGGGAGACTCAGAGAGCGAGTGATTTCAAACTATCTGATCGACAACAACTCTACATTCAAGTTTTCCGTTTGCAATCCCTTCGACAATGCATTTATTCAGATCTAAATATGCATACCTGTATACCTAGTAAGCAGAGTGTTTACCCTAGAGAATGTACGCGCGTGAGCAGCAATATAAAGAGATTAGTATTACAACAGTGGTGTGGGCTGAGAAAGAGAACTTGGAGAACGAATTTCGGACTAAGGAACTGAAAAGACCTTGTATCGGACAATCCCTTGGAAGAGCAGCAAGTCTTGTCGTTGCGCATATGAATGTAACGACAACTCAAAGGCAAGAAAGAAGATTCTGCAGAGCGATAACGGCGGATAGCGCGCCAGATCCCGGAATCAGCCAAGTGAGTTACAATGTGTTATACTGTGAATAACGGCGAGAATGGATTAATCTTCAGTCAATATGTACAGTGCAGCAAATACCAATCCAACGATGGATGCTCCGATAGTCGCTATCCCTAATGTGGCCACAGGGAATCGTCCAGTCATCACCAATGTTCTCTGGACCAGGAAGAATCGAAAGGTCCCTGAAGAAGCAAACTCCGCGTCAAACCCCGCATCCAAGGACACCAAAGCCACAACGTACCAATAATCAGAACCAAGAGACCAGTCGCAATTGCCAGAGCAGCAAGAGTACGAGCTGTTTCATGGCTAGGGCCTATGCCAATATGTAATAGCTGCATCATCGCTACCATACCGTCGTGAGCAACGCACTCGAGAGACCAAAAGTGAGTGCTCACCAACTCCAGCGGACGAGAGGGCAAGGCTCGTTCGAACGTACGCCATAAACGTTCTTTCGGAAGCCAGATGATCTCTGGCCACAGAGCCATTGTTCAGGAGGACCAACTGGGGACCAGAAATCGAGCGTGGCTCCTCGATGGGATCGACCAAATGATTGTGGATTGATTTTGGGCTCGTTGCGCCGTCATAATAGACGAAGTTGGCTGTGGGCGAAGGATCCCGCGAGGTAAGCCGACGCCAGAGGTCAGAAGGGCGACCTCTGTCTCAGAGGCCAGTCAATAGTTGACTCGAAAGACTGCCAGCGGACTGCGTACCGTGATGTATTCGGCGTCGCGTTTCCTGATACCATGCGCTACGTTTTCATGTGTGTCGCTTGAAGACGCTGGATAACGGTCAACATAGTCAAGATCCATCTCTCTTGACGGTTCGCCTGCAACCAGTGGCGTTTGGCGGTTTCGTCAGGTTGAAAGAGAATGGCGACTTTCCGATCAGTGTTCAGCCGTTACTGATGCCTTGCCATGTGTTGCCATCACCATCAAAACGAACAAGTGGTGAAAACGAACAAGTGGGGAGCGACAGTATGCTGTGAACGACCTGCCTTTTGCAGGTAGTCTGAATTGATTGGCGCCCGGGCCCGACCCCCATCAGCAAACCCGCACGCGTCTGATGGGTCTTGCCCAAGGCGTTTAAGACCCATCAGACGGCAAGTCCGCGCGACTTGAGCCAGGAGGTCCCTTTCTTGGGCAAGCTGGCTTCGTCTTGAGCAAGTCTTTGGCAAGACACACTCAAGACGATCCAAGTCTCATCCAAGTCATCCCCAAGACTTCCCAAGACGCGATGCTATCCCGCTTAAATGCACGTATAACAATGCAAATGATTTTATTTACCGTCGTACAGTTAAGAAATAACACGAGGTTACGATAGCAACTACAAAGGTTGAGTACAGTACGACCAATAAGGGGAACTAGCAAGTATTAAGATACGAGATTTGCGAAACAAGCACTACTAGCCATCGACTTCCTCGGGCTCGATGTCGGAAGACTCTCGCACCTCCAATGCCATGAACCGCTCGTCCTCCTTCGACGGTTTTTCGACGTGGCCAGCAGTCTTGAGAGAGGCGGGGACAGGTTGACCGGTAGCCAGACAATAGGCTTCACGAGAGCGCTTGATGATGTCACGCCATTGGCGTTTGTTGAGCTGGGCGACGAGAGCCAGATATTGGTTGGCCCGGTTGCCGTGCGCTGAGTGGCTGAAGCTGCCGTGACCGCGAACGCTTGCTGGCTGGATTCCGTTGTTCTCGCCCCAGAGTTCAAGGGCGCGATGGACCTGCTACGTGTCAGTCATTCAGACCTGGGAATCGTCCAGCAGCAAAACGCACCGCGAGCACTGACAACGTTAGACCTCCCGGATACTGCTCAAACTCGAAGCGGGAATTCTTGTGGGTGCTCAGCACAAACCCGAATGTCGCGAGCACGTGTGGAGTGCGGAAAATCTTCCCTTTAATCTGAAGAGCAATGTGCCGGATGAGTACCGGTGTAGATAGCAAATAATGAGATGCAACTACCTCGGGTTTCTCGTAGATGAAGGAGAAGGTTGCGCCGTTGATAGCTTCTTCGATGTACAGGATGCGCTCTTCGACATTTTTGTACTTTTCCGGATTGTCCTCTTCGCCGACATTGAAAAAATGTGCAATGCCGTTGGCAAGCGCCCAGTCGGCAACTGCGCTGCGGTGCTCATAACCGCGCTGCGCGAGCTGTAGTACAAAGGCTCAGGACACGGAGAATGTTAGAGCAAATATAGGACGTACCAGACGGTAGACGACGCTGGAGGTATTGAGGTCGTCGATGTTTTTCCCGGTGAGTGGTGCAATCAATTTGTTGTAAAGGTACTCGATGTTGGCAAGTGTGTCTTCGTCCGTTCCAACATCCCAGATCGTATTGAGAGACGCTAAATAAGCGTACCAAGTGGAGCAAAGAGCCGTCTTCCAGACATGTAGTTGGGCGGCGGTAAGGCCCAAACTCTCGTTGGTCGGTTTCTTGGAAGTTGATTTGGCTTTGGCTTTGTTTGGAGCATCGACCGCCTTTGCGGGTTTGTTGAACTCGAGCTTCACCATCTACATACACCGCCGTTAGCCCACGTTTGCCTTAACAGATGACCACGCACCGAAGAATTGGCCTTAAGCGGACCCTCTGCTCCCACAGAGGCTTCGTTGTCCATGTCGTCAACCAGGCTACCCGGGACGGCCATAATCGCAGCGGATTTGGCAGGCTGGTTGTCGGGAGATTGCAGGTTAGTCGGTTTCTTGTTTGTTGCATTGTTGCGCCAGTTTGACGGAAGACCACCGCGCTTTTCGATAGTGGTCTCATGGATCTTGTTGATCTTCAGGCGCTTGTCCACCATGGGAGGCCTTCGAAAGAACACAGAAAGGTAAGTCTGAGTCTACAAGTTTGGAAGCCACGTACTCAAATTCTCCCTTCCTTTTCTTCTCATCCTCCTCAGCCGCATTGCGAGTCACTTTCGACATGATCTTCTCCCTGAAATTCAACGCCTTGCCTTTCCGAGTCTGGAAGTTAATTGAGTGAGATCAAGACTCTTCACGTATGAGGTCAGGGGAAGCACACCGTGACTGGAGGTTCGTCTTCTGACTCTGACCCTTCCGACTCTGTGTCAGTTTGAGCTAATCCAAAAAAATGATAAGTTATTGTTGGTTCATAATCGTCATCAAACCAACCATCCTCAACTGGCATCGCCACATCCCTGTTCCTGTTATCCGATGTCGATGCCATGGCGTCCAGGTCAATACCTGCAGTTGACAGCAAGTCCTTGAGGATTTCCGCAGCCTCGCCCGAATTGGTGTCCTCCATGGCTTCGTCGCCACAATCATCCGGCGTTGCACCTTCGAAAATTGTTGGTCCTTTCTTCAAGGGTCCCAGCATCTTGCGTAGCTTTGCTATGGCCAAATCCTGCGGACTGGCACCTTCGACCTTGGATCCCGAAGGTTTGGGAGTCTTCTGGGTTGTGAGCGTGCTGGCATTGCTATTTGCCGTGGCGTTTGGGGCAGTTGCTGACGACGATGGAGATGTCGCTGATGTCGAGGAACGAGTGACACGTCCCATGCTTGGGGGGATGGCAGTGCTAGCAGGGGAAGGAGAGCTGGGTAGTTGGCTTTCTTCGATGCTGGACTGTGCGACGAGGGCCGACCTCTTCGGTTTTGTTGGTGCTTTTGATGCCAGATCCATTTGCTCGAGTTGGCTCACTCGGCGAGCGGGAGTCGTGGCGGGTGGGTTGCTTTTATTCCCCTTCTTCTTTCGTCTGGTACTCATTGCGACAGTAGACAGCGATAGAGGGTGAAAAGTGATTTGAACGACGTCGATGGATGAGGTGAGAGTTCAAGTTACTGACAGAAGATTTTTTCCGAGTTTCTGACCCGGTTGTGTCCGTTTGACAGTGTGTAGTCAATTGACTTTTGTAATCATGTCTCGGAAATTCGATATACCCTCTCTCCATTCTCTTCCATCATTTGCCGCGTCTCTGAGCAAGTCCGAAACACCAAACTCTCACTTTTACTCTTTACACACCATGTCCCAAACCAATCCCCTGCTCACTCGAATCTCTTGCACGGTCAAATCATGCATAAGCACATTCTCGAATATCGGCGCAAGAACACAACACTTCAACCGCATGCATCGGAAGAAGCCCAACACAATACCGCCTCTCCAGGAGCAGGAAAATCGGTCCCGCCATGACAGCCTATCGCCAGCCAGTGGTGACCTACCACTACCGACGACGTTGGACGATGTTCCTATGGATGGAGATGAAGATATTAGGAGTGGGGATTCTTCAATGCAGGCGGATGACAGGTCTGCGCATGTGGCCCACGCTTCGTTCCATGGTGCGTCCATTTTTCTATGGATTGCAGAAATGGCATTAACAATCTATTTTCAAGGTGTGAGGTGCTCGACGACCGGTGTTGACCTCTCAGAAGAAGAAATCGCTCGAGGCCCAGTCAGCCCTTCCCAGCCCGATTATAAACCATTCAACGATCGAACACATTTTGAAATTACCGACTTTCTTTACCGCCGTGTTCGCATGCCAGCAGGCCGTGTTAATGAGCTCATGACGTTGTGGGCTGCTCATGCTGTAATGACTGGTGGCTCGCCTCCCTTCCTCAACAGCGACGATCTCCATGCGACCATCGATGCGATCTCACATGGCGATGCACCCTGGAAATCATTCGCAATCTCATACAACGGTAACGACATCGACCCTCAAGGAACCAGTGCCAGCTGGAAGTATCAAGAGTATGAAGTGTGGTTCCGGGATCCGCTCGCTGTCATCCGAAATATGCTGTCAAATCCGGATTTCGACGGCGAGTTCGACTATGCACCTTTCCGCCAATTCAACCGTCACGGAGAGCGCGAGTTTAAGGATTTTATGTCTGGGGACTGGTGTTGGGCTGAAGCGGTCGGTGGTCTAGTTTTCTGATTTTATTTCCGTCTCATCGCTGATGAACGACACTAGAATAAAATCCTTCGCGCTCATCCTACCACACGAGGGAACCTTCTCGTCCCCATCATTCTCGGTAGCGACAAGACTACTGTTTCAGTAGCAACAGGTCAAAATGATTACTACCCGCTGTATCTCTCAATTGGCAACATCCACAACAACGTGCGGCGGGCGCATCGGGAATCTGTCATTCCCATCGGCTTTCTGGCTATTCCCAAGAGTATGTCCCTTGATCTTTCGTCGTCTATTGGTACTTACTCACAACTATTGACTTCAGGTGAACGGAAGCATGACTCAGACCGCCAATTCCTTCGTTTCCGACGACAGCTCTTCCACACCACACTCCAGGCAATATTGGAAAGCCTCAGGCCATACATGGAAGAGACCCCAGACATCACCCTCTGCCCTGACGGTTTCTACCGACGCGTCACATACAGTATTGGGCCATACATTGCCGACTACCCGGAGCAGGCACTCCTTGCTTGTGTCGTGCAAGGCTGGTGCACCAAGTATGTGAACTGTTTTTTTTGTTGTAAACTAAAGCCCTTATTGACGACGTATAGATGTACAGCTTGGGTAGATGATCTCGACAACGATAAAGACGCTTTTTTACGGACCCACGAGTGGACGCAAACGATGATTGATGGTTTCGAAGCTCAGGAGGTATGGGATGCGTACGGTATCATTCCTGATGTCACCGTAAGTCACTCTCCTTCTTCTGTGGCTAGCGTGATCAATAACAAGGGTTCTGTCATCGTTCCAGCCTTTTACGCAGTCCTTTCCTCGTGCGAACATCCACGAACTCCTCGCTCCGGACCTCTTACACCAAATCATCAAAGGAACTTTTAAAGACCACCTCATCTCGTGGATAGGAGACTACCTGGTGAAAGAGTATGGTGAAGCGATGGCAAATACTATCTGGGACGATATTGATCGAAGGTGAGCGCATTCAGCTTTTTTTTAATGGTACTAACACCCGTTTCATTGATGACTGGCTCCTAGGATATCTGTGGTCCCACCCTTCCCTGGTCTACGACGATTTCCCGATGGCAGAAGATTTAAGCAATGGACCGGCGACGACTCCAAGGCATTGATGAAGGTGTGTTTATTGGTCTACAGGACGAATTTACGCTTACAGCTCCACCGAGTAGGTTATCCTTCCTGCACTGGTCTCCAAGGTCCCCGATGATTTTATCCACTGCATGGCGGCTTTCCTCGACTTTTGTTACCTAGTCCGCCGATCTGTCATCACCGAAACCGACCTCAACACTCTCGACGAGACCCTTGCTCGTTTTCACCACTACCGCGAGGCCTTCCGGAAGGAAGGCGTTCGAGATCACTTCTCACTTCCTCGGCAACACGCTCTGACCCACTACCGGCTTCTTATTCAACAGTTCGGCGCACCAAATGGGCTGTGCTCATCGATCACGGAGGCAAAGCATATAAAGGCAGTGAAGGAGCCATGGCGTCGGTCCAATAAGTACAACGCTCTTGGTCAGATGCTTCTGACCAACCAACGCATCTCGAAGCTCGGCGCACTTCACGCATATCTTAAAGCCAAAGGCCTTCTCGAGGGCACCATTGCCGATCACCTCCACATGCTTTTGCAACAGCTTCAGGACAGTGTTGAGGAGATGGACGGTGACCTTAGTGCCACTGAGGATGAGGACGAGGAGGGGGAGGAGGACGACAGTGAATTAGCGGACGAAGCGGTGGAAGATGATGATGGAGGACCGGTCCCTGGGGTGGACATCCTGGGAGAGGTGGTTCTAGCAAGGACACCAGGTGCGCCACATGGATATTCTTCCAAAAGAGCATGAAGTCACTGACCTTTAGTCGTCTTCCCGTGGTGCAGAGCGTATTTCCATCCCCAACATCAAAACACTGGCAGACCAGCTCAATCAAGCTCATTTCGACCTTGTCTACCTTGTCACTACGTTTCTTGAAGAACAGCTCGAAGCTCGACACCGTCACCCGCCGCCCGTGGATCTCTTGAAGTGCAAGAAGATTCGAAGATTCAAATCCGCCATTGCCACATTTTGCGCGCCCAGTGACCCCTCAGGTCTCGGAGGACTGAAGACCGAACGTATACGGGCGACGTCATCATGGAGGGGTCAGGGTCCACGTTACGATACCGTCTATGCAGTTGTCAACGAGGGACTCGAGGGGATGCGCGCACTTGCAGTCCTGCGAGTCAAGGCTTTCTTTTCGTTCGACTATGACGACCAGTACTACCCCTGCGCACTGGTGGAGTGGTTCTCTGTGGTCGGTGATCGACCAGACCCACTCACAGGGCTTTGGATTGTAGAGCCCGATGTCAACCGCCGTGGGGATCGGGACACGACCGTTGTCCACATCGATACGATATGGCGCCTGGCTCATTTGATTCCTGTTTACAGCCATTCTTGTATTCCATTTGAACTTCATTTCTCCGATACTCTTGATGTATTCCATTTGTTCTATTCAAACAAGTATGTAGACCACCATGCTAATGAAATTGCCTATTGAACTCTGCTCAAAGTGGCGTGAATGATTAGTCAGTGAAGCTACCAAAATGTGCGCTGACAAAAGCATCAATACGGGTTTTTCCTCTGCCCCTCGAACACTCACTCTCTCTCGCTTGCTCCATGCCCAGAAGGAGCATCGATCCCAATCTAAAACGCGAACGATCCCCTTCTAGCTCGCCACCTTTCCGTGTGCCTCCACGTCGCTGCCAATACAACTGGTCCAATTCCCCCGACCCCAATCGCCCCCCTCCCCTCTTTGATATTGACACAAGCCCTGTCCGACCGATAAAAATTCCACCCTTGAGGAGCCGTAGGAGTGATTCTGCAACCACCACGGCAGCATCAGCTCCTAGAAGCTCCAACGCACCAATGGAAAAAGTGGAGAGGGAAGATAGCCCTGAGGGAATGGAACGGCAGAAGATCGGGTTATACCAGGAAAACAGTGCGTAACAATCTCGACTCCTTTGGTACTTGAAGATATCTGACCATCCTGCCGGCCGTATTCTGCCAGAAACAGCAGAGTCAGCATCGTCTCTCGGACAGTTCAAGCCGCCCCGACTCACTGATCTTACGGTAAAGGAGCGAGGCATCGAAGAAGAAATCAAGGCGAAGATCAATCTACTTTCAGATACACGGCTTCAGCAAGCTCGGTCTGAGATTTCGGTTCTACGCGCAAAGCTTAAACTTCAGGAGACATGGGTTGAGCGGTTGGAGGCGACGCTGGTAGCAAATAAAATCCCTCTCCCAGACTTCCCGGTTGTTCACATTTGAATTGACTTTTTACCCTCGGGTTGTGGTCTTTGTGGTAGTAGTGTAGATCTGCAGTAGTATAAGTATACTAGAAATAACTATTTCGTCATTAATGCCCCATAATGAACCAGTTTCGAGACTCGAGAGACCCGTGAGCGCCGGTGGCTGTGACAGGAGCAATCTTGGTGAGGCCCAGGACTGCGACCTCCGTGGAATGCCATATTATAACGTGGCATTCAATTTCATGACAGAAGGTCAACGATATACCTTTCCTGTACAATTATATATACTCCGTTAAGTTTGTAATACGACGGACCTCGAGCATCAGTGAAAAACCGGACTGGTGCCCTCCAAGCCCCTCCCCCCACAATTGACGTCCCTTGGAAGGTCATACGTCATCGTGGCATTCGATTTTATGGCAGATATACATTCTATTAGCATTCTTATACCTATATATGTACTCGTATTGTCTTACAATACGACGGACGATGAGTATTTCTCGAAACACCTTGTGGTCTTGGGCGCGTCTTGACGCGGCTTGAAATTGATCTGGCTTTTCCGCGCGCGTCTTGATGGACTTGCCCCAAGCCACCAAGCGCGGCAAGCCACATCAGACGCGTGCAGGTTTGCTGATGCCTCCCACCGGATCAGGCGTCCGATGGCAGAATGTAGTTTGCCCACTTCCAAGCCGCCACATCTCTTCGTTTCCCTAAGTAAGGCGTGTCTCTTTGAACGAATATCCATCGACAAAGTCACGTAGATTTCACATATCCCCCTGAATCGGCCACCTGACTGGCTAATTATCAGATGGTTTCACTAATTGTTGTATCAGCAACCACTCGCACCTGCTCGGATGACTGGACAGCGACAGAGCCTCGATTGCTCACGACCGCCGTCACTGCGCCAGGTACCTATAATTCTCCGAGGATATCACAAAACTTATTACCTTGAATTGTGATGCTAACAATAAAGGTTACACCTGTTACGTCCCAATTCAATCACAATATGTCGGCGGAGCTCCTTTTTTTACCCGTAATACGATTTGGGAACGAGACGTGGCCCAAGTCTAGGGTCTGCGCGATAAGGGCGAGCGTTTCACGAAGTATACCCGCCTCTCCCAGGGCTATTTTCGGCTTGAGGGTGACCCGGGAGTATAGGAGTTACATTTCCCGTCCTTCTTCGGCTTGCGGATGATCGACAAAAACCACCATAGAGCACGGATGTAGTATGAGACCTAAGACGTTGCGCATGGCCGCTGGTCCCCCATGATATCCTATTGCCCAGAGGAACGTCGACCTTTGATTCAACCATCACGCACCTGAGTAGCCCAGTCGCCTCTCCTGACCACAAGACCACAGAAACAGTTCTCCGCTTTTCTGCTGTATCAAGCCCCATTCGCATTCTCATCTCGCCCCGTCTCATGATCCATGATACGTGTTCCACGGATGACAACTGACACCTGCCCTGCCGTATGCATACAATACGTCTCCCTCCAAACTTCTTACATAAGTACTACTCACTGACGACCTTGATAGCCAAATTCTCGGATCTTATTGCGCTGCTGTAGAGGGATGATGGAGTGCTGTACTAAGTAGTATGAGAAGAGAAGCGCAGGAAGAGAAGTCATCACAAACGGAGATGATGAAGTTGATAAGGCGTTTCCGTTTAGGTACCGGCTTCTGTCTCTGACATTTCCTTTGAAGGTTCTATATTGGGTAAAAAAGATCCATTAGCAAACAAATGAGGACCCTGGTCCCCTTACTGTAATCCGTTCTTCTTCTCTGCGTCGCCCTGCGTAGAATTCGAACTCTCGTACTCTGTAGAAGCTACATAATGACGAAGTCAGAAGTCAAGAAACTTCTTCGAGACCCATATTTCTTCGGAATCCTTCTCGCTCTAGAATACCTTTCGTACAAACTATGGTTTGATTACCTCGCGCCCGCCGAAGACGTGAGACACAAGCTCTTATTGGAATGAAGACATTTCAATCATATGGGCTCTTTTGCTTGCTGGATTGAGGAGAGAACGCAGTGTAGGTGATGATGGTGGCGTTATAGTAGAACAGACCCCGAAAAAGAAGATCAAGTGCCATGGGATTGTGCAAGGATTGTGCACCGGTACTCTGACCGGGGCCGCCCACAGGCGAGGTTAGAGAGCTGATGAATGGGTGGGCCTGCACATACATACCCTCACGTACCTGGGCAGTGACCAGCTCAGAGCTGTCCCTTTGATCGCTTACCGGAAAGTCGGGTACCCTTGACCTTTGAAGTGCTTCGTAAAAATCTCGCGTATTGAATGGGAACATCGTTCTTCGCGGGATCAAGACCTGACGGCGGCTGGAGGCCTTCGAGAACCCACTGACCATTCTGCAATTCAGTAATAATCCCATTCTTTCATCGACGTCCACAACGATAATTCGATAGTTCCAACAAATGGAACCCAGAAGTACGAGGGGCTGATTAAAGAGAAGAAAAAGGAAGTAAGGCAATTCGTCCTCTGACCTTTTATACACTGCGAAGAAGGCTGCAATGGTGGGGGAAAATAGTACCGACACGACGATCTTTCAACTTAACTGACGGACTGAGGCGGTTCTGCCGAACAGGCAATGTACTCTAGAGGAGGCTATAGGTACTAGGATACGACTAGTTGCCCCGGTGTTGGTGGCTATAGGGCCAGTGCTTCGAAGATCCTTTGGGCGCTCGGGTAACATTGAGCACTTCAAACGTCCGGCCAGCGCAGTCGGGCTAGACGGCGTACTCGAATGCGCTTTGAGACCCATCGTTCGACCTCGGCCTAATCCATCTACCGTGTGTTAAGCAATCCCACCTTCCCTTCTTGATTACCATTTTCATGCGATCTTCTATATCCAGTATATCCATATCTTCCCAATCCCTTTTCCGCTATTTCCCTCATCCTTTACGAATCGCGATCATGGGTTTACACGCGTCCTTACGGGACTACCTTCGTGCCTACAAGTGTGGGCCGAGTACTGTAAGTCTACGATAGTCGCGGCGTACCAGGCAGCATCATCGAAGCCTAAGCCCACCGTGACTGAAGAAGAAGCGTTCTCAACGGGCTGGAATCGCCAACACCACCCAGCGCTGCTGTTTGCTTGTTAGGGAAGGCAGTGATCGATCGGGAGAACTACAAGCCCCGTTCGTTCGTTGGCGATGTGGTGCTGGTGGTTATCAAATTCCAAAAGGAAGGGAAAATCCACAATAAAAATCCACAACCCACATCATTATTCAGTCGTCCCATCTCAGCATTTCACCCACCGTTCCGTTCTCTCCTGAGCAGTTCTTGAGTTCTCTCAGTCTGGACAGCGTGAAAAAAAAAATGTATGAATGCGAATGTAGTCCCAAGACCAAGGCTGCCTGAGGTTGAAACAAGTCACACGGCACAAAGGAATCGAGATCGTGTTTATCATACCTAGCTTTGTATGCACACATGACGCCAGTCTGATATCAGGCCAGGTCCGCATTCAATCCCTGTCCAATTCCTATTCTCCGCCGTGACGCAGAGGTGAGTGAAGGAGTGAGGTCAGAAAAGATAGGAGGGAGGGAGCAATACCCCGCCCCGCCTCCCTTTAAACATTGTCTCCCTTCCTCGCCTCGCAGCCTGTAGTAGTAGCCCACCATATCCACCCAACTCAAAACCCCAACGGAGCGACGACGAGTCATACTTCGATCGGTATTATACGATGAGTACCGTTGGCCCAGGGGACATGGTCTATTTTCACCACGCGGGACCACTCTCGGCGCGGTGTCCGGGGGCTCTGGAACCCTTGTCACAACACAGTCACACTATAATCATGTAAATTTCTATATATTTTCCCTATATATCAATACAAATCATAGCGGTCTATCAATAATAGTACCTAAGGGTGTAGTATATACAAGGGGAGAGGGGGTCATAATCAATAGAGAGCCATTACCTAACACCTATGACGTACCGTCGGCATCTGTCGGTGATCCGCCAATTTTTCGGACGGCGCAGGCTACTGCTGCAAAGCCGTCCTCGTCCTCGTCGTCGACCCCGTCCCCATGAACCTCCTACGAATGCTTCAACCCGAGGCTAAGCCCCTCTTTATCGACTTCGACTTCGCCAACGCGCCCCTCACATCGTCCGGCTTCGTTGCTCGCAAACCGTCCGACGCCCATAAGCGCTCGTCATTTCCGAAAACCCTGAAGGAATTTACGAGGGAGGGATTCACCATCGTGCACTGGGATGGGAGGTGAGTCCTTCATACGATGAATCTCAGAGGCAACATCTCTCACCTTTCTAGAACTCAACGCCCGATGGTCGATCGCAAAACGCAGCGGGTCATTGGACTATTGGCCGGGATCCCTGGCCGAAACTGGAACAACGTCGTTCCCCGAGTGAATTCGGCTCTGAACCACTCCCGACAAACTCTGCTCGCTTGGGAGAAGGGGGGTCCTCCTTCTGCTCGCCGAGGGACCTTTCTCGCCAAACAGACCGGTTACTCCTATGGCGGTGGACGTCGTCAACCGGGCCCCTTCAAGAATTCTCAACGCGTTCAACGCGTTCTGGATTCTATTGTCAAGAGCCCTGATTTAGTCCAGCTTGCTGACTTCATTAGCTGTACGCATCGCGTTTTCGGATTCCTACCGTCGTGCTTACCTTGTCCACAGCATCCCTCTTTACGTGGGCCCCTAATCTATACTGGAACTACAAGGTCACCCTCGACGCGATCGAGAATGCGAGGTCGACCACGCAAGAACTTAAACGTCCCTTCCCTGGGACCGTGTTTCCCGCCTCTACCTTAAACTTCGGCCCTCACACCGTCACCCTCCCTCATCGCGACGCTGCCAACCTGGCCTTCGGATGGTGCGCTATAACATCCTTCGGTTCCTTTGATCCCACCATAGGTGGTCACCTCGTTCTGTGGGACCTCAGACTTGTCATTGAGTTCCCCCCTGGCTCCACTATTCTTATCCCCTCCGCCCTCCTTACCCACAGCAACATTCGCGTACGTGCCCATGAAACCCGTATGTCCCTTACCCACTACATGGCCGGCCAACTCTTCCACTGGGCCGCATGCGACCACCAGACTAAGAAAGAACGAATAGTCCAGCTGAAGATCCCCCGTGAAGAGGTTCACAAGTGGTATCCGACCACAGAGTTTATCTCCCGTGCCTTTGATAATTTTTCCAGATACAAGTCCTAGTCTAGTTTAGCCTGTTCAATGCACCCCATATTACTTCCAAACATATATATTAAACATAGCCCTCTATGTATACTAGTGTGCGTTCAAGATACCAATAAACGTGACAAGTAACGATAATATAGCAAAGAATAAGGGAAAGGTACCTCCAAGAAACCGAAAAGAAATGAGGAAAGAGTAACCTCGCCCTAACGACTATGAGACTGGATATGATCTTCAATGAAAGCATTGGACGACGTTTGTATACTCAGGTGGAAATTGCGTATAGGCGTAATGCCTCGCAAGGCTGACTTCCACTGCTGGAATGCAAGAGGCTGGTCCGAGCTCTCCACGCCATTCTCTATGTCCCGTAGTCGTCGCAAATACCAATCCTCCCTCCGGCTGCACCAACGACCGTAGTTGTCTCCGCAATCTGCGCGTTCGTATGCCCGCGAAAGCGGCCACCAAGACTTCATAGCGGTCACCCCCGTTCCTGAAACCCCGTTTACATCAGTAAAAGTGTCCTAAATAATAAATATAAAAGAGGTTACAGTACTCACTCTCGTCGATGCAAAGATACGCCCCGCATATCAAATCGAGCTCTCTTGCCGTCAAGCTGTCGTCCACGTATTCCCTGTTGCCGTTTTGAAGTTGTATAGAGACGGTAGCCCCGCACCCCACAGGTGGTTTCTGCACGTCACCCAAACCAAGTGTTGCGACAGCCAGGCGCCAGATAATCCCCCCACGACGCAGTGCGGCACTCATATGGGGCTGAGCCAGGACCAGAGTTCTAGTATTGATGTAGCTTTCGTAGTCGGCTTTTGTGAACTTATGACGCAATGATCTGACTGGGAGGGGATTGTAGGGAGGCGTGCGGTAAAGAGGGGCGGGGATGTGGTGACGAGGGAAGAAAAGTCGGAAGGGTATCCCTTTTTGCGCGAGGGCAAAGACGATGTCGTCTTCATTGAAGTCCTCAGCCAGACGACACACAAACAGTGCATCCGCTCCACTGAGGACGGCCAGCTTCCAAACCTTGCTTGTCTCTGGGGGGTCGAAATAATAGTAACGAGGGACGCAGTCGGACAGGCCCTTGTCAACAACGTCTACGTTTCCATACTGCGGTATCGAGACAATGCGGAGACTACAAAGGCGAGACCGGTGCTTCAGAGGATGTACGACATCGTCCTTGAGGTCCCAACATCCTGGGTGAGGAGACTTCCGCTTCGAATGGGAGTTTATGAATTGAAGAGCTGATCGATAGTGGATGGACGCGAAGTACTCTTCGGGCTGTTCTTCGTCGTCACAGAGACCAAGCAGGCGATAGAAGTCCCTCCGTGCCCTGGGCCCGTCGTCAGCAGCGATAGAGACTGAGGGCAGTGGAGGGACGAATCCATAGTGAAGCCCCAACGTTTTATTGACCTCGTCTTCCAAACAAGCTGCCAACCAACTTGTCGATACCCGGAACATGCCCTCCTCGTCTTCAACAAGCGTCGTGTTAATGGCCGATGGTTCCTCTGCTAGATTGAGTGGCTCAAAGACAGATATTGACCGACTTCCTCCCGCCTGTGCCACCGCCATCGAAGCTGAAGGAGGTGACTCCTCCACCACCGCACCCACTTCCTCTTCGTCCTCGTCGTCAACATTTGCACTGTAGGCTTGGGTAATCTTTCTCCTCAGCGATTCAGGTAATGGGAGGTCCAAGTCCTCCGGACCCCACTCTTCCAGGTCAATCTCTTCGTCACCCTCGCCAAAATATTCGCAACAGTCCCATTCTCTGCAAAACGCATCGAATATTTTCTGACGGGAGCTGTAAAGGGCCAGGGTGTCTCTCGAGTTCTTTACTCCAGCTGCGACTCGCTCGAATACGTCTGGATCTCTCTCAGAAGGATACCACTCGTACACCCGTACGTTAGCAACCGGCGGGTTGGCTGCCCTATCTTCACGGGACTGACGCTCTGTTGCCGTTTCTTTTTCCATCATCCGCGCATGTAAGCGTTCGTGGCGTTTGAAGTGTTCCACCCAGGCCGGCTCGGGCTTTGCACCTTCGTGGTGTCTTGCACCGAGGGAAGACGTTGTCGGGGGCTTCTCTTCGGCAGGGAGTGGTCGTTCGGGTGGTCCTGTGAGCATTTCGGGAGGAGGGGCCAGGGAACTGTCTGCCGAGGCAACTTCCACAGGTCCCCATCGGTACCACACCGGTATTCCATGATTCACCAACCACGAAATAGTTGGCTGGTCAACCGGCGGGTTAACGATGTCCACGATACACCCGATTCGGTTTGCGTTGTAGGAGAAATCACTCAAAGAGGAACGAAAAACACCGTCAATCCACGCCATCTCTACCTCTGATTCCAATTCGGCGTGCCACTCTGGGACACGGCTGTTGAGAGTGAAAGTATCGCGTTTCGATTCGCCATACGCAATCAAAAAAGACAGTGCCCCCCACCAAACCGAAAACCAGTCCCTCGAAAACGCGACACACCGGTCATAACTCCTCGGATTTCTGAACGTTTGCTGGTATCCATGAGCCCACGGCAGAAAAGGGAGTACCATGGGAGCCGTGAATTTTGACTTGAGTTTGGTGACAGCGCCGAATAGCTCGGCCTCCAGCTTGGACCAGCTGTGGAGGAAGGAATCGGGCAAACAGTACGTCAAGTCCCCCTCAGTTCCAAGGGTTAGGGGATGGGGGATACGCTTGAGGCGATTGAAAGGGTATCCTTGGTCCCAATACCGCAATGGAACGAAAGCCATCCATCCAAACGGGAGCGTCCACAACCGGGGGGTTGAGATTTCTTCAAAGGTGGGATAACGTTGTCTGAACTTCTCATGTGAGGTCACTTGCGCTGGGCCGTTAGACGACGAGGAGGTAGGTTGACCTAGTGTGCGACGTTTCGCCGGTTGAAACGGGTTTACATTGGCGGAGAGGAAGGGGTCCTCCTGTAAGACAAGCTCCCTGCTGCAGTTCGGAGAGTAATATAACACGCCATGCACCGATTGAAGACGTCCATGTCTCGCGTTCTAATCCCCAATCAGTGTCCAGACTACATGTTCAGAATAACGATTGAACGAACCTGCACAGCACCTGTCCCCCTCATTTCCAAACACTCAAGCACCGATTATCCGAACACAATAGTCCCGGCCGTAGAAGCTGTTAGAAAGCTGCAATATTTCGACGCCTCGACTGCGAGCACGACGAGATATGGGCCTGACTAGCGAATGGCAAGCGGATTTCGACGCCTCGTCAACGAGCACGACGAACTCCGTTAGTATTAGAGGATACACGTAAATGTTGTGACTTCCCAACGCCTCGGCTTCGAGCACGAAGGGATGCAGTCGTAGGTTGTAGTGGAGGAGGTGGTGGTGGTTAATGAGGCCAAGCTCGGTGCCTGAGCCTCCCATAACACCGCCACTGATGGGTTCCCGCGCGAGGACCCTGTTCCTCAGCCACAATGGCTTGTGCTCCTCCACCACCACCACGACGCGGCCCATTCTGGGCAAACTCCTTTGCTTCGTGCTCGGAATCGAGGCGTTGCAAAGGAGGGCCCTACATCGTCTGCTACTGGAGTATGACCATGTGCATCGTGCTCGGAATCGAGGCGTTGCGCAGAGGTCTTTTCGCAAAGTTATTGAAGCCTTATCGTGTTAATTCCCTCGACAAAAAATCTTTGTTCTCAAGGCCGTCGCCGAAGTCTGGGTTCGACTCTGATATCAACGTTCAATGCGCAAGGATGATTCGGCGTTGAATATATGAGGTAACTTTATCGACGCTACTGCTATCCGGCAACTAACTAACCAGTCGTCTTCAAGGCCTGTCGTCTCCAAGGAAGAGAATGTATGGGCCTAACCCTATTCTCCTCCCTCCTAAACCGGCCGGCTACTCTAGCCAGTGAACATCTGGGCTCAATCAGGTCAGATAACGGAGGCGTATATTACAGCAGCATAATTCTGCGGCGATTGGTAGTTTTGGGAGTGCATTAGCTGTGAGAGTGTGTTCTAAACCCCATCTCTTACAAATAAAGAATGTTTGAAAACAATATTTCTCGAAATCATTCGCTTTTGGCTCCCGTATGTGTACGATACCTTTGCCAGTCAAAAGTCCAGGCAGGTTCACCGGTATAGGTCGCGTCGCCACTATTGCTCCCGAAATCCAGGTCACGAGAAATGCGTAGCAAAAATCGCTATTTTCTCGTGACTTCGCCAAGACCAAAGAGGTCTATTAATCCGTCAGCCTTTTCCGTTCACTCGCCGGCTCATTTCCCCCTCATGGACTTCACAACTATTCCATTATTTCGCATTCTCACTCCGTTCCGGACGATAGCGCCCTTGAGCGGCAAACCGTTGGATTTTCATCTAGGTCCAAACTCCCCTTGGCAGGTAACTCACTCCCCCTATTTCCCCAAGGAAGCGAGCTCACGTTTATGCCCAGCAACTGGCGGCTAGCCTGGAAGACTTGGATATAAATATCGCGCGGAGAACAGCTACACCCTGGGGGCCTTACACCCCTGCCGATATACTAGGCTTCCCAGACTCACCCAGCGACTGCGGCCTCGACAGTATCAACGCGCACCGAACCGGCAAAGAGCACAAACTTACCAGCAAGGTGATCGATCCTCTCGCCTCGTACACGACGGCGTGGAAATTATTCGACATTGCAGTTGCTGAGGAAGCGGAGATTTTCGAAACCGGGGCATTACAACACCGCAAATGCGACGGACCATGGATGGGATCCATCGCGGTAAGTCATTGCAACAATCTTAGAAGGCGGTGAGATTCTGAAATCTTTTGCAGTGTCTCACCGAGCTCGAGGATATCCATGCTCTCATCCAGTCCGTGCTCTGCCGACACGAAGCTCTCGACGCCATAGCAGTTACCCCAGCCCGCCCCTTCAGCAACAGGCCCGAGGAAGTCACCGCAATGCTTGCCGATGCTGCAGTGCTCGCAAACTCGGCACGAGTTGGGTTGAGGGTGGTGGAAAACATTGCGCTACTGTCATTTGGCATTAGTCTTATGCTCCAAGTGAGTTTCAATCGTCGATATTTAAGCCCGCGAAAGCCGTAATTAACCTTTTTTCGAGGGCTACACCGACCTTCCTACAGAGATGCGAGACCTACATTTTCTCCAGGCCTCCGGAATCGCGGCTCCCTCCAAGAAAAACGTTCGAAGGGTGATGAAGCAGATAAAGCGCGTCAGAAACGGACTCATGTGCTACACCCTTCTGTCGTCGCTAGTTGTTTTAACCCAGAACATGTTCGACGCCGACCTTTGTCCCGAAGAGATTTTGCACGTATGTTTTTCAACCGCCTTCACTCGTGAATGCCAATTGACACCCCAGCCCAAATCCTTCAGGGCATGCGCCACTTCGGAACAGCCCATCCGTTACAGCTAAGGCAATTGGAAAAGGCTATCAACAAGAGCATCCTAGCCTGTTCAATCGGCGCAATAACACCCTGGCAAAGTTGTGAACTCATTCTCTCATACCTCAAGGAACCCCATATCCAAAAAATCGAGGATTGCCCCACCGCGCGGTTTTACTACTCTCGAGGTTCGTCCTGTCGCTTTCCCATGACAGAATATTCACCGGGCCACCTATAGGGTTGCCGTCTGCTTATGACCCAGACGTTCCTCTAACGTTTGCTTATATCGCGTCGCCGATTCCGCCGTCAATTTCCCTCCCGAGTTCGACGTTCGACTACATCTCAATCGACAGTCAGCCTGTTGTGCCAATCGACCCGCCATCGCCCGAAGACCACTCCGCCGATCCCCTTATTCCGCCTCGCGACACCTCTCAGATTCAAAGCGCTTCTCAGGCGCCACCCGCCCACCAAACGACACCCCAGACGGCTCGAAGTGCTACACCCAATACCAATGTCACGGCCGCAGGGGAAGGGGTAGGACAGGCGGATGACGTTCAGAGTGGACCCGAGGACGATTGCGTTTCCGAGCAGGGTCAGGAGGATCAGGCACAGGCGGATGACGTTCAGAGTGGACCCGAGGACGATTGCGTTTCCGAGCAGGGTCAGGAGGATCAGGCTGAGGATGACAGGTCGAACGAGGTGGTCCCGACGGCCGACGGTGAAGGGGAGAATGGAACAGGGAGAACAAAACCTCGCCTGAAAGACCCGAGCCTCGCGGGAAAAAAAGGTTCAGACAAGCAGTATCCTTCACGTCCCAGGCAACAGCCGGGCCCAACTCGGCCCAGGCAGCAGGCAGTTGAGGTCATTGACCTGTGCATGGACTACGAGGATCTCCATTCGAAACCACCACGGGATCGAAAGCTTCTGGCTAAGAGGATCGTGTCCTCTGTCAAGCTAGGAGGGGAGGTATGTGCATGCAGTACTTTTCATAATTCCACTCCTCACGCAACCTACTCTTCCAGGATACAGGCGACAGGTACGCGCAGACTAAGCCTAGGCTAGACGTAAACACGGTCACAAAGGTACGAATGCACTTGCCGATTGTTGTTCACACTTTTCTCATAATACTTGGCTAGTACTATTCTCCGGGTAAAGGGCTGAAGATCAAGACGTGGAACGGATGCGGAGTCCAGGAAGAATACACTCCCTTCTTTCATGTAATTCATAACAACGCTCTCTCAAACGTTGGGCTGACAATTTTCTGTAGCACAAGTCAGATCACGACGCATGGGCTAGCATTTTCAGCACCTCAGGGGCGAAGGACTCGGCCTCGCCGCCCCCCCACGTAGCGTCGCCCAAGGCATCGCAATTCTATTGTTGTACCGAGCCAGAGTTCCGTAGCCTCTCTGCTGCGAGGGTGCAACAGATCCTTGAAACCCAGTGCATCGTAGTCACGGGTGGGTCGTACATGACCTATCCCTTTGGAATCGATGTCCTGGAGACTTTGGGAGACATTGATGATGAGACGGACGTCCAAGGCACGTTATCACGCTGGAAGTCTATTAATTGCTGGCGCTGACGCGTAGACATAGACCAGTCAATCCCCGTTGTAGACGGTGACTTCCAAGTTCGCGTTTGCACAGGTTCGGCCAGACAAATCTTCGAGGCGTCTTTGGCGTCGGGACGCAAACGCAAGGCGTGCAACGGACTCTCGTTTCCACTCCGTCATGCTGCCGTCCTTCCTTCTCCTTATTCGAGCGACGTCCGTGCCTTTTTGCGGACCAGATCCGAGGAAGGGTGTATCGACGAGCTGCCTGTGAAGGACATACGATTCGGTTTGGCGGCGACAGAAGGGGCACATCACTATTGGCATATCGATAATCGTGGGGAGTGTACGTACGTCTCAGTGCTGGCGGGTCAGAAACTTTGGGCAGTTGCTAGGCCATTGGATGGGAACTGGTGGGCCTCACTTGATGCCTTCACAGGGGAGGACTTCAGGGTGACAGAGTTGGATTGCTCGAAATGGGAGACTGAAATGGTCCGGTTAGACCCAGGGGACACAGTGTAAGCCTCGTGTTTAATTTGGCTGAAAGAGACTTTCACTGATGCCATTCAAGAATCATGCCTCCTGTCACTCTCCATGCAGTGTTCACGAGCGCTCATTCGGCGTGTCATGGCGGCCATTTCCTGGCGAGGTCTTGTCTGAAAAGGACAGTGACTGGAATGGTTCACACTTTCTTCGAAGGCAGTGTGATAACAAACATTGATCACCCGTCTTTCCAGTCTCGAGTAAACTCGTACGCGTGTTTCCTTTACAAGACACTAGGCATCGGAGACACGCAGGACAACGGTGCGACGTCTGATGGTTGAACATGGCGGGGTTACTCATGAGCAGAACAGATATTCCCCACCTCCCAGACATTGATACTCCTCAGGGCCTTTACGACCTCACCTTGGTAGCCTGCGCAATGGAAATCCAAGAGATCATATGCCCGCTAAGCTATCAACCGGCCTCGAGGGAAGACTGGGGCGACTATGTTAAACCCTCTCGCCTTGGCGACCTCCTCTACAAGAGCAACATTTCTGCAACGTCCCACACCTCCCGGGTCCAGACGGTTTGGGCTCGTGGCCGCATTCACGAAGCGTTGAAAAGTGTTTACGGCGGGGTTGTCATGACTAGCCCAGAGGGCGAGGAGATTGACGGATGGCACCTCTTGTTTTTCCCAATGCTCGGGTGGCTTCTGAAGGCCCTCAAGTGTTATTATAATCGCTCAAGGCCCCGGTTAGACATCGACGAGTCACTTTTTTCCAGGCAGCTCGAGTGGGTGACAAAGGCTTTCCCGTCAGCCGCAGAAGAAACGGATGCCCTGAGCGAAAGAGAGGTCAAATCTGTGCTCCCGCCCTTACCAGCTTTCACCGTGGCCAGAAAAGAGAAAGGTATGCTTTTCCCAGTTATCGCAAAGTCTGTCTGCTGACATGCCTCCAGCGAGGACGCGTAGGAAAAACACCACCAGCGACAGCATCTTCATGAGTGGTCTGAGGGACGGTGACATACTTTTTTTCTCAGCCTACAACTCGATTATGAACGTCTCAACGAGGTCGAGGGTTTTGGGATCAGCAGGGGAAAAGAGGAAAGAGATGGCATAGTAGAGGACATAGGGCGTTAGGATTACATTGAATGTGATTACTTTTTATTTTTCAGACCTAGAGCGGCTGTTCAGGAGGTGAGAAGGCTATTGATTGCCATGACCCCACGAGGAGACGCGGTTCGGCGTTTCTTCTTGGGTCGGGAAGGAGAAGCAGGGTCATCCTGACCCTGGTGTCCGGGCTCTTCGAAAGGGTCGTCCGCTGTATATTGAAGGAACTTGAGTCCGAGCGCATTGCAGTACTGGTTCTGACTGCAATCCTGGAGGTGCTTGTCGATAACAATCTTGATCTTGCTGGGCCCGCCGTCCCAATAGACGGGACTATCTTTTGCTTTGGATAACCTGGGAGGACGTCAGAGGGGAAGGTTACTGCTGAAACAAAGGAGACTCACGTGTGACATTGGGGGTCAACCAGACAAACACGGCCGGAAGAATCACGCCCTCCTGTAAGTTCCCTAGGTCAATAAGGCCACGGAAGGAGCACAGGGAGGACCCCGAACCTTGGAGGTCACAAAAGACGAGGTCGCCCCCGGAGTACACATATGAGAAGTGCGCAAACGCGTGGACTGCAGCGGTTATAGCGTCTTCTGGGGGGCCCATCTCGTCGTTGCCAGTGAACTTGCGGAATGGTGGATCGAAGGGGCCACAGCGTAGCAAAGGTGTTGCGAGAAACCAGTGGTGGGGGAGGTGGGCCTGGGTGTCAGGCTTTGGGATCAAGGACCCAAAAATAGCTTCCTTGAAGTCGAAACAGAAGTTGGGGATTTTAACATTGAGATCTTGTGCCAACTGGTCGAATGCTTGCTTGAAATACTGTCCTTTGCACATGAGAACGTACTCGGCTCGAAGGAGGAGTCGGGCATTGTGGGGGGAAAGCTGCTGGTCTTGGAGGACTGCAACCGCATATTCCTTCCAGCCAGTAGAAGTAGCCATTCGTCCCTGTAGAGAGCTCAGCATGGTTGGGAAACGTCAGCATGATGGGGTACTAACGTAGTAGGCGTATTTGCTGGTCCCTTTCCCAATGAAGCCGGGGTTGGTACTATTAGCTTCCAAGTTCTTGGAAACCAGTATGGTCTCCGTTTTTTCAAGTGTTGAGGCTTGAGACCACGATATGTCAGCACCATTCTCAGTAGAGGCGGTGACACGAAGGAAAGTGACTTCTACAAGAGGAGGGTCTCTGGAGAACTGAGGGGAAGGCTCGCTTGGGCGGGCGCTAGCCCTCATGTACACGCTTCGACGTACCACCTGCTGAGCAGACGGACGTGAATGCAACACCCGTGCACTGGCCTTGGACTGCGCGGGAGGTACCGCACTTTTGGCTGTGGACTGCCTGAGGGGGATAGCAGACTGGAGGCCTTCAGAAACCCCCGAAATGTAGTCCTGCATTTCACAAGTATTATGAGTAGGAGGAAACAAAAGCGTCGGGAATGACGAACCGATTTCTCATCAAAAGCAAACCATATCTCAATATGGCGGTCTGCGACTTGGGAAGGTTTGAGAAAGTTTTCCTGGACCAGGTAGTTGAAAAGGGCCAGAATGCTATCGTTTTTGTCGAAGTGATCGATGGAGACGGCCTTATTCGTGCCTTCTTGGAGGTGGACGGTTACCTCCTCCCTTTGGTGTGAAACTGGTCAGAAGATATGACCTTGGGGATAGAGATGTCTGCTCACCAACTGGGCTCATTACGCTCGGTGTCTGGGGACAACTTCAGCAATCGGTTGTGAGTGCGACCAAGGAGGCACGCATATCCCTCGACAACCTTCGTCGCCGCAGGTTGGATAAAAGTATGCCCTTCCCTGGTGCCGGGAACCTGGGACAAACGGTGACGTGTGAGGATGGAAAAGCAAAGGTGATAGCGACGCACAGGCCTGAGTCCTTTGTGGTTTGAGAGGTAGAGGGTGCTCGAAATGCGGATGGCGACTTTTTTGTTTTTTTCCCTTTCGAGGCTTGCTTTTTTGGCAGCGTTGTATTGGTGGGCCTTGGCCAGGTTACTGAACAACACAGGATTAGGCCCGGTACCAGTGACCCTTGGCTTTTGCCCGAGCCTTGTGCCACTCGCGCTCTGCTGATAGGACAGAGCACGCTCCAGCAGCTGCTGGGACTGAGGATTTGTGGCGGCAGAGCCATCAGCGGAGGCGGCGAGGAGCTGCTGGGAAGCGCGGGGATCCTGAAGTAACTCCAGCGGAGCGCTACCGCCCGCCTCTGGTAGTCTGTCAGTTGAAGAATCAAAAGGGATATTGATTAACCTACTATAAAACGCAACACATAGGTTGCACAGAGGCCCGTTGGATAAGGTGGGAAGATCTCCATAGACGCCGCAGCCAGAGCACTGGGGCTTCTCCTATAGGTGTCGGGAGTAAACAACGAGCACTGGCTGCGCAAGGAATTGACTAACGTTAAGCTGGGAAACCAAGAGGGAGGAGAGACCAGGAGTGCGAGCACGGCATTTGGGACAGGGCGGGTTTTCAAGTCGGAAGAACCGATGGTGGCATGTGGGACAAGTGGTCTGACTCATTGTAGAGGATAGAGGTGACGCCAGCGAGAGAGGTGAAAAGTTGAGACAGGACGAAGAGAAGAAGCGAAACGAGAAAAAAAAACCCTTTTAAAGACACCAGACCATGTCCCCGTAGCTAGCAACAGGGCATGTCCTCTACAATCGGGATGCTGGGCCGAAAATGGTCAAGTTCACAAGTGCGTTCACAGTGACGGGGTCTAAGGAACCATGTGTTTATTTATGGAGGATACGTCTCTTTTGAAGTGGCGAAAGGTCTAATCTAAAGGAGTGAGGGCTACTCGAAGGGCTCTAAAGACATCCCAGACATTCGCAGTACTGACGTCGGCTATAGTTAGCCCCAGCTGATTTGCGAGAGCGTCCTCGAATTGAGCTGCCAGTTCATCTTCCACAAACTTAAGGAGGTCTTCGCCACCCATAGCCCTCTGGAGGTCTCGGACAACCTCCAGCTGATCATCTTCGAGTGGCTGGAGCAAATTCTGCCCGCCCCACTCCTCGTAGAAGATGAAGGCTTCGTCTCGAGAGCACCCTGAAGGACCGGCCTTGTCTTTGTCCTTGCGCATCTTTGCCCCGTTTCTGAAAGTGCAAAACTCATCGAGAGTTCGCTGGAGCATCCGGGACCAGAGCCAACGGACTAGGGCCCTGGGCATGTTCTCATAAGAAAGATGGTACAACAAAAGGCGAAGAATATGAAGGACCTACACTTGAAAGGCATCCGTGGTGTTGAAGACGTTCTCTTCCAGCCCCTTGGTGTAGACACTATGGGCGTTATTACCCCAGTCAAGGCGCAGTCGGAGCCACGCCCGTTCAATGGAAATGTTGTGCACACTGCGCATGTAACGGACGGCTGGAAGCTCGTCAACAGGGATTTCGGGAACGAAGATTTCGCTACAAAGAGGTCAATAGGTGAAGCAAGAAGGAGACATTGAAGAGACCGCACCGCAAAGCATTGGCCAGCCCAAAGGTTTGGGTAGTTTCAGAGCCGCAATCCATGGAGAGCTGAAGCGGGAGCCCTGGGGGAGGCTAAGCAGTCAAGAACTCGCGGGTAGACCTGGCAGCATACCTTTGTATTTCTCGACGAGAAGGAGAAACAGATACCCGATCACGTTATTCAAACGGTTATTGGGTACAACCCATGCCGCCAGCCAGCGGCCTGTTGCATCATCAACAAAGGCATAAACAGGAAAGCCAATCCGGGAGAGCTTGTCGTGTCCGTCTGCAGCCCAGCGTTCATGTATGCCGACGGGAACCTTCTTGAAGCGGTATATACGCTTGGAATTGGGGCTGCGGTAGACAAACCCTTCTGGATCGTGGATGTGCATGACATCTGTGATAAGGTGACGGGGGATGTGCTTTTGGAAGCGAAAAGCAATCAGGTCTTGGACAGTGGACTTGCCATGACTCTTGGTAGGGTCTGTTTCAAGGATCTGTAACACGAGGTGTTGTACCTCTTCAAAGGTCCAGGTAACCTGTTTGGAGCGGCTGCCATAGAGCTTGAGCTCATTTCGACGCTTCTTGACTGTGTTTATGCTTCGTAGAAAGGGGTAGAGTTAGTGGTGAGAGCTGGGAGTGGAAGGATAGGGCGTACTGCATGTTAATGCCATGCTCAACGGATAGTCGCCTCTGGATGTGCTTGTTGGACGATATTCCGGCCATGTGATAGGCTCTAAGAATGTCGGCAAACCATTTATCCGAGGCCTTGGCTAAAGGAGGAGAGGAGTGAGCGGGAGAGGTTTGAGGACGAAAGAAACGGGACATACGGACTGGAGGGAACTGGTTTCGTCCCTCAGGGTTTCGGTTGTGCGACATGGAGTGGTAGGGAGTGGAGGGAAAAAAAGTCATGAGATGAATATGGGCCAGCTTTTGTAGCTCGAATTCCCAGGTGAGTCAGCAGACCCCAATGGGCGACCGGCGACCCCTGGGGGACACATGGCCAGATCGAGCCGGGGAAACATAGTTTCATTCGCTTATCATTCACGTGAACCCTGCAAACAAAGCAAAAAGGAGAGAGGGTGGGTTGTGAGAGGGTCTCAATCTGTCCTGATCCCCTATTAATGCACTCTCTCTAGTGCTTGACTTCTCCAGGTCATGAACGTTACAGGCGAAGGCGCAGAGTCTTGCACACACACCACACCTTGCGGCGGAAGGCTGCAGTCCCCGAACACGTGTAGCCAGCATGGCAACAAGGCTGCCCACTCTGGTGGGGCTAGGTGAGTGTGTCCTGGGGCTCTTGCCAGAGGTGTTGACGGGTTAAATGCGTTCAGGACGAGCCTTACCGAGTCGGACGGCGGGGCCTATGCGCATAGAAGCAGACAGGACGAAGAAGGCAGTGGCACGTACGTAACGGATCGACTAAGGTACTCTCACGTCGTTCAACTTTGATGCAGGGCGGATATAACAGTTGTCGATGATGGAACTGAAGTAGAAGGGGTGAACTGGCAGGCGATACTCCAGCACAAGTTCCAAGAGGCGCCGTATTACTATTTTGCTGCGAGCTCAGTGGCAAACAAGACGGTGGAGAGATTGTGGAGAGAGGTGGCAGGCAGAACGAATGAGTAGCACGTTAACCTTGCTGAAGTAGTATCTCTAAGAAAGTCGACCCCAAGTTAATGATATGGTCTACATACAGGCTACATCTGATTCCAGACTATTGATAAGTGCAACTACAGGTGCGTTCGCATCTCAAGGTCACGAGAATCTGGTCTTCCTGGAGGCCAGATTCTCGTGACCTTGAGAAGACTTGGCAGAGGGCCGAAGCATCGCGCCCATTGCCTTTCTAGGCCTTGCCAGCCCCACCCCCCCCCCCCCCCCGAAGAACGACGTGGCGATTGAGTTTCGTGATGTCATGTGCGTTGGATGAATGCATGCTGGACTTTCCTTAGCTGGGCTGAGGGTCTGGGTGTAGTTGTTGGGTAGACGCCTGAATGGGAAAGCGTGACAAAAGCGTGACAGCATGGGACCCCATCAGACTTTGATGGTGAGTTTGTGGTGTGAAAATAGACTTTGTCCCCTGGGCCAACGGTAGATGAGGCACTAGCTTGGCAAACGTCGGGCATCACCAATCAATTCGGGCTGGGCGAGGTGAGGCGGCGGGGTGGCCTCCGTGCACCGAGAGAATATGAGGGGATATGCGACCCCGTACCGGGCATTTCTAGATGGTAAACCCAAGGTAAGCTTGGGGAGGGTCCCGGGGACGACATTCTCATTAGCAAATCCCGGACACTAATAGCTGGTGGGATATCGTTGCCGCGCTGTTTGGTAGCTCAGTAGCATTGTTCAGACATATTGCGATTGACCTCAGCAACATGTATGGGAGTGCATTGGGAGCTGGAGTCGCGGGGTACAAGATGATGGATTGATGGGGAACACACCGCCGACGCGCGAGTTGCTCCCGTTGCACTCCACTGAATTCCTGAATCTTCGTAGCATTGAAGTAAAGCACTAACCGAAACTGCAGAAAAGTAAGTCCAAAGGGGACGGCGGGACGCCACTTCCCTAAGAAGATTGGAAGATTGTGTGCTGACACAGCACACCGCCGCTCAAGTCACCATCAGCAAGAGCATCGCGTACAATGTCGATTGGGGGGTCTGGTATACCACTAATTCTCTAATTACCTAGTGATTGCAGCCTCAAGGGGGACTCGAAGACCCTAGGCGAGCCGACTGCATCAGCGTCGCCGCCGTACAGGCTCCTTTCGGAGGCTGTTCCCAGGATCGTAGAATACCGATCGAACGATACCACGAGCGACGACCTTCCGGGCGCAGAACACCACTGATAGACGCAATAGGCATCCACCCAAGGAGGATTTAGCGCGGGTGAAATACAGCACACACACTCGCCGCTTGACGCAGGGCCCACACTGGCACCGCGACAGCTTGGGGTCGACTTGCAATCAGAGAACACTATTCCACGTGGCCACCCGTCATCCCGTCCGCCTTCAGCCCTGTCAAACACCCTGGCTTCGCGCCTTTTTGTCCGGTAACTTACCTTATTTGGGGGATGTCCGATGTTCGGGGGCTCTTATCCCACGAATTCAGCCCCGGGCCCTTCGTGGAGACTGGAGAGAGTGTCTCTGGCTTGTCGTGATCAATCCAAACGAGCGGGCGAAGTTCGCACCTTTTTGTCTGTTTGGGTTTTTGGCAAGAGATTTGAGCGGGAGACGCTTCTTAGGCGCGACTGGGCCCGCTCAGTTCAGACTGGTACGGACTCCCCCACCTTGCTATTATGTAGTGGGATTCAATTCGTCCCCCCAGAGTTACCCTTTCGTCGGAGTACATAGGTGGTGCGAGTCGTAGTCTGTATTGGAGGCTGGAGCTGGCCGCTGGGCCTGGAGAACCCGAAGGAGAATTGTGTGAGAGGTGTGAAAATTCTGCGAATTTGAATTGGCGGATGTTTCTTTGATGCGGATTCCGGAGGGGTCGTCGACGCGGCTGGGGAAAGATAGGGGTGCCATGATCGAATACTTGGCCTTGGGCTCTGGTCTGGCTTGGTGGAATGGAGTGCTTATCGCGGAATGTAAGTAGCTTCGACTCGGAAGTTCCTGGTTCTGTTCTAGGTTTCACGCTCGAGAAGATACTTAGTGCTGATTTCTCGAACGCCTCGAGGTGGATTATTGGATACCCGTGGCATGTCCAAGAGCCTGGCAGGCGGGTAATATGGGGTCTGATCTCAGAAGGCTGAGAGGCGCGCTAATTAAGTTGGCGCGAACGTCATGCGTTACGCACTGACACTTCGACGAAGATGATTGAATTATACCACGCGCCTTCGATGAGGAACGTTAACCTAAAGCTAAGAATGTTTTACTCACTGCTTAGAGGGGGAGCCAGGTCCTGGGCAACTGAGCTATCGACTATCGAGCATCTTCCCTTCGAACACACTTGGTCTGAAGAAAGACGGGGTGGAAGCGATCCATCGACCAATTTAAATCCAAAGTCCTATTCTATCCGCGAGAGTCCTATTCCAAGTTGTCTTGAGCTAAACAAAAGCTAAATGAAGCCCGATCGACGTGCGTCCTGGTAGTCTTAATTATGCGCTTTCTCCTTCCATCCTTCCAATCTTCGCGAAGTACCTTTATAGACCCTTAGGTCCAAACCTTTATCTCCATCCGCCGTTCGTACCTTTGGCTATAGCCTCCTTGTACTAGTACTCAACTCGAAAGTGGATGTACATGTGACAGGGGTGCAAGTAACTAAAAGATGTACTTGAACGTCATGTCTGGAACGAGCACACCATTGAAGCAGCTATCTACTATACCCCTTTTCGTGAAGTTTAAACCTAGGCAGCGGATGGGCGCTTAATTTTTTACTTTTACGGTTCAACGTTTCGACTTTTACCCTGTTCCGTTCAAGTTGTTGTGCAGCGGCGGCGATTGCGGGTTCAACGGATTGCGGATTGCGGACGGTCGGAACGAATAGATGGATGGATGAAGACGTGTTTGTTGTGATTAGTGAAAAGGGTTCGTGGAAAGGTAAGTAGAAGGACCCGAATGAAATGAGGCTGGTGTATGTGTGCAGTGTTTGGTGCGAAAGGGGTGTGGAAGGAAAGGAAGGAATGTGTGCTCCACCGACCGAAAGTTCAAAGAACTCGTAAGTACTACTCTCTATCTATGGAAAGAAGAGCTTGTAGTCTATCTATCTATCTATCTATCTATGGCCCCCGAGACCGAGGCGGAGGGTATGATACTGTATCAGGTGGCCTGTCGAGCAGACCTCGTTCCGTTCAATTTGAATGAGGACTGAAGTTCGACATGGAAGCAACGTCTTGCGTTAATGAAAGAACGAGGCATGTAGACGGTTCTGCTGATGTTCGTTCTTTATCCTAAATTATCTTCGATGGCTGGTCATCTTAAAATATCTTCGTTGGAACCATGTTCTGGCCCCTCGACGCGGGTGGAAGTTCTAATTACTTACCTACTTACTTACGCCAGGTTATAATTATGGCTGAATGTACGTATCGATTTCGTGGTTCCGTTAGTACTCGGCGCTCAGCACACACATAGAAGAATAAGTTGCAAGAAACCCGACTTCCTGTCCCTAGAAAACACACTGGCAGCACGTCGAATATAACCCCGACTCCAGTCTCCTTCGAATGGGTGGAATAATCAATTCTTCGTCGTTCGAGGAAATCTCGAATTGGAACTTCAAGGAACGCCGTCTTTTCAGCGCAGGGTAAACATAGAACACCTGGCCTATGTCATAACCTGTTCCAGTTCCATCGAGCGATTACTTACTACTTATTGGTTCCATTGAGTGATTGGAAAGAGCGGGCGCACTAAGTATGTATGTAGTACGTATTGTCCGTCAATGTCACTGCACCGTCAAGATTCAGATAAGGTAGAGGCCACCAGGTACTAGCACCCTTATGTAAGCAGAGGTCTTGGCGCCAAGAGCGGCGAAATTTGGACTTTCGCATTCGAAAAAAAAAGTGAAGCTCCCAGGTATAGTGGAGAGGGGAACTGGGACTATTTCTAAGCCTCGTAATGGTCGAATTACCCATGGTTGGAACTTTTCTGAGGCTACCACAGCCCGTTGCATAGTCATCTGGTAGATGAGGGGCTAAGTTTCCTAAAATGGACGATTGTCTTGGCGCCAAGAGCGGCGAAAAAGTCGTTCCCGAAATTCCTATTTTTCTCTCTCGACGCAGAAGTGCTCAAAACACCATTTGGGGCGTTTTTAGTGTTTTGGAAAAAGTCCTTATTTCTCACCCAAATAAAAATATTTTTTAAAACGGAAAACTGGGAGCTCTTCCAATTCATGAAAGGAAATGTTCCCTGAAGTCAGATACGCGATTGGTATCTTCATCGTGACCCAATAACGCTCGACGTTGGCGGGGATTCTGGCTTACATAAGGGGGTGCGAGTACCTGATGGCCTCTACCTTACCCTTCTTCGCTGTCAATCAACATCAAATCAAACGCCCAACCCTATGTAAGTCAAAGTGGGGGCCGGGGCTGGGGCTGGAGAACAAAAGGATACATATATAGATTGGATTTACGAATTTGTGTGTGGTTCCCTTCCTTGGATCCTTGGGTGGGGAATATTCTATTCTCTCGTGCGTCTGAAACGATTTCGATGTGAATATACTTGGGGTTTGGTAATTGGAATTTGGATCTGCGAGTACGGAAGGAAGGAGGGAAGGAAAGCCCACTGATACATATCTCTGGTAACTTGTTTGAATAGCGGAGGTGACGGACGCGGGAAGATTGGGGTTTTTGGCCTGCGGAGGACGCTGGTGTAATCAGAGTAGGACATACTAGTCCAGGGTCATCGCGTCATAGAGTACTTAATGTTTAACTGTAGCCATCTAGCGCTCGCCAGAGATTACATTTGAGAAGACATGAGGCTCAGGATTAGTCCTAGTCGGATATAAATTCGGAGGGGAACACCAGGGAGACTCGAGAGAGACGCGACTGCAAGTCATCAGCGCGATACGTCGGGTCGATAACGCCGTTCTGCGACCCACAACCCGTTGTGCCTGCACAGTTTCAGAGAAGTTCAGAAATCGGGAAACAGCAAGTAGAGCCCAAGGTTCTTGACATCTCATCAAGGGTAGCGGACGCGTGAGAGATCCCCTCCCCAGGTTCCGTTTCCCAAGTTTTTTCCCAACCCAGCGGTGGATGGAACCGTGGACGTGAACGATCCACGGGCGCGGTTTTCTGATGGGAGATAGTCGCTGAAACAAAATCAAAAAAAGAAAAAGGGGAAAAAGGAAAAAGGGATGCGTTGGTTGGTTGGTTGCATGGATGGAATGCCATGAGAGAAATGGAAATTCCGTCGCGGCTGTTGGTAGTCAAAGCAAAGGTTGCAGGTCATTCTGGCGTTGGTTGCCAGTGGCACAGATGGGAAAGGGACAATTCGTTTTTTTGAGATGGAGCGGAAAAACGACTAGGGTATCCGGTGTATGCGGAGTCTGGGTACATGGAGGAGAGGTGGATGTGTGTGATAAAAAAGAGTGCGAATCGGCGAATAAGATTGGGTTTTGGATCCCGACAACGTGGCTGCGGTGGGAGTTGGCGGGAGCAAGATGTGACTCACGTGGCGGGCTAGGGACGTATGTCCGAGAGGGGTGGGGCCGGGGCCGTGCCGCGTGAGATTTTAGGTCTTGATGGGGAAATGTCGAGGAGCATGCAAACATGCGTGCATGATAGCGTTATGTTTTCGGAAATTGGAAGGGCGAGACGATTGTTGTTTTCAGGCAGCCATATTCTGTGAGTTCTTCTGGCTTTGACTTGTGGAAAACCCCAGACTGAATTCTGCCCGCTATGGTTGCCACAAACAACGGTGACATGTTCCAGTCGTTCCAGCACACGATGCAGCTTCCAGACGAAGGCCCAGGATCGAGCGAAGACGGGTCAGGGCTACACTCGCCAGTATTCGGAGCAGCGTACCCTTCTACGCACGGAGACAGTTGTAAGTTGGGTTGTTGTAAATGGCTTTGTTGTCTATTCTCACCGACTTGCGTCAATTAAGTCCGTGCATATCCTGATCACAGTAACATTGAAGTTCAATACGACTATCCAGCGCACTCGCAACACCTGAGCCAGGGCTACCCCGCCGCGCCCTTTCTGCCGCCATCTCACTCCAATCGCCACCCGCTGCCACTCGAGTTCGATTCCCGCAGCGGCCAGCATGCGACCCAGAACGGAAATCTGGAATGGTATCCCCCTTCAATGGAACGACGGTTGCCTAGCGCTCCTTCTCAAGAACACGTCTATCCCCGCCCAACCGGAAACCCCCCGACGACGACGACAGCCCTCCCACCCCACGCAGAACATTCCACACCAGCTCAGCCCGCTCAGCAACAGCCAGCACCACCACCTGAGCCGCGAAAGCCGTCCCAAGTTGTCATCGCCTGTCGCCAATGGTACCCATTTTCTACTAGTAATCTACCCTTTTTAAACTCACCATATGTCTTTATCCAGCCGTGCTCGCAAAATACGCTGCGATTCCACAAGACCCGTGTGCAACAATTGTGTCCGCAGGAGCAATCAGTGCGAATACGATGCTGTCCCGAAACGCAGAGGTCCGGACAAACGTCCTGGTACACGTCAAAGGTCATGCAAAAAACGTCCAGCAGACGGCTCCATACCGCCACCAGCAAAGAAGAAGAAAACGAATCCTGCTTCTGATCCTGCTAATACCGTCGTCCAGTCCCGTATAAAACCTGAAAATCTGCCGGACCAGCTGAGGTCCCCTATCGCTCCTCGACATCCCTCCGAGAAGCATCTGAATCCTCCGCCCCCTCATCCATATCCATACCATCACCCCCACCCCGTCCCCGTCACCGAGCTCCGTCTGCCGTCCGATCCCGCCTCTATCATGGTTTGTCCCTTTCATCCTCTTCTATGACTTTATCTAACCCAGCTACTAGTCTGACCCTAATGCCGCGAATCGCGCTTATCCCATGGGCTATTATGACCAAGGTTCATATCCTAAACAATCCTCCTTTCGTCCACTCGACGGCAATTCCTTTCAACCTCTAGGAGCACCGCCCCCGCGCCCTTTTGACAGCCAGAAACCGCCTGCCCTTGACATGTCCCATAGGCAGCACTGGGACAGACTCGCCCAGTCCCCGACGTGCGTCCAGCCTTTGATCTCCCTCACTCGTATCTCATTTCCTTTCAGGATCCCCACCATCGTCGAAGAGATGAAGTTTTTGTTCGTAGTTCTTCTATATCGCCATACGTATTCTATCTAACCCTCTTCTAGGATCGATGGAACAGGCCACATGCTTTCCTTTATCAACATCGACAATCTGGCCAAGCGGCTCTGGCAGGAAGAACACCGCACCTCCATCCACCCCGCCTTCATCTATGCCGCCCTCGCCCTCGCCAAACTCATGAAGTCGAGCACCATCGGGGAGAACGCGTCCGGTCTCAACACCGCCATGACCTACCGTAGCGAGGCTCTCCGATCCATCAACGAAAGCAGACAACACCGCTTCTTCGACCTCACCCTCGTCGAGGCCGCACTCGTACGTTCCTTTCATCCTATCTTTATACTCTTCTAAATATGTCTCCAAGATCCTCGCCATCTTTGAATCCTCCGCGCACCCCCAATTCACCCACGAAGGCGCCGCCTCCGCCCTCCAAGACCTCGACGAATTAATAAGCGTGATGGACCTGCCGTCGTACGACCACGCCGACCCGCGCGCCTCGCGCTTCAACAACGACGGCGTGCCGATCATCATGACGCCCACACCCCACCGCGACGGCCCCCCTCGACGCTGCGACTGCCTCAGCCTCCCCGGTGCACTCTCCTCCCCCACGTCCAGCGGCTCGCCCGGTGTCGACTACCATGCCCACGGTGGGCATGGGCAGGGACCGGCGCAGGGCCAGGCGGTGTCGAGGCAGTATACCCCGCCGTGGGACCCCAATTGGACCGCGGAGCAGACGAGGGGCGAGGAGGTCCGCAGGCTTTGCTGGAGCGCGTTGGACCTCGTGTCGAGCTTTTTGGCGCAGTGTGCGGTGGATAACAGGACCCCGCCCAAGTTTTGGATCAGCGGTACCTCGCGGGTGCGTTTCTATACCCTAGTCTTTTGTAAGGTCAGGTACTAATGTTACGGCTGCAGTACGCCCTGTTCTTCCCCGGTGAAGTGCACGACCAAACCCGCTCGACCGTCTCCTCGCCCACCTCCGCCGGTATGCCTTCGGACCTAACGCTCACGCCGAAAGAGTCCATCTGGGCACTGTACTGCCGCAGCATGCTGCTGTGGAACTACTGCCAGCGCTTCCGGGACGACCAGCTCATCCCGTCTGGTCCGCAGGCGGAGGACCAGCGCGCGGAGGAGGTGTGGGAGGCGTGGACGGAGGTGCAGGCTATTGAGGATTCGTTGGATCTGCACAAGTGTAATTTGGATACGGGGATTATGTATCAGACGAGGGAGTATATTCATAAGTGAGTTTTCCTGCGCTCTATCCCATCCCTCCTTTACCCCTCTTCCATTCTATCCCATCCCTCCTCTCTACCCCTCCAAGAACACCAAAACTAACCACCCACCTTCCTCCCTTTACAGCGTCCGAATGGCCGTAACCCAAGCCCTGCGCAGGTTCGTCGTCCCTGCTTCGTCTCTCTCCCCGTACGTTTCAACTCTCATCTAACATGCCTCTTTCCTGTTTTGTGTTGGGACTTTGTAGCTTACAAGGATATGACAGAGCGCAGGCGAGGCAGACTCCTGGACCTGTGTTTAAGAGGTCGCAGGCTGAGGATTGGAGTGAGTGTTTTTGTTTTCTTCTGGTTTCGTGTCGTCGTTTGGCGTTTGCTCATTGACTCTCGTTTTTCTACAGTCTACTACCAAGATCTAGTCGTGCGACGTGTACTGGTGACGACCAATGCGCTACATGCGCCTGATGGGGTGCAGTTGACGCAGAGACCTTGGAGGGCGCAGTGGTTCATTCGGCAGCTGAATGTGTATGTGTTTTTTTTCTCTCCTTTTTTCCTTTTGTTCTTTCCTATTTGTTCTTTTCTTTTCTATCCTCTTATCTTTCTTTTTATTTCGATCGATCATCGTTGGGGTGTTGGTTCCCGTTCTTCCTTGCTCCGTCCGTTGATGGATGGAATGCTTCGACGGTGCACACCTCGATGATCCACTGCCTGTTTCTCGAAGAATCCCGACCGATTCTATTTTTTTGATCTTGGGGGGTCGATGGTGCTCCTTTCTCCGTTCTCTTCTCTCCTCCCCTATCCTATTCTATCGTCTACTCTTTATCTTGCCTTCTTATCTTTCTTTCTTTTCTTTCTCTGCCACGACTGTCCCTTTCCAACGTGTTCGACAAACTAACCCTGGTCGTCTCGATTGATTGAATGTTTTCTAGGTGCCTCGTGTTGTGGAGCCACGATCGCAGTCTGATCGATGCCCTCAAGCTCGGCAAGCGACTTTTGCAGATTTGTGATACGATGAACTTTTTGTGGAGTTGTCATAGTGCGTATGGGGTTTTATTTTTTGGGTGTTTGGTTTGGTTTTGCCTTCAGTTTTGGGGTTGGTTTTGGGTTATTTTCTTGGGTTTTGTGTCGTCTTCGCGGTCTCTGAGTCGTCTCGCCTCGGCTTCTCTCTCGGCCACAGAACGTTGATTCGAAGATTCGCGACATGACACGCATTTCATTTCAACCTTTGCGACCTTGACATCAATTTGAACTGTAACTAACCACGCCTCTCTTCTTCTCCCTTTCACAGCCAACATCCATGAATGCCAGGATCTCCGTATGCGACTTGGGCAAGCTTGTAACCATATGGGACTTGAAGCGCCTTTGCCTGCTTCGCATAGTGATGTGGTACCTATTCGACATGCGTGATGAGCGGAATTTCTGGTTTCTGGTTGGGGAGGTGGGGTGTTCGTTGGTGGGGCGCGGGTGGAGGGTTAGTTGAGGTGGAGATGTGCGTTGGCGCTGTTATGGGTCCATGGGTCCGACTAGGGGATGTGCGGATGGGCTGTTGGGTGGGGAGTTTGGTATTGGTGGATGTGGGGATGGGGACGCGTGGTGGACGTGACGTCGGTTACCTCTTGACTGACTGACTTGATCCGTCGCTGTCGACGTCGTGGATGACGGGGCGGGGATGGCGGTTGTGGTTCCCGAGGTGTCGTTTCGCTCCGATTTGTTCTGCGTCGACCGGTCGTCGTTTGGCTTGATGTGTCCCGGTCTTGGTGCGCCTCGTCGTCAGTCTTCCTTCCACTCTCAACTCGGCATCACCTTCCCACTCTGGATCACATTCGACACTCTTCCAATCTGCATCACCTTCGGCACGCCAATACCCGCCATACGCGATCTATATCCAGCCCATTCGATCGACAATCGTTTATTTTCGTGCAGGCGTTTACTGTTTTCCCTTACGATCCTTACTTCCGTCAGCTGGTTACCCACTCTCGCTCGCTGTTTTCAAACCATCCGCCCCTACTGCCTTTTCAAACCACTTAACTAAACCGAACTGAATATTCCTTGTTTGTAATATGTTCCGTAGTAATTGTGTTTTTTGATATCGTTCCTTTTTTTTCTTTTGTCTTTGTCTCCCTCTCTTCTCTACTTGATTCGTTCGAGTAGTGTCTCTTTACCTACCTTCACGTTTTCCTTATCTGATGCCTTATCCGATGGCTACATACTGTTTTACCTTGCCGCTATTCAACTTACTGTCTCTTACGTTGTTTTATTCGACTATTGTCTCTTTTTGCCACTATTCACCCCACTGTCTGTTACCCTCTCCATATTCAACGACTACTGTTTCTTACCTTGCCACTATTCAACGACTACTGTCTCTTACTTTTCCGTATTCAACGACCACTGTCGCTTTTTATCCTGCCTTATTCAACTAATTCTGGTTTCGTTCCTCTTGCTCTCCGGATGGCGTGGTGATTTTATGAACCGAGATCTGACCCGCGTTTTTGGTTGTGAGCGTGTTTGTTTTTCATATGTATACTCGTTGAAGTCGTTTATTTTGCCAGACTGTTTTTTTTGTTCTTTCCTCAGATGTAAATTGCTTCTTCTTCTTCTTCTTCTCTTTGGATATAACTGCTTTTTTGTTTTCCACTTCTTCAGACACTGACTGCTTCGACTTGTTCATTCTTCGGAAAACCTACCCACCTTCTTACGCTTTTTTCCAAATCCAAACGCGCCGTATAATTCTTGTTCCTGCTTTGTTCAATTGGTTGTAATTATCGTGCCTAAGTTCGTCTGCCTGTGTTTTTTTTTTCTCTGCTACTTGTCTTGAAGTCTTCTGATCCCCGAATCTATCGATTGTATTTTTATTATTTTTATTGCGTAGATGTGGACTCGGATGTGGATGATGTGTGAGGTGAGGTGGAGAGGTTTGCACGACTCGGTCTCTGACCGATCGCTCCGAGCTCGAGTCTATGAGAGATGAAGTACCAAAAATCTTCATTCCCTTCATTATGGTGAATCTACTGTAGGTGGTACATACCGCGAAGTGTGGAAGGAGGTCAAAGTGGATAGCAGACGAGGCAGGAGGACGACTGAGCCCGCCGGCGGCGACATGGGCATGTACTGCGAAGTTCGAACCACTGGCAGAAGCTGCTTCCTGGTGTGACGCGAATTCCCTACCGCTACCTACCTACCTAGCTGGGGCGGTACATGCACATCATGAGGGGCGGTCTACATGCTGGGTGTCTACATACACAGGGCTAAGCCTGAGGGAGGGTGAGAAATGGTAACCAACTTCTTTCGTCGACGATCGAACAAGATTGCATAGGGTCGAGCTTCCTTTCGACCTGAAGTCTATAAACGTAGCTGATTGAGGTACTAATTAAATATTGCTTGAGCATGGGATGGTTTTCGAGTTTCGAAGATCCAGTGTTTTGTCCGCAGGGTGGATGTCGAAGGTGTGTGTGGCATGTACCATGGAACGAATGTGTTTGGGTCTGAGATCTGAGGCCTGGTGCATGAGGCCCTTTCCTGAGGCTGAAAGTGCTTGACCCCATGTGGGGCAACGATCGAAGCCCCAGACGTGACTCCGCGAATATAGACTGTATGGATAAAGTACCCCGCTAAAACATCCCCCGTTCTTCGTAGCTTCGTAGCTTCGAGGATCGAGGATCGAAGGGCTGGATGAGCTTCGCGGTTTCTTTTCGAGTATGCCACGGTGCTTAAGTGTGTGAAATGCTGCTTTTGAGTAGGCCGGCTTTTGGCTTTTGGACAAGTCGTCAATGGTGCATTCCCGCCATCCCTGAAGAACTCTCAGAAGGGATACATACTCAGCGGCGAAGCTTGAAGGGAAGATGAGAATGAGGAAACCGAGGGCTTCGGGCGTTCGAATTCTAATGTTCAAAAGTCGGACCTTGTAGTGAAAGCTAAAGGAAGAAAGGAAGAAAGGAATAAATTGTGTGTGTGCGTTGAAAGTTCTAATGAATTAATGAATGAATGGTCGGGGGGATTAGTGGTGAAGCTTCAATAGACTTCCTTAAGATTTCAATTGATTGGCCTTCCTATTCAATTGAATTCGTACTTAGGAAGGAAGGGATGGGATTGGGTGGTATGTATGTAAGCCTTCCATTGAGTTGAGGCGTTGGTATGTAGATACGGCGGCGGACCTTGTAATAAGTCTAAGCACTTTATCTAGAACTGACTTCTTTCCCTTCCGTGACATCTGACTTCATTAGCAACGCGCGCAGAGCTTCTACATACCACTCCGGTACCTATGAATATGTAAACCCATGGGACGCGGGGTGTATCATGATAGAGTGGACTACCCGGACGCCTACTGTCTACCGTCACAGAAATTGTCATAGGTCGCAGTGGGTAGTTAGGGCTGGCTCCTACTTCACCTCATGACGAAAGGATACTGTGACAAGGTGACATTTGAGTAGGATACCATCAAATTGGTTGGATGATAGGCTCGTTCGATGGTGTTTGGGCCCGAGCGCTATTGATGTGCGCGGACAGTCCCGATCCCGACGCGTCGTGACTCGAAGCGGATCAAAGCATCGTTACAGTATCCGAAAACGGACGAAGCGCGCTGATGGCGGAGTGACAGCGGGCGGCGGGATGCCAAGACCATCTCTGCTGACCATAAAACCTATTGCTTCAATCTCGTTTGGGGGAGAGATCTTCACCTTATCATGAGCGTCACCCAGATGCACCGTACTCGATACACCCACATCCACGCAACAATGGGCTCTACTTGGTCTTAACTCCGCCATCGGAATAAAGGAATGGGCGAAGTGGCCATCGAAGATCAGCCTTCGTTAGATTCTCTTCCATTGTCCATACGTTTATCGCAAAATATGTTTGCCCTGGTATTGTTCTCGGTGAGGAAAAAATGTAGTATAGCTGTGTGAGTATGGAGTAGTTTCACGTCGGTGGAGCAAGTTTATAGTCTCGAAATTTTGGAATGCAGGGTCGGCGTTCGAGAGAAGGGCTGGAGCAGGCGGAGGACAAGCTTTGATGCCTCCCAACGACTGTATCTAAGCACATTGAGTTGCGTTACGGAAATGCTGGGCGCTGTCCGTGCTCGTATGTACTATCCAACTCGAATGCGCTCACCGGGGTCAGCGTCCCAAACTGCCATTGGGACGCTAAACAAGTGGAAGAATGAGGCTATATCATGTCTATCCGGTCTTCAAAGTCAGGTTAATTGTTTCATAGCAATACTCAGAACTCGCATAACAGTTAACTCCCCCGACAGTACTACATAGTCAATCGTGGGCGCTTCAAACGTGGGAAGGCGATGATCGGCGTCGATACAGACCAGTCGCAAACATACCTCCCTCAGCGACCCCGAAACAAAAGGAATTGGTGACTAGACAAAGAGCGCACCATTTGGAGAGTTGGGAGAGTCAGGAATCAATTGAGACCTCGCCGTTCTCGTTGGACTGAGGCTCCACTTGCGATGTGCCACAGGAACGATAACTTCTAGGCGCCCTCAGGCGTATCGTCCACGGGCCACGCGAGATGGCGCTGATTTCAAAGCGGCCCGCCAGATGCCGCGGTCAAGTGGTTCTCTTCAACTTCCTTGTGCATGGCTGAAACTATCGTCCGTACATGACGGGTAATACAAGATGTACCCTCCTGGTTTGGGTCGTGACCACCGTCCTACACCTCGGCAAACGCTGCTACATACACAATTTGAGGCACCAATCATCCAGCCTTCAGGCACATTAGTGGGCGCAGGTTGATTGCGGCCTGCCTCGTGGCTTTGGAGCTTATACTTTGCGTATTGAGTGACCATGGTCAGCAGGTGGGATTTGTTACGGCACTCTAACAGATTCTAACGCCCACCTCCGAGCTCGGGTGTAGGTACGCCTACAGTAGAAGCACCCACAGAAGAGCTTCCGGCGTTTGTAGCTATCTATAAAATGTCCCTCTCAACGTCCGATGGGATGTGAGCACCTTTGTGTCCCGTTCCACCATGGCCATCGACCCAGTCTTCGGTGAGTATCGATTTCAGTCCATCGCGTTTCGAAGGACCGCGCTCATTTAGGACTGTGTGTAATGCAGCCGGCTTTGTGTTCCTCCACAGCTTCACTGTATTCGTGACCTTGGTCAGGTTCGGATTGCGAATCAAGACGAAGAGAACGTGGTGGGATGACTTCTGGGCACTCATGGCTGTCTTTGGAACCATCCTCATCATCTGCAACTACTGTATTCTGGGCACGTACGACCGATGTAAGTTGTACCTTCTGGGGACCTGGTCTGAACTGGTACCAACTCTCTCATTTCAGCAATATTCTCTGCCTCTGCCCAGTCGTACTTTACGTGGTCCTCGTACATGTTGAGCCCCACGACCCTCTGGTGAGTATATGCGAATCGGACTGACTCGTAGGCTTCATCTGTGCTGACGGTATCCTAATACAGGATGGCACGAACATCGATTCTCATGACCATTGTCTACATCCTCCCCAATGGCATGAATCGTCTGATCACTCAGATTTCCGCCATCGTCTTCCTCCTCTTCTGGGTTGCACATCTCCTCGCCATCACATTCATGTGCGGCGTCCCCGTCCCAAGCAACCTTGTCTGCGAGATCCCCAGGAAGACGACCGCCATCTCCCTCACCTGTAAGTTTCCACATTCCAAACCAAAAAATGGCGGTAAAAGCTCACAGTGACTTTAGTCGAGCTCATCTCAACCGCTTGGTTGATGGCTTGGCCCGGGTACCTGCTCTACCGCCTGAAGCCCTCCGTCGCCCTCCGCAACTTCATCATCACCTGCGTCGTCACCGGTGCCGCCTTGACCGCTCTCGACATCGGTCACGCCTACAACCTTACCAGGGCTGAGAAGACTGGTGCTATTGCGCACTACAAGGCTCTCAACACCACTGGTAACCTCCATGTACGTCGCCTCCGCGGTCATTTGATCGGTTAGGCGGATGCTAAGTATTTTAATCGGAACCATTCTTATAGGTCCTCGTTTCTCTCCTCGGAGCCAACGCCCTCGTGTTCGTCAGCCACTTCTTCCCCATTCTCAACCTCGGCTCTGGGCAGAGTCAGGATGGTCGTTCGAGCGATAGCGGATCCGTCAACTCTACCGACAAGGTGAAGGAAGCCTCTGCCCAAGTTTGAAGTGAATTGTCTACCTTTAACATAATTTCAATCTTCCGTTTGCCACCCTAAAGGCCTGTTGTAATAACGAACGGTCTTTGTATGATGCCACGATCTCTCTTGTACTAGTCAATGAAATGTCATGTCTTTCACGTCTCTCCAAAATGAAAATCAGTAGAGTTGGTTGAAATATCAAGATGTGAACCTGTCTTCTAGTGTCTGTACATCCAACATTACACTCCGCCGTAAACAACCTTGCCGTCTATAACGGTGGCGAGAACCTTGGTCTCTAAAATCTTGTCGACCGGAACCTTCATGATATCCTGCGAGAGAACCACAAAGTCCGCCTTCTTGCCAGGTTCCAACGATCCCAACCTCTTCTCAGTGAAAGATGCATAGGCAGGTTCAATCGTCATCCCGCGCAAGGCCTGGAGTCGGGTGAGGCGTTGCTCCGGGAACCTAAAAGAAACCGCGATTAAAAATCGACGACGTGCAGAGACAGGGGGGAAGGGGGAGAACTTGCCATCCACCGGGTCCATGAGGACTCTTCCCGTCAAACGAGAGTCTCGTGATGGCAGAATAGAACCCCGCCAGGGGGTTGACATCCTCGACTGGAAAGTCTGACCCGAGAGTAAGGCGGGCTCCTGCAGCTAGAATACTCTGGAATGGGTATAGTTGCTTCACCCGGTCCGGACCCTAGAGGCGATCCCAAACAAACGTGGTTAGCCGTCGTATACGTTGTGCCGGGTCTCATAAAAAGGGTGCGAAATGAAAAGGATACGGGTTGATTGTGATACAGCGATATGGGATAAACAGTGGGTGTGACCGAGTTGCGCGGTCAATGGTCGGAACCCGTTGTCCTTGTCATCACCGATATATTCAGAATCACTGAGAGAACGAGAAACCCAACAATCCTCGGTTGCCTTTGGACGCAGCCAAAGACTCGGCCCCGAGAGGGTCAAAACGTGGCGGCGATCCCCCCTCCAAGAGGGTCAGCCAAGAATAGGAGCATTCAACGTCCGATGAGGATACCGTTCGTCTCCTGAACCGCAAAAGGCAGGCACTCGGTGACAACCAAATGGGTCCTTTCAGGTAGAGGACGGTTACTTGGCCTGACCACCGGGCTCGGGAGAAGGGACCAATACAAACAAAAAGAGAAACGAGGAACATAGGGAGATCGTGTCACTCACCAATCTGTCCTCTCCGTACCACATGTCACTTATCCTAAGGTGATGGATGGTTAGTTATAGGAAGACGGTTGAGGTCACCCGATACTTACGCGTGAGTGGGTTGCACGCTTGCGATGACTGTGAGGGGAGGTAAGGAAGTGAGGAGGTGAGATACCCTGGAACTTGAAGAAAACAGGCCCACCTCCCATCCTTCCCAATCGCTTCACATCTTTCTCTGCAATGATTTGAGCATGCTCCAACCGAGGTCGCACTTGACTGTCTGCGAAGCTGTCCAGACCCATTTCTTTCAACGCGACTTCGAAGGCGTCCAACACCACCCCATTTGCCCGGTCGCCGATGGCGTGGACATTCTATCATTGTGAGCAAGACTAACTAGTGAGATGAAAGTGGACACGGTACTTACAACTTGCCATCCGTCCTTCAAGAACTTGGGAATAATCTCGTTCAGAACTTCGGGGGTGAACCTCATTTGACCCGAGGTGGATGGATCGTCTGAATAGGGCTCGTACAACTATAGCGACAGTCGTTAGGATGATATGATAGCGACGACTCCGGGAGACATACAGCAGCACCAGCAGTTCTGAGGGCACCTGTAATAGAATATTCAGAACAGTGGTACCAGTCTGGGCTATAGACGCACCGTCCCCAAAGATCTTGACGCTCCTAACGCTGAACCTTTGCTGTCCGTCCGAATCACGAATCTTCTGGGTCCTATCCCCCCAGTAGGCCGAAGGGTCGGACGGAATGGATGAAGCGTTGAACCACGTCATTCCGTATATCCTGATCTACGTCTGTTGTATGAGTGGGGAACTCGAAGGAGAGTTGTTGAGCCTACTGGTAAGCCGCCGTTCTTCGCCTGCCTGGCGGTGCATCAACACCTTTCGTCGGATGTCAAGGACGGGGTGGCGTACCTAGAAAAGAACTCGAGAGACTCGGGTTTGAAGCCCGCGTCATGCAAACTGGTGAGACCGACACTCAAAACATCGTTGACGGTGTTGGTAAAACGCTGTCGTTGAATCTTGGGGGTGATTGGTGGAGGTGCAATCAAGGATTGCGCAGTATCAATGAAGACGCCTGTAACGGTGAATTGACAGGAAACATTTGCAATAAAGACTGTCGTACCTGTAGGTTTTCCTGTAGCTTTATCTCTGACGATAATACCGCCATCGATGTCGCGAGGGTACGGGCCATTGGCGAGGAGAGTCGCGGTTGATACCCAACTAGCGTGACCGTCCTTGCTCGCTAGAATAGTCTGTCTGTTTGCAAGGACTGGATGAGAAGACAAGTCAGCCTGTCGAAGAGTTAGCCTAACAATCATCGTCTCCTTTTACGGCACATACGGCAGTTGGAAACTTTGGATCGTCCCAGGACTCATGGTCCCAGCCCCATCCTTCGATGACATGGTTGGGGTCATTTGCGATATCCGGATTGGATAGGACATACTCCGCCACGCGGTTAACAGCATCTATAAGTTTGTTCGGACCGGGGATGTACTCATGAAAGTATGTACAGGAAGCTCACCTTGGACGTTCTTCGCCTGGTCGAGGGGGATCTGACGACTAAAACCGTACTCGAGGATGTGACAATGCGAATCTTGCTCCACGTTCGTTATTGCTATTCAAAAAAGCATGGTGTGACCAAACCTGATAACCCTGGCACAACTATAGACCCAGGTGGTATGCGAACAACTTTTAGAGAGTCTCCCCCGCCGGATGTCGTCGAATAGCGGGCTTTGACACGCTCTGCGAGATGGCGTTAAGGGATGACCACAAAGAGATGACCACGATGTGAGACGAACATACCCAAGCTCCCCGTCTCCATTATTTCGTCGTTTGCAACGAGGAGACACTCGACCCGAGGACGTTCATCGTCTACGGTGTAGATAGACTTCTGCGGGTCATTGTGAGGGCCTCGAGCTGAACAGAGAGCATACGCCGAAGAGGGCAGCGGTTTCGTCACATTGAACTGGAATGGAGCTTCAACAGCATCCACATCAGTCCTTGGAACACAGTAGAGACTCGCGATTGACAAAACTACGGCCGCCAGCAACACTTTGAACGTCTTTCCACTCGAGCGTTGTTCAAGTTGCTGCAGGTGTGGTCGAGCACCAGGGAAAGCTGTCGACAATTCATCCTTGTATTTCGTGTCTGACATCACCGGTCTAACAGAATTGGCTGTGAAGTTGGGTAGATGGACGTCCAAAAAGATTGAGGATGATGGACGTTCGGAGAGGAGAGCAACATTCGCGACAGGCGTGCACCGCGTGGTTCAGGGGGGCCAAACCGGAATCCGGAAGCCGTTTGATCCGGTTCTCATGGGCGCTTAAAGAGGGGTTTGCAGGATCGTTCATGCAATACTTACCGAGTTCTGACTATCTCCTCTTATTTAAAGTAACGAGTACATAGTCCTGCCGCCAACTCGGGTCCCAAAGTATGGATGCTGCGGTTTCCCAACCTGTGAGTTCGTCTGTCTCGCGATCTCGGTGGCTACTCCACCTCCATTTTTGAATTGCTCACCCGGAGGTAAGTCCATCTCCTCGATAGTTTTTCATGACTAATTGCTTTCTCTGGGAACCGACGAATATGACGAGAAGTACTGGTTAACCTTTCCATCTAGAGGCGCTGGACCTGAGGATACGCGTCCACTTCCTCCTTGGTACTGATGGGCAAGAGATCGCCAGGGGGCTCCGAGTGACGCCTATGAGATGCTTCTTTGCTCTGCCTGGTTACTACTCTCGACAAACGTATTATCCTTCGCTGCGCGCCTGAGGCCCATTCACAAACTCGAGATGATTGATTCAAACCTATTCAAAGAAGCGAAATGCTAGTCATTTATCTGAGCTGGAGTACCTACTGTAACAGACATTGTTACCGGCGCTAACCATATGTTCTAACGATTTCTTTATAACTGGATGCTGGTATCACCCCCGTGAATGACGAAGCCGGATATTTCTCTTTGGTCTCAGGTGTCTCAAACCACCTCGCCTCTCCAAGATAGTCCTCCAACACTCTCATCTGCTCCGGCGTCGGTCGTCGATGGTAAAGTTTCCTACTCGCGGTACATCCCATCGCTAAAATGGGAACCACTCGCATCTTGTAGAAATCCTCGTAAACCGCCATATCCTCTTCCTCGCTTTGTGCATCGGCCTTTCCGTACTGGAAGTACATCGCGTGCTTCCATTGGGTCATGATCTCTAGACGGGTGGCGATGAGGACGGATTGTTGGACGAGGCTGAAGCGGTCGCGGTGGCCGAGGCGTTTGGCTACGCGTTTGAGCTTGTCCATTCGCAGGGGGAAGCCGTACACAAAGTAGCCCGGGGAGGACTTGTGGTCTGCTGGGAGAGGCTTCCAGGTTGCGAGTCCAGGGAGTGAGGGAGAGTGGCAGGGTGGTGTCCTTCCCTCCAACAGCTGCGGAGTATGGGTCAGAGAGATGTCGTCAGAATGAAATATACTGGTCACGACTCACCGCGGTGCGACAGGTTTCGCATTCAATGTGTCCTATATCTAGTACGGGTTTCCTTTTCTTTGAATTGCCTTCAGCGCTCGCGCTCGTAACTGGCCATATTTCTGAGTCAATGCACAAAACCATCTAACATGTAAGTATGCGTACCATTTTCGACGGAAACGGCGGTGGGATCCTCGTCGTCGGTGACAAGCGGCATAAATGACACTAGCAGATGCGAGATTGGACGAGTTGAAGGGGTAATTAGTTATGTAATCCACATGTTCAAACGTTCAAGTTGTGTGCTTCCACCACCACCCACAAGTCGCTGTCCGACAGGACCTGGATAGGAATCAAGCCAGGCCCCAGCGACTTCGCGAAAGTGGTGAGCTGGGTGCGGAGGGGAGGATTTGCGGCGTAGAGCGTTTGTGGGTGGTTTGGGTGTTACTGTGCTTCTCACTCTCCCTGGTTTCCTTTCCTAATCTCGATGAACGCATTATGTATCTCTCGCTGTGTGCCAGAGGGGCTCATTCCCGAACTCGATGATGGATTATTAAAAGAAACCTTGGTACCACTGGAAGCTTACAAGTACCTAGTACGTGCTGTAGTAGACTTCTTTACCGGCTTGAACCATACTATGTTTTAACCATTGCATTACAACTGGATGCTGGTATAACCCCCGTGAACGCCCTCCGCGAATATTTGTCTTTAGCCTCAGGAGTCTCAAACCACCTCGCCTCCCCAAGATAATCCTCGAACACCTCCATCTGTTCGGGCGTCGGCCGTCGATGATACAGCTCCCTACTCGCGCTACACCCCATAACCAACAAGGGGACCACGCGCATCTTATGGAAACCGCTATATTCTGCCATCCCCTCTTCCTCACTCTGCGCATCGGCCTTTCCGGACTGGAAGTACAGCGCGTGCTTCCATTGGGTCATGATCTCTAGACGGGCAGCGATGAGGACGGATTGTTGGACGAGGTTGGAGCGGTCGCGGTGGCCGAGGCGTTTGGCTACGCGTTTGAGTTTGTCCATGCTCAGGGGGAAGCCGTAGACAAAGTACCCCCTGGCGGACCGATGGTTTGTTGGGAGAGGCTTCCAGATGGCGAGTCCAGGGAGCGAAGGGGAATGGCACGGGGGTGTCTTGCGCTCCAACAGCTGTGTGAAGTACGGGTATCGTCAGCGAGTTGTCGTTGGAACGGAATATACTGGATACGACTCACCGCCGTGCGACAGGTTTCGCATTCGATGTGTTCTATATCTAGTACGGGTGTCCTTTTCTTCGCATTGTCTACAATGTTCGCACTTGTACCTGTCTGTGTTTCCGTCAACGGGAAGAAACATTTGATATGTAAACCTGCGTACCATATTGGAAGGGAAGAGCTCCTTGTCGTCAGTGCACATGGACAAAGCACGACGTTAGCAATGACATAAACGATTGTGGCAGTGCTGTGATTGGTCGAGGGTTCGATCCTCACGTTGGACGCGATTCCTTTTCTTCCAGTGCACAACGTTCGCAGGGGGGAGCATTAGATAGGCTGAATTTGTCTTCTGTTCGCAATTTCCTGGGAGGGGAATTGGAATTGGTCTATTCCCCTCTACATCGATCACGGTTATGCCAATTTCTATTCCTATGCAGTATATTACTCGTTCTCCTCCTCGCAGCACCTATCGATTCGGCGGTTTCCATTGTAAGACAAAGGGCCCAAATTGCCAGGAGTCGCGTCGCTCGAATCGGTGACTGACCACTGCCGCTTGCGGTGAGTTCATGCACTCGATGATTAAATATTCAAAGAAACAACATACATACTACAGGTAGATTCAACGCTCTAAAGTGCATAGCTACATGCAGGGATAACCCCCTTGAACGACCTCCGCGGATACTTCCCTTTAGTCTCAGGAGTCTCAAACCACCTCGCCTCCCCAAGGTAATCCTCGAACACCTCCATCTGCTCGGGCGTCGGCCGTCGATGATACAGCTTCTTACTCGCGGTGCACCCCATTGCCAACAAGGGCACCACGCGCATCTTGTAGAAATCGTTGTATTCCGCCATACCCTCTTCCTCACTTTGTGCATCGGGCTTTCCGTACTCGAAGTACAGTGCGTGTTTCCATTGGGTCATGGCCTCTAGACGGGTGGAGACGAGGACGGCCTGTTGGACGAGGTCGAATCTAAGGCTCCGGGTGTCGCCCATTCGAGCCGATACGCGTTCGAGTTTGTCCATTCGCAGGGGAAAGCCATAGACAAAGTGCCCGCGGGCGGACTGATGGTCTGCTGGGAGAGGCTTCCAGATGGCGAGTCCAGGGAGCGAAGGGGAGTGGCAGGGGGGTATCTTGCGTTCCACGATCTTTGGAGGAAAGGGTGTCGTCAGAGGATTGTCGTTGGAACGGAATATACAGGTTACGACTGACAGAGGTGCGACAGGTTTCACATTCAATGTGGTCTATCTCTAGTACGCGTATCCTTTCCTTCGTTTTTCTTTCTCTAGCGCTCATGCTCGTATCTGGCTGTACTCCCAGTCAGTTGGCAGCAGAATTGACATGTTAAAACCCGCGTACCATTTTGGAGGGGAAGGGCTCCTTCAAGGAGTCCTTGTCGTCAGTGGACAAGTGGCGTGGTCACCCTGATATACGAGCGCTGCATTCCACGTGACGTCGGTTCGTTGGGGAGTCTAAGATGATCGGATCCCTACACATTCGACAAAATGGTGAAGCCGTACTTACCTTGTACAATTCGTCCACTCGTTTGTCCGAGAAGTACAATCAGTAGACATAGGCGCACAGTGCCGCACACACCGACCAGCTAAGTAGTAGCAGTACAATAGGGATTCAGACGTCACAATGTACAGTTCCATATTGGTACAGAAGATTTGAGATTGTAGCGACCTTGTATTAAAAACAAAACAGGAGGTTACCTTGTGCTCAAATAGCAATTCCAACGTACAGACTGAGTCACAAAGGATTGCTTCTTTCAGGCCCTCTTGTTGCTGTAAATTAATTGTGGACTCTGTTCATATGTACAAGCGCCGCCTCGAACGGCTATCAACAGCTCCGGTATCCATTTCTGGCAGCGCCAACATGAGCACGCAGGCATCAGAGCAGCCTCACTCTTATGCTCCGGCGGGGCCGTCTGATACTCCTTCGGAGGTTGTCAGCCCCAAGCCGTCGTCTACGAGCGACACGGGTACTGTGACCAAGCACAAGACAGTACCAACACCTCGAATTGCAGACCCTTGGGACCAAGCGAAGGCTTTACTCGCCAGAGCGTCTTTCGAATACGCCAATGGACAGGATCTGGAAGCCCCGTGGTATGGGTTCTACTCTTTTGCTTTTCAGTCGCTATCGCGCGTCGAGGACCTCAGCTTTACAAAAAAGGATAAGTCCTCGTTAAACTACCGTGCTGGCACCATGCTCTTCCCCCAGGATCCCGTCTCTGCCGTCTCTGCAGAGGCGAATGACTACGAAGCCGACCCAGACGACGAGGAGCGATTTCGATTTGGCTACGGACGCGATGGCGACGGCGGCGAGAGCGACGGCGATAATTACACCGACGGCGACGGCGACGGCGATAATTATAGCGACGGCGATGGCGATGGCGATGGCGACGGCGATAATGACAGCGACGACGATGATCGCAGCGACGACATTGATCCCCACGAACTTTTCGCTCATGCCCGCAGGGACAGTTCGTCCCCAACACCAGGAGCATCCACAGCAGACTTGGTGGGTTCACTCTACACGAGCTACTGCCCTTCTAACGTGTCAGTATGTATTAGGATCAGCACCAGCTCTCAGTTGCCGCGTCCCCAGAGCCGTCCCCTGTCTCGGAGACTTCTCGAGCGGAAAGGTCCTTGGAGGTATTTCTACTTCAATGATACCTCCAGGTGCCAGTAAGCTCACTCCATTTGCTTTAGGATACATCTCACTTCCGAGAGGCTAGCATGCCGCCGAGGGAGTACCGAAAGCGTCGTGCAATCTGCATCCCCGATTTCTGTCGCCGACGGACTTACATCGATCCTCAGACTTCGCAGATACTTGCTTCTCGCGTAGACATGCTCGTAGAGAACAAGGGAAATGGATGGTATAGAAAGGCTGATCGGAGAAGAGCGTTCTATACTGTCTATCGTCAGCTTGTAGCCCAGGCCGCACACGTCTTTCAGAATGATCCAAAGCTGCAGGTGCTGGGCGCTGTTTCAGCGGTTGGACCACGCTGTGCATACGCGGAAATCTGGAGACGTGACGCTTCCCGCATCAATATTTTTCATAGGAATCGTGATGCGACCTACGAGCCCACTGAAAGAAGCCAGTCTTCGACTCCCCACCAAGGACCCGACGCTTCCAGCAAAGTTTCGACCTCTACACGCTCCCTGCCGAAGACCCCACTTCAAAGGACAAACTCAAGAGCCGTTAATGCCCCTAGTCCCGAATCGCCTCTCTGGCACCTTGAGCAAAGGATCAATTTCACCGCTGATTTTTCTGCAAAGCAGCGCCAGTGGGTTGCTGCACTCAACGTGAGAATGGACGAATTGGACTACTTGCAAGCGGGTAAATATTTGTGTAATCAGTAAACAAATTTGTCAATTTGGATAGTCGACGTCGTTCTAGGGAAAACCTCCAAAGTACTAGTCGTTGTAACAATAGTAGTACGAAACCGTTCTAAACCTCCTCCCTCCACCTGACCGCACTCCAGACCTCGATACCAGGTATTACAGGAAAATTCATTACAAGGAATAAGTATAAACAGGACAACAGGGTTCGCGAGATTAAGCCGCAAAAACTGGCGGTAATAACAAAGAAGGCGTCCTTGATAGGCGACTGCGAAAGAAGGTATCGCGAAACGAAAGAATGCGATCGCACTAGCGAAGGGGCGAATTGGGAAGAGGAGTAAATTGGGATGGGAACGGAAATACAGTCCCGGACCCCGCAGTCAATAAAGATGATTCACGGTAAAATAGTCACCCTCTACTGCCCCTTAAACTTGGCCGAAAACCCAGTAGGCTCCGACCTCCTCACAAGCTCAACCGTAGTCAAAGACGGGTCAAGGTTGTTGTGAATATCGCAGAGACGCCTCCACGGGTCTTCAAGTCGCAAACCGTCCACGGATGGAAAATGTCCGAAGTTGGTGGTAGGTTGCATGAAGCGGCAAGGCCACCGAGCCAGGAGGTTCGTTGGAGTGGGTTGGAGGTCAAGGGATAACCGCCGCAGGATGGTTGGAAGAGGAAGGCTCCGTTAGCAAAGATTGCCACTGAAAGCATGGAGTACAGAACAGTACTCACGATCTTCGGGGAGAGGGTTGGCCTGCACAGTATCTTCCATAGCTTCGGCAAAGACGATAGCAAGACCACTGAAAACCCGTTGCATCAGCATCCTTACGCCGCAAAGTCTACATTGAGACGAGAGACGTACTCGACCAAGTGGGGTTCAATGTGGCTATCAAACGCATACCCGAGAAAAGACAGTAAGATACCATTCTCACGTTGATAACACTTAGGCACGTACCAGTGGAAGAACCAGGGTCCAGGGTTATCCGTAACGAATCGAATAGTGACTGAATCCGATGCACCGCCGATACTAACAACATCCCGCTTCACAGGATTAACAAAGTTGGGGGTGCTGTTACCCGCACTGCGGACAACACTGAAGGCATGCTAATAACCGTCTTTTAGCCGACCGTCCTCCGCAACGAAAAAGAGAGAGAGAACATACGCCGTGAAGATGGAACGGATGCTAGAAAAAAAGGAACAAACACAAGAATCAGAAATCACAGCCGCACCCTGACCATTCCGCAACAAAGCCACTCACAGGTCCACTATTACTAATCGACCCACTCGGAATCTGCACCTCCACAACCTGGTTCCTAGGCAAATAATGCACGGACCCCTCGGGCATAAGCTCCCCAGGATTCCTACCGCTCATAATCTGCAAAAGCGTAGGCACATCCGGACTCTCATACGCCACCCCATTAACCTGGAACTTGCCCCCCACAAAGGTAAACTGCAGCGGCAGCACCACATCCGCCGCCCCGATCTCCGGCGTACCTGGCGCAGAGGGGTCAAAGCCTGGTCCGGAGAAGGCGTGGAGCTCCCATTCGCGCAGGTCGACGGGGTTGGCGGGCGGGTCGGAGGAGGGCTCCTCGATGGGTGCGCCGGCGTAGCGCAGGATGGCAGAGTTGACGCCCTCGTCAACTGTACCGACCAGACCTGGGACTCCGGCGTTGGGGATTGCGCGGATACGGTAGTTGCCAGGTTCCTGGTTTGCGTTGAGAATGACGGAGTATCGTTGGCCTGCAGAAGAGGGCGACAAGATTAGTTCATTGGAGGAAAAGACTCGAAGCTTGAAATAACACCCACCAGTGAAGATCTGGATCCTATCAACTTCAAGTCGATCAGTCAACTGCCCATCAGCTTCGATAATGGTCAACTTGTGCCCGTCAATTGAGAACTGGAAGTTGACATCGCAGGCCAGAGAGACCACTCGGAAGCGATACTTCTTCCCAGCCTCCACATTGACGACGGCAAGGTCGACCTGCTCGCCTCCGGGAGTTCGCCCGATCCCATTGATGAGAGTGGCGTCGGGGCGGAAAGGGGCGCGAAGGGAGGGAGCAGGGGTGTGGAACCAGTCCGCTAGGGTGATGACTGTACTGGCTGGATGAAAGAAGCGAGAGGTTAGTGCTGCGCTCCAAGGTATACTTTTGCCCAATGACAGAACTAACCGTTGTCGACTAGAAGGTAGAAGAAATGAGTGATTCGTCTCGAGGATATGAAAAGAACGACGCACCATCGTAGTCGCCCAAGTATGGATCCTGGGGGTCATAAACGACCATCGGACCACGCAAGCCATCGCAATACTGCGTACCTATAGTCAAAGCACATGAACACTCCCAATTACCACCAACGAGCAAACAACGAGATACATACCAAAGTGCGAATGGTACCAGAACGTTCCAGCATGTCCAGCAGGGGTAAAACGGTACTCAAACGCATTCTCAGTGTTCTCGGGGGAGGCAGGACTGATAGGACACTGGTTGACACCTTCCGCGCCATCAGCCCAGTTGGTTCCCTTCTGGAAGAGACCGTGCCAGTGCTGTCGAGTCGTTCGTGAGTACTATCCGTGGTACACCAGATCATGGAGACATACGACACTGGTGCTACGAAGCATCGTCGGGTCATTGAGTTCATTGACCACATTAATGGCGAAGGTATCGTCCTGAAAACCGAGGGTTTGGTCAACACTGGAACGAGGAATATGATGTTTTCGCACCTTCTGTCCTGTAAGAAGTGGGCCTGGGTGGACACCATTGACAACGACAGCCCTGAAAACGACGATAGATCAGGTTCGAGTCATGTAGGGTAGATGGATAGAGAGGAGGGGAAGACGCACGATCGAGCGAAGCCGTCCGGACTGACTTGCGCGTTGCTGATGATCATCGTATCCGTGGGGTTGAGTGTAGCCTGGGCTCTAACCCCCGAGTGGTAGAGCGCGATGCCGAGCTGGAGATACGCGAGTAAACGGGTGGTCATCGTTGAAGCTGCAATAATATGAAGCGAAGTAGACAAGCGAATAGAGCAAAGATGCAAGTGTTAAATAAGCGAGGTGATTAAATACGAAAGAAGAGGATGTAAGAGTGAGAGAAGGAAACTTGTTGAGAGACCAACCTCCAATTCACGACGCCTTTTAAACCCTTTGCTGTTGAACGTAAGGTACGCTCAAGTTTCTACGCTCCAAGCCCTAATAGCAGTAGCACCGAGCAGCACATGGACATGAAACCCTCCAGCCCCTCCAACGTCGGTTGTAACCTCCCTAAGAGTACGTTAACGGCACACCTAGAGATTGGGAGTGTATTAGAAACAACTCCCTCCGCGCACAAGAAATGCAAAAATGAGCGCTGGTAACAGCCCCGTCCGTACCCACCAAGAAATTGCCTCAGCTAAACCAGAGCAGCACTCTCGAGCGCCTATCGACGAACTTACGTTCCATTTCAGACACAAGTAACCACCATCACAATCCCTAGTATCGCCAACGGTAGCACCGCGACGTTCTCCTGCACATAGCGGCAACCTGACGCAACACAGCTCAGCCCAAGATCAAAGGTTAACGAAACGGACGAGACTAGGTGCTGCGGCAAAACTGCAGAAAAAGACCATGGGTGCCTGATAGTTGGGTAATATTTGGTCAAGATGCCGTAGAGCGTTTGTAAGTGCTGTGTCACAAAGTCACAGCGCCCTGGGACGGGGGCGGGATGGCCGACTGTTTCAGAGCTGCAGCGTCGCATGATCATGACAACGTACGGTATCCCAGCCCGATGGGTACGTATACGGTAGGGACAGGTCGCCAAGTGAGTAGTTCCTAGAGGATTAGATGTCGGGGGAGGCGAGAAATGCCCGTCCAGCATGCCCAGACCTGCAGACAAAAGGAAGTTTGAATGGGGAGACCAGAGAGACCGCAGTGTGTGTCGTAAAGGGTCGATAACGTGAAGATGCAGGTTGTGCTGTGTAGCCACGGTCCATTTGTCGAAGAGTGTAGCCACAGTCCAGAGAGATCAAGTGCGCAGAACGTTTAGGTGCACAGACCACAGGGAAGATGAAGGCGGAAAATTGCGCTGACCACGAATCGATCCTCCGCATTGGTTTTGGGCGGAGCTTGCCAGTGAAAGGAGTAGACGGATCAGACACGGCGTCAACCCAAGGCTCTTGGACGTCTTCTGGCAGAACTGCAGTCACGGTGAGATAATCTGCTTTCTTCATTGCCAGAGAATATACACTGCTTACTTCTCTCATTCCTTCCTCTTGACATCGCGTGTGTGGCAATACCGTTGTGCCACCAATGATCTTCGATCCTCACCTTAACGCGACTATTTCTTCCAATCCTCCCATTGTCATTCATTCACTTTTCATATGTGGACTCTTCGTAGGTTTGAACCTTGACGCCCGATACTGGTAGTACAGTTGTTCTGGTACTACTAATAACCGGGTATAGGAATGGGTATACCGCGTTTGCAGAGTCCATTGTCCGGTTTGACACTACTCAAGGATAATGTGAGTGATGCTGTGGCATTTGGGAGTGGGTGGTGGGTATATAAGCGCGACGGCCCATGGATAGGCAGCGAATCCCTACACCTATACCGTTCTCGATAATCTCAACCGAACTCGAATCTGCCCGTTCAAACAGAAGGCAACCAAATATTCCAGTCAAGGTTGGAGAATTCACTATAATATAATGGATACACGAGACACGACTCTGACAAAACCCACTCAAACCTCTTCGGCGACTCAACCCCGGGCCACCTCAAGAACAACTCAAACCACTTCGACTTCCGGTACTGGACCAGGTACAGGGACTGTCACCCCGAACCCTGTTAGACCGCCTAGGAATCCTGCTCGTTTGCCTGGAAGTGCTCCTGCAACCGTGACTGCACTCGCTGTTGGGAGTCCCGTCACTTTGCCTGGCGTTTCGTCCGCTGTTGGTTCCGTTTTTCCTGGTGTTTCTCCCGCTGTTGGTTCCGTTTTGCCTCGTGTTTCAGCCGCTGTACCTCCCGCCGTTTCGCCCGCTACTACCATACCGTCAGGAAGCCACCGCGACGCAGGAGTCGTACTCCCCGTTCCTCATCAGCCACAGTCTCACACTCAGGCTACTACTCTGCTCCCTCAGACTCAGAAGCAGTCGCAGGCTCCTGTCAGGCCGCCTAGGAGTGCTGCTCGAGCGCTTGTTGGATCACCTACTACTACGATCGCGAGTTCAACTTCTGTTCGACCGCCTATGAGTGCTCCGGATCTGAATCATGATGGCCCACCTTCGGCGGGTCCTCCCGTTCGACCGGAGAGGAGTCAAGCCAGGACTCAGCGGCCTCATGGAAGTCACGGTGGACATGGTGAGGAGGGTGTGGAGGGGAGGGTGTGAAGCCTGGCATCTAGCGTGTGACTAATTTGCCTTGCATTTGGTTTCTTCTCGTTCCCAGTATGCCTGTCTTTATCCGTACACTCTCTCTTGATTTAATAGTTTCTCAACATGCTGTAGGTTTTTTTTTCAATCGATAGTTTCTCAAGTCTTTAGATGGTCGAAGAAATATCGCGGTGTGGAGTTGAGCAGTCGGAAGTGAATACAGGTACTAACCCGTCGAGCTGTACTGGTCTGATACTCTTACTCGTACTTGAGTGCACGGTAGGCTAAACCAAGTAATGTATACCAGACTCACCTAAGAAATGCATGCACGCTGCTCTAAAAAAAAATGAGACAGACGCTTTGATACATAGGTGCTACCGGATATAGAAAGAGGGATACCGCTTTGACCGAAGGTTCATTTGTGCGCTTTGACGCCACGTACTTGAGAGTTGTGCTTGACCGCTGCTCGAGGGTGACGCTGCTCGAGGATGACGCTTTGACGTCTGACAATACTCCAGGACAATGCTTTGACATTACTCAAGGATAAACGGTCTGGTGCTTTGATATCGGAATACGGTATAAAACCTCGATGAAACGAACGAGGGAGGGGGATACTCATACGCATACACATCTCGCTACTCGATATCCCACCCTACGAATTCAAACGAATCGTATTTGCTCAGTAAAGAAAGTACTCAATAACCACAATGTCTTCTCGATACGCTCAGACTCCTCAAACTCACCCCATCTCCATCTCGACTGCTGGAACTAGGAACAGGTACTTTGTAGACGACTACCGTCCCCGACCATCGACCCAACCTCGCGCTCCCGCTGAACCAATGGACTCGGACTCGGGAGATAGTCGACAAAACCGGTTCTGTCGTCTCACCCAAGCCGAGCGTTCTCACCACGCGAATGAAGGTCGTCGTGGACCTGGGACTTTGAATCCCGGTTTACCTTCCGAGAGTCAAGCGCAATTTGAGGAACCTGTTAGACCGCCGACGAGGATCCCAGCTCATCGTGACCCAACTCTCCACGCATCCAGACCCGCCCCTCAACCACCTAGACGACCGTCTAGAGACGGAGTCTCATCATTGGGGATGGAAGGCGTATGTGAGTTGGGAGTTGAGATGCCCCCGGTAGAGGTGCGGAGGTATTTGAGGCGTGTCTCGAGGAGCAGGACTCGGAGGAGTGTGTCCCCGGATTCTGACGATTCGGATGGCTCGGATGATTCGGGTGATTCGGATTGTACTGTCCGTCAGAGTAATGTAAGCTCTAGGAGGCGAAAGACTCGGAGGAAAACTAGGAGTGGAGGTGCCAGAGATAGTGGGAAGGAGGGTGTGGGAGGATGGGAGAGTGAGGATTTGGTTTCGGATGAGGAGTTTGTTAGGAGGGTGTCGAGGTTGGAGCTTTGAATTTGCTATGCCTATGAGGGTTTTTGTACCTACCTTTATGTCTATGTCTATGCTTATGCCTTCCCTGCCTGCTATGTTTATCTTACTGTATGTCTTTCCTTTGAATAATAATCCTCGTGTTGGATGCGATTACCGAATCGTCATGGCGTGGAATTGGTTACCTATGGTGAGAAGTAATCATTGTGGTAGACGGTGTAATCTCGTCGATCGACCCAGGAAACGAGATTAACCGCGACGCGCAAATCGTTTCCCTACGCGTCCCAGCGCGCCCGGCGCTTAATGAGACTGATGAGATCTCCGAGATTGATGTAGATTGATGATGTCACTGGACGCCATCGTACCAACGCCTAGACCCAAATCGACATTTCTGGTGCTTTCTTTCCTGGAGCGTGTTCTTTCTTGACAAGTTCGTCAGCGAAGATTGTTTCCATCTCCCAGATGCAGAAAGAGTGAATAGAACTGAGATAACGCGCCGCGTCGTCCGGTATCTCGTGTTTACACCTTGTTTACGTGGTCTTTTCGACGTGGCATGAGAAAAAAGCTATCTTTGTCTGCACCACGACTCTGCTCCAGGATCTTAGTCGCCATCGAGCCCCGAGAAAGACGAAATGAAGTGGCTCTTGGCTGTGGTAGAAAGATGTGGAATGCTCTGGAACAATGATCGGATTAGGCAAGTCTGCGCAGCCACATCGCAAAAAGGGCCCCTCGCTCGATCAGTTTTAAAGAGCCGCCATCCCGCTTTGCCCTAAATTTTAGAAAGCTCTTTTTACTCTTCTCTCTTTCCTCCTCCCATCGTTCCTCACGACTCTACGACTTCCATCTCCTCAATTTTTTTACGACTAGTCCACGAGAAAGATCAACTAGAACATGGCTGTTGTTGGAATCGATTTTGGAACTTTGCACTCCAAGGTGCGTTGGTCGTTCGTTGTGCGCGTTAGATCTGGGGAGATGATTGACCAAGGCGTGTAGATTGGAGTTGCTAGGCATCGTGGTATCGATATTGTCACCAACGAGGTCTCAAATCGCTCGACCCCGTACGTATCGCCTCTTGAGATTCTGTCACAACCGCTAGGCTGACCATGTATTTTGCGATCTCGTCCTCGATCCTTGTGATCCCCTCGTGTTATCGTCCCCGCGCTTTGGCATGAAGATCGTTGGTTGCTTTTGGCCCCAAACAGCGCGCGATCGGTGAAGCAGCCAAGACGCAGGAAACGTCCAACTTCAAAAACACCGTCGGCTCGCTGAAACGCTGCCTTGGTCGTACCCTCAACGATGTCCAAATCCAAAACTACGAGAAGAAGTTTATCAACGCAAAATTGGTCGATGTGAATGGCCAGGTTGGAACTGAGGTGCGTAGCTATCCTTTTTTTATTTTGTAGATCTCAATCTAATCTATGCGTTGTAGGTGACATTCCTTGGAGAGAAGCAGCAATTCTCGTATACGCAGTTGGTGGGGATGTACTTGGGCAAGTTGCGCGACATCGCCGCTGCCGAGCTCAAGTCCAACGTCTCTGATGTTGTCATCTCCGTGCCCGGGTGGTACACCGACATCCAGCGCCGCGCCCTCCTCGACGCCGGTGCCCTCGCCAACCTCAACGTCCTCCGCCTCATCAACGACACCACCGCCACCGCCCTCGGCTACGGCATCACCAAATCAGATCTCCCCGACATCGACAACCCCCGCCACGTCGTCTTCGTCGACTGCGGCCACGCCGAGCTCTCTGTCGCCGTCGTCGCCTTCTCCAAGGGCCGCCTCGACATCAAGGCTACCGCCTACGATAACAACGTCGGCGGTCGCGACATCGACTGGGCTCTCGTCCAGCACTTCTCCAAGGAGTTCGATAAGAAGTATGGCTTGGATATCATGTCGAGCCCCAAGGCCATCTTCCGTCTCACCGCTGGTTGCGAGAAGCTCAAGAAGATCTTGTCCGCCAACACCGAGGCCATCATCAACGTCGAGTCGATCCAGAACGACGTCGACGCGACCTCCAAACTGACGCGTGAGGAGCTCGAGCAGCTCATCGCGCCCCTCCTTGACCGCATCCAGGCCCCCATCGAGCGCGCCCTCCGCGATTCCGGTATCACCGCCGAGCAGGTCGACGCGATCGAGCTCGTCGGTGGCACCACCCGTGTCCCCGCCGTCAAGCAGCGCATCATGAACGCCGTCGGCGGCAAAGCCCTCTCCTACACCCTCAACCAGGACGAGGCCGTCGCCCGCGGTGCCACCTTTGCCTGCGCCATGCTCTCCCCCACCTTCCGCGTCCGCGAGTTCGCCGTGCACGATATCAACCACTTCCCGATCAAGGTCCAGTGGGAGCGTGTGCCCGAGGACCAGGATGAGGAGACCGAGCTGCTGGTGTTCCCCCAGGGCAACGCGATTCCCTCAACCAAGGTCCTGTCGTTCTACCGCAAGGAGCCCTTCCAGATCCAGGCTGCTTACGCCAACCCCGATCTCCTCCCTGGCAGCATCAACCCCTGGATCGCCAACTTTACGGCCAAGGAGGTTGCGCCTCTGCCGAACGGCGACCCCGCTGTTGTCAAGGTCAAGACGCGCTTGAACTTGCACGGTATCATGTCGTTTGAGGCTGCGTATACGGAGGAGATTGAGGAGAAGGAGGAGGTGGTGTCGACGCCTTCGCCTGCGCCTATGGATGTGGACGGTGCTGCTGCGCCTGCTGCTGAGGGTGAGCAGCCTGCGGCTCCTCCTCAGCCCGTTGTGAAGAAGAAGAAGGTGGTGAGGAAGAAGGAGGTTGCGTTTGTTGCTTCGAACAGTTCGTTGACGAGGGAGGTTGTCGAGGAGTGGAGGGAGAAGGAGGGCCAGATGTATGAGAGTGATAAGCTTGTGCGGGATACTGAGGTGAGTTTTCCCTTCATCGCGGGTTTGTCGAGAATATCATGTTGATCATCGTTATAGGAACGCAAAAACGCGTTGGAAGAGTACATCTACGACATGCGTTCCAAGGTCGAGGACCGCTTCGCCTCCTTTGTCCAAGCTTCCGAAAAGTCGACTCTTCTCGCTGCGCTCCAGGAAGCCGAGGACTGGCTCTACTCTGAAGAAGGCGAGGACACCACCAAGTCGATCTACATCTCCAAACTCGACGCGCTCAAGAAGATCGGCGACCCCATCACCTTCCGCTACCGCGAATCCCAAGACCGCAACACAGCCATCGCCGCTCTCCGGGAGACGCTCAACACGTACATGTCTCAAGCGACCTCTTCTGACGAAAAGTACAGCCACATTGACGAGAAGGATAAGCAGAGTGTTGTTGAAAAGGTTGCTACTGTGCAGAAATGGTTGGAGGATATGATTGTTAAGCAGGCTGAGCGACCGAAGAATGAGGATCCTGTTTTGACGAGTGGGGAGGTTGCGAAGAAGAGGGATGAGGTTATTTATTTTGCGACTCCTATTTTGACGAGGTTGAAGCCGAAGGTGAATACCACGCCGCCGAGTGGGGAGCAGCAGCAGGGGGAGAAGAAGGAGGAGGGGAAGGGGAAGGAGCAGGGGCCTAGTGAGATGGATGTTGATTAGATGTGGTTTGGGTGGCGGGGTGGGGGTGAGGTCTTGGTTTCGTCGTGCGTTCGGTTATACCTTCGTACATCGTCTTATCCCATTTCGTGCATAATCCCCTATTCATTTCATCCTTCATCGCATCGCTCGAACGTTCATGATCATCGTCCTACTCCTCATTCATTGATCACTCTACGCTCCCCATTCATTGATCACCCTACGCCCTCGTTCATTATCCATGATCGTCTTACCCGCGTTCATTGATTACCCTACTCTCCCCATTCATCGCTCAGCGCTCATTTCGGTGTGGAAAGAAAGAAAAAGAAGAAGACATATTTTTTACGATAGTGTAAAACTTTTTTTTAGAGTATGTAGTAGAATTTGATTTTTCTTTTGATTTTTCTTTTTTTGGGGGTTATCGGTTATTAGATATCGGATTTGAGTGCCGGATTTGAGTGTTGAGTGTTGAGTGTTGAGTGTTGAGTGTTGAGTGTTGAGTGTTGAGTGTTGAGTGTCGGGGGTGGTCTGGTGTTGGGGGAGGGGGTGTGGTCTGGTGTGGTTTGAGGTGTGAGGTCGGGTTGAGTTGAGTTGAGAGATGAGGTAGGTGGAGAGGTGAGTTGCGAGGTCGAGTCGAGTTGAAGGTGTGAGGTCGGGGTTGAGTTCGAATCGAGGTGTGCATGTGAGGTCCAGTTGAGTGGCGAGGATGGAGGTGTGAGGTCCAGTTGAGTGGCGAGGATGGAGGCGTGCGATCGGACTGAGTTGGAGGGTGGGATAGATAAAGGTTGGCGGTATGGTTTTCGTACATGTTACTACTTCCTCTTGAAGTAGTACGCCAATCTGTGGATTTCGTCCTTCCAGACTGCGGTAAGAGGAGGCTGTAAGGGAAGTCACGTAGTAGTACTATGCGAGGGTCCATCGAAGGCACCCTGGCCGGCCCAAATTATGGATCTCCGTCCAAAGTTCAAACCGTGACGTCGACTCATTGCCTTTTAGCTAGCATCTGTTGGGTTTTGAAGTACCCCGGGCCCTAGCTTTTGTACCAGTCAAAGTCTGGCGGATTCAAGTTACTGATGGATCAGATAGTACGGACAGGTATGGCGACTCGGAGGTCTCGGCCACCGTACGGGTCTGGTGCCGGTTCTCTACCCCTCTCGCTCCATTCACCAAACTTGGACTACACACTCCTGACCGTCATTGCCGAAGCCCGTTCCTGGCAGTGGGCGGCTCTTTCGAGCGGGCGCTTAATTTGATTACATAATGAATTGCCGACACTGTTCTTTTGCCATTACTCCCAGTAGCTACGCCGCGTGTCGGATGAGACTGCAGAGCCTATGTACGGCGTCTGAGTCGAGTATTGAATCCATCCCCTTTACATAAATTGCCCTATCATCCACCCCTACTAACACTCGGTCGATCCTCGTGGGCCCATCCATTCGTCCTCGTCTTCCTAAGTAGACTTGTCTTCGCAGTATAGCCACAACGGTGACGACAGAGCTTTGGTATGTCATTGAAACTGAATACACACTTTCGCCTCGAGGTGGCGAGGAAGCACGATCATAACGTCGACGTCTCGGGAACATCCGCAAGCCGCAGCATGAACGTGCCATGGCCCATGAGGTGGTACCTCGAGGGAATCTCTTGTTCGACGTCGGCTATGGCCATGGACTCTACTAACACTAACAGCCCGGTGCGCAGTGAGTACTATTATGAGAGCGCGATTTTCAAGGTATGCGGCTTCAAGTCCACTACTACTAATAGTACTAATAGTTCGTCCAACTTTATCGTTGAATTCAAATTAATCCAGGTGGAGAATAGACTGTACAAGATCCCGAGATATCGACTGGTCGCGTTGTCGCCTGTGTTCGCTGATATGTTCTCTTTGCCCCAAAGTCATTCGGAGATAGTATCGCCGGACGGCCGCGGGATCGTTGAAGGAGAGAGCGAAGATAGGCCTATCGTCCTCGAGGGGTGCAGAGTGGTCGATTTTGAAAGGCTTTTGGCGCTTGTTTATCCCAGGTGCGTCAGACGCCTAGGGGTCTTGTTCAGGCTCCTATCTCTACATTCCTACTTCTCTCGATCGGTGTCGTTTCTATATTAGAGTGCGGTCGATGTGCTTATACTGACATGTGTTTTGTGCAGGGACGATTGGGTGTATGGTGATTCACCGCCTTTGACAAGCCTGGATGAATGGGTTAGTGCGTTGAAGCTGGCGACGTTGTGGCAGATGGAGAAGGTATGTTGGGGATCAGAATTTCAAAGAGTTGACCCTCACGTCCGAACCCAACCTGTGCTTCAAATTCTCAAACGTGCTCGCAGATAATCGGCGTAGCGATCGCGCAACTGGACGAGATGGAACTTTCAGAGACGACGAAAATCCGACTTGGGAGGGCGTATGGAGTGAAAAGATGGATCTCCGAAGGTGTTGAGGCTATCGCTTCTCTGAAAGACGTCACCGCCATCCCTTTGGAAGACCTGGCTGATACGTTGGGCTGGGAGGTCACAGCTCGGATCCTCTGGGCCAGAGCATCCTGCGCGACTACACCCCTTTCGGGAAAGGCGGACGTTCCTTTCGACAAGATTCGGTGTAAATCGTATGGGTGTGGAAAACGGGTTCTGGGAGCGGGGAATTTGGTTTGTGAGGGCGGGCATAGGGCTGATACGGTCCAAAAGCCACCGATCCGAGCTGGGGGTGGTACATGGGTTCCGTTAGCGTTTTTGTCTAAGGACACGATAGGCACGGCGTTGGCTGTTGAGTTGGGAGATTTGGTTGTGGGGGATGGTGTTGAAGTCAATCCTGATGTCAAGAAGGAGATCATGGATTTGTTCCAGGATGAAGTGGTGTAGGGTAGATGCTTTGCGTACTGTAGGGTTATGACTTCAGGACAGGACTCTGATGTTATCGCCTGGCTAGATTACGAGAGCTAGTGGGTTCAGACGGGGCCTGAGAGGTAAAGGACCATCTAGGAGTATTCATATCTAACTTTGTTTCATGGTTGTTTCAATCATCTTAGGTCTGTTCATACCGAAAAGAAACGGGATTTATCGCACTGCAGATTACAAAATTCGACGTCTCTAAAGGTTATTGTGACCAGAAAAAAAAAAAGGCAATCCAACGTTGGGGCACATACCGAGCGTCTATGGTCTATCCTCCGGGCAGGAGTGAAGAGGGAGTTCACCGATGTCGAGCTTCGCGTAAGGCAGCGGATTGAAATATGATTTATATCGGAAGATGAAGCTCGCGAATAGTACTATGAACAAAGACAACATGACAAGCAGCACCACCTTACGCTCTGCGTAGAGTCTTTAATTCGGCGGCAAAGGCGGCTTCTACGTCTGCCACGGGAATAGAGGTAGATTGTTTCTGGACGTGGCTGTGAACAAAGGACCATTCCAGCGTCACAGATGGTGTGGGTTCCCGAGCATCGAGGTTGGCGAATGGGTTGGGTTTGAACTGCATCACGCCCCCGGGAGTGCCAAACGACGGGCTTCCAAACTTGGCGGGTGGACTTGTGGCACCGCCAAACATAGAAGTAGGAGGAGTAGGGAGAAGACGAGAGTGGTCCATCGAGCAAGTACCTCGGCTGAACGGATGAGCGCATTTCGGGTTCTTGCAGTGAAGCTTGTCGATTGGGATCGAGAGCTCCCCGGATGCGGGTAGTGCGCTGACGGGCGCAGCCTTGTAGCTGATACCGAGGGAGGTTATCCGCGCGATCGTCTCCCACCCGATGTAGCTAGCCAGTTTCTCGAGTGGGAATCCACACAGGTCGGGTGATTCGGCGAGGGTTTTGGCACCCTCGAGAAACCAGGTGGGAACATGGTACTGCCTTGCGAGTTGGATCTTGGTAGGGAGCGTTGGGCGAAAGGTCTGATATGGATTTAATGGCAAAGTTGCGCATCTATCAGAGATGACGTTAGAGAACGTTTGGGGATTCCTTGAGACTCGGATGCGTACCTTGGTCATTCCCCAATTGGTGGATAATTTCAGGATAGTTATCCAGTCGCGGATGTCTTTGATCGGCGGAGGGTCCCCTTGAATCCACCCATTACTATGAGTTAAAAGACGTGATCAGCAGCATTGTTATCCATGAAAGGAATGCCACACTCACCTCGAAAACAAAAGAGAAATGATGAGTTGAAACTCGGCAGCCTTGACGCCACCGAGAACGATAGGTTGCTCCTCACTTCCTGTTACACCCTTCGCTGGGTCTGCATACCTGCTAACAAACCCTGGAGACAAACTGTCAAAAGGCTCTCGTGGAACAGTAAACAAGATCCCTTCGATCTGAGAAGAAGAGTGATTTGGTCAGAAGAAAGACTGGTGAAGGATACGAGCACAAGAGATATGCACCTTGAATGAGACGAGTTCTGTATAGATACTGAAGTGGGTTGAGGGCGCCTTGCTCGTTGGGCTGCTGAGTGAAGGTGGCGCCATGGCTTTGGGTTCGCCCGTCTGTGGCTACATATCGTGCACCTTGTAGTCCTATTTATGGGGAACCATGGTTGTTATGTACAGCCCAAATGATAAAGAGTCCCATTGAGTGAGGGCCCTGGAGTGCCATCGCGCAAAGATTCTTTGTGTCCAGTCGTGGATAGTGAAAGGGGAGGAAACAAAAGACCAACCTCCGAACTCTGCCACCGCAAGAGCGATCACGGGTCTTCCTATGCTGCTAAAGGATGGGGACTGTCAATAAAACTTACTCCTTTGTGGGTTATTCGATTGTGGCTATACTGTCTATTCCTTTTTCTGAAAACAGTCTTCTCACACGCTTCAAGGTCGACGAAACATTCATGATTTTTCACGTTTATTTAATCGCACGAGAATGGTAGGTAAGGTAGAGATAGTTGTCACAAGAGTTTAGCAGCGTTAACATGCCGTTTATAAGCTACATGGATGTGAAAGAGAAGAAAGGCGTGGGGAGATCACCCATGCGCATACACGTTCAGCGGCCAGCCACACAGATACCGACATTAACTAAAAATCAAGACTCAAGGAAGCCCTCGACAAAGTCCTCATGTGAGATGAGGTGCTCAGTAGTACAGCGACTGCTCACATTTCCAGCACGAATGGTCTCGTCAGAGGCCGCAGAAGAAGAGTCGGAGCATGAACCGGGAGATCCAGGGTCAGAGTCAGAGTTGGAGGTAGGAGTGACTGGTCTACGGTGAAGGGAATCTTGAATGAGACGAGCGCGATGCGCGTACCATTCTTGGAGTCGGGCGTAGGCAGAGTCGGCTTGATAGTCGTCAGCGACCCCATGGTCGTCTTCGTCTTGAGTCTTACATTCTTCGTCGGGGGAATCGTCGTCGCCGTCGTTGTGGTCACCAAAGTCCTCGAGGCCATCATCATCCCAATGGTAGTCCAAGTCCCAGTTGAGGTCTTCGTCTTCGCGCTCAATGAGGTCGTTCCGCCCAACAAGGACTAGTACCTTGGTTGGATCTGAAGCGCAGACCTCAGTGGTGGAAACGCTGGCCTGTGAAGAACAGTCACCCGACTCCCAGTTTACAGTGTTGCGCATTTTGGGCGTTTGTTGGTGATCCGTTATTTCCATCTTACTGCTTCTCAGAGTAGTTGGCCTGCTGGTAGTTCTGCTCTAAAGCTGAGGCACCTTTGGGTTTTTCCGACCGTTGGAATCGGCTGCCGTCTCTCGCTGCGCCTTTTAATCCCGCGCTCGAGCCTATCACTGTAGAGACGTTAAATCTGTGTCAAAGCGCTGGTCTTTATCCATTGCTATCGACCAAAGGACACATAAAGGTGACATTTGGCGCTTGTACCGAGCGTCTATTATCTAAGCAGGGGCGAATAGGGGGTAGAAGGACAATCAGTGAGGCTGGCGTGGAGCTTTTGGAATCGACTTGAATCAGACCCGAGCATAAGCAACGCGCAAATGCCCCTTTCTCTTCCGACCGTCACTCTGGTTCTTAAATACTGAAGATGGACCTTTCATCGAAACAAGACGATCAAAAGGAGCCCGTAATTGAAGCCAATCCCGCGGCTGCTCGTCATCACCGATTCTATTGCGAAAACATTACTCTCAAGGTCAGTTAAAAGGCGATTCGCTAAGTGGTGTGCACTAAACGCCCTACTATGTTTCTTTGTCAAGGTCGAGGGAACACTTTTCAAGGTCCCTCGGTATAAATTTCAGGAACTCTCCCCTGTCTTTGCCGACATGTTCTCCCTGCCAAGTGTCGGACCAGTTGGGACTGTCGAAGGACAAAGCGACGAAAACCCCATTGTCCTCGAGGGGTATGCTATGAAGGACTTTGAGCGCCTTCTTTCGATACTGTATCCCAGGTGCGCTTTTCGTCCCTTAACACGCCCTCCATTAGTGAGATTTTTGCATACTAGTGGAGACGCCATAGCCGGAGATCCCATCTGTCTGGAGAGTAAAGAGGAGTGGATCAGCGTTCTTAAACTTTCTACCGCATGGGAAATGACCAAGGCGCGTCTCATTCAAGTCCCTTTAACTCCGGACACAATTACGTGCTAAACTGCAATGTTTCCAGGTTCGAGAGATGGCCATTAAAAGATTGAGCCTACTGCAGGTGACCCCTATTGAAAAGATTCAGCTGGGGAGGGAACATCGAGTTTCCTGCTGGTTTCTCGATGGCATGAAAGCGCTTGCTACCGAGATTTCCAGGGATTCGGAAGGCGGCATCTCCGTGGATTCCATAGCGGCCCAGATCGGTTGGGAAGCCGCAGCGAGAGTAATGTCTGCCGTGAACAACCACAAATCCGCCTCTACTCTTGGGGAGAGGTTCATTCCGTCATCCGGGGAGGTGCGAGTGTTGTTGGAGAACATCCATTGCCGTCGAGACAGGTGCTTGAAGGATGAGAAGATGCGACAGAATTGCCCTATGAACCACGATGGTCTGCGAAAGGGGGGTTTTCTACCTGGGAACCGATCCTTTCAAATCCACCGCGACGAGAACGCCAATCGACGCAGCCTTCATCGAGTTGGGGGGAGCGGGGCCAGAACTTCTGTGAAGGATTTCATATCGATGTCTCAGGACGGATGCTTCATAGACTGGTCCCTCCTCAAACGGCAAGGTTACGAGGCGCCGTTGACCGATGATATTTCTTTCGACACCATCAAGAGCGCCTTCGCCGACGAGCTTAACTCCCTGACATGAGCCGCATAGGTCAAGTTTTGCCGGCATTTCTGGACTCGCCTGTGACACTACACGAGGGTTGATGAAGTCCGGAGTACTCTACGCCTGTATCGTATTTATCTCGGCGCATGGTTCGCGTGTATGGGGTTGAAGATCCCTGTCTAGGCGAAGAACTTGACTCGGAAAAATAAGGGCATTTTATTCAACGCGCCTCCTTTTAACTGAGCGACCTTCGATTGAACTGTCAGTCTTGCGCTTACGAGACGGTACGGGAATCTCAGTCTCGGGCTCCTTGCCCTTGCGCGAGGATCGAAGCTTTCGAGGCTCTGAGATGTCGATGTTAAGACCCTTCATGAAAAGGCTATCCTCCTCATCTTCTTCGTCATCGTCGCACTCCCTGACGAACCAATTCTTACCGTGAATACTGGTATCTTTGAAGTGCAACTTGTACTTGGCAATGCTCGGGTATCCGTTCCGGCATCGCTTGCACAAGAACCGAGGGGGCGGGAGTCCACCTGGTCGCCTTGTCGCCAAGTTGCGTCGTCGAGGGCTGTTAGGGTCTCAAACATCCACCCACATCCACCCACAACCCACTAGCCTTGATCCACACTCCCCGCACAGTCTCACATGATCCCGCATGACCCCGCACATCCCCGCACTCACCATCATCTCTCCGCATCCCGCATCTCCCACACCTCCGCCACATCCATCCCACTCCTGCACATGCGGACTCCCCACATGTGTCCGCTCTATGGATGTCCGCATCCGCAAGTCCGCATTCCCGCATGCTCCGCAGTCGATCCGCATGCGGAGTTTACGGGCACTGGACACTCCGCTCCGCATTTATGCGGAGCGCCGCCGGTACGACACGGCCCGCAACTGAGGGCCGGTGCGGACCGTGCGGAGAAACCTCGTAACCGCCCTCTAGGCGCCCAGACTCTGCATGTGACCTTTTGTACTTCCTTATGACTCCCTTCCTTGCTTTGCTATTGTTCTTTAGAATCGTCTTACTCATCCTCTTCGCATTCCGCGGTATTCCGCATTTCTTATGACTCAGTTCTTTCTCTTGTCCCAGACTTGTCCCAGAGTATATCCAGAGTATCTACAGATATATAAGCTAGCTAGATTTCTGTAGTAGATACTCATCCGGAATCTCGATTCAGACTTATACAGAACTTCCCCTCTGTCCAGTCTTGAGCCTTTAGGCTTGCTAGAGCTTTCCGCATACTCCGCATTTCCGCACAGTGCTCCTGATTCCGCTCCGCAAGGCTCTCTCCTCTCTCTCCTCGTCTTCCGCCGTAAGGCGCGTCTCTCTCTCCCTCTCCTCCCCTCTCCTTTCGGGTTGGACCATATACCACCAGCGTGGGCACAACGCAATACGTTGAGGCCAAGGTCCCTTCGACTCCGCAGACTCCGCAGTTCCGTAGAGTCTAACAAGGGCTGGTATCATCGGATCTCGATGTTTTCGCAGAGTCGGACACTGTTCCAGAGATAGCTCTGAGTTTTTCGTTAGCTGAAATTGTTGCTGATCGCCTGGGACGAGAATCACCAGCGGATTGAGACTCGGTCAGTTGCTTCGAAGACGAACTCCTGGTATATGCCATGGTTGATGGGAAACGCGTTGAGGGTAGTAGACTGTCTCTGTGGAAGCTGGCTAGTAGGTCTAAAGGTAATGTTGAATGCAGAGATGGATACTTCTGAGAGTCGTCGATTGAGCGGTGAATAGAGGAAGCATCATTGTCTGCCACCTCGTTTTATACCCGCATTTCAGGGGTATCCGAGTCCAAGCACAGACGATAGTTCGTCACAGTATTCCTGTGGTCAGAGCCAGCGGTCGGTGCTCATCCGCGGCCCGCCAGGGACAGGCACAGTGGCAGACTACCACGGGAAGTAGGATGGTTTGGCCATCGGCTTTGCCGGGTTCGCGTCCGTCATTGACGGCTGTCAAAGCGGAACACGCATTCATGCATCATGGTCCAGTCATCGTGGTCCCGGCGTCCTCAAGCTCAGTGTAGGGATCTAGGAATAGTGTTATGTCCGTCGCACCACGGGACATAGGACATCTTACTCCGAACACAGTTAATGTAAACGATATCAAGTTAGATAAAAAGGCCCTATGGTATGATACATCAGCACACGCGTGCATACTAAGCTAGGCATTCTCTTTTACTACTAATAGAACCATTCAGATGCGAATATAAATACATGGCTTGTTCAAAAGTATTGAGAACGGGAAAGGTAGATTTATAGTCGATGGGACTGTTTAAAACCAATCGCTATCGCTCGAGTCGAAGCTGTCAGAGTCGCTGGTATTGGAGCATGGAGTGGGGGTTCGAGTACGAGTTGATGGCAGAGTCGACGGTCCAGCCACGGGCTCGGGAGTGTATTCGGTGATGGGCGTATTGACTGCCTCGGAAGTCGACTTGGTGCTGGTCTCGGGCGCCGGTTCAGTGGCAGTCTCGGGAGTCGGTATGGTGCTTTCGGTGTCGGAGGCCTCAGGCTTGTCCCACCCAGGAAGTGTCTGATCGTTATTGTGTCGCTTCAAGCAGTGTCTCTTGAACCAGGCCTCAGAGGTTGTGGTGTAGCCGCAGCGAGGCATCGCACACCAGTAGACCGTCTTCTCTTTTGGAGCCGCCTTTTGCTTTGGCTGGGGCTTTTGCTTTGGCTGGGGTTTTTGCTTTGGCTGGGGTTTTGGCTTTGGCTGAGGTTTTTCTTTTGTCGAATTCTCGTTGGGTCGAGTGTTTGGTTTTCCTGGACACTTTTTGCTGTTGACGTGCGCATAGTACAGTTGCTTCGACTTGAAGCCATTGTGGCACTTCTTGCACAGGAAGATAGGCGTGTAGGCAGACGCCTTGCGTGGGACACTCTCAGCTTCATCCTCAGACTCGTCCGTACTCTCCTGCTCGCTCTCTTCGGTCTCAGAGTCCGTGCTCTCAACGCTGTCGTCGCGTCTCTGGTCAGCATTAGGGATATCCACAAGCTTCTGCAAGGCTTTTACAGCAGCCCCGCGCCTAGGTCGACGCGCCGGGGATGCAGGGGGTGTTGTTGAAGTTTCGGCCAAGGGCCTCTTTCTCCCAACCATTGTGACTTGATGCAATCGAGTCGAGTGGTATACAAGAGAGTTAAGGGTGTGGCAGAGCTGGTAGGGGATGGAGTTCACTGCTCCCTCTCAGCAGACCGCAACCTTGTGGACGAACAGGCTGAGCCGGAATATATGATGGTGGTGAACAAAAGGAATGAAAGCCACGCCTGCAGTGTTCACCTTTTAAACGAGCGATGAACACGTGCACATTTGACAAAGAAGGGCAGGTTAATATCCAAAATAGGAAGGTCACAAGTGTCCGTCGGAGGCTGTTGGTCGCTGACCATGCGTTGGGGCCATTGTTCGTTGACCGGGTGGCATAGATACAGTCCAAGATACTGCCACAGACACTCGAAAAATTAATACTCCTTGTAGACTAGCCTTGCGGGCCCTAGGCCTTGACGGAACGCATTGACGCTCAAAGCGCACACCCAGCGCTTAATGCTGGTTGTTTTTCGTATCTCAGTTCCTCAGTTTCCGCGGTTTGGGACAGTGTACACATAAATCCTAGTACTTCTTCCTCTCTGCCAAATACTATGCCGATAAGTCCTGATATCTCGCACTGGCAGTGAAGAAACTGGTGGGCAGGAGGGTTGAACTTCTCCGAAGAACGGACTGTGTGGCTGCACCTTCCAGTCCAAACACTGTCCATCACATCCAAGCGTCGTCCACAGGATTTCATGATCTCCTATGCTCTTCATGATCAACTCAAGTCCGGGTTCGAATTTCGAAAGGTTTGGTGGACTTGACACCGGGAATCTGTGTTCGATACTCGAATGAACGTCGGACGCGGGGAATCCGGGTACGCCAAGTTGGTTGGCGTGTTTTTTTTTTTCTGAAAATTCTGACCGGCTGTTTCTTCGCAGGGCCCTGCATGAGCGGGGGCGCATTCTCTGGCCCGCTCAAGACTTGCGACTACTGACAAAAGGTGGACAACACATAATATCCCACCATTATCTAAACCTGCTACGGTCCAATGGTCATGGGTTCCATGTTCTGCCAGCACCCATGCGCGGTGTCATCGCATTGGTGCTTCTGAAGAACAACACATACCCTTCCCTGCTGCCTCTGTTACGCTCAAACCACGGCCAACGGAACCCGCCCCGGAACCTGTCCTGCCGGTATTCAATTGACCCATGTCACGAAGCCACGGTAGTTGGAGCTCCCCTTCGAAGCACGCCTGAAGGGCGATGGACTTCGACGTTCGAAGCTCGATTTGACGAACGAAGACCCTGTTTTCGGTTCTTAAAACTCCGTGGGTCGTCCCACGTCCCTGTGCGACACTCTCCTCTGACCTTTGGCGCGTTTAAAAGAGCGAGATAAGCTCTTTCTCTCTTCTTGAAGACACCCGACCCTCTTCTGGGACCATGACCGCCCAGGAAAAAGTCGACGAGAGCAATGAGATCACGGTTCAGGCTCGCGATGTCGACGTGGCCGCTATGGTAGCGGAGGATGGCACCTACGAACTCACGCCTGAGCTCGCTCTCGCCCTCAGGTACGCCTGTTCTACGTAGGCCCGCACTTCCTTCACTGACGGATGATTCAGGAAGAAGATCATCAGGAAAAACCCAAAGTATAAATGATGCATCATTGAGAACATTTTGTACACTGTTGCCCCGGATGAGGCTAATGGACATCAATGTGCTTCAGTGACGAAGCCCCTGTCATTTTAGTCCATTTTGAAGCAAAAATGTGACCACTTGTTCGTACGAAGGCATAATTTTCTGGGACATTTCAGTGCTCTTCAAGTTGGGTCCTACCGCCTTCCCGGTGAAGTGTGGAGTTTTGACGCTCAGGCTGCACTTCTCGACATTGGCCTTTCGATAGGTGGTATGGAGTAGCAGATATTAAACTTCTTGCAAATTTACATCCTCAGGGTTGAACAAGAAGACTGAGATTCAGCTTGGAATGCGAAGCAGAGGTAGATTTCACTCCGAGAAGAAGGAGAAGTCATTCAAAGTCCGCTCTCACCTTCGCGGGCGACGCGGCAAGCTTCGGCTCTGTGTGTGAAAGTGGACACGTGACATGTCGTTCAGACGGTCGCGCAAGAGTCACGACGCCAGCAAAGCGACCTTGTCCACATTCCCTCACCTTCCCTGTCCGAGGCCGTCGTCCTCAGCATTTTCTGTCGCGTTTTGCCGCAACGCCTACTCCAGACTGCGGCCGTATACAAGACTTGTCTGCTTCCCATCAGGTATGTACTCTGGAGACCGTTCTCCTCACCAGGGGTGCTCACTGCTGTAGTAGGTATCGCTCGCTATTCAGGTCACCCCCATTCGCCTTGATTCGCCATAATTTGCCAAAGTGAGACATCCCCTCGCAGCCTGACGTATCACAACTGACCATCCCTTTCTCTTCTCTGTAGCAGGCCTGAGTCTCAGTGGTTTTGCCGGTGCTCTGAGTAGGATGAGTGATATCGGGATTGGGACTTGGAAATCGGGTTTGATCGTAGTTGGTAGCCGGCTCGTAGTTCATTTCGATATATACGTCGTTCGACAAGTTCTTGTATTAGCCAACATTGAATGACAATACAACATGGACTTGCACCATCCATCGTGACCGCTTTGATTTAAGGGAATGATGAGCTGAATCGAGCAGTGAAATGGGCCATTGAATGTTGCTTGTCTGTGCATAATTGTGTATAAATGAAGGGGCTGCATCGTGCAGTAGTTACATTTGGACACCGAATAGAAATTCGGCGCTATTGGACTTCATTTTTCTTATTGTTGCACAATAGAGGCTCAATTTACACTTTGGCTTTTCCCTGATGATCGACAGGAACCTCTTGCCATTGATGTGCTGTATGTCGTTTTCCCTCTGGCGTCTGGGCGAGACACTCGCTAACCACCTTGACGAACAGTCACATTCGTGTTCGTCTCCACCACACTTCCTGTACCATTCTCGCCGTTGAACATGCCTTCCACAGCATCATGATCGCGGACCAAGTCGTAATCGCGCAATCCGCTATCCTGGGCATCTTGTGTGTGGTCACCTTCGGTTAAACCTGAACTGTGTCCCTGACAAAGAACCATTTAGCCAAGGCGCGAATCTGACACAGGATCAGTTCAATTGGCTGGCGACTATCCTGTATCTGAGTATCCTGGCGTTCGAGGTAAGCTAGTTTCTTCAGTAACTCAACACAGGTCGAAGATCCGATGAACGTGTGTTTTAGTATCCCCAGAATTTGGCGCTTCAAAGGTTCCCTGTAGGAAAATGGATGGCGTGAGTCGTCTTGCTGTGTTCGATGAACGGTTAGCTTACAGGGCCTCTTGTAGGGTGAATATCTTCGTTTGGTCAGTCGCACTTCTCGCACATGCGGCATGCAGGTCATTCGCAGCGCTTGTTGCGTGCAGAATCGTGTTGGGAATGTGCGAGAGTGAGTCGCTCTTGGTTATTTCCATCGTGCGGTAGATTATAATCGTTGTCAAGGCGTCATCCTTCCCGGTTTCATGATCGTCACTTCCATGTTTTACACGCGTGCTGAACATACGGCTCGCGTTGGCTATTGGTGTAAGTGTCCTTTCCGTCACATCCATCGTTCCGACGATCATTGATACCACTCACAGACATGGCTGGAATGTGTGGGAGCAGCTTCCTGGGACTTGTCGCGTTCGCGCTTTTGCATATCGAGGTATCCTTACGATCCACACCCTTCTTCCATTTGAAAAGCTCACGTAGTCATTCCAACAGGGAAAAACTAGGCTCATGCCATGGCAGTGGTACACCCCACCTCACGTAAACCATTCACTCGAACCCCGTTCTGACTGTCGTATAGGATGATGATTATCATGGGTCTTGTGACGTTCGTTTTCGGCGTTATTTTCGTGTATGTTGAAATTGATTCGTTTCCGGATGATGTACGCTCACGCTGGTGTGCAGGATATTCTTCCCCGATTCGCCTACCTCTGCCAAGTTCCTCTCCGAGGAGGAAAGGGCGTTGGCCATCCAGCGCATTAAGGTTAACCAAACGGGCGTTGAGAACAAGCGATTCAAGAAAGAACAGTAAGTCTCTTTGGAAGCTACACCGTCGGCTAATTGGCCTCACAATCGCGGTTTTAGGTTCATCGAAACGCTCAAGGACATCAAAGTATGGTACATGGTCGCATTCGGGTTTCTCTCGTACGTCTTTACCACCCTCATGCCCACGCCGCTCATCTCAGATGCGCCTAGGCATGTCCCCGTCTCGATGACATTCCAAAAACAAATCATCGTCTCCCAAATGGGCTTCAACGCCCTCCAAACCACCCTCCTCAGCTGTGCCGATGGGGTCATCACCGTCATCGGAATCTCCATCGGAATCTACCTCTCCACCCTGCCCGCGATTGGCAGGGGCTGGTCGACGATCATCACCTCCATCCCTCCGCTTGTTGGGTCGATTCTGATTAATGTTCTGCCTGGAGAGAATAAAGTCGCGCTGCTGTTTATGTATTGGTTGTCTTGTGAGTGTGAAGTGTTCTCCCTTTGTCTACTTTCTCCCGACGACCTATGTGCAACCCGACGATTGAAAAGGGATTATACTAACGTATGGATTAAAGTCTGGGTTAGCGTACCATATACCGTGTTCTTGGGATGGGTTACCTCCCTGGTTGCAGGTCACACGAAAAGGATTACGACGAACGCAATGGTCCTTATCGCTGCGTACCTCGGTCTTGCTGTTGGTCCTTTGATGTGGAAGAAGCAGTATCAACCACGGTCAGTACAGCTAAAATCTCTTTCTTACTTCTACCTGCCTATGCTCATCGATACCTGCTCTCCCCTCCAATAGAAACCGCGTCCCATGGATCATAGTTGCACTCTGTGTCCTAACCTCGGGAATATCCCTCTTCGCTCTCCGACTTACGCTCTACCTCGATAACAAGAAGAGGGATAGGGAGCCGAGGAGTACGAAGTACGATGAAGTCTATATCAAGAAAGAGTTGGCGGATGGGACGGTGGAGAAGCAGCATGTTGACAAGGTGAGCATGAACTTCTTTGTGGTTTGGCGAGGTCACAGAGATGCTGATTGATTTTTGCGTGGTTCAGGCTTTCCTCGATCTCACTGATAAAGAGAACCGTGACTTCCGATACGTTTTGTAGCGACTTTATGAATCATTCTGTGTTATCTCGTGATATATTATTCTCTACGGCTTGAGGTGAAGATGTATTCATGGGAAACCAAAGAATCCGGGCGGCTAAGTAAACAAACGGAAGGTTTTTTGACCAACCTTGAAGGATGAAAGCAAGTCCAGCGACCATCGCAACCAGCACAAGCAAAACACTGGAGGAAATAAAAATGGGACCACCGCGGATCGAACGCGGGACCTTTAGAACTTCAGTCTACTGCTCTCCCAACTGAGCTATGCTCCCATGGAAGTTCGTTCAAAACTTGACAACAGGTTGGCCGCGGCCGTTATATGGATGCTTGCGATCGATCCTGGGTGAATGCAGGCGCTCAAGTTGAGTAAAGGTCCAGCTTAAACCTCGATAGATGCTCTGCAGTAGACCTGGTGTTTGAAAGACTTGAATTCCGATGGTCGGTTTGCGTTTGGAGGACGTCGACTCGAGGCTGGAACATTGGATTTTGTCGTATGGATAATAGACCAGCCGCCAAGGTGAGCAACCTCGATCTAACGCTCCTGGTGACTCGCGGTTACAGAGCTTTCATAAGTGGTGGGTTGAATAGTATTTCCAACGCAGAACAATCTCAGCGTCGAATTCTTGGACGTCCTGTAGGTGCCGCTTTGACATTACTCGATATAGAAGCTGGGATACCGCTTTGACCGTTTGATGCGCTTTGACTTATTGCTTGATGCGCTTTGTTCAGTCAAGGATGAATGGGCGCTTTGACGTTGGGGAAAAAGGTATAAAGGCGCGATGGACTGAGCCGAGTTTTGGTCAAGCACATCTCGCCACTCGATACTCGATACTCACTCGCAGTCGAACCTACTTCGAACTTAGAACCTAGTCGTTCAGAAAGCAAGCAAGAAGCAAACTAAACCAACAATGGCGACTACCACTACTACTACTCAACACACTCAGACCATTCACTCCACTTCAAACGCAGCCAGCCACTCTCAATCTGAGGGAAACCCGATTCATCTCCGACGGACCAAGCGAGTCGAGGACTTGGGGACCTTGTTGCCAGCAAGGAACCCATCGCCTTTGGATTATACTGTCTTGTACAAACTCTCCAGGAGCCCCTCCTCGGATTCGAGTTCGGAATCGGATGATGAGGCCATTACTATTCGTCCAAAGACTCGGCGTAGCCAGAAATAGTAAGTGACAAGATGGCGGAACGCGTGCAGGAGGAAGTGAAGATTAATTTCGGAAGTGGTGTTTGTTGAAGTTGACTCTTGAAAGGATGGCGAGGGTGGAGTTATGAGCGTCTGTTTGACTTCTTTGCTATGGTTCTCTTTCATTTCCACTATACCTATGTTTATGCCCAATATCATGATGTCGATTTCTATGCCTATACTTTTTCGTTTCTATGCCTATCCTTCTTTTGCGATCCCTATCTGCAGTAGTATGTCGTTCCTTTGAATAATCCATTTGTGAAGTTCGTGAATTTAACCATGTGCAGTGCGCACCTTCGAGATGTATCATCACTAAAAAACCCTGTTGGAGATATTTGGGCGGTGCCCATGCGATGTCCCTAGCCGCACAATGTCCTGGTCACCGCACGCGAGCGCACACAATCGCGGCGGCGCTGGTGCGAGAGTCACCAGATGCTTTGTCTCCACAGCGTCGCCGCGGTAAGTGAGATCTCACTCGCGCGTGCGGTCTCCGTGCGATCTCCCAAGTGCACCTGTACCAAGATACAATCGGGGCCTAGGACACCATACTTCGAGTCTTTTCTCGATTTTGTATAAAGAGAATTAGAATGCCATATATTTTCATCGTAGTGCAAATACATCTCCGAAACTTATCTACGCGGAATACCTACACTCACCGAAGGGGGCTGACCATCCACCCGACTCGACCTGCTCAAATGTAATACCACATGTCAAAGGTACTGGATAAGTTGAAAAGACTGGTCAGCGCTTGAAGGTGAATCGGAAGCCTCAACATACCATCAAACCCGGTTCAACCACGCCCCAGCACCCTCGTCGCCATTTTCCGGACCTCTTCCCGTGTTATGGGCAACCCGCCTAGGAGAAAACATGAGTTTATATTGGGCGACTTGTTCATAGTCTCGCCTTTCACGATCCTTGAACGTTCCAGCCCCAGAACCTTGAAACGATTGATTTTGACCTGTTGGACATTCTGGCCCGGGCGTTGTTTCTGAAAACGCGTTCTGCAGCTGCTATTCGTATGGAGAACGCTGGTCTAGGTCAGGGCGGTTTGTGGTACGCGCGAGATCTAAGTGGGCACAGGGGATGGATGTGGTTGAAAGTCAAGAAGGAATGGACGACGGAATGCATAAGTAATTCCCCCAGGCGCGACATCCCGAGCGGGGTTTGAATGACTTTGATGTAACTCCGACTCTTCGTGGTCTGGTTCGCCTATTGTTGCCTATACATTCAAGTCAATGGAGAAAATTTGGTATTTTGAAAAGGAAAGGCTTGTGCTTGCATGTCAGTGCTAGAATAAAACAAAAGGAGTGTAAGCCTGCCCATGAGACCTCTCAAAGTCGTGGCGTAGTTCTTGAGGTCGCCCACCCGGCGCGGCGGCAGGCGTGAGATCTCACGACCTCTCGGCGCTTACGGGCGATCTCAACCTCACCGCCTCGCTTTTGGTGAGGTAAGGCTCCCCCCGCTCCGGTTTCACGTCGAACTATAGAGACCGAATCTATGGTGCTGATAGCTACTTAAGTCTCACTATATACTTGGGCGGTGAAGCATATCGCCAACCCGGTTTTTTAGTGATGATCATGTCAGTATTGGTCGTGAGGACTATCTGTCGTTAGGTTCGATGTCGAGTAGAAGCTTGACCCCAGGAAGTGAGCGGATCTACGTCGCTACTCAAGTGACAAGAACACGACAGAGTGCTCAGTCCACAAAATCTGATGTCTATCTGAGTACTGGTATGATTGTTATCTCCTCTACCCTACATGCTTCCTCCGAGTCGACGTCAATTGTTTGAAGACAATGTCAGTTTGTCGGACGTTTCGATGAGGAGGATTATTGATTCGGGTTAGATGCCGTTGGGAGAAGGAAAATCAATCTTCCGCGCTAATGCCATCACGGTATTATGTGCGAGAGAAAATCTGTACGGATGCCCATGATGTCTCCACTTCTTCCATGGACCATGTCGAAGACGCTCAACTTGACCTAATGAGGTACCCTCAAACATCCTCCACCGCCAACCCGACATTTCATATCGCCCCTGTCGACCATTGTCAACGCAGAGACCTCAGTCAACCATCATTAATGAAGCTATGTCATTTTATGGACGCCGGAATCAGTAGGAGATGGGTAATAGAGGTTTGAAGGGCGACGTTCTCTCTGCTGAGGCGACAGAATCAATGCTCAATACAAGTCGACGTCCTTCCGATTCAAATTTCATTCCCCCGCGATATTAATTTCGACTGAGTTCTGACCTCCAATTCCGCAAGCCTAAACGCCTGCGACTCGATCCCACTGTCAGGATGTGTCACAATTCGCTTTACAACCTTTTTCTTCTTCGCCCTTTCCCATGTCTCGACTTCAAATGAAATCAGCCTTTCACTAGGCACATGAAGCGTGTCCATATCCACATCTTAAGGCTTTGCGATCCTCGTGACCACCAGATTCAGTCCCAGTGATCGTGAACAACCCCCTCATCGCAATAATCTAAATACCCATCAATGAGACCGAATCGTCTCGTCCTAGTTTCCGAATACTGAGTAAGTCTTATCAAGTGCACTAGACCGGTCTTCAAGGGAGGTATAGAAGCGGCCGGCCAACAAGTGGGTTACAGCAGTTACCGCAGTCTCCGGCGTTCGAGGAGTGGAGCATCAGCCTGAGAGCTCAAGTATGTTGCTCGAAGATTGATGCGGTATAGCTCAAGTATAGCTGGTGATGTGCGCTCGTCTATTCTTAGGCATCCCTTATCCGTTTCAGGTTCGTAAATTTAACACCTCTTTGATGGTCAAAACCTACAAAGAGATTTTTTCTGGCCGTGGACTCTGGATACTTATGATCATGGAGATGCATCGCATCGTGTCAATATTGATACCCTGATCATGACCACGCGAAAAGCATGCACGAGGGTGTGTGATCGGAACGGGTGAAGTACCACGAGGAGAGCTACATATCATCTTCGCAATGTATGTAGACCGGAAGCAGCTTGAACTTGAACTTGGAACTTTGTTCTCTCAACGTGACTCCGAGTCCGACGCGGTGTATTGTACCAGTTTGAATCACGACACGACGTACATAGCAATCGCATCGCGCACGGGTGAAGGGTTCTCCTCCATTGTCCATGACGCAACCGCGTTTGGGAATCCTGTCGTCTCTATTGAAATTGAAGATGCTTATTGACGAATGGAGGATCGAGTTGAAACGACAGTGTCAAGCTGAAACACGGCAGGGGTAGACTGGAGGGGAAGGGTAATTAGGGAATGGGGTTTACCCTTTATTATTAGATCTCGCGACAATGGATCATGGAATTGGAATGGTAATATGTAGCAACACGCAGCACCTTGGATGTCCTGAAGGCTGAGGTGGTGTTTGACCTTACCGCTTGCATTTAAAGAGTGGATAGCTTGACTAATCATAGACGAGAGCCGAGGAAAAAAAAATGTGCGCCTCGCGTGGTTCAGAGATAAACTTAGCCTTCGACGGCTACATACAGATGATCTATAGCGTGGCGCGGGGTAAATCCCATCTTCCAGAAAAACTATTTTCGATCGATCGTTATCCTCCTCCCATTCGCTGACACTGACAGCTCCTCCCTCCTCCGATGTGAGTCCTCCTCCGTTACCCCGATACGATTGACACTGACAGGTGTTGACAGTTCCGGGCCACGAGGGCAGCGCCGGGCGAAGGGGGATTAGGGGATGGCTATTGGTTGGAGGAGCGGGAGCGGGAGGCGCGAGGGGGAGGTAAGGATACGATTGGCCAGCGTCGGCTTCGGACGGTGGCGTGGTATACTATTGGTTAGAACTTAGAGCAGGGTTGGGTGGAGAGCGGGATTGGTTGGAGCCTTCGAGTTAGGGGCAGAAGCGAGGGGTTTTGGTATTAATATGGTGATACATAGATACTTACGAATTGAATTTGGAGCCCCCCTCGGCCTTAAATTCGTTTGTAATACAACGATCGTATTGCAGCGAGTGCGTTTAAATTGAATTGAGTTGCATGAGATTAGATAGGTATCCAAGAAGGCCGTGAATTCGATCGACTCCGAGGGGAGGGCTGTGAATTACATACTGCTGAAGTGAATTCTATTATCATGGATTATCATGGATAGCGATAGATATTGTATAGACGCCCACGCGAAGAAAAATGAAAAGCGGAGTCAAATTTCAAATTACTGTATTATTCTCGTTGGATTTTGGTCATCGTGTGGACTTTCTGAGAATGATCGGGTGGACAGGGGGAAACAAAGTTCTGGTTCTGACTGTAACAGTGGTGTATGAACTTCGAACTTCGAAGAAGAATTGCGCCTGGAATAGTGTAGATTTTAGGGTGGAGAGAGCGGACGAGTAAGGTCCGAAAGAGCGAATGAATACGGGTGGAGGAGAGCGAATGAATACGGGTGGAGGAGAGCGAATGAGTAAGGGTGGGGTTGGATGAGGCGGTACTACTGCCGGTAACGTTATCGAGACCAAAACCATGATGAATGACAAGAAAAACGAGATGAAGAAAATGAACATTTACATTCATACTATACCTCCGGGAGATGGTACAGGAGATGGGTACCTCGGAGATGGTGCGAAGGCCAGACTAGATTTTGACGATGAGGTTATGAACATGTAGACTGCCTCGAGGTATACATACATAGTTCAAGTCCCAAGACTCGGAAAACCTACGGAACGGAAACACCCTCGATAAATTTTTATGTATTTCGAAGAAGACTGGTGGACGGGCGACGGAGGTTTATACTGTAGGTATCATCATGATGAAAGTGGAGTCGGGGACCGGGTGGTAGTGGAGAATGGTGTACTCCAAGGAAGGTGATATGTACTCCGAGAAGGTGTTATATATACTCCGAGGAAGGTGTTATATATACTGTATGTGCTCCAACGGGGGTGGTCAAAGGTCAAAAGCGGTACGTTGGGCTCCGATGTCCCGAATGCGGTGGGGAAGGTAGAGATAAAGTTGGCAATGTGGAAGGTGGAATACCAGGAGGGGGTTTGAGTCGTTGCAATACCGGAGCTTGACAGCCAATGGAGGGGTGAGCTGGAGCAATAGAAGTTGACCTAGGATGTGGGTGGATTTCGATGTGGATATCGGATGACCTGAGCGTGGTTTCAATGAGAAGGGGGAACGCGAGGATGAATCTTGACGTAGGTGATTGAGTACGTAGACCGCGACGAGGACCGTGGATGAGGGGCTGAGGGTGCAAAACGAGAGAGAGATAGTCCGAACCAAGAGCGACTTCAGAGCGACTTCAAACCAATAGCGCCTCTAAACCAAGAGCGACACCTCCAAACCAAGAGATCTAGAGACTCCTCGACCAGCTTGACCAAGACCAAGAACCAAGACGCAAAACCCGCGATGTCGGGCTTGCTCGTCGACTCGTGTTTCGTGGGTTTGACTGATGCTGACTCGTGTTTCGTGAGTTTGGCTGATGCTGACTCGTGTTTCGTGGGTTGGCTGATGCTGGGAATGGGAGCGAGCGTCGCGGGCGGTGGTACGTACCTATAGACCACAGGCTGGACGCCAGTATACCTAGACCACAGGCTGGACCCCTGTATGTCCGTACTAACGCAGACCCAAGTAAGTAAATATGTAGACCTACTCCCTGGCGAGTGTTCGCCAGCTTTGTCGTCGAGGAGTGTCGGTCGTCGTTGCGAGAACCGTCAAGTCTAACATGCTCATCGCTTGTCGCTTATGAACATTTTTGCAGAAGATGACGAGATGCCCTTACAAGCGAGGCCCTACCGAGTGCGCAAGTGGCGACCCTGATGCGCGGACAGTGTTTATTAGTGACGCGAGGATACTTAGTGTATGCTGCATAGTGACGGGATGATAGTGTATGGTGGGCATGATGCGAGGTGCTGCGAGGATACGTAGGCCTAGGCGAAGCGAACGAGCGCGGCGGGCGGGGCGGGCGGGCGCAGAGGGACTCGAAGCTGAAGCGAAGGGCCATAAAGAGCTGAAGCGAAGGGTAATAAGGAGCTGTAATATAACTCTGGTAATTGAATCGAAGTTCTGTCGTCCTTCTGACATTACATACATATGTACAAGTACGCTGAGAAGGAGCGGCCGTATCCAGGGAGCTGTCTGGCGAGAGGATGCGTATGTAAAGGGGTATGTACATAGGGCTCTCGGACGAAAGGTTGGGGCATCTGTACACACTCGCGGACAAAAGGCGCAGAACCACGCATTTTGTAAGGGAATTGCCAATCTCGTTGGTCAGGATTACCAATCCATTCGCCTATACCCGCGTAGAGAATGGAGCGAAAAAAAAAAAAAAAAACTTCCGACTTCCGCGAGGGTTGTTTATTTTGATGCCGATTCGGGTTGAAAATCATGCTAGGGTTAGGGGTACCCAGTATGTAACAAGCGACAAAGGGGGGTTTGTGCTTGGCCGCCCGCCTTGTTCTTTTTTCCATTTCCACCAGCTCAGCCCCATCAAAACACACCCCTCTCCGTTCCCAAACCAACCAAACCCAACACCGAACGACACCTCCACTCCTCCTTTCTTCTTTTCTTCTTTCATCACACCACACTCACAGACACCTCCTTCCCTCCTCCGACTTCGACTGACATTCTCCTCTTTTTTCGTCGTCGTCGTCGTCGTCGTCGTCGTTCGTTCGTTCGTTCGCTTGCTTTGTTTGTTTCGTCCCCTTATTTTTTCGTTCGACGAGACAAACACACATCACCACCAACCAGCTTTCGACGGCCCTTTTTGACTACTTGCTACCACCCACCACCTACTACGCCCGCCCCCCGTTCCTTCGTTACCACCACCACCACCACCGCCTTCGCCGCCGCCGCTACCACCGCACGCAAGGCGCTCTACGGGAACACCATCCGACGCCAACGACTCGAGGCGAAACGAAGAAACTAAACCAACGAATCAGAACACACGTTTAGGAGGCTACTAGTAAAAAAAAATGGGTTGTGTACAGTCTACTGGTGTTGATGACGAGGCTAAGGCCCGTACGTATTATTTTCTTACTTTTTGTGCTGGCTTTGTCTTCCCCTTGGTGGTCCCCCTCCTGTCCCTCGCAGCCTCCGCCGTCCCCCTTTCGTCGCTGGTCGTCATTCGGTGGTGTGAGGTGGAGGGTGGACGCAAGCACAAAGGGCTGGGGACAATGGACTGGGGGGGTGACGGGCGGGCGACGGCCCAGGGGAAGCTGACTTGGTAGACGGGTGAACTGACGACGCCAACTTTCCTTTGACAGGCAACGACGAGATTGAGAACCAGCTTAAGAGGGACAGGATGATGGCCAAGAACGAGATCAAGATGTTGCTGTTGGGTGCTGGAGAGTCTGGCAAGGTTCGTTCGTCCCCCCTCGTCCCCTTCCCAGCGTCGTGGACTGACTAACTAACCCGCCACGTTTGTTTTTATAGTCAACGGTGTTGAAGCAGATGAAGCTCATCCACCACGGTGGATACAGCGAACAAGAAAAGGATTCCTATAAGGAAATTATCTTCTCTAACACCATCCAGTCCATGCGGTGCGTTCCGTTTCTCTGTCTAAAGGGTAAGGAGAGGCCCCTGACGCCAAGACCACCAGAGCGATCCTCGACGCCCTCCCGCAGCTCGACCTGGCGCTGCAACCCGCCAACGACGCCCGGCGCGCCACCATCCTCGCCATGCCCGGCCAAATCGAGGCCGACGTCTTCCCCCGCGACGTTGCCGACGCCATCCGTAACCTCTGGCGCGACCCCGCCGTCAAAGAGGCCGTCCGCCGCTCACGCGAGTTCCAGCTCAACGATTCCGCCGTCTACTACTTCAACTCTATCGACCGTATGAGTGCGCCTGGGTACTTGCCCACTGACCAGGACATTTTGAGGAGCCGTGTGAAGACGACGGGTATCACGGAGACGACGTTCAAGGTTGGGGAGTTGACGTATAAGTTGTTTGATGTTGGTGGACAGAGGAGTGAGCGGAAGAAGTGGATACATTGTTTTGAGAATGTGACGGCGCTTGTGTTTTTGGTGTCGTTGAGCGAGTATGATCAGATGTTGTATGAGGATGAGAGTGTCGTATGTCCCCTTTTTCCCTCCTTTTTTCTTCTTTGAGTTTTTTGTGTTAATGTGTTGCGAACTAGAACCGTATGCAAGAAGCGCTTACGCTGTTCGACTCGATTTGCAATTCGCGGTGGTTCGTCAAGACGTCTATCGTGAGTACCCCTCTCCTATCTTCTTCCTTATTCCCTTTTCTTGCCCCCCCTTTCGTCGTTGGACCCTATCGTCCTCGCGCCCTTTCAACCCCGTTTCCGCGCTGCGTTCTGGACACCCAAACCCCCTCCCCACTCTTCCTCCACACCCGCCCACTCCCCACCCCCCGAGCCGCATCAATTGCACCCCTCCTCCCACCCATGTCCCCGTCCTTCTTTCCATCCTTCCATCAGGCGTTTGAGCCGCTTCCATCATTCGATGTTACGAACATCATTTCATTTGGATTGCGAACGTCATTTGGATTACGAACACCTTTCCCTTTCTTTTTGGGTTTGTCACGAGCCAAGGAAGCAAGCCCCTTTGGTGTCTTTGTGATATGGGACGGTGGCTGGGTGCTCGGGTGGTGTGAGTTGGTAACGTTGTCGGGCTGATGGCGTCTCGGACGGGGTGTGGATTGATAGGTGTTGGATGGATTGACGGATGGATGGGTTGACGTGTGTCTAAGTCTGTCTAATGGTTATTGCTGGACGACGTTGTGGGTCTGGGACGTCTAATGGCGAAGACATCTATCTATCTATCCTGAAAGGGGAAGATGTGTGTTCGTTACCCGGTGTTTTTGGGCGGCTGTTTCACGGAGGTCCTCGATACCTCCTCTTCGTCGATGCCTCTACTCCCTTACTTTTTCCTCGACGTGGTCTCAAAGCTTTTTCCTCGATGTGGTCTCAAAGCTTTTTTCTCGATGTGGTCTCAAAGAATTCGTGGCTAACTAAACACTCCCCACAGATCCTCTTCCTCAACAAAATCGACTTGTTCGCTGAGAAGTTGCCTCGTTCTCCTCTTGGGGATTATTTCCCTGATTATACGGGTGGAGATAATTATGATGCTGCTTGTGATTATTTGTTGCATCGGTGAGTTGCTGTTTCCTTTCTTTCCTTGCGTTACTCGCTCGGTGCTTTCTCTGGGTGTTGGGTGGTGGTGATGGGATGCACGGGTGACGGTGGGATGCGCTGTTGGCGATGGGTGTACCGGTAATGATGGGATGCCCCGGTGACGATTGGGTGGAGGGTGACTATGTGGGACGTATGCTGACCATCATTTACCTTTTTGCAGATTCGTCTCCTTGAACCAGAGCGCGGCTACGAAGCAGATTTATGCTCACTATACGTGTGCGACGGATACGCAACAGATTAAATGTGAGTTTTCCCTTTCCACCTCGTTGCGTTTTGGTTCTTTTTTCGGCTCGGTGTTCTTCGCCATTTCTTTGCCTTACCAAATTCACTTGCCATTCCCTCACTTCACGGGAGTCGCTTTGCTTTGGCTCTTCTTGCCGTCGCCTCGCCGCCTCTTGGTCGGCACGGCTCCTATCGTCGTCGTCACAGATGGTCTGGTCGCCGTTGTGTCCCGGGTACGGTTAGGCGGTGTTGTTACCCGAGGTTGCCGACGCACGCACGGTGCTCGGGTGTGACGCCATTTGGTCCCTGTTGGTGGTGATGATCATCGCAGTGCGCCCCCTGAGTCTCGGGGGCCGACTTTGATTGATAACTCTTTCGGGGCGACTCTTTCAAATTGTTCATCTTTCGGCGCGCTTCGTTCAAATTGTTCATCTTTCGGGGCCTTCTTGGCGGTTTTGTATTTGATGCTCGATGAATTTTCGTTTTCTTGAGGGATTTCTGATGTTCGACTCTGCCGCGTCGGTTCCTCGCCTTTTGTGTTTGCATTTTTTTGGTCCTTTTCTTTTTCTCTCTGCTTGTTCGTTGTGTGATATGATTTTGAATGAAGGCTAACCCATCCTTTCTCTCCCTTTTCCAGTCGTGTTGAGTGCCATCCAAGATATCCTTCTTCAACTCCATTTGAGGGAGTGTGGATTGCTATAAACGCGGGGGTGTTTCCCTCGTAAAGCAAACTCCTGCCTGGTTCTTGTCTCTCTCTCTCCCTCTTTCTTGTCTGTCTCTCGTCTCTCTCCCGTCTCTCGCTTGTTCTCTAATCCATCCTCCTGTCTACTCTCTCTCTCTTGATATCTTTTTACCCCGTCTCGTAACACGTCACCTGCTATACTTTTTGATTGTTGACCCCCTCCGTTGGGTTTTCTTTCTGCACCGTTTGGGACGGTGGGGTCGAGTTGTTGTTTTTGACGCGGAAACACTTTTTTTTAGTTTTTTCTCTATTTTGTATGTTTAATGCTTTTTGGCTTGTGGATTGGCTGAGCTGTTCGGTAGGTGCTAGGTTCAACTGGCCTATTATTCGTTGGTGATGCTAAATTCCAACTTGCCTATTTCTTCTTTCTTACTCCCTCTCTCCATCCGACACTCCCTTGGAATTCCACTCTCGTTTGTTTTTTTCAATAAGTATTGCCACCTTTTTTTTTAGCTGTTTTGCTTGATACCGCTTTTTTTGTTTAAGTATTACTTATTTGTTTTTGTTAATTTCAAAGTAACGGTTGGAAGTTAAGTTATGAGTTTGGGAGTGTGTGGAGATGAGAGGGTTTGTGTTGGTGCATGAGCTACATAGGTTTGGGAGGTAGGTGGAAAGGGGGTTATGTGTGGTGAGGGTGTCGTCGACGGTCGGTTTTTGTGTCGTCGGTTTTTCGACTATGAGTGAAATTGAACGGTCAAGGAATTTAGGCCCTGTTGAGAACGGAGATTTTCCAGGTCATACTTGGTTCACTCCTTTGAATCCTCTGTCGTAGACGATAGTAGGTTAGGTACGATGTGATTCTGCAACTAGGGCCGAACTTTGAGCGTTCAAAGTTCAAACTTTGCGGCGTTCGGGCTACTAGGTACGTCCGAGATGCTAGTGTTGTAACGCTGCGGTGACTAGTTCATCGTCCAAAATGACAGGAGGTGAAGTTCAAGTTGAACTTTCAACTGGGTGAACATGAGGATCCTGTTGGTGAGTACGTGACGTCTTTTGGATTGGGGGATACGGACGAGTGAGTGAGTGAGTATGTTTGGGATCCGGACGGATGAGTTTGTTCAAGAGCGTTTCGGACGTCCATTCGGGTTGACATCCCTTTTGGAAGAACCTCTCGTATCTTCTACGTCACTGTGAGATCGACGGACATAGAAGCTATTCGATAAATTCGTAGAAGACAGTGTTCAATCCCAAAGATGCGGGAACGGGTTGGTTGTAAATCTTTTCTGTTCTTCGCGTGTGTCGTGTCGTGTGATGATTTTGGTACATGTAGTAGGTACCTTCGTTTGGGGTTGGGGTGTATTACTGTATATCCCAGGCTGTTCGCCTCTTGTCGTATATGTAGCTTGAATTGACATACGATGAGAACAGCCGTGTCATGTGTCATGTTGTCATGACCTCATGGCCCGATGTTCTGTCACGTCGTTGGGCGTCCGGTACCAAAGTGTCGAAACTCTATTCTGACCTCTTGACGTAGAGTGAGAGTTTGTGGGTGTGTAGTTCTTGTGTGTTGGGTGTCTTGAAGTAGGTTCGAATATATACATAGATATAAGTAGGATTGTCGAGTGTCGCCTTAACTGCATTTGAGAAGGCGCCGCGTGGCTTAAGCGCCCGTGGGATGGGGTTTAGGAGGTGCACCAGGCTGCTCTCTCGGCATTTTGGTTTAGTGCATTCATGAGCAAAATATTTACTTGGGAGTACTAGTAGTTGGGCGCCTTCCTTCCAGAGCTAGCTTCTGGAGGAGGGACAATATTAGGTCAAGCGCTCGTATGGTGTAACTTTAAGTAGTCTTTAATGGAAGGGCTAAATTTGGCTTTCGCTGGGAGCGCCTACTGCACGGCCTTTTGCACACCTTCCTATTCACTGTATATTCCGAATGAAAAGGAAGTAGGAACGATAGTAGCGTGTACTGCGTTACCTCTGTGGCTACCGTGACACTGTACTTAGGACCATTCTGAAATGAGCTGCGATCCAAGCGGGGAGCTGCCAGAGTTTACGCCCGTGGTATTGGACCAGCTGGATGATTGTGGCATGGTCTCTCATACGATACGATGCGAATACTTGGAAGATAGAGTCAACAGTCACGTTTGGTGATGAAAGTAGTAATGGCCAAACCTCCGAACGAACCTGAAGGAAGGACTTGAGATGGGCTCGCGGTATCCAATGAGGGCGGGCTTCGTGATGGTGTTTCTGTCGAGTTGGGAATATGCGGGAGGGGACGTAAAGCCTGTCGAGGTATTGAGATAATTCCCCGTGATGTGTGTATACAAGGAGAGTAGCTGTGTCCTGGTAGCTTGGTTCAACACTAAAAAACCTTGTTGGAGATATTTGAGCGGTGGCCAGGCGATGTCCCTAGCCGCCCAATGTCCTGGTCACCGCACGCGAGCGCACACAACCGCGGCGGCGCTGGTGCGAGAGTCACCAGATGCTTTGTCTCCAAAGCGTCGCCGCGGCTTGTGAGATCTCACGCGCGCGCGCGGTCTCCGTGCGATCTCACAAGCACACCTGTACCAAGATACAGTCGGGGCCTAGGACTGCATATTTTGAGCCTTTTCTTGATTTTGTGTAAAGAGAATACAAATGCCATATATTTTCATCATAGCGCAAATACATCCCCGAAACGTATCTACGTGGAATACCTACACCGTACTCACCGAACGGCCCTGAAAATCCACTCAACTCGACCTGCTCTAATGTCCTGGATAAGTTGAAAAGACTGGTCAGTGCTTGAAGATGAATCGGGAGCCTTTACATAAATCAAGTCCTACCATCAAGCCCGGTTCAACCACGCCCCAGGACCCTCGTCACCATTTTCTGGACCTCTTCCGGTGTTATGAGCAACCCGCCTAGTAGAAAAACGTTAGCTTATATTGGGCGACTTTTCCATAGGCTCGCCTTTCACGATCCTTGAAGGTTTCGGTCCCAGAATCTTGAAAACAACTGATTTCGACCTGTTGGACAATCTGACCCGGGCGTTGTTTCTGAAAATGTGTTCTGCAGCTGTTATTCGTATGGAAAATGGGGTTCTGGGCTCAGGGCGGTTTGAGGGACGCGAGATCTAGGTGGGCACAGGGGATGGATGTGGTTCAAAGCTAAGAAGGGATGGACGACGCGGATTCCTTGCCCCAGGCAAGGCCTTATCCCACCCGCTTACCTTCCTTATCAAGTAATAGAGCGTTTTTCTACATCTCCGCTTTAATTCGATTGCTCCGCTCTAATCCTTTCCCTCCCATTACACTCCCACCTCCACCGCGCCTGGATTTAAATCGCATTGAAGGCCCCTGCACATTGTCCCGCTATAACAATGCATTCCTTGCCCCAAGCAAGGCATTATCCCATCCGCTTACCTTCCTTTTCAAGTAATACAGTGTTTTCCTACATCTCTGCTTCAATTGCTTCGCTCTCACTTCCCTTCTCCTCGTCTGTCCACCTTGGTTGTTCCCAAAAATGTCCAACACTATCGACAGGTCCAGGACTTCAGATCTTGTATTATGGTTCCCTTGGAATAGTACTTACGTACATCGGAACATGTATATGATATGGAAAATATAAAATGCCGCTCTTATTCTATTGAACAGGGTTACAGATACCAGAGCAAGGGGCAAGGTCATAGGTGTCGGCCTGCCGCACCACCTAGTGGCATAATTCCACCGCGCGACATCCCGAGCGGAGTTTGAAATGACTTTGACCCAGCCGACTCTTCATGAATTTGTTTGGCAGTCGCTTTCAAGTAGATGGACGAACTTTGACACTGGGAAGGAGAAAGGGCCATACATACATGTGTCTGCCAGGATTAAACAAAAGGGGCTGGGGCCTGCTCGTGAGATCTCTCAAAGCCTCTGCGGAGCTCGTGTGGTCGCACACCCGGCGCGGCGGCTGGCGTGAGATCTCACGACCTCTCGGCGCTTACGGGCGATCTCAACCTCACCGCCTCGCTTTTGGTGAGATAAGACTCCCGCCGCTCCGGTTTCATGTCGAACTGTCGAGACCGGATCGATAGTCCTGAGATCTAGTTAAGTCTCACTATATACGTGGGCGACAAAGCATATCGCCAACCCGGTTTTTTAGTGATGTTTCGGTGATCAGTATTGGTGCCACCCCTACAGACCTCGTTCAGCTTCACGTACGGACGTCAAGCTGGCGCTCGTTCTTTTGACAAATTCGCGAGACGCATCACCAACTGAGGTCTGAGCGAAGCGCTCAGTCGTAAGATGTATGCTTCGGATTGAGGTAAGTAAGTTATCCTTCTTGATTTCTTAGGTTTACCGAATCGTTCGGGATACGCCTCGGTGCCTTGTCATCTGATTAAGGCAGAGCTTCGAAACCTTAAAATTGAAGGCTGTATGAAGCTCGATGGTAAATCTGGTTCTTCGAGTACCCCGGCCCTCGTTCCAAGGATTGGCTTCGAGTGCCATTGGTAAACCTTACCCAGTCCCCCGACCTCGACGTACCTCGTGGTCCTGTTTTTCTTTCACGTAAGTGTCTGATCGGAGAGGCCAAGGTGGGTAGCATCCACACAGAGCACTGGCATGTAAGAAGCAGTTCAATCTGTCGCCTGCAATGCGAAGGGCCCACCGTTGGCAGAATACCAACAGTGGGCAACTACAAGATAAGAAGTCACGCCTCCTCCCCCGAGTCGGAGGGAGGTGAGAGAGGGCGCGCTCGGCTCAGGGCGGCATTCCTGAAAATCTTTAGATGGCCGTGGGTGCATGGGAACGGGGCAGATTCTAATCACCTTCGCGGAAGCATGGTCGGTGCGGAATGGTTGTTATGAGCCGAGCTTACTGAATGATTGTGGAGTGGATTGGCTGGGAGGATGGTGTCCTATCCAAGTACTCGTCGTTGTTCGACAAGTCGCAGAAGGGTGTAGAGTCGTAGTACTAGAGTGCTTGGGGTGTGGGGCCGGCTGGTAGATGCCAATGTTGTTATCAGATAGATTCTGCTGTTCGCGTCCTCACGGGCGCTAAGAACGCTTGGGCCATTTATATTGTCGTTGGGATCAAGGCGCTCCATCAGAATGGCGGACGTATTGGGGTTAATTGCGACAACTTCCTTACTTTTCCTCAGGGATTCCATCTTCCCCGGTCGACCAATTGGGAACAAGATGCCATGTTATTCAGCTTTGATCCTGCAGCGTCCCTCCGGAGACCGACGAAGGGAGTCGATTCAGACTGCGTAGGGGCTGAAACACTCTAGGAACTTTCATCTTCATTTGGAGCAATTCACTGATTACAATGGGCATTCTTCTAGCGCGTAAGAGTCACATCGATTCCTGTTGACGAAAGATGGGAGGGAGCACTCTTACCTCATTGCACCCGGCGTCTCTGAATGTTTATCTTGGCTGCTTGGAAGAAGCACGTGTTGGGAATCTCCGTGCATGGATGATCATTGATGGAAGGTGCCTTTTGCTTATCCCCAACATACTTCCAGCGTCGAATGGTTTCTTTGTTTTCTTCTTTGTCTCGCCGTTCTAAACCAGTCGCATTTGCCGACCAGGGTGACTCTCTCCTCCGTGCTCGCTCTTCCTGTGCTATCTTCTCTCGCTCGCTCGCAGATTTGGTACTTGGATAGGACTGCATTGGTTGGTTCGAACCGAGAGTCAGGTGGAGCAGTCGTTTCAAGAAGAAGGTGGCAGGAGAGACCTAGGGACGCGCTGGCAGAGTCGGACGGCGTCTGTTCTCACATCTCGGGCATGAAGAAGAGGGTTTGGAGGTTTCGATGCTGTGTGTACTCTTATCCATCTCATTTATAAAGCTAATTGTTCTATTTCGTGTGTTAACTAGCCAAACCTTCAATACACTATCGAACTCGAACCTGACCAGCGCTATCAGTAATCATGCACACCTCGTGTCAAACTCTACGACAGCAGCTACCGCGGTGGCGACGGAGCTAAAGAATGCTAAGGCGAAGCTGACTTCAATAGAGCACATTGCGGGGACCAATGCGACGGGGTATAGCTCGGGTTTGTGGATTTCTGCATCAACGAAGCTTCTACATTACTCACCTCCACGAACTTTATTAGTTGCTGCTATGGTCTTCCTGATATACGATATCATGCTTACGTTCGACGACGAGGTGCGTTTGTTCGGTGCTTCCTTGTTTCCAGCATCAATGAACCACTATTCTAGGTCAAATATATCTGGCCGTGAGTGTCCAGTGCGAGGCCGAACCCAGACGTCTAATTGGCCGAGGAACAGAAACCCATGGACACCCGTGAAGTTCATCTACTTCTTCGTTCGATACTTTGCGGTGGTACTGCATATGTGAGCGACCTTTCGTATCGTTTTACGGTCCGCATTGACCTTGTCCAAGCACTATCCAGTTCCTGGGGACGCCACCCTTTACGTTCACTGAGCGCGAATGCTACATCTGGAACGTCTACCAGGCTCTCGCATCGGCCTTGCTGATTGCATCGGTTGATTACATCCTGATTCTTCGAAGTGAGTCTTCGATTATTCGCCAATCTCGATGGAGGTCTCACCCTCGACCAATCGAGCAGTTTTCGCGCTTTACCCGAGAACGCGAATCGTTAGGATTGCCGTGGCTTCACTCTACGCTGTTGAGGTGATCACCATAGCCATTGGCTTCGGACTTTCGGTTCCCAACCTCGTTTACGACGAATATTGCACGGTCGTGGATTCGCCCATTACCTTTCTCGTCGCTGCGTGCGTTCTGTCGTACCCCACACCAGGATCCCCACTAATTCCTGAAATTTCCTAGGGCTGCACCCATAGCATTCCAAGCGGTCTTGTTTGGACTGACGATCTGGAAGTTTTTGAAAGCGGTCAAGGCGGGGTGGGGCGATGTCCCGCTTGTGAAGCTGTTAATGAGGGATGGGACGTGGGCCTTCTTCCTCCTTTTTGGTGAGTTCTGTTATCTCCAATGAAAACGACTTCGCTCAGATGGAGAAAAACCAGTGGTATTCGTCGCAGAAGCCCTTTTGTACGCATTTGCGCCGGATGCCTATACGAGTGTTCTATACGGGTGAGCATTCCTATACACGTTCAGCCCACTTGACCGACTAACATCGCTGAACAGGTGGTTAAATACTGCTTTTGCCTTCTGTGTGGGTAGCGTGTTCCTTGTTCACCCCGCTGCTGGAAGGCACTAACTCTTTGCTAGGGCTACCGCATCCTCATCAACCTTAACTACACTGGACGTAACAGCCGACCAACCTCAGCGAATTTCACCACAGGACCCAACATCCAGTTTACGACCCACATCTATACCGGGCACGACATTATGGTGGATCAATCCTATCCCATGGCAGTCATTACTCGGTCGGATGAACGAATGCAGTCCGAGACAGACTCTTCGATACCACCCAGACCGGGAGGCTCGTCCAACAGGTCTTCACGACATGAATACCCATAGCAATAAAACAATTTGTACATTTCTAATATCAAGGATCGAGAGTTCGACATCGGATGGACTCTTTGGGTGTTGGTGCGAAGTGCAACACGGCCATCTCGTGGTTAGACTCCTTTGATACTCTACTACTCTGGGTGTAATTAGGGTTGGAATTGAAGATACTGGTAAAGATGATTGTCCTTGGGCTGCTGTCGCGTGTGTGTAGCAGGTCAGTTTCTGGGTTCTCGGATAACCTTCGGTGCTTGAAGATGACGAGAAGTACGCGACTGCCGAGTACCGATTCAATCACGCGTTGCGGTCTCCAGTGCCAAGTAGGTGAGAAGAACTGTTCAATCGGTGGAAGCCAGGTTAAAACTCTCACCTCGTCATGACCCCAACGTACATGGTGCCCTAGCGACGTTTAGCGCCCGTCATATGTATGTAGCAGTAGAAAGTAACCTCACCTCTAACGCTTCGGATATTATAGCGTTGCTCATACTGAACACGAGGATGCAAATGCAGTAAAGGATGCCTAATACCCCACCTGCGTCAGACTCGGAGAGCTAAGTCAGAGCAGAGAATGTACAGACCGCTTCTATAGAGTTGAGTCACCCACGACGACTTGGAACCCCGGACTAGATCAGATGTCAGAGAGAATGTTCGCTGGAACTGGGGTACGCACTGTGTTGATAGGCCCTGACGACGGTAAATCCGATCGTAACTGGTATTCGTCTAGTTGAGCACCGGGGCGTTCTGGGTGTCTGGGAGAACGTACTTGCTTCGGTCGCGCAGGTGATGGCATAAATATATCGAAGATAGGACGTTGTAGGGATCGCGGCACACCACCCTCCAGGCACGGTTGTATCTGCGAAATGTGATGATGTGGGTTAACGATCGGTATCCCTCTAAATGCGAGTCGAGGCGTACATATGCTGGTGCTCCATTGAAGATGCGAGAAAACGAGTGACGTGACCAGTTTCGCCTTGGAAGCGTTCAGCGATGACGCGGAAGACCAATAGAGACACGGAAGATACCAGCTGGAGAACGAGTAGAGGAATGACCACCTTCCATTGGTTGGCCCATATCGCGCAGGTTTGCATGTAAATGATGACTGGTCTCAAATGTCGGCAGGGGCAAAGGGTACGATCTCGCTGGTAGACTCACAAGAGGCCACATTTCCACCAAAGATTAGCATCCCTGGAGAAGCCGAGGTTTAGTTACATTGACGAGGGACCGGCTTAATGAGAGCTTACAGATTCCTGACTGGAAGAGTTTCCCGCAAGTCTAGACGATGGCAAGTACACTGTGAGATGGCACTGAACTGGTTACTTCGAGACATACTGATGGTGAAGCGGTTGTTTGAAGACTGACTAGAGGGTCGAATAAATGAGAGAGAATCATATGTGGCGAAAGAGATGCTTACAATGGAAGAGCAACGCCTGGTCAACGAAAACAAGGTACCGATTCAGGAAGAACAAGGGTATCCCAATCGACCAGCGACTTCTCCAAACGTATTCTACCTAAGTCGCGGGTAGGCACTAAGCTGAATAGTTCGACAACCCAGGTGTATCGCGCACCTCGTCTACCAGAGTACAGAGATAGTCATAGACCTTGTCACGCAATATGATAGGTGAGCTTTCAAGGTAGGGGAGCATACGGAGAGAGCGACTCACGACGAGAGCTATACACGCCATTCCAACGCAGTTGAGATTGAAGAGGTCAGGCAGGAGGGCCATCCCTGCCCTTCGTGCGCAGTTCACGAGTTAGTATATCGTCGCGTGAGTTATTGTCGTGGACGTCGAGAACTGGGGCCTGCTTTCTTGAACGTTAGAGTTGGCATACGGTTTTGCGTTGCCTTGGTGGTGAGGAATACGGACTCAACGTATCCACAAGTTGAATTCGGTCATTCTGGAATACTCAGTCTAAACCCCATTGAAACACCATCCCGACAACGGCGACCCAACAGAATTCCGTGTCCGCTCAGGGCTGCGCAGGGGTGCTGATCAGTGGAGCCGAAAAGAATGTATGTAATACCACCGCAAAAATCACCCGTCAATGGAGAGTTGGACTAGCGCCCGTCTTTTAAATTCATGGCTGACTCGGTCAGTGTGTCGTTCTTAACCGAGGTTGGAAGGTTCGGGAGCCTGACGCCGGCACATTGTCTGATGTCTATAGATGGGCACGGTAACCCGACACTGCCAAACTCCTTGCCTTCCCACAGGCGTCTAGCGCCGTCCAATCTAGAAATCTTGCTCTTCAGGAACCAAGGTTGTCGAGGTGTCCATGGATCGAATTTGCCGAGCTTGACTAAGAACTTCCGTAATGTTGGTATGCGCCCAGATGGAGGGACCTACAATATTTATTGAATCCTTTCCCAGATGAGGAACTGAATGGGAGCGCCACCGCCAGTATCATTTCATCGCTATTCGATTCCGTACCTACTGGAAGGGAAGCTGGCTAGGACTAGCTGTAGTTCACCGTCAACCAGTGCCTGCGACCCCCACAACATTATGTCATGGGTCGGATATACTTTCAATATAGCTTCAAGGGCGTGCTATCCGTTTCTCACTCCATGACGGCCCTTCCTGCGCCCACTCTCGTCGAACATCCAGTTACATCCCCCAAACTGGTCCCAGTGGCAACAAGGCATCAGTGAGCCGGAAAGTGTGTCAACTCGGGGAAAGAGATGAAGTCAAGTGATCCATCGAAGGATGAACTCGAGAAGAAACTCGCTCAAGCACTGTCCGTTCCTTTCGTTGGTACGTCGACGCTGTCACCAAGTCTCATGCCAGCCTACCGATCGCCTTTCGCAACAGTTAGTTTTGGTGTCGCTCATACGCTTGCGTGTCTCACCACCATTGCTCGCCTTATCCACCGGTACCGGCGCCGACAGCTTTGGTGGGACGACCTCTTCGCGCTGGTTGCAAGTGTCGCTTCTCTCTTCCTCGTATGCACTACGGTTGCAGCAAAGGCCGCGCCAAAAGGTCAGTGCAGGAAAATGACAGTAGCAATGTTGCTCATCGCGCCCCTAAATGCTACGCATAGGTGGCTACTCCATCCAAGTGCAAGCACTTCTCTTTTGGTGCGGTTTCTTTCTGACAACAACCGTCGTTTGGTAAGAATGGCTGCGAACCTTCGTTCCTAATTTTCGAAATATGTTCTGATCAAGCTATTCAACCCTCAGGTCCAGTAGACTCTCAATCCTATCCACTGTCATTTACTTCCTTCCTCCTGGGCGAAACCGCTTGATCACAGTCTACTCCTTCGCAATCCTTTGCGTCGGTTATCTTACAGCGCTGGTTTCCAAGATTTTTTACAGCGGGATACCGGTCCGTTTACTTCCACAACCTCCGTTCTGCAAGGAAGTCGCCATACTCAACATCGTCCGTACGTCCTTCCTCATAGCTGCGTGCATGGAGCACATGGCTCCGATTATTTTCTGACCGTTTTGTTGTTAGTCGATACCATTGCGACAGTGTGGCTTGTCGGTTGGCCAGCTTACATCCTTGCTCGGATGAAGCTTCGAAAACCAGTTCGCCGGCTGTTCACTGTCTGCTTTTCATGTACTGCCTGTCTTGCTGCCATGGACATCTTTCATGGCGTCAATGTTATGACCCATTCCCGCCACCTCTTTTTATCCTCCCATCTTGAGGTAAGGCATCCTGAAACGGGTTACGCATCTAATTCAGCCGATTTGTGACAGTTACTCTTCTCCGTCCTCGTGGCCAATATCGTCGTCGTCGCCGCCTATGTTTATCGGACATTCAACGGCATTAGTATAGAGTCTGAGGAATCGGGTGAGCCCTCGGACCACTCTACTGGTACTAAAGGTGCGCCTCGGTCATTATCCCAGATCCTTCCTCTAATCCTTACTGTTCATTCCCTACCAGTGCACGCACACGGTGCTGCAACGCAGTATCCTACAGACCGCAGAGCCACATCATATGAAGCTACGAGTTCCTCGATAGGTCCTTTCACTACGATATACACTGGTGAGACCGGCGGGCCTGATTTCGAGCCTGCTCACACTGTAGTGGGGTCTTCTTCGCGATCGTAGACTTACTTCACCCCCGGAAGTTGCAACGCGCGGCTACAGGTTCCCATTATTCCAGAATCCAGGTTCTATATACGCATTTGTATGAATATATCTTAGATACTGACTAGTTATCCAACAATGTACAGTTCCGCTTTGGTATTCCCACTATTCCCACATTCCTTCACAGAGTAGCGCTCATTGAATTGGCGCCCAGCCAGGGTCCAGACTCCCGAGCGGGTCGGAATACATGATGCCCAGGATTCAACTGGCGGTGTTGTCAATGGGCCCCTGAGATGGGGCCTCTTTTGCCGACGCGCTAAATTTCTTGGTATCCTCGCCGCTGTCAGCTTTCGTAAGATTGAATAAACTTTAACCTATGGCGCGTAGTTGGGACCGAATTGTCGACGGGAGGCATGTTCTCCCAGGACCTGCGGTGGTGGTGGTGGTGACGCGATGAGTTGCGGGGAGCCTTCCTTGACCTCCTCCTCGCAACTCCTGCTGGACTCCCCTAGAGACGACCTCAGTGGCATGACCAGTCACTTGTCTCCGGGAAATGAAGGAGGATCCGCCCCCTCGCATTGACACGGCCTTCATCCGTACGTTGAAATCCTTACCGTTCCATCCACTTGCTGCTCCCTTAGAACTCACCATCCTCCGACGAACAGTTACCTTCGTCATTCTTCATTCGTTAGCAGGAATCACCACAATCGTTCGAGTACTCCACCGTCACCGTCGTCAGCAGCTTTGGTGGGATGATCTTTTTGCTGTAATCGCCAGTTTTGCCACCGTCTTCCAAGTGTCAACTTCGATAGCAAGTCTAGTCAAACCTGATGGCACGTCCGACTCATACTGCTTATTCGAGATTTCGGGCTTAGGCTCACTGGGACGACAGGGGGATATTCTCGGTCTTCAATGATATTTTTTATCTGGTCTGGATACTTTGTGCAGACAACTGTCATCTGGTAAGGATATAATGTCACCCTTCAGATTGGCACGCCCGTGAAAGTTGACAATGGGTTTCTTCAGGTCCAGTCGTCTTTCCATCATATCCACTGTTATCTACTTCCTACCCTCCGGTCGCAATCGTTCTATCACTTGTTACTCCTTCACCGGGTTATGCCTTGCCTACCTTGCAGCGCTTGTGTCCAAGATCTTCTACAACGGGGCTCCAGTTCCTCTCGTCCCTTCGGCGCCCTTCTCCAGAGTAGCCGTCCTTATAAACCTTACTCGTATGTCGCCCACTCCATCATGTCTGTTCGCGCGCTGATATTAGCGCCAGTTAACATTGCAGCAACACTGTGGCTTGTCGGCTGGCCGGCCTATATCCTCGTCCGCATGAAACTTCGGAAACCGCATCGCCGCTTGTTCATTGTATGCTTCTCCTGCACTCTCTTACTCGCCGCAATGGACGTATTCCACGCCTTGAATATCATCGTAGAGAGGTTTGACGTGATCATGGTCTCCGCACATCTCGAGGTGAGTCTTCTTCTATTTGTCCCCATAGCGGTTCCACTAATGGCAGTTATCAGCTCCTTTTCTCGGTTCTAACAGCCAATGTTGTAATACTGGCGGCCTTCTTGTACCGAGCTTTCAAAGCCAGGCAAGATGGTGCTATTACCTCGTTGAGCGAGTCGGATTCAGCAAGTGGGACTTCGGAGCGTCAAGGTTAGTCGTGAAGTTCCCATACGTATCCCACTATCTTTGACTTATACCTGGGACTCTTCAGTGGCTGGTACTACCCAGGCAGCCGCATCAGCACGGGCGTTCGCAACAGCCAGATCTTCCGAAATTGGCCCCTTCACCACTCTATACATGTACACCACCCACTATAGTCAGGAAGGCGATGTTCCTGAGACGTCGCAAGTCATGCTCTCCGGCGGCTCGAGCAAATTTCTGACGCCCTCTTCGGATATGTCGGCGACAACTCGGAATCATGGTCGAAGTATTGTCCTGTCGGATAGTTTTACCTCTTGCGGAGAACATCTAGCCACGTCGAGCTCAGGTAGTCCATCAGGCAAGGGACCCTGAGCCCCGGTGTCGGAGTAACGCGGCACCCCAATTCCACTCGTTTAAGCTCACTTTCCTTACCTTGCTATTTACCGTGTACTGTGCGGTGTCCCGCCACGGAAATCCTGGCTGTTTAGTCGTATGAGATCCATTGAGCATCGTAAAGAGATAGTGTACAGAGATGAACGGTCGTAGCAGTTATCGTAATCATAATGTGACATCATCATCTACTCCCTGAGTCGCTGGATACCTCGACCTGACTCTTGTGTGGCTGCAAACCCACCAATACAGCAACAAACCAGCCGACATTGGCGACCAGGACTGAGAAGAGGAGCTGCCGAAGCGGAAAAATCGATGAGTATCGTGATAACGAGGCTTCAAGCGAGGGGCATACCTCCAAATGAGAAGAGTAGAAAAGATACGGGGAAGTGTTTTGAGTATTGATGGCGTGCCAGATATCCCATGCCCCCAGGGTTGTCGTGAACACGAAACAGGTGAGGATGAGACGTTGGTAGCTCTTTCCGAGACTCAGCTTAACAAGAAGGTAAGCGGGCCATCCGATGAGCCACGCCGTTCCGAGGAGATTGACTGAAATCCAGTGTGAGCTTCCGTCAATGCATCTGAGCCAGCGATATATTCAATACTTACGAACGAGACCGAAGATAGTGGCGGCTTTGGAGAAAGGTGGTTGGGGAATCGCCCGAATGGGTAAGCCGCTCACGAAGATCTTGGAAATAAGTGTGGCGATCCAAGCGATAGCGAAACCCAAAGAAGACCAGATCGTAGTTAGACGGGCTGGATATGCATCGGGAGGAAGATAATAAGCGATGGTATTCAAAACGGCGACGCGGCCAGACCTATGGATCGAGTACAGAACGTGGTCAGGGAGAACAAAAAGGAAAAGGTAAGAAGCTTACCAGATGACAGTCGGCGTCAAGAACAAGCCAATCCAGAACAGGAATGCGCGCCCCGCATAGGGGTATCCACCTGGACCACGGCAGTTAGTTAGAAGTTGTGTGGGTCGAGATAAGGGGTCCTGAGGCACGTACCTTCGGGCATTAGGTAGGCGGCGACGGTGGTGCCGGTCAAGAACAACGTCGCGAAGCTCGCGATTGATGCGAAGAGATCGTCCCACCACAGCTGCTGCCGTTTCTTCCTGTGAACTACGCGTATGACAGTGACGAGCGCAGCCAGGCAGTGAACGACGCTAAACCCCACTGCAAGTGAAGTGAAGGCGTCACGGGGAGCGGACAGGATGTCAACGGTGGCTGAGACGCACCGACAAAGGACAGTGTGAGCTTTCCAGTGACTTTATCCATCTTTACTGCCCTGGGCAGGATGAGCGCTAATCGGAGAGGGTTGGGGCTAATATAGCTCCTGGGCCTATCCTTTCATTCGACAAGGATCCTTCTTATCTATCTGCGTTTTCCATGGGAATCGGAGAACCCCAATCCTCATTCGACCGCTTCCTCTCGTCACCAGAGCATAGCTGGGGCACGACAGAGGAGGTGTCACGGAAGTGTTCCATTCTTACGAAAGTTATGGACCTTCAGTCCATTCTCCCATTGTACATCCTGTGTTCTGAGGATCAGCAGACCAATTATGCCGGCAGTATTGGGCATTCACACCTATCTTTCACGTATGTGGGCACGGAGAGCTGTACCCACAATGAGGGTGCATGGAGGCCACGAGACTGTAGCAGTGTACGTTTTAGGCAGTTATGGAGATGAACGGATATGGTTGAAACGTACAGCGTATATGTTTTCCACTGCGATGTCGGAGTCTGCGATGCGACGAGTTAGGACTCACTGTCTGAAAGATTGAAAGATGAGCGGAGAATGTCCACACCGTACCTTACATGGTTCCCGCGTACCTCATTGCGAGCAATGGCTATGTAGGCCGGAACAGGGTCCAGAGCACCAGAGCCTAGATCCTCTCCTGAGGCAGAGCACAACACCAGGATATCCTAGACAAGACTGGCGTGCCGAGTCATCGAGAACGTCGCCCAGGTAGTCGATTCAACAAGCCGCCAAACATGTCCCAGTAAAGTTGAGCTCAGTTAGGCTCAGATACTTTACACCCCAGAAGAGAACGAGAAATCCAAGAGAGTGAGGGAAGTTAGCAGTTCTAAGGATGGAAATCGATGAGTCTCAAGCAAAAGAGAAAGGTTTAGAATTAAGGTTCAACCGAGTTGAACACGGCGCGGATCGGCAATCAGGGGTTCCACGTGATCGGAGTTCGGCATCTCCGGCAGATTAAGCGCTCGCCCCCGTCTTTGTCTGTGCTTAGCTTCGAGGAGCCCTTTCCTTCGCCTTTTCTCATCTTATCCTCACATCTCACTCAGATATCGCGCCTTTCTCGGACTGGCCCCATCGGTTGCTGGCAAGTTGGCCAGGTGTAGCTGGCGTTCTAGCAGATGGGTGCAAGTCCCGCGTTGCAGATTTACAGGTTCTCCATTCTCTCTATATGCAATGTAGATGGAGTCGAGTTGCTTCTCTCGAAGGCTCTGTCTCGAAGCACAGATCTCTTTACCAACAATTCCCATGAAGAGGCATTCCGGTCCGTCGTTTTAAGCCCTTTGAGTATGGCCAACCAAGAACGGAGAGACTAGAACCAAGGCATGCCGGTGCCGGTAGGTTCGGATGTTCCCAGCCGAGAAATTTGAGCTCACTAGCTGAAGCGGGACAGAATGAATGGGCACGCTTTATGCAATTCGCTTCCATCCATTCAGTTGGCCCTTAAGGGACAGGGCTACGGAGGTTGATAGTATTCACAGAATCGTAGGATAGGTTGGAAGAGAGATTGAAAGCAAAAGCGTTTCTGTATATACACATATGTGCCTGTCCTGATGTACCCCCTCGTTGCTTCGCGGTTCAAACACTGCAGTAAGCGTGTTTAAAGTTTGCCCCAAGCTACACACATAATGTAGATCGCCGAAATGAGCGCTCTCGAGAGCTTGATACCCGAAAGCTCGATCGCAATCAGCAGGTGTACGGACACAATCAGTACCAACGTAAGCCTTTGAATTGGCGGTTCCGAGATGGCGTCTTGGTTCTCACAGTTCCTGTCAAGGCTTCAACCCAAGCCTCTCCCCTCATTCGAATTTCCACTCCTTTCATACATGTTGGCACTGTCACGGTTCGTTTGGAAGGTCTGGACCAGGTTGGGGAAAAGAGTCCTTTGGTGGTGGGAGCCCTTGGCTCGGAGGTGACTTGGTGGGCGCATGAATTGAATTCAGTACAGTCAACACCGCAATAAGTGATACCCGCAAAATGTGATAAACCGTGAAAAGTGATAGTTTTTTGGATCCACCGACTTGGTGGGCGGGAAACTGAGGTCGAAATCTGATAACCCGCGAAACGTGATACCTGATACCGAAAAAATCGTCAAATGTGATAAAATCCATGCCCAAATTTGGCAATTTTTGAAGATTTTCTGGCAGTGACTGCAGCAAACAGTGGGTAGCGCACGTACTTCGAACCATAACCCGTATGATTGACTTACAATGGCTCTCTGCACCCTCAAAAGCCCTTCAGAACAGTTGGTAAGGTGTACTCCTTGGATGTGTTTCTTGGCACTGCCGCACACTCAGGCCAATTTATGGATGGAGGGGTCTCAAGGCTTCAGATACGCCGATTTCATACCAAAGAAGGGCTAGAATGAATGAGAATTCCTGTTTTATACACGCCATTGGTCTACAGGTATAGGGATACAAAAGTCCTTCCATATACGGGAACCTGACATATCTGATACACCGTGAAAAGTGATACTTTTTGCTTTCCACCAAGGGGTATCACTTATTGCGGTGTTGACTGTAGTTACTAGTCCCTTAGTTTGTGTGCGTGGTTTGGGCGTTGATGGGGGTGCACGTACGTACAACTTTGGTGGAGCTGTGAGAGAGAATCGAAACCCTGATTCTAAAGGTGCCCCTGAACACCTTAACCCCGCCTTTCGCTTGCGAGAAACCCTTGGGCAGCGAAGTGGTGGGTACATACCCAAGGAAGAAAGAGAGGATCGGAGTACATATCCTTTATCCTTTCGTTTTGTTTGGTTCCGTCCCACCACCATCCCGTATGCCAGCGCCGACAACAACTTGAACGACTTCACTCTGACTGAGCTGGACACTCGCGCGCCTGTTTCGCTGGCTCCTGGATCTTGGGTTGGACTTCTCGTGTCATCTGGTGCGTCAAAGTCGTCTGTCGCGTGGTCTGACTACTGATTGAGGAACTGTCTCGTCATTAGACTCCACGAGCGTCAAACGTTAAACCTGGAGCTTCGAACACATCTGTCACTTGTCACACTTCACGCGCTCCGGGGTGGATAGTCAGTCAGTCTACTTCTGAAGGGCGTTGGACGGCGGATATTGTAGTTGGGAGCTGGAGTTTTGGATTCTGCTCCGGCATTGGAGGTTGGAACTGGCGCTGGCTTTGGAGTCGTAGGGGATGTCAGATGATCGATGGGCCATGTTCTTGGGGGCCTTGAAGGGCTTGAGGGACACAGAGTACGTCTCGTGGGCATGCATCGCGGTCGCAGTACGTATCCTTTCGCGATAATCTGTTGGAGTACGACGTGACGATTTTTTCTTAGATCTATGACTACTTCCTGACGTTTGTGGAGGAGGTAACGTATATGTACCCAAGTCGTTGCTCGGGCGCCTTCAATACCTACCACCCGCTACTAGGTCGAATCGGTATGGAGAAGTCGTTGGTCCATCGGTGTATCGCTCTTCTATTTGAACCGATACCTCGTCTTTGTCGACCAAGCTCTACTCGCGGAATGTACGGTAACACCTCGCTCCGCTCGCTCTGCTTCTACAACCATCCATCGAGAGCGAACCACGGGCTGACGCGCATTTACTGCTTCTTAGGGGCTATCGTGAACGGTATTAGCGTCTCGGTGAGTTCTCTTCCCCAACAAATATACGTCTCAGCGATTTTGATTGATTTCTAATTTTAATCGGTGCGATGTGGGTTTGTTAGGCATGTAAAGCACTGTTTCTGGGTGGGATCTGTGAGTCGTCGGCCTCGCCCTTTGGACCAGTTCTGGAAGAGTGGTATTGTGACGTTAATTGCGAATCTTTCTTTGGGGGTTTGGGTGAACAGGGATACGTGTGATTGGCGGGAATGTCACCTCCAGTACGTGCTTGAACTCTGATTCTTCGACTCTGATTATTCTCCTTTCATCCGCCGCCAACGAGGACTTGAGCTTGAAGAACGGGAGTCTGACTTGGGACTGGCCTTGCAGTTATTATATACCTTCAAACATGCGCTCTATGGGGTAAAGAGAAGAAAATCGTCGTACCGCTTCTCTTCCTCCAGTCGGTGAGTATGGGCTACCTCTCTTGATTCTTAATTTGGAGTAGAGCTCAAGTTATCGTACCACTACCACCACCTACTCCTTGCAATTGGCTGCCGATGGGGTACCAGGCGAAGATAGTGTGTTCATTCATGTTCACGTATCTTCAATGGCAGCATGCCGAATGTAAGTCTTGCTATACTCCTGCTTTCTCAGTTGGGCGCTCGGCGCTACTAACACAAGTCGTTGGGTTTCTACGATCTAGTCAGAACGAACCCGAACGGCCAATGCTTAGTGACTGGCTCAGCGAACTATGTGTTCTACACATACCTCCTCATTTGCATCACTGAATTTAGTGCGTTGTCGATCCTCTTTGCCATGGTGCTAGAAAGGACTCCGTACTCATGGATTCCGTCTTTTGCCAGTTACGATTGGATTCACGATTGCTAAAGCTGGAGAACACAGTACGTCGCCTCCTATTTTCGTAACCCTGGATGTCTAATAGCGAGTAACCGCGAATTCCAGTCAGGAGAGCACGTTCGTCTTGGGTTGTGCAGCTTTATCGGAGTGGTATGTCTTCCACGTCCACTTCCATCGGTTCCTCCCTTTTAAACGTCCTCCCTTTTACGCACTGAATCGCTGACTGGTCCATTTCCTTGGTCGATCTCTAGGAATAATCCACTGCATCGTCATCTTCATCCTCAGCATCAGCAACATGGTTCTTCCTAAACTTGATCTCCAGGTGAGTCTTGAACCTCCTACACTGCAGCCCTCCTACTAGTACTCCCTTTTTCTGACATGATCATCCGAAAATTACAGAACAGAATCTACATAGGAATAATGACCCGCCCTCAACGAGTGATGGAATCCATCCTCTGCAACCGCGTGTTGTTCGTCATCTTCAGGCATCGGCGACGGAGATCTAGATCTCGGCAGCTGGGACATGGACATGGACAGCGCCGGGATGGCGGTAATATCGATGGTGGTGGTGATGATGATGGAGACGAAGGGCAGTGGTACACCGAGACGCCGACGATTGAGGGGGAGTTTTTTACGTTGACGGATGTGAGGACTGGGGGGTGGTGGGTGGAGGATGAGGATGAGGGCGAGCACGAGGGCTGGGTTGGGGGAGGTAGTGGAGGAGGAGAGTGGACAGCAGGGAACAACGATGGGTGCGCGGGCGAATGGAACGATAAAACGCGTCATTTTTCTTCAGACTTGGAGATGACCTCCGTCGGTCAGAGTAAACACGTTAGTTTGCACGACGGGGGAACACCACCACCTTCGTCTTCTAGTCGGACGTTCTCTTAGCGCTAATTAGTTTTCTTTCTATGGTCGTTATACCCTTTCCTTTCTTTGAGCTCGTTATTAGTAGGTTTGTCCTTGACTCATTTATTTTCTCGTTTTTCATTGAAGGGGCTTACATGTAGCATAGTGACGAGGGTAATTAGTGGAAGCCGCGTTTAACGTGTAGCTAGGTTGAATGACGGGACGAACAAATTCATTCTACATTTTAATTTCTTGAGTAGCTAAGTAGTTCACGACCAGGCCTGGCGATGCCAAGATCACGCGACGCGTCTACCCCTATTGGCGCATCCATCCACGGGTTCTTCAGCAGAATCCATACTTTCCAGATTACCATGAAAAAGTGAAATAAATAAAAAAAAAATAGAAATCAAGACGATATGGCGCACGCAAAGGCAGGCGCGACTCGATTGGAGGAAGTAAAATGTGGCCGACCATCAAAGGGAACAGAGACCATTGAAGAATAGATTCAGAATTCCATCGGCAGGGAGGTAGACTTGAATCCGACATCTGATACTCGAGAGAGGTACGCGTCTGAGTCCGGTAAACTCCTTTCAACTCGACCTCTGAGAGCGGTATGAATCCAGCGAAAACAATAAGCACCCCTCTCCCGATGCAAAGCCGAACCATAATACCTCTCCTCTCTACCCAACCCCATACACCATACACCAACCACTCTCTACATTCCGACACAACCCCAAACCAAAACCCCTCTCTACTCTACATTCCTACACAACCCCAAACCAAACCTCCGCACTCCCCCTCCCCAGCCCATCCGCCGGCTCCTCCGAATCCATCCCCTCCCGTCCCCAGAACCCGCGTTTGAACGAGAGACCTTCCGTGTCCCAACCACCTCCTCCTCCTCTTCCTTCCTCGGGGGGCTCGTCAAGGTTAAGGCTGGCTGGGTCGTTCTCATTCTGATTCCAACCTTCTTCATCCCATCCCTCTTGGTCCCACCCTTCTTCGTCCCCATTCCCTCCAGCTTCTCTCTGTCCGTTGTCACTCCTCCCTCGGTGATGCGCTCGTTCGCTCCTTCCTTGATGACGTAACTGCACTCGCTCGCGGCCCTTCGACCCCCCGCGTTCGTAGCCTTTCTGGCGTCCGGGAGGAACGAACCATTCAACTTCGAAATGCTCATCCAACCCGATCAATATCGCGCCCCTATCCTCCTCCTCCTCCCCATCCACCGCCTGATTCATACCAACAGAACCTCTCAACCCGGCATTCCCCCACACGACCGAAACATTAAACACCATCCCCTCGTAATGCGTCAGGACAAGATGCGAGGCGAACGTACGAGGGAAGGGGATCAGGTACGTCGGTGTGTTGTACGTCGGTGTGTTGTACGCCGGTGTGTTGTACGTCGGTGTGTTGTACGCCGGGGTGGTATATTCAGTGTAGCTGACGGAGGGTGAGTGCGTTGAGTGGTTTGCACTGGCGTCGGTGTTGGCCCGGTCGGTTGAGCGGGTCGAACCAAAAGTCTTCGGCGACTCCGAACCTTGTCTGGAGGACCGCGCAAGATATCCAAGAACCCGCCTCGCATCCGCACCACCCAACACACTCCCACAATCAACATACGGGTTCGGGAACGACTCGACATCTTGCCCCGAGGACGCGTGAGCGTGACCGAAAGGAACTTGTCCCTCCCCCTCCTCGTCCACGAAAGCATAGTCCCCATCCCCGTCCTCCTCCTGGGCCCGTCGACCAAACGCAACACCCTCCACTTCCAACGACCCAGGCACCAAACAAGGCGTCAACTCCCCATACGCGGGATGCGAGAACTTGAGCTGGCCAAGTCGGACGAAGGATTCACGAGACAGCTCTCCTCGCGTGGTTGGGTGCTTGGGAGGGGCATGGGATGGCGCTGCTCGCGTGGTTGGTTGGTCCTTGTTGGGAGGACGCGGTAGAGCCTCACGTCGAACTTTATCTTGGTAGTCATTCCACAGTTGTTTGTACCTGTCGATGGTGGGTAGCGGTGTGTGAGCACGGCGACAGATGTAGGACTGTAGAGTAGGACGAGAAATGTGGTAACGAGAGCACCCCGAGAAAGCAAGGAACACAACGAACACAAAAACACGACGAACACAACGAACACAACGAACACAACGAACACAACGAACACAACGAACACAACGAACACAACGAACACAAACGAACAAGCGACGATAACAGTGGGTAATAATGTGATCGTAACATCGAGAATAAGTGGGTAATAGTGTGGTCATAACACCGAGATAAAGACAGGCCAACGAGAAAAGATATCATCAAGGCAGGCCACCGAAAAAGAAAGCCGCAATAAAACGCCGAAAAATGAAAGCCGAAAACGAAAGTCATGAAACGCCGAAAAATGAAAGACGAAAACGAAAATCACGAAACGAAAGGAAAGGAAAGGAAAACATACGCACCTCGCGCTCCAATCAACCTCCCTCAACCCAAACACATCCTCCACGATCCTCCACTTGGCAGCTTCGAGTACGAACCCTCCGTGTTCTCCATCGTTCGAGAGGCTGACGACCGCCAGTCCTCCGCCCGCCAGTCCTCCGTCCGCCAAACCTCCATCCGCCAAGCCTCCATCCGCCAGTCCTCCATCCGCCAAACCTCCACCCGCCAAATCTCCATCCGCCAGTCCTCCGACCGCCAGTCCTTCAGCTCCATCCGCCAGACCGTTGTTGGGGTTCCTCTGGCTCCTCCGCGCCGAAGGAAACCTCGCAACCTGACTCTTAAACCCGGCATTATTCCCCCCGTGCTCGATGATGTCGAGGCCTTGGTAGGTGTAGCGCCATTGAGCGGGGCCGTAGACTTTGGGGCTCTACGTTTTTTTTGTGGAGGGGTGATTCGATGTGGGTTCGGTGTGCGGGGAGAAATATAGGGAAAGGAGGAGGAAGATCGGTGAGTAGTGAAGGTTCGTTGAGTAGGAAAAGGTTGTTGAGTAGTGAAGGATCGTGCGGCAGAGAACGATCGTTGAGTAGAGAAAGATCGAGCACAGAAACATAGAGTAAAGAAACAAGGAAGCGAATCAGCAATAACCAAAAAAAAGAAGGAACGTGAACCACGTACGAATTCAGGAAATTCAGGTGTACCGTGCGTCACCACTCTCCCCGTCGACACGAAATCCAACACCTCTTTGGGTACGACGACGGCGTTGGTGTAGGGATGCCGGCCGTCGTTGAGGAGCATCGCTACCCACGTTGCCTGAGAGAAAAGACAAGGTCAGCACGCAGAACTCAACGCGATAAGAATGACAAAGTTGGGGGGAAACTGAACGACGAATAAAAGGAGACAAAAATCAAAAGGGGAGGAAGGACGCACCATATCCCTAGGCGAACTAATCAACCCCCCAGCACCCGCCCACACCTTCTCCTCCCCAGGCCTAAAAAAGTACGGTACGACGGGTTTCAACACCCCCTTCCGCCCCCTCCTAAAGTCCCGCATATCAGCTAAATGGCCTTCCGCCATCCTATCCCCAAACTCCTCCCCTTTTTGTACGAGTCCGACGTCGAAGAAGGTAGAAGACATGTTGAGAGGAGCGAGTAGTTGCTGGTGGACGTATGATTCGTATGATTGGTTGAGGAGTACTTGAGGGAGGTAGGAGAGTGTTTCGTACATTAGGTTGTTGTATTGCGTGGTTAGGCGGAAGGAGGCGGAGGGGCGGAGCGAGTGGAGGGTTTCGATCTTTACATTAGAAAGGGTGTCAGAAAAGGTGGTTTAGGTTGGGAGATAGAGGGAAGGACGTACTACACCCCGAACACCACCCTCCCTCCTCCCCGTCCCCGAGAAATCATGCCTAGGCAAGCCCGTGCGGTGGAGCAACAAATCCAACACCGTCGCGCCCCTCGTCGTATCCTCGTCCCACATCCTCCACAAATCCTCACCCAGTAGATCAACCATCTTCGTCCCCCAGCCCAGCCTCTTCCCCGTCTTGTTCTGGAATTCGGAGGCGAGGGTGTGGTTGTGGAGGAGCATACCTACAGAGAGGGAGAGGAAGAGTTTGGAGTTGGAGGCGATGGCGAAGAGGGTGTCCGGTGTTACTGGTTTGGGAGGTATGATTGAGGTTTGGGCGGAGCCGAAGGATGCGAATTCGACTTTCCAGCGTGGAAGGCCGTTCGTGGTATTGTTGTCGGAGGGTGAAGGAGGCAGCTTTTGTACAACCGCCACGCCTAGACCTGTCGAATTCCATTCCTCGTTGAGCAACCAGTCGATGTAGGATTTGGATTCGTCGGAGATGAGGGGTGAGGTCGAGTTGCGGGGTGTGTTGCGCGGTCGTCGACGGTGTCTCCTAATTGGTTTACCGCTATCGCTCGCAGTTACCTTTCGACTATCGCTGCTCGCGGTCGTCCTTCCAACTCCATCTCCCCATACCACCCCAGTCCCCGCAAGACCAGTCGTATCCCAATCAAGCTGTATCCCATATCCAATCGATGTACAGTCCGCTATAAGGAGAGACACCAATAATAAGTTTTTCGAAAGCCAGTACTTCTTCATGGTTGGAGGAAGGAATGCATACCGGCTTCACTGGACTCGACGGCGTCCGAGTTCAAGGTGGATAATAAGTTTTGATCGCAAGCATGAGGTGAGCGGGTGTAGACGGCACGGCACGTTAGTCCGGAATCCGGACTGTGTCACGTTTTTTGTCAGGTGACGGACGTGACGCCTATCGGAGATAGGCAGTCCGGTCAATTTGGTTGGATTTTGGCGGGTGGGTCCTTACGATCGTCCACCTCCGCTGTATTTCACTTTTTTATCCTAATACCAATCGATTTCGACCGAATTTTCAACGCTATTAGGATGACATGGGACGCAGAGGGCTAAACAAAAGAGTCTGGGAGGCACAGTAAAAAGAAAGCCGGGAAAGTCATGAAAAACACCCCAAACGGGCGCCAAAAATCAGCACGGTTCCAGGCGACCATCCACAGAAGCCCCAGCACCCAGCGGTCATCTTCGAGCAGATTAAGTCTTAGGATATCTAGAACGACATCTTTCTGCTGCGACACCCGCGATTTCAACACGTAACAGACGGGGCCGGGCTGCTGAACTTGATGCTGAAGGGGTTGAAGCCCGAGTTGAAGCTGGGGTGGAGTCTGGATCTGAGACGAATGACAGGAGCGAAGGAGAGACGACCAGAGTGATCATGCCATTGAAAAGCAATGCTGGGAGTATCATGCAGAAGGTTTTGCCGTATCCAGTCCCAACGTCGATGAGCGCGTCAAATCCTGAGCACAGAGCCATCGTTGCCTTCATCTGGAACTCCCGCGGCACGATATACCCTCCAGAAGCCAAAAAAATGAGCATACACACCTTCAAGCCCCAAAGCATCCATTTATGCGAGAATTCCGACCAAAAACCGGATGCTACCGCGCGTTCTTCCGGGACAACCAATGCGTAGGCGACCTGAGCTTGTTCCGCTGTCGTAAACGACGAAATCGACGTCTTATCTGGTAGCTGCGGTCCAAATTCAATGTGCGTCGTATCGACGGCCTCTTCCTGCATATCCATGTCGATTTTGACGCGTCAATTCGCAGAGATAAATTCAAGACGAAGTGGATTGTGGTGGTACATGGGCAACCCGCGCGATCATAAGGACCGACACGGTAAAATTAAACCAAATTGACCGGTCCCTCTAGCGAGGAAAAGCGGAACGTCCATCACGTGGCAAAAAACGTGACGCCCGAGCTACGAGGGACCGGGCTCCGGTCTAGACCGGTCCCTCTAGCGAGGAAAAGCGGAACGTCCATCACGTGGCAAAAAACGTGACGCCCGAGCTACGAGGGACCGGGCTCCGGTCTAACGGCACGTCATCGGCTTGGGTTTCGCTGAGCGGTGGTCAGTTGGATGCCAAGAGTACGCGACGCGTTTGCCCCTAAAGTACTTGGTATCCCAGCGGTTTCAACCCCACTTCGGCCCCCGACTCAAGTAATATGTATATTGTCTTCTCAAATCGTGCGTATCGGCCATACGTCAGTGTCTTGTTGTTGCGCTTGAAGACCTCGGTTGAGCGCTTAACACGGTCACCCCCAGGCGCTAACTTGGAAGCGGCGGTGAACGCTCAGCGCTTAGTTCATGATCAGAACTCACAAAGACCAACTTGATGCTACTACTAGTAGACACCTTACAACTTGATCCTAGACGCCTCACAGAACTAATTCCAACTTCCCTCCACAGACCCATTCCCAATCCAAGAAACTCGACGATTATCATAAGAATACAATATGTGCGAGTACGGGATCGACACATACAACTTGAAAGGCTCTAGCCCTTGTACTAGTAGTAGTAATACAAATAGGGAAGGACAGGGGTAACCCCCGGGTAGCCGGACACCTACCCTTACCCCCACCCCCCAAAACCCCTACCCCTGACTGAGGGGTAGGGGTAGTACCCTTACCCCCAACCCTGGGGGTTTTGATCAAGGGTTTTAATCATTTTGGCACTAACAATTACTTACAGTTGTCTATATGTATATTTTTATGTGTTTTATTGCACATACAGCAGTTATTTAGTAGAAAATATACATAGATGCTGAAATAAATGGGTTTTGATTGATTTTTATCAAAACCCTTACCCCCGACCGGGGGTAGGGGTTTGGCCAAGGGTAGCTCGGAGACCTATCCCTTACCCCTACCCCCGCTCTACCCTTGGCCTCTACCCCGGGGGTTTTAAAACCCCCTTGACCATCCCTAAATACAAACGAAGGTGGTAGTAGTTGGGTAGGGAGTGCCAGTGAATCACCCGTTCACCGTTCAGGGAAGCCAGTTGCCTCTAGATCTACTACTACAGTGCGAGCCGAGACGCTGACACTGACACCGACCCCGCTCTTCGACATCATGGCCTTCCACAACGGGGCTCGTCGTCGTCGTGGTGGTCATCGTCACTGAAGCACCGTTATTACAACTACCAGTAAACGTCCGCTCCCTCCCCGCTATAGCCATTTTCTCATTCTCTTCCTCCTCGGTCAAGTGGTAACACTCCTGCTCGGGATGATGATGATGGTGATGCACAACACACCCATGGTGGCCACAGTACTGGGTTAAGTTAGCCGGCGGGATAGTGCTCATCACGACGCTCGTAAAAACATTCTGGCCAGACCCAGACAGGTCAGTGAAGATATCACTATCCTCTCCCGCATGATGCTCACGGTGGTGTCCAGCAGCACCGCTTTTGGACTCGTAGTACCGGCTGAGGCCCAGGCGTCGTGGGACGCGGTAGGCGGACGCGCGTTTGCGGTATTGGAAGATGATGAACATGAGGCGGTTGCAGAGGATTGATTCCATTAGGCGTTGGGGGCTTTTAGTAGTTAGAGGTCGTGAGAGGTCGTGGTGGTGGCGGTGGAGGAGGGAGGGAGGGAGGGAGGTTAGGTTAGTTGGGGTGTTGGAGAGGATGAGAGGCGGACGTACCGGGTCATGAGACCGGCGTAGATTGGGCTGGGGAGGGGTACTTCGGGGATGATGATGTTCACGAGGCTGAACACTGTATGTAGTGTGGTCGTAAGCGAGGGAACGCGGACGAGGACGAGAAAGTCCAACGTACAGAAGATAATAATACAATACACAATGCCTAAAGAACAAACCGATCAGCGCTCACGTTAGGTTCCACGAAGGAGGTAATAGCGTACCGTTGCGATACAGTTGAGAAACCCAAGAAGAATTCGAGTTTCGAACTGGAAAAAACAAGGATCAGGATCAGGAAACCTCGGAAACCTTCAACGCAGACTCTGATATCGGCCGGGGAAGCACGTACGATGTTGGAAAGCTTTAATGAGCGTGAATGTGATAGTGACTTCGGGCATCCAGGAGTCAGTGTTTTAACTTCCAAGGCAAAGGAAAAGGAAAAGGAAAAGGAAAAGGAGGAAGACAGACACTCACTAGCTTCGACGATACAACCGGTAAGATAGCCCCAGCGGGCATAGTTATAGGGTGTGAAAACAGCACAGTGTCCACCGAGTTCGGGGACAACTGGGTCTAAAAAAGTAGAGTCGAAAAAAAGTGAATTGGCTGGTCACATTTAATCGCCCGATTGGAAAAGACATACAAAGGGCATCAGACCACTGGAGGTGGACGAGGACGACTGATACAACAACTCTCGCCTATATATCATTGCCGCAGTTGTCAGTTATGGGTACACCGTGCGGGTAGGCGGATATCTTAGGGAGAAGTAACTTACAGCCTGGAGAGTACCTAGGAAGATCACGAGGAGGCGGGGGCTACCCCAGATGGCACATGTCTGGAGGAAGATGATGTGAGACCTGAAATTCGCGCCGATGACCATCATCCCTAGGGAGGCGAGTCAGAAGATAAGAAGATAACGGGAAGGGGACCTTGGCGGTAGACAGAAGCTTACAGAGTCCAGCTTTGAATAACCTCTCGCAGAGCTGTATGAATGGTTAAGTCTGTTAAGCGCTGGGGAGGAAAAGCCCGACATACCGCGTCGCTTTTGAAGGTTATCATTCCAACTGTTCCAAAAGGGAGAGAAGTTGATGGTCAGTTTGTAAGAATGAGGGAGTAGGAAGAAAGGACTGACAGTGCGTAAGGATGGTTTGGTCGAAGAATGGTAGGTATCGGTTAACGAAGAAGAGAGGGAGTCCTATGGACCACGGGCTCTTCCAAACGTATTCCACCTAACACGATAATAGAATTGAGATACGAGTTCACTTCGCGCCTGTGGTGTGGATCAAAGACATACTTCGTAAGGTAGCGTACAGAAATAGTCGTGTATCTAGGAGTCAGGCCCAAACGTTAGCAAAGTGAACAGGAGAAAACGAAGTTCATGGACCAATAAGGGCTTACCAGAATCGTCACGCATGATATCGCGATACCATTGAACGCGAAGAATTCTTGTAGCATCCCCCAAGATGGTCCAGCTCGATTGAATTAGAGTAGAGAACGGATGATGGAAGGAATTGGATGATAGAGTTTGGGGTACGAATAGTAGAATGGCAAAGGCAAAGTTGAAAGCGTTGCCGGCCGAGTTCAGGTTAAAGTATATCTCCGACTCTTCCTTCTTCCTCGATTGAGTCTCTATATGTATCCTTGTTAATCCTTTCTATCTTCGACAGAACACGGCTCCGAAAGCGAGGCGACAGCGACAGTCCTGGTGCCGAAGAGAGTTGGCTTGAGCATGCAGGCGCTCTCGAAGGGACTGACGAAAGGTTGTCGGTGGCGGGGGAGGGGGACGGGGGGGGGAACCTGGGGAAGGAAAAGGACGGGGTGAGAGAGCAAAAATCGGGGCAGATGAAGAAGGAGAGGCGAGAAGGCCCAGGCATGGTGGTTAGAAGACCAAAGGACTATGAAACCTCTCTATGTACAAGTCCCGCGAATCTCACCCCCATTCGTTCACCATGTCTCTTGCCAAAAGGATTCTTCGGGGATATCGTTGGGAGTTTTGGATGGGAAAAGATAGAAAGACGCGCTCCGGATGATGGACCCTGAGAAAGCGCCTGAGATTTTACTTAGTGGTGTTTCTCGTTGCTTCGTTCGGTCAGAGCCCCACCTGCTGAGAACACTGGATGGTGAGATGTCGCAGACCAGTACTACTGACGTTGGCTACTGTATTTATGGATAAATTGTTGTCTTCCTATGCTCAAAGGTCATCTGTCGTCCATGTCGAGGTGTACCACGGTCCACTCGAAATGGGAGGGCAATATTTGATTCCGTGCCTTGGCGAGGCCGGCTATTTGGAAACTATATTGGTCGGGTTTTCCCGACGGCTAACCTCCTTTGATCCCCCGCCGATGTCCGGCAGCTGGCCGGCAGCGAATAAGGAGCGAATCAATGTGTGCGGTTCGCTTAAATTTAGGTAAAATCTGCAGGCGCGATCAGCGCACTTTACTGAACCTGGAAACAATCGCTCACACCCTCTCACACCATTTGTGCCACTCACCCAGGCTACCCCGCACCTTATCACCGGCTTCTCAACTTCTTTGCGTTACGGGAAATGAAGCAAGTGGTAAAACAAAAACTCTATCGATTACCACATTGTCATAATCCCGGGAACATCGTCCCTCTTCTTTTCCTTTCGTTTCATCCTTCCTCGCCGCGTCTTCCTACTCCCTGCCCTCCTCCCTCGAGGTGATGCTGCGCTCGAACTGTAGTTCACCATGCCGAGGTATTTAGGCATCGCCCTCCCACCACTGAGTCAGTAATCGTCCTTTGAATTCGAGGAAGACTGTACTTACATTTTGTGCGACTAGTTGGGCTTACGATTGGCCATTTCTTGGCTTGTGCCTCGACTGTCGTCCGTCTGGTGCATCGGGCTCGCCGCCGACAAATATGGTGGGACGACGCTTGGGCGGGGGTTGCCCTCTTCTTCACCTTATTCTCGCTGGCCGTCTGGTATACCATCACCTTTAACACCAAGAGTGAGTGTGAACGAACCAAAGTTACACGACGGGATTCATGTCTGACGTGCTCTCTTTCTAGTGCTTTCCAGGTCCGCAACTTCGTTCCTTGCTTGGGCAAACTTCTTCACGCAGCCCGCTGTCATTTGGTGAGTATTTTTCTGCAGTTCAGGTTTTGGCCCCAGGGCTGACGGTTACGGCTACTGCGCATAGGGCGTCCCGATTATCGATTCAAGCGACTGTCATACGATTCCTTCCACCTGGCCGCAACAGAACTGTCTCCCGACACGCTTTCGGCGCTCTTGCCTTCATGTGGGTTGCCACCACCGTCTCCAAGGTGTTCTACTGCGGTTACCCGATTCCATTGTACCCCGTGCATCCGTATTGCTACTTCGAGGTGTCGGTTACGGTCATCAGCGTCGTCCGTAAGTCCTACTTTCAATCGTTGTGCACGCCGTGCGAGGGTCTCATCTCTATTGCAGTCAATTGTCTCGCCACAATATGGCTGATTGGGTGGCCAGCCTACGTTCTTCTGAAGATGAACCTTTCAAAACCACATCGACGGCTCTTCATCGTCTGCTTCTCCTCCGCTTGGGTCCTACTTGCAATCGTTATCTGGCAAGGTTTTAACGTAATAAAATACGACATTCGGATTCAAATAAGTGGCCATCTGGAGGTGCGTACTTCCTACATCTACCACTGCTGCTCAATTTCTGCTCAACTCCGGAACTGACGCCCTTGGTATAGATTATGGTGTCCCTTGTGACATGCAATCTCCTAGTCTTGGCGACATACATTTACCGCATCCTCCGCAACTCTGACGAAGAAGACTCCGACGATTCTTCCGAGAGCGCTTCTTCAAAGGGAGAAGGTCGGGTGAAACGTTTATTCGAAGCTTCGATTGCGATGCTGATATGATTACGCAGATACTACAAGTGGAAACCCGGATCGCACTACGCGAGAGATGTCCCAATTTGAGACTACCATAGGTCCTCTGACCACCGTCCATACGAGTGGGGACGAGTTTTCGTGCGGATACTCGTCGCTGAACGGCTATTCTGATACATCGAGTAGTCAGCGTGATATTCGCACATTTCCCACCACCACACATGATACTTGCGTCAGTAGTGATACGCAACGGACACGCCCATAGGTACGACTCGTAGACTTGCTCTGTTATGCCCATTGTTTTCGGTACTGTGTATGTGTATAATTACTAGTTATGCATCCGCTTCCCTGAACCTCTGTTGTGGTTTGAGATATCGGCGACGCGTTCTCGTTGACCAGTTAGGAGGGATGACGGCATCCATCGAGTTTGCTGCGTAATCATATACATCAAGAGCAACATAGCTCAGGTGGTAGAGCGCGGGGCTCATAACCCCGAGGTCACTCGATCGAGACGAGTTGTTGCTATTATTTTCCACCATCCACCGTTTGTTTTGGGGAAGCCTATTCTTTTTGTTGCCTGTTTCAGATCAATGCGCATGACTATATCTGATATGATCTCCTCCACGAAGATGCACCAGCGAATTTGAAATTGTGCCAGTTTTTGCTTCAACCCAATCGCTCTGACGGAGACGCCTATTCGTAAATCGTCTCTTGGAAATGACCTTGTCATTCTCAGGTGGTGTGGGGCGGCCCCCCTCGCATTCGACATTCGACGTTTGTTGGCACGTGGATACTGCTCACCTGGTACAACGAAGCGAGCACCACAGCGACGATCGCGGAGGAGAAGAATGCAGCTACCAAATTGAAGAGGTCATATGAGTGGCTGACCTTTGCGCACCAAATAAGCAGTTAGAGTCCGGCTTGGAGGTAACCGACAGGAAACAATTAGGAGCGTCGTCGCATACTCACGTACACCTCCAATTGGCTCAAGCTTCCTTGCAATTCAGGCCCAATGCACTTCAAAAGACTCGTAGGCGACGTTCACGACGTACGAGAGCAGAAAAAATGCGGTCCCAACATTCTATACCCACCCTCCTTCGTCTACGGCTCAGTCAATGACCGGAAGGTGTACCTGATAGGGGCGTATTTGGGATAGTGGTGACAGAGGAGAAAGCCGGTCCCGTCGAGTAAACGCCATTGTCAAAGCAGAGATGAACATTGGCGATAGGAGGACATATCTGGGCTTATATATCAAGGACGAGGTTCCACCATCCATCGATTAACGCTCCCCCCGTCTCTTAACCCCACCTTACCCCAACGTTCTGCCCATCGATCATCATGACATTCCCTCCCATCCCCAACAACACTCTCCCAGCACTCTCCCTCGTCAAGTCCACTCTTCCAGCCAACCTCGACCCTGCCTCGGTCGATGCCAAAGCCATCGCGCAAGGATGGCTCGCCGCATTCCGACAAGTGGTGTCTGAGCAGCCCAGCCCCGACGCCGTCGTCTCTCTCTTCGTCCCCGCCAGCTCTGGTGCTCAGGTGTGGTGGCGCGACATGCTCGCCTTGACCTGGGACTTCCGCACCTTTGTCGGTGCCGACGCCATCCGCCAGTTCGCCACCGATCGACTTTCAGGCTCTGCAGCGCAGGAGCTTAACCTTCACGACATCCAGCTCGTCGAGACTGCTTCGGACATCACCCTCCCACCCGTCTACACCCCTGCCTCCCCCGATCTCGTGTGGATCCAGTTCTTCATCACCTTCAAGACCGCTGTTGGCCACGGCTCTGGTATTATCAGGATCGTGCCCGTCGGTGTTTCCGATCTCCCGAGCTTCCAGGATTCGAAGAACTGGAAGGCACATATCATCTACACCAACCTCGAAGGTCTCCTCGACCACCCCGAGCGGATTGGCGCGCTGCGCGATCCCAGACCCAACCACGGTCTCTGGGCAGGCGCTCGTCAAAAGGAGGTGGAGTGCGAGGGTGAGAAGGGCAAGCCCACTGTGCTCATCGTCGGTGGTGGCCAGAGTGGGTTGGAGATTGCAGCTCGCTTGAAGGTGCTCGGTGTCAAGTCCCTCATCATTGAGCAGAACGAGCGGGTTGGTGACAACTGGAGGAATCGATATGATGCTCTCTGCTTGCACGACCCGGTGTGGTATGATCACATGCCCTACCTTCCGTGAGTTTCTCTCCTCCTGCTCGGCTTTGTTCGTTGATCGTTGACGGTGTTTCGTTTTAGTTTCCCTCCCAACTGGCCCGTCTATTCGCCCTCCGTCAAGCTTGCCAACTGGCTTGAGCACTATGCCGAGATAATGGAGCTCAACATCTGGCTCTCCTCGACCGTCCAGTCCGTCAAGCAAGACCCTGAGACTGGGAAATGGGACTTTACCATCTTGAGGAAGGTGAAAGGCCCTGATGGTGAGTAAAATCGGCATACTTTCCCTTCATCTCGGTTATAGACCCACCTGACACTCCATTCCTCAGGTACTGTGAAGGAACAAGTCCGAGAGTTCAAGGCGATCCATCACCTCGTCATGGCGTCGGGCCTTGGGAGTGGCGTCCCAGAAATTCCTTCCATCCCTGGTAAGTATTCTTGTTTTGTGGCTGACTTCGCGTAGCACGTACTGACATGGGAATCTCATTAGGCCAGGACAAGTTCAGGAACAACGGTGGAATCATCCTCCACTCGACGGAGCACAAGCGTGCGGCCGACCACCAGGGAAAGAAGGTCGTCGTCGTCGGCGCCTGTACCAGCGCCCACGATATCTGCGCAGATTACTATCACAACGGGGTCGGTAAGTAGAGTTTTTAGCATTTTGTTGTGAATAATGAGTCTCACGCGGGGTGGCTTTAGACGTTACCATGTTCCAGCGCTCGTCGACTTACATCATGTCTGTGGAGAATGGGTGGAAGGTTATGTTCGAAGGTGGGTTCGGGATGTGTCATGATAGCCAATTAGGTGCTGACAAGGTGTGGGACTTGTCTAGGCGTCTACGATGAGAACTCGCCTCCTGTGGATGTCGCTGACCGCCTTACCGCCTCCTTCCCTCATTGGGCGTCTATCCCCTTGAACCAAGGCAAGGTCAAGCAGGTCGCTGCCCTTGACAAGTGAGTAATTCGTATCGCCATTCTCCTCCCAGACACTAACTTCAGCGTGTAGACCGATCCTCGACGCTCTGCACAAGGTCGGATTCCGCACCAACCTCGGTTACCAGGACTCTGGTTTCGCGTTGCTGGCTTGGGGTCGAGCCGGAGGCTACTACCTCGGTATGTCATCCAAGCTTTTCATCATGATCCTGCATGTTGTTAATCCAGCTGCTTAGACACCGGCGCGTCTGGCCTTATCGCTGAGGGCAAGATCAAGCTCAAGAACGACTCCCAAATCAAAGAGTTCACTGAGCGCGGTCTTCGATTCGAGGATGGCTCCGAGCTCCAGGCCGATGTCGTCCTCTTTGCTACCGGGTACGTTGATTATTTCGTCTTACCCCATCCCGTGCAAACGCTTTCATTGACGCGATTCCTCTCGCGTAGACTTGGCGACCCCTTGAAGCGCGTTGGCCGACTCCTCGGTGAGGACTTGGCGAAGCAGTGCACAGGCCTTTGGGGCTTCAATCAGGAGGGTGAGATTTTGGGTGCGTGGAGGGACATGGGTATCAAGAGGTTCTGGTACATGATTGGTACGTCTTTCTTCCCTGTGGTCGCCTGGTTCTTGCTCACAGACTTTGCTACGTGTCCAGGTAACCTAGCTCTGTGCCGCTTCCATTCCAAGCACGTCGCTTTGCGTAAGTCCATTTGCGAGTATCGTGGTGCTGGTATCGATGCTGACTTGGTGTCGAACAGAAATCAAGGCTCAGGAAGAGGGTTTGTTGGGCAAGCGGTACTCTGCGAGTGCTTGAACGCTATGGTAGCTTTGGGAATAGGAGAAATGAACTTTGGATCTGTAGAAATTTTGACATTTTGTATTTCTAGCATTCACAATCACACGCTGGTTTCGTTGTTCAAAGTTGAGTTGAAGTGCCTATTCCGCTTGACTCAACTCTCTGCCGCGCGAGATCGTGTTAGGAAGTCGCCATGTTGATATCGATCGAGTGTCCGAAGTTCCGCACTGTACTGCTAAAAGAGCGATGCATACAAGGGACGTAAGGTACTCGGTCGGCGAAATTACAGTGGTATATGCGAGTATATACTACTAGAGTGGGGTGGAATTTGGAATAGAAATGGGAATCCCTGTTGGGCGTCGACATCCTCGAATTGCAATAAATGCTTGAAGGCAAGATGGTGCGGGATGATATGAATGGGATCGCCCCATCGATGCCACTCTTTTGCGAAATCATCTCGTTACTCCCACTCTTTTGATTTCCTTTGTCGAAACCCACTCTCCTTTGATCTCATCCCACTTCCCGTTCCAATCCCACTCCACCAAAGCTGACATCGCCCTTGTCGGACGGCAGGACATACGCGCGTCTCCTCGGCTACGTGTATTGGCCATCCTGGGCCAAATGTGACTAGGCCTATGGTCATGACTAAGTGTGGGGGTTGAGCTTGATACCTCGCACTGCGGCAACTTCGCACTTCGACTGCGTGGACAGTGCTCACCTGGTACAGCAGAGCCAAAACCAAGCGCCAAAATGCAGCCACGAAGTGCAAGAGACACTTTTCGCCAAATGAGCAGGGAGAGTCGAGTGTAGAGGTAAGCAAAACGCAACGATTGAGGGCTTTCACATCCTTACACTTTCTCAGACCACCTCAACTTGGACCCAATTTACCGTCAAAGGACTCTCAGGCAAAGCTCACGAGACATGAAAATGAGGAAATCCCGGCCATGATGCCTCAGCTTGATATCTGGCATGTCTTTCGTCTACAGCTTAGTCAACGACCTGGAGGTATGTCGGATGGAGGGTTTACGGGATAGCGGTGGCAAAGGAGAAAGCCCAGTCCTGATTCCTGAGCTCTGGTATCTCGCACGCCTTTCAGCTACAGCTTAGTCAATGACCTGCGGGTATGTCGTACAGGGACCTTTACGAATAACGCTGACAGAGGAGAAAGTTGGTGCCGTCAAACAAACGCCATCGTCCAAGCCGCAATGAACGTTGGCCATGGAATCCAACTGCGCTGGTATAAAAAGGAAGGGTTTGCCATCCAACGACTACTAACTGTCACCACTTCTCTTAAACACACCCACCCCAACGTTCTGCTCATCGACCATCATGTCATTCCCTCCCATCCCCAACAACACCCTCCCAGCACTCTCCCTCGTCAAGTCCACCCTCCCAGCCAACCTCGACCCCGCCTCTGTCGATGCCAAAGCCATCGCGCAAGGATGGCTCGCGGCATTCCGACAAGTGGTGTCTGAGCAGCCCAGCCCCGACGCCGTCATCTCTCTCTTCGTCCCCGCCAGCTCTGGTGCTCAGGTGTGGTGGCGCGACATGCTCGCCTTGACCTGGGACTTCCGCACCTTTGTCGGTGCCGACGCCATCCGCCAGTTCGCCACCGATCGACTCTCAGGCTCTGCTGCGCAGGAGCTTAAGCTTCACGACATCCAGCTCGTCGAAACCCCTTCGGACATCACCCTCCCACCCGTCTACACCCCTGCCTCCCCCGATCTCGTGTGGATCCAGTTCTTCATCACGTTCAAGACCGCTGTGGGTCACGGTTCTGGTATTATCAGGATCGTGCCCGTCGGTGTTTCCGATCTCCCGAGCTTCCAGGATTCGAAGAACTGGAAGGCACATATCATCTACACCAACCTCGAAGGTCTGCTCGATCACCCCGAGCGGATTGGCGCGCTGCGCGATCCCAGACCCAACCACGGTCTCTGGGCAGGCGCGCGTCAAAAGGAGGTGGAGTGCGAGGGTGAGAAGGGCAAGCCCACTGTGCTCATCGTCGGTGGTGGCCAGAGTGGGTTGGAGATTGCAGCTCGCTTGAAGGTGCTCGGTGTCAAGTCCCTCATCATTGAGCAGAACGAGCGGGTTGGTGACAACTGGAGGAATCGATATGATGCTCTCTGCTTGCACGACCCGGTGTGGTATGATCACATGCCCTACCTTCCGTGAGTTTCTCTCCTCCTGCTCGGCTTTGTTCGTTGATCGTTGACGGTACCTGTTTCATATTAGTTTCCCTCCTAACTGGCCAATCTATTCTCCTTCAGTCAAACTTGCCAATTGGCTTGAACACTACGCCGAGATCATGGAGCTTAACGTCTGGCTTTCGTCCACAATTCAGTCCATCAAGCAAGACCCTGAGACTGGGAAGTGGGACGTTACTGTCTTGAGGAAGGTCAAAGGCCCCGATAGTGAGTAAATTTAGTGCGGTTCTCCTGCACTCAGTCGGCACGGTCTCACCTGGAACCTACCGTGACTTGTGTTCTTCAGGTGCTGTGAAGGAAGAGGCCCGAGAATTTGAAGCGATTCATCACCTGGTTATGGCGACTGGTCAGGGAAGTGGCGTGCCAGAAATCCCTTCTATCCCTGGTATGTGTGACATTCCTGTGGGGGTTTCGATTTGCTGACACAGGAGTACTAAACAACTAGGCGAAGACAGGTTCAAGAGGAACGATGGAACTGTCCTCCACTCGACAGAGCACAAGCGCGCAGCCGACCACCGGGGAAAGAAGGTCATCGTCGTCGGCGCTTGTACTAGCGCTCACGACATCTGTGCAGATTATTATCACAACGGGGTCGGTAAGTACATCGCTTTTTAGCGTTTTGGCTCATGAGGAGTGGTGGTCTTACGCGAAGTGGCTGCAGACGTTACCATGTTCCAGCGCTCGTCGACTTACATCATGTCTGTGGACGCTGGGTGGAAAGGGCTTTTCGAAGGTGGGTTGATTGTACAGCATTTTATGTGCCATTGTGAGTACAGTGTGGATACTGACGAAGCGATATTCAGGCGTTTACGATGAGAACTCACCTCCTGTGGATGTCGCTGACCGCCTTACTGCCTCGTTCCCTCATTGGGCATCTATTCCCTTGAACCAGGACAAGGTCAAATACGTTGCGGAGCTGGACAAGTGAGTACTACATTCCTTAGGCCAGCTTTAATCGCAAACCAAAATGACCGTGCAGGCCTATCCTCGACGCCCTACACAAGGTCGGTTTCCGAACCAACCTCGGTTACCAGGACTCTGGTGTCGCACTTTTGGCCTGGGGTCGAGGAGGAGGCTACTACCTCGGTGAGTCTTACCCAAACCTTTTCTCCTACATATCAAACTAATGTCACTCAGATACCGGCGCTTCTGGCCTGATTGCCGAGGGGAAGATTAAGCTCAAGAACGACTCCCAAATCAAGGAGTTCACCGAGCGCGGTCTTCGTTTCGAGGACGGTTCCGAGCTCCAGGCCGATGTGGTCCTCTTTGCTACTGGGTAGGTCTATATTCCCGTATCCTGCCCCCACTTTCATGACGCAATTTCCTTTTGTTATGTAGATATGGTGACCCGATGAAGCGCATTAGTCGACTCCTTGGTGAGGATTTGGCAAAGGAATGCACTGGACTTTGGGGTTTCAATCAGGAGGGCGAGATTTTAGGCGCGTGGAGGGACTTGGGTATCAAAAGATTCTGGTATATGATTGGTAAGTCTTTCCTTAGGTTGGTGCAGCGGTTTTCTTATTTGCTTTTCCGCCTCCGTGTCTAGGTAATCTCGCTCTGTGCCGTTTCCATTCCAAACACCTTGCTTTACGTAAGTTCTTTTGCGAGGATCCTGGTGTTAGATTGATACTGACCTCGCGTCGAACAGAAATCAAGGCCCAGGAAGAGGGACTGTTTGGCAAGCGATACTCAGCCACCTCTTGAACGGCGCGATTGACTGGTGAATAGCTAAAGTGAATTTCGTGTGTCTGCAGAGCTGTTAGTATCATAGTAATCGACTATGTAGTATGCCAATGCAAAATGTTATATGGATCTCCTTTTGCTTCTTGAACTTGCTAGTGCGAGGGGTTAGGGCTCTATCGAGGATGTGTGTGATCCTCTACCGCCCTTCCAGCATCGAGGGGAAGAATCCGAATCGGACGCTACACTCATGTATTACGTACGCCATAAATACATTGTGACGAAACGGCGACCGACTTTCCTTATGTTGTTCTTCCCCAACCACCACCAAGTACCGCTATGCCCGGACACAAACGCCAACGCGGTCTGGAAGACAAACCCATCGACATTTCGAAATTGATGAGGTTTACTTCTTCACTCGAGGCTCTCAAGGGAGAACTCCTGGGGATTGACGAGACGGAGGCGGAAATGACTGAGCTGATGAAACATGTCAACGAACTGCAGGGCATCCTGAAACCGTCGAAGAGCACGGTACGAACCGACTCCTCATTGTTGACCCACCTTTCTGAGAAGCTTACAGAAAGCAACATTCTCGACCGCAACCCAATTTGAACTGGCAAATCTCTGAGTCGTGAAAGGGCGCCTCATCTTCCACAAAATCGCCCTCGAGGAATTGGGAAAGAATCTGCCGGACCCTGTGGAAGAGGAGTTAAACGATCTTTCTTGTCGCCTGTCCAAAATCTATCGGCGGGTCAATATGAATGTAAGCACCTGTACTGAGATTGGCGGGCGCTCCCTGTCCTTACTTACATGGCGCCCAGTTCCAAGTCGGGCCTCGTATGGTTCTCGACGCTCTTCTATTATCGATGGGGGAAATCACTTCAATAATAGATCCTGCGAAGGATGTCGCCATCATTCCCGAAATGAAGACGGGGGGTGCAGCTTTCTCCAAAGGCGGTTACCAAGTAGTTCTCGGTGGAAGTATCGATTATGGTGTTGTTGAGTATATGATAGACGAAGACGATGAGGCTAAAGGTACGGTTCGTCGTGGGTCGTTGGCAGCATCTGACTTTTGTTTCGAGGTGGCCTTGTGGGGCCTGTTCTCCCGGAGCATATTTTTGAGGTCGCATACGGATTTTTCTTCCTTGTTGAAGCAAAACGACATCACGCGGTAGGCGAACTGACGGCATCCATTCCTGAAGCCGTCACGCAGGCCATGCTAATCTCCAAGAACGCGAAGTGAGCACAGCTTCCAAGTATAATCTGGCCGAATAACTAATGGGACATGATAGCATTGACACCGTCCGTTTTTGTCTCTCGGACGGGAGTATCTTCATTTTCTTCGTGTTGCAACGCTGTGAGGATGGATATACGTACTCCCAATCAACACCGCGCTATCTCGGTCTTCCGGAGGAGAGCCATTTCGATATCCAAATGGGCGAGATCACCTTCTTGCTACTTGAATGGGCACGTCCTTCCCATACGCTCGATGTTATTCGTGGTCTCATCGCACTCTAGCTCAAGGTTAGACTGACGGAAGAGTTGTATACGCTAGCCTAGTCGTGGTTTCTCGAGCACAGACAGGACCTTTCGTTTAGGCGGAAATAGAGCCAAAAAACAAGAACGCAAAGCCCATTCGTAGTCTTCGTGTATTCGGTAGGACCAGGTGTAGGTACATATGTCCCTCTTGGAGTTGCTCGGATATCTCAAACTCGAACTTGGTGCCACTAGATGTATTAGCAGTTTGTACTTCCCCTCAATCGTAATCTCACGTCGTCTTTGTCAATCAGATGGACTTGAAGTACTACGGGGACGAGCAAAATACGAAGCCGTCATGTTTTCGTAGTGACCAGACGTTCCTCAGGGCTGACAGCAATGGGTGAAAGAGTGGTGTATGTAAGGAGCGTAAGGGTGTAGAGTCAAGTGACTAGTATAAGTATTCTATTGTATAGTGGTATATCCTCTCCGATACTTTTAGAACTTGCTCGTGCAGGGTGATAAGTTGGCTATGACGCTGACGACGCTGGATGACTCTGTAAATTGGAATCTGGCCTTCCTTCCGAACTTGAGTAACCGCCGCTGCTAGAAGTCCATGCTATCCTCGACCCCGAACTTGAAAGATGGGATATTGACACATCCTGACCGCCCGTCGACGAAGAGATGACATGCGAATCGTAGGTAGACGATAGCCCGAGCGTCGACCTTCGACTGTCGAGGTGGTACGCTGAGGATTCGGGAGCTGAGAGTGTGGATGTGAATTCCCGCGTGTTGGTGTAGACTGTGGTGAGCGGGCCTATCGAAGAGCTCATCATTGTCGACATCGGTGGCATTTGATTAGAGTCTTCGGGATCTACGAGAGGGTGGGGTAGGAAGCGATTAGGAACTTTGTTGAGAGAGTGGAAGCGGAAGCCTACCTTGGGAACCACGTCTAGGCTGTTTCGTCGTCGTGTCCGAGTCTGATCCTCCTGAACTTCCGTCGCCGTTGTGGAATATACGGTAGATGTAGGTCGCGAGAATAATGACGTTGGCCAGTAGGAGGGATAAAATCAACTATCCGCAGAGGTTAACTTTGGCCGGACCAATGAGCAACAGGATGGGCGTACCTCCAAATGGGCACTGATGAGAGCCAACCCGAAGGCTTCGATGAATAAATTGGCGGCTTGCCAAATATCCACAGCCAATAGGATGATGGCGGTTCCGAAACAGATGGTGAGTAGACGACGAAGAGGTCGAGCGAGGCTCGTCATTCGTAGAATGAGATAGGCTGGCCAGGTGACTAGCCATACCGTTGCTACTGTATTCACTGATGAAGAGCGAAAAAGACGTTATGGACGAACCAATGGTGAACATCGAAAGGGCACCACGTACATATGAGGACTACGATGGTCGGAACGAGCGACCATGGCCTGTCTGGGATCAGTTTCACCGCTGTTCCGTTATAGAAGACTTTCGAGACCGTGGTTGCAATCCAGAAGACGAAGAAAACCGCGAATGAGGCTTTTGTGATGAAGCGACCTCGGGAGGGGTTCGGTAGGATGCGGATTATCGTGGCGAGAATGGACATGCGACTGAACCTGTAGAATCAAGTGGTTAGGAAGGTTTAGTTTATGTCGGACAAAGCGTACCATATGACGGCAGCTTGCATCATAAACGTCCCCCACGCGAAGAACGAAAGAACAGAGTCGGGATAGTCTCCTGTTATTTGCGTTGGAGTAAGTTTGGGAATTACGACACTTCCAAAGGACGAGCGTACCAGGTGGAGGAAGAACAGACTTAAGCGAGATTGTCACGGAGACAAGCGTGCATAAGAAGGCACATCCGGCCCAGAAGTCATCCCACCAGAGTTGTCGTCGTCGAAACTGGTAGAGGAGACGGAAAAGCGTGGACAGTACCGCGAGACTGTAGCCGACTGCGCATCCAACTTAGGGGGTGGTAGAGTGATTCGTTAGCTAACAGGCTTTGGATGCGTGAAGGAGCGCACCTACTGACTAGTGGCAGTTGTTCTTGCACAGAGCTCGTCGTCCCTGGAGCAGGGCTTGAAGAGTTGGACATTTGACCCGAGTGAATGTAATAGACGACTGAATCGCGCCGAGGGTTGAAGTGAGTTCTGGCGGGTCTTAGTCTAGGGTGTTGAAGTAGGGGAAAGAGTGTTGAAACGAGGCGTGGACGGTGAGGCCACTCTGACCGCCACGGCGTGGAGCGAGTCCCCTGTCGTGGCCCAGCTCTGATATATAAGTTCGCAGTGCAAGCGCCCCTTCCATCAAGAAAATGTCGCTTTTTGTGATTGAGTATCAGGGCAGTATTACGTATTTCTATTCAGTAAGTTGTGTGCATTATTACCGGTAGCAGAAGAGGGTGACCAACCTGAGAGAGCGTTTCGGGACACACAGTTACATAAAATATCATTGAACTTTTTGAACTCTTCCTTTTCATGCAGGACTATGACTGGAGGCCCTTTAGCAAGTTGGAAGAAGAAATAGGTCGTCAGAAAAGGTGCAATTCGGGCTCATGGGCAGTGAGATAAGATAAGCAATGTCGATCTAATCTGATGCCAAGGCTAAGACTATTACAGCCGCAACATATCCGCTTGGGAAAATGACAAAATGTCGGTCCCCGACTCTCGCAACCAACTGGACTCTCTGCCGCGCCCCAACCGCGCCCTCCTCAGATACGCCGGTGCCAAAATTGTTTGGAAAGACTGTGACATCTTGACGAGAATGTACATGCGACATTGGATGTCGCCCTTGGCCATTGTTAACTCTGGGGCACTCCCAATCGCCAGACCGCTCAACTTCTTGCAGTCCAGCCCTTAATTCTCGATCTCATCAGCATCTGGGACAAGATGCTATAAATCGACTCGAGACGACTTCCTCGACACCCAGAATACCGTAACCAATTCAGTGTGAAGCACGCTGAGTAGTGACACTAGCTGGTGGTTCTCGTCTTCTCGAAGCACTCCACTGTGGCATTTAAAGATTGGAGCAAGACATGGTGCGTCCCCACTGCAGTCCCAATCATGGTTCAGCTTCTGACCCCCGATGGCGTATTTCTTCTTTCCATGCTCTCGATTCTCTCCTCGTACTGCTGGCCGGACGCGCTTGCAGCCACGTCCGATGGCCTCACGAACGACCTAGCTGGAAAGGGCTTCGATGTGGTCTTCCCGACGGATGAACGATTTGTGAATGTTTCCCAAGCTTGTGAGCGACAAGGATCGAGAACTCATTTGAGAAACGGTCTAACCGTCCGTACAGTCAACCGCCGTTATACGCCAAATCCAGCCGCTGTAGCCTTTCCTTCGACAGCACAGCAAGTTTCTCAGATCGTGAAAGTGGGATACGAGAGAGGCTACAATGTGGTGGCAAGAAGTGGTGGAGTAGGCATCGGTTTCACCATCGACTCAGCAGTCATGCTCATTAGATATTATAGCACAGCTACGCTGCTCACGGCCTCGGCATACATCCCAACGCAATCGTCGTGGACCTCTCGAGCATCAAGACTCTCAGCGTGGACACCGATAAGAACACCGCTGTCATTGGAGCTGGGAATAGGCTGGGCGAGGTTGTTCTTGGGTTGAACAAGTACGGACGAGCTTTGCCTCATGGTACTTGCGCGTATGTTGGATGGGGTGGACATGCCAGTGAGTCAGCATTCCATCGTTCATATTTCAAACGGCTCAACTTATCCCAACAGCCTTGGGCGGGTATGGTTTCACTTCCAGGATGTGGGGTCTCTCAGTCGACACTGTCGAATCAATGGAAGTCGTCCTCGCAAATGGGACTCTTGTCTCCACGTCGGAGAAGTGGTATCCAGAGCTTTTTTGGGCAAGTAGGCTTCATCTGTACAGACCGTATGTGCTGATCACTATCCCTGTAGGCATTACGCGGCGCAGCACCATATCTCGGGATCGTTGTCTCCACCACCGTTCGAACCTTCGCCGTGCCGCCATCTGCTACGATATTCTCCGTCTCATATCCCAACCTCGGCATAAGCCAAGCTACCACTGCGCTCCTCCACTACCAACGCTGGTCGAGGAGACCCGACATCCCGAAGGCGATTGGTCTCCAAGCAGTCTTGACGCGGGGGAGTGAGAGCGGGAAGGTTGGATTCGGGTTCTCTGGAGGGTGGTACGCTCCTGTATCTAGCGATGGGCTGGACTTGAATCGCACGCTAAAGCCATTGGTGGATGGCATTGGGGTGGAGCCGACTCGAGTCAACTTCGATTCTGGGGATTATGTTCATAGCGCGGAGAATTTGGCTGGTGGCTCCCTCGATACGACGCAACCTGGCGGAAGGGATACGTTCTATGCGAAGAGTCTTGTCATACCCGAGGACGAGGGGCTCCGTGAGGGTACTGTGAGAGAGTTCGTGACGGTGTTCGCGACCCAGGGTTTTGAGACTCCATTAGTGCGTTATCCACATTCAAAAAGGCCCGTATTTCATGGTGACTGACCCTCCTACTTTCCAGGGATGGTGGTTCATCCAGCTCGACCTGTTTGGAGGGCGGGACTCGGCTATCAACGATAAACGTCCTGAGGATACCGCCTTTCCTCATCGCCGTGGGCTGTGGGGAATCCAACTTTACGCCTCGACGAGGGAGAACGTTCCGCCATACCCCGAGGGCGGGTTCGAATTTCTGGACGGTGAGTGGGCGCGAAGGCGACCATTATGTCTTGCTCACCCTAGTTCACGCTCTTAGACGCCGTCAACGCGATACTGAAGAACAGTCCGCGGCCTCGGAATTTTGGGTAGGTTCCAGTCCCGGTGGTTACCTGCTGTCACGCTCATATACCCGTCTAACAGTGCCTATGCAAACTATATCGACGATCGACTTGGCGAAGGGGGTAAGTGACTCTCTAGCTCCTCTGAAGCGAATTGGCTGACCGTCGCTCCACGCAGCTCCGGATTTGTATTTCAAGTCGAACTGGAAGAGGATATTGCGCGTGAAGGAGAAATATGATCCAACTGGCGTATTCGAGCTTCCAGATGGGTGGTGATATGGGTCGAACGTCGAGAGGAGTGCACACAGGTGCGTACATTGGATCAGATGGACCTATGCGATTATGTTTATGCGCCTGTACAGATGTATCTAGCCACTTTTGCAATGTATTTTTTCTTCAATTAGGACTGCCGCGGACCGTAGTCCCTCCGGTGTTTGAACTTCCCGACCCACCTTCGTCACAGCGCAGCTCTGGATGGATCGCCGTGATGAATAGTGGCTTTGTGAGGTGGAGATCAATGGTCGGACGACGTCATTGTGAGGCGTTAAACTTTGCATCACCGTGTCACTGGGATACCGCCGGGTGCTCCTTGATGATCGCGTCTCTGGCTCTGTGCCCCTATCTGTGCGTTTGACCCGTTGACAAGATTTCCATATGGGATTTCAGGCCTTGCAGTCGTAGGGGCTGGGTCATATGGGTTTTGCTCCTTTGAAGATACAGCTTTGGCAACGTTTTGAACATCCAGCGAACTACGCCATTCAAAATCTTTGCTGCGAATCGACTTGGTGCGTATTTTCTGCTCTTTTTGCATGGATGTCGTTCAGGTCTTTGGAACCCTTGTACCCAGTGTCGGATCACGGAAGCAAACCTTCCGACCCACATCGCCAAGTTTCGAAGCTCCTTTGCTCAGGCTTTAAGTCGGAATTGGCCTTTACAACTACTCACTCCCATCAAGGTCACATCGTCTTCACACTCGGAGGTTACGGAGCTTCGTCGGTGGAAGCGACTTCTTCTTGCCTTGCCGTCTCAGGTCGAGGGGTGTCTGGCTTGGGAGCCTTTCGTATAAGCATGGTGATACCCCGTTTGGGAGGTGAGAAGGGGGGAAATGGCGATGGTCTTGGGTTTCACATTGCGTCTCGGGAAACGTAACTGAGGGTGGTGCCGACGTCAATTCGGAGAGTTCATCGGGGTTTTATGTGCGAGAGAAGCTAGTGGATAAATAGGAACGGGTGCGTGCTTTGAATCGTTATCCTCTCACTCGAGTTCATTCCTCGCTTCTCGCGGTCACCAGACTTGGTAGACCATTGAACGGAAAAGGCTGGGAATTATGGTCGAATTCAAGGCGTTGTTGTCGTCATGCATTGTCGCGCTTTCGCTGCAGGGCTCTGGGGTGAACGCGGCGGCTGTTAGCGCGTCGGCCTCCCTTCATTCGGATCTAAAGAATTTGGGATTCAACGTTACCATCCCTAACGATACGGGGTATAGCTATGTTTCGGCTGCATGTGAGCTCCTCCATTTCACAGTCTCTTGGTTTGAGAAGTCCTTATTTTTTTCGTGAACAGTCAACCTTCGATACCAACTCAAGCCCGCAGCAGTCGCCTTCCCGTCAAATACAAAACAAGTAGCGGATGTTGTTCGCGTCGCTGCTAGACACAATTACAAAGTCGTTTCGAGGAGTGGAGGGGTAAGTTCACTCTATCACACATCAGTCATCTAGAGGCTAAACGCCTCTCTTCCAGCACAGCTATGCTGCGAGTGGCCTGGGAGGAAAAGACGGACTCGTGGTCCTTGATCTTAGGCATCTGAACGCGGTCAAGTTCGACTCTGCTTCCAATAGGGCGACTATTGGTCCTGGAACGCATTTAGGAGAGCTTGCGACGTCCTTGGGAAACCATAACCGCGTCTTGCCACATGGAACGTGTCCACTGGTCGCTGTGGGAGGCCATGCAGGTGAGAGCGTGCGTTTACTCCACTAATGCTGGGTCTCTGAACGACGATTGGTTGTAGCATTTGGTGGATATGGCTTCATGGCGAGGAAGCACGGGCTTTTGGCGGATACGGTTCAAGAGGCGGAGGTCGTGTTGGCGAACGGGACGGTCGCTGTTACTTCGAAGAGCAAGCATCCTGATCTCTTCTGGGTACGCTTTCTGCCATCAATCGATGAACCTTGAGCTTACCTACGTTCAGGCCATTCGAGGTTCCGCGCCATCCTTCGGAATCGTCACCTCCATCACATCACAGACCTTCCCTATGCCCCCGTCTACAACGACTTTTGAGTATGGATGGACCCTTTCCCCATCCGAGCTTTCCAAGATCATCAATCATTTCCAGCATTTCGTCAGAAATAACGCCGGTTTCGCGCCAGAGCTTTCAGCGGAACTTTATATCGCTCCAGACATTCGAACGCGACAACTCACTGTCTCGCTTTCCGGTGCCTTCTACGATTCCCCGTCAAAATTCCAGAGCGCCATCTCTGGTCTGATTAATGGGATGCCTCCAGTGGGATGGAGCTCCAAGACGGACGGAACGTATTTGAAGAGTGTCGAGCATTTTGGGCAGTGGAGTTGGGGCAAGCATGATACTTTCTATGCGAAGTCTCTTCTTACTCCTGCGGACGAGCTGATGACGACCAATGCGATTGACGCATTCACGAGGTACCTTGGCAGTAATGGGCTCGGCTCGAATACGGTACGCCCATCGTCGAAGTTTTGAGTTTAGGGTGGCTCGCTGATTCTTTCTTGCTTAGAATTGGTTCATCCAAATCGGAAGTTTTGGGGGCCCTACTTCAAAGATCAATCAGTTTAGCGCTGATGAGTCGTCTTTCGCGCACCGTGATTCGTTGCTTCTGTTCCAGTTCTATGGGAGGACATTCTTCCCTCCCTTCCCTGCGTCAGGTTTCACTTTGCTCGACGGTGCGTGTTGACTCATCTCTTCACCCACATGAAGGAGCGTTTGATAGATTCCCTCTTCACAGGCATGGTCGATAGCATTGTCCATAACAGCCCAGCCGGGTGGAAATACGGGTATGTACTTAGTGCTCATTCTTCACTCTAGCTGTGGTCTTAATATTTACCGCCAATTAGCGCCTACACCAATTATGTTGACGATCGCCTGGCCAACTGTCAGTCCCTTCTTCAGATTTTTTCAGGGGATCAAAGCTAACGCGCAAACCTAACAGGGCAACACTTGTATTATGGTAACCACTATCCAAGGTTGCAACGATTGAAGACTCTCTACGACCCCAACAATGTCTTTTCTTTCCCGACGTCGATTTCTGCATAGCTTCGTACATTCTCAAATACAGGAGTTCCGGATCGACTACGCCTTGACTGTGAGCACACCAAAAAAATAGGCTAGTCCTCGATAGCTAAATACGAAACCGAAACGTTATGAATTCGGGTGTTGCTCCACTGTTCGATCTTCCAATCCATGCCTCTTCCTGTGATGTTCGACACCTTGGCGTGGACCCTGAGGGTCTCTGGGGCTTCAGCGTCGATGTTATTGATGGAAAAGAACAACGATGGTGGTCCATTCTTGAATTCCCTAGAGAAGTTGACGGTCCCTGTCTGACTTCTTTTGGAGGGGTTGAGTCCACTCGCTTTGAACTCGCCAACGCAGAGTTGTTGGCCTGGAAGGCCGTGTTCCGGGAATGCCAGCCAATGGACATGGGTGTTACTGAGCGACTTCCACTGCCTCGTCCTCCCGATATTGACGGTGAAGCCTCGGCTATCGACGTTGCTCGAAGAGACGCGTATATCCCAATGTTTCTCCCCGATGGAGAAGCCACTAAGCGAAACGAAGACGATGGGGGGAGCTTCGAACGGGTAGAGGAAATCAATGCGCTTGGAGAGGTCGTTGATTGCGTCCTCGGGCTTGCAGTAATGGTTCGCGTCGACAGACCCGCCTTGAAGAAGCGGCGTCATCGTCGCACGAAGCCACCCGACCTCAGCTTTATACAGCTTCGTTTGAACCCAGGTATCGAGATGGACTCGAAATCGTTCGGGCTCGAAGTTGTCCCCGTAACACAAGGCTTTGGCGGTTCCCGAATCGGTGGCAGTGACGTCAATCATGGAGAAGCCGATGAGGATGATAGGGAGCGTAGTTTGCGGAGAGGTTTTGATGTCTCTGGAGTGACGTTCTGGCTTCTGGACCGACTTCCAGTCTCTACCCTTGTTGACTGTGAAGTATCCCGCTTCTATCGCCTGGATATACGTTACGTTCGGATGTGCTCCAGGGAGCTAACATTACTCACTGGATGGAGAAGCTTTGACGCCGACACTGGCCCTGGTACTACAGGTAGCGTTCGCCTGCCCTCGTTGTATATGTCGCTGATGGTGACGATGATATGGATAAGGTCGTGATTGTCGATCGTGCTTCGTAGGCGGGATCTGAGAGTGTCGACGAACGGAATGATTTCAAAAGATTGATGAAAACTCTCGACACTCTTCACGAACCATCCCTCCCCGAGTGGTGCATCGACTGTCAAAGGGATTTTCGGCTTCATCGAAGAATGTGAGACCTGACGATTCATGCGATAAGAGCCGGAATCGTACCTTCCAAAGCCGCAAATGCTGCAAGTCAACCTGCAGACCAAATTCATCCTTCAAAGCCTGTGCGAATACAGGCCGAAGATGATGAGCCTTTTGATCATATTGTGTCTGCGATACCTCTACTGGAAATGGTGTGTCGTGAAGCACCTTGTGCTCGAGTAGGAGATAGTTGACGGTTTTCGAGGTTGCATCCTGATTGGATATGCCGGAGTTGCCCCCGATTGAGGAGCTACGCGCCATGACTGTTCACAGCTAACGTAGAAATCGCAGTGGCAATCGATAAGCACAGTTCGAGGTGTGTGGGAAAGCCTCTGCGGCTGTGATCAACGAAGGTCCTCGTGACTGAGGCGACGGGCGTTAATTTAAGCGCCCACACGTTTTCCCACCAGACGCTGATGCTTCGGGGCCGCAAGTAGGCCTGATCTGCTCTATCCTTCTGAAGGACACGACCTCCATCCCTGGTCACAAGAGACTCGCTGTCTCAATCTCCTAGCCAGCACGATAGAGAACCCATCCACAGCGCTCACAGGGGTGTCTGTTGTCTGATCGATGGCCGCAGCGGCCAGCTAGTTGAGGTGTTCTTCTCGGCGTGAGACGGCTCTCGCTGTATGACTCCATAAGGTACCATGGCCCATGAGTCCCCTGACTCGACGAGCACACAAAAGCATAGCCACTTAATGATCGTTATCGTCCACTGATCTCCCCCGATCTAGTGGTTGCATCGTCATCCTCCACAATCCTACTCAACAAACCGCTTTCTTGTCATGCCTAGAATATCTCCAGCAGTAAGAGGACTTGACCTTCGGGGACACCATTTTCTTTGTCTGATCGTTCCACAGATCATGGCGAGAGCCAGAAATGGGGAGGCAACAGCGTTCACGGAGATGTTTTCCTTAATCAACACCGACAGCTACACTCCCGAGATACTCGAGGTCGCACTCTCCCATCTACGGCGGGATGTGGCACCCAGTCGAGTTTCAGGATCCCGCCGGGTGGATACGCTCATCTCTCGCGCGCTCGGTTGCGTCAGTCAATGCTTGCTGTTCTGTCGCGCCACGCCATTTGAAGACAAGTCGGTTGACTTGCTGATGGACGACCTGGAGGCCATAACTCACTGGCTCACCGTCTGCTTCCTCGAGTGCTCTGAATCTTCCTACAATCAAATGCAGGTCTTCATGGGCTCAAACATGCTATATGCCCTCACATCCCTCAATGAACGACTCGGAACGGGCGTATTTGGCTCCCCCAGCGGGCTCCGTTATCTTCACCTACTTTGGACTTCACGGGATCACAAAGGACAACCGTTCTCTGAGGTGCATAATCCCATCAAGTGCTCCATATTGGCCTCGATGCAACTATGCATCAGTAACCCCATGTGGCGGGACTTCTTCGTCGATTTCATTCTTTCCTCTCCCACAATTCTCGCCCAATTCTGCGAATGTCTCCGCCAACGCGTCGCTCAGGTGGTCCAGCTGCAGCGTGTAGGAGGGGTATCAGCATCTTCATTGTGCGGACACACACTGGGTCTTTTCCAGCTGGCATCCTGGCTGGGAGAGAATTCGGTAATCCTGAAGCGTCTCCAAGCTTCGGAGTACCTTCGCTATGGGGTTGAAGCTACGACAGAGCTGAGCCGACTTCCACAGGTCCAGCTAAAAGATAAGGTCTTACTTTTAGCCCAAGTCGGCGCTTTCTTCCCGCTTCTCCCCGGATCGAGCCCATCCGCACTCGCGCCGATTCTACCAAAACTTCTGGACATTCTTGCGCGCATTATTCCACAAGCGAGCAAGGACCCGTTCGGCCGACACACCGTATCCGGTCTTGCCCTAGGATGGAGAGGCATTCTAGGATATCTCCGAGTTAACAAGGCGTTTAAAGAGGCCATGGATCAAATCCCTCCACGCATTTTGAGCTCCTCGTTAAAGCTCGCAAGCCCGATACGAGACTGGTCCAACCTTCTTCAAGATATTCAATTTCAGCACTCATGTATGGTGGATTTCTCGGAGGATCCCATTTCGCTGTGCGATAATGATCTAGTAAGTTTAGCCGCGACATTCGCTTCTCGTCCACTGATGAATTGGCGTTGTAAGCACGACCATGATAGCGCCAGTCCAATGAAGACTTCTCCAAAGTCTTGCTCTGGATGCCACTCGGTAGTTTACTGCACTACCGCCTGTCAAAATCAAGACTGGAGCACTCGACACCGCGATGAATGTGCCGTGATGAACCGCAGTTACCGATGTGAGCATGGCCATCCACTGAATCTTCTTCGCGGAATTCAAACGCGATATATATATTTAGTGCGCAAGGAGCGAAATCTCCACAGATCACAGCACACACGAGCATTCCAGGTGTACCTGGCAGTCAGGATGTTCCGTCGTCTGTGCGAGGCCGGGTGGGAATGTAGGATGGAGATGGACTGCCCAGGTTCGGTTGGTTCTAAAAGCGCAATTGCACGGACTGGTTTCAGTCTTACTATGATCAAACGGATATTCTTCACCTTCGATGAACTTCGGAGAACGGCGAGCAATAGCGAACTCGACTGTCCGGCGATGGAGGCGAGACGCGATACAATCATCGCGGACTATCGATCGCAGACAGGCGCTAATATCCGACTGCTCGAAGTCATTTTCTCCTGGGATTCAATTACGCAGGTTGTCGTCCTTGCTGAGTTCAGACAGAGTAGCCTGGAGCCGGAAAAATGGAACCTTCATAGGAATGTCGTTCACATCGAGTGCGTTTTCTTTGCTTCTCAGTGTCCCTTTCAAGGCTGAAATTGATTATGCTATTGGCTAGGAGGTTCAAGAAACGTCCGAGTCCGGATTCGAACGAGTGCGCCGTCTGGGACGAATACTTCCAACAAGTCTGATCATCTCGCCTTCTTCTGAGACCTGACAGGGATTGGGTTTTGCAAAGTTGCTCCTTCCCTCCTCTGGGAAACCCCCCGGATATCGTCAAATTCCATCTACCCTCATAAAGGGTTTCCGACATTTTTGAACGTTCTCCCATCCCTACGATTTCTTAAACCACTCATGGACATAAGCCTTATATAAACGCCCGGGGTAGTTGTCAGCGGTTTTTTCTGTGCTTTGCATATCCAGACGTCACCTCTGTACTTACCACGTTTCATCTTGACCAAGTACATTGGAGTGGGCTACGGCTTCGTAGTAGCTCGGAATCGCGTCGAGCGTGTTGCTGTGGTGGTGGGAGGAGCCAAGAGATGTGTGTTGGCGCCGAGCAGGCGCTGATGTGATAGCGTACGTACAATCTAATCTAATCTAGCTACCTACCCTACCACAACATGGAGCGCGATCGCCCGGATGCCGAGTTTGGAGGTCCGCCATCAAATTTCATTGGAATCCCGGCAAGTCACGTCACGCGCGCAGCGCGCTTTTCTTTTCTCCTCCAAACCCTCTCAACAGCCTCTCCAATCCCCAGAAAATACTTGGTTTCAAATAATTCGTATTTCAAACTGTCTAAGGACACATAAAGCTATAAAGATGCGCAAAAGGAAAACAAAACGCACCGGCAACCGTGAATCAGGTCAATTCACCTCTCGAGAAGAATTCGAACAGGTGCACCATTGAAAGAAACGTATCGGGGACATACGATACTAACCTCGACTGAACCAGCATCTGGAACGCGTTAAAGATGGAGACTTAACCTCCATGGACAACTTGATGGCTGATTGGCCCACCAAACCCGAATGGAGGGTCGAGATGATGGCCACTTTCCTCACTCACCTCGACACCCCCAAGCCTCGCGGGAATCCAGTTAACCCCCTGGAAATTTCCTCATGGATACTCCTGCGCAGGGTAGCTACCTCCCTTGACGGGGTATGTCACGCGGTCAGTCTCAATGACCCCAAACTGCTGGATCTCATCGTCGACAACATCGACGGTATTCTCTCGTGGCACGAGCACATGTTGTCTGGTTCTCAGTCGAAGGAACAGCCATTTGTGAAGACGGTCAAGTACCTCCTAAACAGCGACGAAAAACTCTTGAACGCGATTCTCTCCTCTCCTTGGATCGGTCCGTGTCTCGTCTCTCTGGTTTTGCGGCAGGCTCCGAATGGACCCCACGATGATCTGGAAACAGTGGACAACCGACTGTTGATTGTTGGGCTCCTCTACAACACGCTTATTCATAAGCTGTATCGCCGGGCGATTCTTGATCACTTTGCCAGTCAGCCCAAGGCTCAAATGAATCTCTTCATCAAGAACATCGTGGCCTACCTCGACGATCTCAAGGCCTATTCACGTCTGGCGCCGTCCCCCAAGGATCAGGATATCCTTCGGTCCACTATGCACATCCAGAAAGTCATCGACGTTCTCTCCTGGGACTCGAGGATCCGTCCATACCTCGTCAAAGAAGACTACATCATTCAATTCTTCATGTTTCTTCAAGCCATCCGATCCAAGGTCCTCTCCGTTATCCGCTTCGTCCCGATGGTCAAGTGGTGGCTGTGGAACGGAATCAACCTGCAAAGCATATGCGACTGGCTGAACCACGACCCACGCACGGCGCCGATGGTCCTCTGCGAACTCGTCGAGCTGGGATTCATCACCACCATGTTCGACGACTTGTCTCGAGCGAGGAGGGAGGACGAGGCAAAGTTGTTGTTCAACTCTCTCCAGGTTGTCGCTGGGCATCTGAGGTCGGATAGGGTGTTGGCAGCGGTTGATGAGAAGTGGAAGGCGCTGCCGAAGGATGTGTTGCAGAGGTTGAGGGCTCCTGGGCATCATGGCGCGAAGATATTTGAACAGTTCCACGTCTTCATCACGCTGAACAAGAGGACTCTTGGGAAGATCGAGGAGAACCGTCTCGTGGGCGAGGTCGACGATTGGATACCTCCCAACTACTGCCACAACATCCCTGTGAGTACCGCGCATCTTCTCCCACAAGTTTTGAGACTCAGTGTTCCTCGAACTAGGGTCCCCACGTCGAGGAGCTGAACGACCACAACGAGATGTTCGCCTGTGCCCGATGTCACTCCGTCGTCTACTGCTGCAAGGACTGTCAGACAGACGACTGGGAGGCTCTACACAAGTACGAATGCTCAATGCTCAAGCAGACGCGACGAGGTGCGTGCTAACCTCGTGCTCATTTTCTCTTTTCCGACCAATTTATCATCATAATCCTTTAGCACTTAAACAAGAAGACCGCTGGGTCCCATGGAAACACCGATTCAGGTCTTTGGACGGAATCGCGAATTTCATGGACGGATTCTTCAAATCCGGCCAACTCGATGCTCTGAACACGATGTTCGCCCAACAACGTCCGGACTACGCAACCCTCGATAAGCGAAGACTCATCACTGTGCACTGGAAAATGTCAATGCAGAAAGAAAGGAAGAAGTCGAACGAAGTGGTGACGTTCGATGAGTATAGGGAGAGAGCGAAAGCGTGGGTTCCGTGGTCCCCGAAACGCTTCGACGCGCTGGTGAAGAGGGTCGAGGAGAGCGAGGGTACGAGGAAGTTGTGCGCTTTCGTGTTCCCCTTTGGACATTCGAGGCTGCACGTGTTGTTCCTTTATGATGCGTCAGATGAGATTGATTCGAGGGAGGAGTCGAGAATGACTCATGGGATGATGCAGCTCGAGTACGTCCATTATCGCCCTTAGTTCGAGGTCGGTTGAGACTTAGTTGACTTCCGATCAGATATAGCTCTGGAGAATTCACTGAATACAGCTGCGAGAGCTCCTGCTGTCGTTGACCGTCGAACAAATCCTTCGTAACTCCACATTATCTATATCAGACGTGACTCCGCGTCGAGCTCTTGGATTGTCATTTCTAACTTGGTATAATTAGAACACCATTTCACTCGGAAAGAATCGTCAATCAGCGCTAGAGCGAAGAATACGTTGAATTCAAAAGACTACGCGTTCCGATACATTTTACAGATCTCTCACACCAGGCGGCACCCTTCCGCCTCTTCCCCTCCCAAGCCTATCCAGCCTCCTAAACAAGTCCAACGGGATGGCATCGGCCATTGCCTGGAAGCCGGCGACATTGGGGTGCAAGTAGTCACCTGTGTCGTACTCTGGCTTCAGTTGCTCAGGAATCTCAGGATCCCTCACAACCCTATCGAAATCGATGACGGCGTCGAACACACCGCTCGTCCTGATCCACCTATTGACGCGTTGGCGCGTCGCTTCACGCGTAGGATGGCCGTAGCCCTGTCCAGGACCCGACATAGGCGTGATGGTGGCTCCAATCACGGGGATACCGCTTGTGTGGAGGCGTTCGACCATTTGGCGGTAGGCCCAGATCATCCTGTCGCCGATGATCTTTTGCGCCTCCTCGGTGGTGGCTCCGGTACCGATGTCGTTGACGCCTTCGTAGATCATGGCGTATTTGACGCCGGGGTGGGCGAGGACGTCGCGGTCGATCCGTCCCAGGGCGTTGGGTCCGAGTCCGTCGTAGAGGATGCGGTTGCCGCCTGCTGCTTGGTTGATGACAGCTATGTCTCGGGTTTGACGCGAGGATTGGAGGCGAGCGAGGAGAAGGTCTGGCCAGCTGGTGGGCGAATGATTGAAGGTCGAGGATGGTGGAATGGAGAAGAGGCGCGGGGTGGGTTGGGGAAGAGAGTACGAAACGCGGATCTCGTCAGTTTCCAACAGGTCTCCTAAACGTGGTCTACTCACCGGTCGTTGTTGTTGTCATTACTTCCTCTGCCATCCGTGATACTGTCACCAACGATGACCAACGAGCCCACGTTGTCATCTGCCCACGTCTCCACGCTGCTCACCCAGTACCAGTGATTCGTGCTCGCCCGCTCATCCTCACCCAAGCTCTCCAGGTCCAAAGCATCGACCTGGTTTCCACGCGCCATCCAGCTCGTGGTGCGGCTTCCAGGGTGGGAGGTGATGTAGTTCGTGGTCTGGCCTTGCGCGGTGTAGATGGTGATGGAAAGCATGGATTGGGGGGGGGTCGAGAAGCGGATAGGGTCGGACAGAACTTGTGCACCGTTGGGGACGATGAAGGAGGATTCGCCGCTGAAGGTCACCTTCCTCGATGTCCTAGGTTGGATAGTCGGTACGCCAGCGCTCCCTTTCGTTGGTAACGCGATGGACACGGCGGTAATGGGCAGGTCTGACACTCCGAACGCGTTCGAGATGCGGATACGGAGCCAGTCGCCGCCGATGGTGGCGCGCACGGTTTGGCGGAGGGTGGTATTGCGGAAGACGAGGCCGGTTTCGTTGTAGGGCGCTGGAGGGAGGTTGTGGGGTTCGGTCAGCTGGGGCATCGAACCCCAGGTTTGGACCCAGTGGTCGGCGTAGACGCCGTGTACGGCGACGAGGAGGGTCAGGAGCCCTGTGGTGAAGAGCGACGCTAGCCTGCCCATTTCGACGTCGAGTAGAGGGAGGATGGGTCGACGGGGGTGGTGTGGAAGTGGTTTCGAGTGTTTTTATGCAACGGGAGGGCCGACGGTTACCGACGTTTTGCCGTGTTGCTCTCAGGATCCGTCATATGGGTCTTCGAGGCGCTCCGTTCTTCATCCATATCCCACGAAAGCGAGAGCGCTAAGCGTTTGGCGACGGTCGATGAAGCTGGGGTCGAGTCGGGAACGGAGGCGTCTCGAGTCCGTGGTTCGATGGCTCCAAGCAGGGTACAGTCGTTCGGAGTTGTCGAATTTGAGACTCCATGTGGAGGAGCGGGAGCGAAGGTCTTCACGTCTGCAAATCCGGGGAAGTCAACATCAGTACAAGAAGCCTGAAGATCAGGAGAAACGCCCCGCAAATCCGGGACTCGTGGGCGACAATCGTAATCATCCAGGTGGGCGTTTAGTCAATAGAGCGGGATAATGACGACGTACCTTGAACTCATTTTCGCCGTTTCCCTTGTCATTATGCGACCCTTTCTTCGCCACACTAGCCACGCCCCGCGGTTGCGCCATGGATGGGAACAAGTCGAATGCGACCGGAGCTGCCTGGACCTGATCATGCCATTTGTTTGTTTTGGAGGGCGACGACATTCACCTCCCACTGGATCAACTTGTGGCTGTGCCCATGTGGAACACCTGCAAGCGCTCGACGAGATGAAGTCCAATCGACATATTGTGGCTGACTGACGGCTGCCGTTAAGGCACATATCACAAGAGAAAATAGACTTCGGAATACCGAGGGAGAAGGGACATAAGGCTACTGTGTCACGCCATGGGAGAGTATTTTGTTTATCTATGGCATCACTGAATTCCCAGCATCGCTCGCGCTAAATCACGATCCATCTTCCTGGCGTCCTCCTGTGCATTCTGTAAGGGAAGCCTTCTGCGTTGTACCCGTCAGAGAAAGGGCGACGGTCTCATCGAATATAAAGGCACTTACTCTCTACAGGTAACATGTCGCCTCAAAACCCACTCTTCCCTATCCCCGACCCCAACGAGCTGGAACTCGGTAAGAAAGGAGATTTGGTACTCCATGTTCCAAGCAACAATCCAATCAACCAGCCTCCTCTTGGTATCGTTTGAGCGTCGATAATTGGAAAATATCTCCTGTCTCCTCGCCTCCCATGCCGGGCAAGTGGCCTGCGACTGCAATTTCAGGCGTTGATCATCAATGCGATAGAAAACATTGGGATTATGAAGGCCAAACAAAATTCGGGCAAAGAGCTCGCTGTGTGGCACTCCCGGATGCTCCTGCGCTTGTCGATCCTCCCACTCCGGGAGGCTTTTGAAGAAGGAATTGGCTAGATAGATTTGGAATGCGCGCGTTCGGTGGGAGAAGTGAGTATTCTCATCCTTCGACGCTATGAGTTGGTTTTGGCATTTAGACTCCTGTGGTAACGTAGAGGAATATGATCTGGTCACCTTGATAGCTTCGAAGCATCACGTGACATTCCCTCCTATGCCTTTGGTCCCAATCTTTCTTCTGACACTCTCGACTGCAGTAGACCACCGAATGACAATGCGAGCATCGCGCTACCATTGGGGTCCTACTGGCGTACGGATAGTGCTGGCCAGACGAAGTGAGAACTTAGAAGAGCCTGGATTGGGGCACCACTGGGATGGCGCTCGCGAGCTGAACGTTAACTCACCGAATCGTTATCACATATCCTGAACTCTGCCGGGGTACCTCGGCTCAGAAGTTCACCTTGGTCCTTCAGGACCGAGAGTAGTCCTTTCCAAGCATCCGATTTCAATTTGTTCATCTTGACTCCTGAAGGATCGAAACTGTCGATTGCAGACTGAAATGCCTCGATTCCACGAGGGAAGAGGAGGCGATTCTCGATTGCCGTTCGGAGAGACACAGTGAGCAGGAGTTCGAGATCGGAATCGATCTTGATTTTTGGAAGATTTCCAGCGAGGATCGGTATTATTACTGGTGCGAGGAGGGTCGCAGAACGAAGTGGATGTTCAATGGCTGTAGTGGATAGGATGAGAAGACGACAGGCCAGCAGAACACTTTCGCGGGCTCGGAGACTCTGCTGGAGATCAAGAACAGTTTGCGTCCATCCAACGAGAAACCTAGTCGCGCGAAGACGCTGTGCGATGGCTGGGCTTGCCCTGGCCAGCCCGGTAGTGAGCTTGGCAACAACATCAACGTGCTCATCCACCTGGGACTGTGTTGCTTTTCTCTGTTTAAGCTTTGGGAGCAAGTTCGCTCGAGCCGATAGTCCTTCGCAAAGTCCATTGAGGCGTGCAGGGTCCGAGAGCAAGCAACCGACCAGGCTGTCAACACCCAAAGGATGGTTCACCCATCGGGTTATGACGAGGAGTATGGTACAGTAGCGTGGGTTGAAGTACTCCATGAACGGTTCTCCTTTCGAGTCGCGAGCGGTCCAAATCGTCTCGAATATCTGGAACGTCTTCGGTGAGTCGAAGATAAGCCCTTCCACTCGTTCATCCAATAAGAGGAGCTGGGCCAAAGTACCGGAGGTCATGAAACAGCTGGCTTGCATGACTCGGTCGCGACTGATGGATAGGCCGTCCACCAGAGAGACGTGAATCCATGCCAGAATGCCATCGAGCTGCTCGAGAATGGCAACGATGGTTTGTGGTTTCAAAGGGGAGTTCTGGCAAGCGTTGAGGATCGCCGCCAAGCAGCCCAGGGCAGCTGTCGCTCGTGGGGCCATATTCACAATTTCGGACCTGTTTCTCGGTACTAGGTCTACCTGGAAGTGCGTCAACACGGCGTCGAGGACCTCTGCGTGCAATTCCTTCCATCGATTTCACGCGATAAGGTGCGTAAGGCATCGGCGTTCCCTGCCTTGGCGTCCCGCAGCAGCTATTGGCGCGCATAAGGCTATTGATTCGCTTAGGGAACGTGTGGCTGACCTTCGATGATATCTTCGCCATTGAGGACGGTTGGACCTGTGGTAATCCAAAGGGCGCGCCAGGTAACATGAGCAATCGTGTAAGTAGACTCCCCGTTTTGTTCACAGGGCAATGCCAAACAATGACGAGCGCTTAATTTCCAATAAACTCCGAGTCGCGCGTGCCCCATTTGCAGATGTTTGAATCAGGCGCCAACGCCATGTTTTTCCTCCGCTTCCCATCGAGGTCACACGCAAGCCCTTTCACTTGCACGGTGACGACGAGCTTTTGTGGATTGCGCCGAAGAACATCATAAACGCCCACGAGCAGTTAAAATTGACCCCACGAGTGTTTTCTTCGTCTTCATCAATTCGAGTCTCCTGTTCCCCAGACAACTCACAAACTATGGTTGGGCGGGTACTTACGCTAGGCTGCGCAGAGAACAGGGCAGAGCTCAGCTCTCGCCAGTGGCCACTGTGGAAATAGGTGGAAATAGTCATCTCCACGTGATACGGACGGTGTTGTGATTCGTATAAGTTACTTTGAACTCGACATGATCTGCCTTTCAATCGACAGTCAATCGCCACCCATCTTCCACACACCAGGCGAGATCAGCGAAACCTGCAGCAATGAGACGCCGGTTAACCTCTGGTTCGACATGGCAGCCTTACATGCCCGCACCTCCAGACCCCGTCGGTATCATGAGGTCGACGATAAACCGTGTAAGTGGCGACTCTCTATGACCTTTTATTTCCATTCGCCTAACGCATGAGTCTTAGATGGTGCGCGATAACCTCGCTCTCGAGAACCCTCTCCTCCCTTATTTCCCCAAAACCGAACGCCAATCGATCGAGAAGTTTCGAAGACTGATATCAAGCCTGGATCCAGTCATCAGTCCACCAAATGCCACTGATACCAGAGCCGACCATGTTCGATGGGAGACGAAGACCCAGAAGGCATATCACGCTCTCCACGGCCTGTGCTTGATCCTCATGTCTGCCACTAGCATCCATGGCAGCCAATCCGATTTGAAACGGGTTCTCTCTGGTATCATGTTGGAAAACCTCGAAGTGGCTCTAGCGTGGATCGCGTATATCCTTCGCACGGACAAGGCGGCTTGGGCGACCATGTTCTCGTCATTCAGCATAATGATCATCGAGGAAGGCGAACTTCGCGCCGCGTTGATTAACTCTCCATGCGCCATAGACTGCGCTGTCGAGATCTATGTCTCCGCTACTGACTTGCTGGCATATGGGTTCAAGGAAGTCTGGCCTGTCTTGGGGATCATATACGAGCATCGGTCGTCTCGAAAAATGTTCTTCGACAACTTACTTTCTCGACCCAAGTCCACCGTCAGGACGTTCGTTGGGAACATCGTCACTATCATGGAGTATGTTCAATCTACACTCGACAAAACCCTAGAGGAAGGCGGCGATCTCTTCAGATGCTACGAAAACGTCAAACGTACCCACAGCTTCATTGAATACCTCTCCTCCGAAGTCCGGCTCTCCTCCTACCTCCTTGAACGACGCTACCACACACGGTTCGCCAAAATCACCATGTACACGCGGAAATTCATGACCGACCCCGTTCACCAACTCGTTCTGGCTGACTATCTCGGACACATCTACGAAATGTCGAGCTACCACCCCGAGCACAGCGTCCAAATCATCCTCGACCTCTTGGAGATGGACACTCTCCCAGTCATCGCCGACGGTCTGATTAAATGCCAATCGACCGCTGACGCTCACATCTTGACCAAATCCCTGCTTCATATCGCTTCGAGGATGACGTCTCGTCGTGTCTTCACGGCAGTCGAAGCTGCTCTCGGTAGAATTCCGGAACCCGTCCTTCGCAGGTTGGCGGGGACACGCGCGTATTCGTCGACCCCCGCTTCCGATGCTTGGATGTTATTCCAGGTGGTTTACAACCATAGGAAGGCTGCTCTCTACCAGGCGCATGCGGGTGATCCTATTCAATGTCAAAATACGAGAGTAAGTGGCCACCGCGTTACTAATGGTTTCGATGCTAACGTGCGTGTATAGCATCAGGAGCTATTTTCCTTTGTAGGTCGCCGAGGGAGCAACAAGCTATATGTTTGTAGCAGCTGCCTTTCGGTTACCTACTGCGGCCAGCCTTGTCAATCCGACGACTGGGACCGCGTCCACAGATACGAGTGTCACATACTCGCTTCAGACCATCGTGGTAAGCTCTTTCTCTCACGTAAAGCTACTAGCCTGGCCAACGACGTTAATTAACGTTTGTAGCGCTCACAAAACTGGGTATCGCCCTCCCACCGCGTCTCAAACACCTCCACCTGGTGATCATCCAACGCCAAATGGACGACATGGGCGACGCCTACCTCATCAACTCCACCCAGCGGACTCTCGTACACGCTCTAGGACCTACAGCCCTCCACTCCAAATCCGCCATCCACGTTTCTCTACGCTCGCAGATAGGCGCTACGCGTCCCGAGGAAGTGCTCACCATCGAGGAATACAGACGCGAAGCCCAGAAATGGTATTTATGGTCGGGAGTCAGGTTCGATAGCCTCGTGGAGCAGGCCAAGGCGAACGAACACCATCTCGTGGGGTACCGCTTCGCGTCTGGGGATATCGGGCCTATATACCATTTCCTATTGTTGATGGACTTTTCTAATCCCGAGCTCGAGTCGCGCCAGTCCAACTTTTCGAGGATCCGGAGCGGGATGGTTCAAATCCAGTATGTGAGATTGTTTTTCTGGCTACGGACGAAGAGGGCTGACTGACTCATTCCAGGTATCGATCGCATGAACCTGAATGGCAGCTGAACAAGGAGTGCAAAGAACCCTGCTGCATGTGAATGATGTTGCTTGACATATTCTGTAAAGTGGACATGCATTGTAACTACATGATGGCTTCCCTTGAATTTGTTGTACGACGAACTAGCCCTCCGAATTTGCCACTGGCAATGTCACACTTTTCGTCGAAGTCGTTTCCCTCGCTCTGAGGGTGAGATTTTGAGGTTATTGTCGTCGGCTTCCCGTCGAAGTAGTTGCAGTTGTTGATGAGAAGAGTTGAAAACGATAAACACATTGACCAAAGGTCAAAGTCACTGTCAGGTCAACTCCCCCGCGTACGGATTGAAACTCTGAGCAAGGTGCTCAGATGGAGGCGTGTAACACGACCATTTAGCTCACCCCAGGGACAATCGCATCGTTTAGGGCAGGCTAACCTCCGCGCGCGGAGGGACTCTTCTCTGCGCATGACGTAGGTCGGTGCCCCTGTCTCACCTCTCGTCATCTTCGAATTAGGGTTAGACATGGTTGGGCATTCCCAGCAGCAACGCGCGCTAGGCTTTAGCCTATTCCAATGGCCAGGGCTTGGTAGAATGTCCGCCCAACTGAACTTGTCGTGAGTTATTTTCTTATCTTCCTCCAGCTCTCTGTGTCGTTGTGTGTATCGACTAACGCGACATGTCCGTCCGCTAGGTTTATCTTGATAGGGTCTTATATCAACGTCGGCATATTCGGACTCGAAACCACCATGTTCACGAATTACCTTCGCAGCGAGAGAGCAGCCAAAGATCCGAAGCATATCAGACTTCCTGTTCTCTTCGTTTATGCTGTGGACGTAATTGGAGTGTTTGGAGGATGTGCGTTGGTGTATGTGGTGCGTCGCTACTTCTTTCTCTGTATTCGCGCGATCCAACGAAGGAGGTTGACGAATACGAAGTACATGTTCAACAATTGGAGTACGCATGTCCGTTGGTTGACTTTGATGGGCTGAGACGAGATCATTTCAGACGATGCGTCAAGTACGAGCGGTATCCTCGAATGGCCCTTCCATATCATCGTTATCACCTCGGTCCTGAGTTCGATAGCAGTGCAGTGCTTCATGGTACGGCGATACTGGCTCTTGTACGTCTCAGCCTTCGACTCTCAATCTTACACAACCTCTAACAAACTGCACTCTCGTAGCTCCCGCATTAAACCGATCACCGCCATTCTTTTGGGGTTATCCTTCGCGTCGGTGGGCTCGCCGCTCGTTTGTGATCCATAGACGTGTGACAGCCAACGTTCTGGACTAGTTCTTCGCTGCAATAAGTGCCATAGTCCTCTTTTTCGTCTTCAATCGACTAGATGAGAGGAGGAACCACATCGCCGCTGTTCTGTGCGCACTCGACTCCCTTTTCTATTTGGCTGCTTATTCAAATGCTGACCGCATTTCTATCGATTATTTTCAGCGTGACGATGGCGCTGGCGGTCGCAGCTGACGTCGCCATCTCTGGATGTCTCATCTACAAACTATGGCATTCTCAAATCCACTCGCGCGAAACTCGGAGGTGCGTCTTCCTCTCACCCCTCTTCTCTTCTCGGTTCCGTCCCCGACAGGCGTTTACACGATTCTAATTGAAAATTATGGCGCTAGCTTGGTGAAACAGGTGACCCGGCTCTCGATAATGGCGGGCTGCGCCCCAGCGTTGAACTCGATCGCCATTCTCATCCCCATCGCTATTGCACCCACCACCCTTGGTACGTTACCCTCGTGTCAATCTCGGCGAGGGATATTGTGATATACTTACTATTTCTTTATGATAGTTCCAACAGGCTTAGGATTACCTTTGGGAAGCGTCTACTCCTGCACGATGCTCTACACGCTGAATCGTCGAGAGTCGATGCGAGCAAGTAAACAATCTTGGATTCACTCCGGCGTGGTTGGACCAGTCGGTATGTCTAGATCTGGTTTATTCCCACGTCTATCTGTCTACCTTGCCATTTGGGCTAATGAATTGTATTCCATCTGCACTACGTAGGCGATCCACAACGTTCGAGAGTATAACACTGGATGATCCAACTTCACCAGATCGTCCAGATGAAGAGAATGGTTTAGGGCTGGACGATGTTCTGGATAGGTCTCATCACCGGCGCAGTGGGCCATCCTCCTCCTCTCCTGTCTCTTTTGTTAAGCCCGATGACTACAAATACGCTGAGAAGCCGCATGCTACTTTCTTTCCAAAGTCATGACCGTGTCGAAGAATGCAGCCTACCATCGCCCAAGAATGTCTTCCAATTCGAGTATTCCTGTGCCTCCATTGTCGTATTCCGATTTCATGCTAGCCAACTGGCAACGCCTTTCGTTCAAAATCTTTCATTATTTGTCGTTTCAGCTCGATCCAAGTGTTGTGTACCGAATACCAATGCCAGAACGATCCGGTCACCAAATTTGAACATATACATGGCACGTGTGGAAGCCAGCCTAGCTCGAGGGGACAGAATAGTATCTTTCCTCCTGGTGGCCCAATAGAGCTGAAGCTCGGCCCAGTAGTAGAGAGGGACACTAGATCATATCCCCAGATGAAGTCTCAGTCGTGAACGTTTTCTCCTTCAGGCTTCGGTTGCCTTGGGCGCTTATTCAGAAGATCACGTGAACAGTCGGAAATGCGGCGGAGATAACTTCAAGTGATAACAACCTTCAACAGTGACACGACTCACAACCTTTCTTTTTTACAGGTCATACTCGAATACGCCACGGCAACCATGCCTCCTCCTGCTCTACGGAACACCTCCAACTCGTCTCGACGCTTTTCGTTGCTCGAGTTCCCGGACATGTTCGCCCATGTAGGTCATCGATTCATCTTTTGACGAAAATATCCATCAACGCGACGGCAGATGCTCAAGCGTAGACCATACATAGACAACCCCTTGATGCTTCATTTTCCAAGGACCGAAGATGCAGCTGTGAAGAAGTTCGCGTTCCTCGTCAATCAACTTGATCCAGAACTGCGGAAACCGGGCCTCAATGACCCACCAGATGCTCACCGACGCTGGGACGTCAAGATCCAAAACGCTTATTGGGCTATCATAGGCATCTCGCTCATCATGATGTGGGCTTCGAGCCCCGAGATATCATCCGAGGACGCTATCCCTGTGGTCAAGCACCGTATTTCGTTGATTCTTATCGACAATCTGGAGCTTGTCCTCGCCTGGGTTCGTCAACTTCTCCGCGAAAAGAGAGTAGACCTGCCCACGATAATCTCATTCTTGGCGATAGTCATGGTTAGCAAAGGAGATCTCGTTGTTGCAGTTCTCAACTCCCCATGTGCAGTCGAGTGTGCCATCCTGTTGTTGACTTCCGAAGGACCTCAGTCAGGCTTGTTCACCCCCGAGACGTGGTGGTCGATCGCGGGCACGGTCCTCACTCATCAAGCGGCACGTCGAAATCTCTTCGAACAGCTGAAAAAACTACCAACGTCGGTCGTCAAAACGTACATAGGCAACACCCTTTCAGCACTGGATGGTATCCAAACCAATATCGACAACGCACGCGCCGGGTACGCCGCCCGAAAAAGCATCTGTGACGGTATCGCCCGAATGGGGGCAGCGCTTGAATTCCTCCTCTGTGACCCAGACCTCGCACGCCATCTCCTCTCCCAGGATTACCACCGACGCTTCGTGAAGGTTGCCACCAACGCCCACAGAATCGTCACCGATCCCTTTCATCGACGTCTCCTCGCTGACTCCATTGCCCTTACCTTCCTGCTGTCAGGCTACCACCCTCGTCACACTCCCAAGATTGTAGTCGATCTCCTTCAGATGGATACACTCCCTGTTCTCTTGGACGGCCTTCAAATATCGTCAACCGCGCAGGAAGCTCAAAATATCAAGAATTCGCTCATGCATATCACCTACCACATGAACTATCGCCGTGTCTACGTAGCTGTGAACGAAGCATGGAACGCGATTCCAGATTCGGCGATGGCGTGGGTGCAGGAGAAGTTCAGAGGCAACCCTTTGGATCTCACCCCAGGAGCCCACGCGTGGTTTGTCTTCTTCCTGTTTGGACCCCAGCTGCGCCAGGAAGTGTTGTTGAAATCTTGCGTTGGAGATCCATCGCCATGCCAAAATCTGCACGTGCGTACTAACCGTCCGAAGGGATTATACCAGCGCCTAGGAGCTGATGTCGTTTTAGCATCTTGCCATTGGAGAATCGGGTCAATTCAAGGTCTGTAGTCGGTGTCGTTCGGTTACCTACTGCGACGCGAAATGTCAATCCGACGACTGGGAGCGTGTCCACAAGTACGAATGCAGGAATCTGCGCTATGATCACGATCGTAAGTTTCGGAGAACCCAGCGTGTCGTTCGCGATGGTGTTGTGAAACTGAATGACTTTGTAGAACTCGTTGGCCAGAACCGCTGGGTATCCCACCATATGCGACGGGTTCTTCTGCTCTGCATGCAACGTCATCTCGACTCTGTCGGAGACTCCGAGTTCGTCAGAGAAGCGATGGATACGCTCGTGGCCATATATGGAACAGACGCACTCAAAACCAAGCCCGGTATTTTTGCATCCACTCGATTTGACGGTAGTAACCAAAATCCAGAAAAATGGGTAGCGATTGAGAGGTATCGACGCCGTGCAGAGACGTGGTCGTCTTGGTCTCCTGTACGGTTCGAGAGTCTTGTAGCGGAGACTAGGGCGAACGACGATCTCTTCTTGTTCGTGTACACGTTTTCGTCTGGGATTGTCGGTCCCAAGTATCATTTTTTGGTGTTGGTTGATACGTCGAACCCTACTCGAGTTTCGCAGGCATCGTACCCCTCGCGTTTTCGGTATGGGATGTTGCAGATGGAGTAAGTCTGGCCGTTCTCGCTTGTTCTCGTGTTTATTGACGCTACTTTCCTTCTCTTAAGGCATCGACCTCGCCAGTTGATCTGGTCGGAAGAGTGTGAGGAAGAGTGTTGTAGGTGATCGTTTGAGTCTTGTCAATCTTATGCGAGCGTCTGCGTTCCACGCCCAAGGAATTAACGCGTCATAAATGTACACATCTGTAGCTGTGCATACTTATCCTTCCAACCAATATGGCCTTGATGCGAGCACTCCCAATAACCTCGCGCTACCTTGGTGTTCCGGGAGGGGGTCATTGAGTTTGAAGTCGATATTGTGATCTTTTTGCTGCCTGAATGGGTACGTCCCATCCCGTAGAGCTTGTCGTTAGTGGGTAACATCGATATCAAAACTCTGTGGCGCTTGAGAGTAGATACTCGAGCTGCAAACAATACAGTCAAAACTCGAGCATCGAAGGGTGAGCATCGAACATTGACGATGGACGGGTTTTGGATACTGGGACCCTGGCGTTGAGGTAGGACCTTGATAAGGCCTTGAATCTCTAACCGAAAGCCTGGCAAACAATCTCAGTAAGCGTTTGTATAGTTGGGGCATTGATAGTCAAGGTCAACACTCTTGCTTTCTGGTGGTGACCGCCACCATTGCGTTTAAGTGCCCGTCGATTGTTTGGCAATACCCTCGGGACACAACGGGCGATCGCCGATGTACCTCGCTTCCAGAAACCCCATATGCCCACACAACTTAGCAGGACGTCGCAATGGCAAAGATATCACCCAAGGTAGGTCATACTTTGCACAAATCCAGTGTCTATGCCAGATCGTTCTTATACACCAATAGCTGCTGCGGGAAGCTAAGGCAGGGCACGCGCCAGCCTTGTACACTTTATCGCGCACAATCGATGAAACGAATTACACGGAGGAGATCCTCGACATCGCATTGATGCACTTGGAGCCGGACCTGGTACCACGAGAGAAGTCCACGATCGTGAAGATGGCCCCCCTAGCGACAGCCGCCCTGGGCTGCTTGGTATCAATCCCCAACGCTTGTAAAAACACTCCGTTCAGACAGAGAACGATCGACATCATCCTAGAGAAGCTGGATGGTATCCTGGCCTGGGTTTATGTCTGCCTGGAGGACAGTACGACTTTCAATCAGAATCTCGCCGTACAAGCCGGCTGCTTCATGACTTCCAGTACTTTGACGCAGTTCATCTTACTGGACGATCGAGTGGAAATGGCGGTTTTCGATTCACGTTCCAGATCCTTAAACGACTTTGGACCACTCGCGACTCGAAAGGAGAACCGCTCATGGAGCATTTCAGCCCACGCCACTGTACGATTCTACTCGTTATGTCCCGCTGGGTTGATCATCCGCTGAGCGCTGAAACCCTCGTCATTCGGTTGCTCTCCGACCCGTCAAGCATCAAGAGCTTCACTGACGGATTGATAGATCGAGGAAAGCTTCTCCCTAAGCTTAAACAGAAAGGAGTAGCGCAGTCCAGCGTGAACGAACACGTCAACGTTGTCGCTGTGATCGTCAATTCCTTTGTCAAGTTGAGCCCCGCCGTCACACAGCATCTTCGCACATCGAGGTTTTTGGATGAATGGACGCGCATTGTACTTGATCTCGAGCAGAGTCTTCGGGCTTACGAGATTGTGCTCTTGTGCTGTCGTCTTTTAATCCTAACCACCACCCCCATCGAACACCCTCTTCGTTCGGTCGCCCTCCTTGCGCCAGTCGTAATGCCGATCTTTGCTCGTAACCTTCCGAACGCGAAGATAGACGGCAACCTGGAACTTATGGTCACTGCGTCTCTCAAAACGGCGCTCGAGAGCCGCCTCTTGTTCCCTCGCGGAATACGGGCGTTGCGGTCGGCAATGGACGATTTCGATCCTTCAGGGACCAAGATGGGTCGGTCAAAACTTCCTTCTTGGACGGCGTTTATCCGCGGGGTCAAGGAACAGGGAGATTTCCTGAGCAACAGTTCGTTAGAAGAGCTCGGAATATGCGATAGTATCGCGGTGAGTCGCCCATTGAGCACTAGGATCACAGCGCAAAGCGTTGTGTTCTTTCACTTACAGCCGTCTCTCCAGCATGACGTGTACGACACTGAGATCACAATGGGCGCTCAATGTTCGGGTTGCCATTCAGTCGTCTATTGCAGTCTCCAGTGTCAGAGGGAAGATTGGAACGAGAGACACAGGACGGAATGCCTCGCGATGCTTCGAAGTTACGAAGGTGAGCAGGTCGCCTACTAGTCCACCCACGGTTTCAAAACTGAAAAACACTACGCAGCGTCGAAACGTGACAACACCCACATCTCACACCAGACGCGTGCATTCCATATTTACATCGCCAAAGCTTCGCACTCGGGCTTCAACCTGTGGGAGGCTCGACGAGAGCAAGAACATCCGGGAGTACCGCATAATGAACTGGTTGCCCGAATGAACTTTGGGCTTCCCAACCCTCACCTTTTCCACCGCATCGACGACATACGGCCGGGATCTCAGGCGCGCCCCATTTGCCCAGCGTGGAACGCGAGGAGGGAGGGGATGGTTTCTGACTTTCGGCGCTCAAACGATACTCAGAGGAGGCTGATCGATTGGAACTTTTCTTGGAATGTGGAGTACCAAATCTCACTCCTGACGGAGTTTCAGCTCCTCGAATTCGAGGATGGGCCAGCGGAGTGGGTTCTGGCGAGACATGCTAGCACTGGAGAGTAAGTATTTACATTTTACACTATTGAGATTGCGTACCTACCTGACGGATATGATGTAGACGGTTTTCTTTGAAAGATGCACAGGCGGACGCAGCAAAGATGGATCATAATGTTGCGCGAGCATTGCTAGGGATATCCCGATAACGTAGGTGAATAGTTTTACAGTCCAAAGCTGTAGTCTCGTACCGATCGAAATGATTGATTGGCGCTGGAGAGGGGATGACGACCGAGGGCAAGAATCGAATGCTCAATGGAGGCATCAGTCCCCCAACTGTCAGTGACAACAGAGCCGACCATATGCGATGGGAGATGAGACGAAGACCCAGAAAGCATACCACTGCACTTGATCTCCAGGTGTCACCGTATCAAGTTAGAAAGCCACGAAGTGGCTCTCGTGTGGACGTATATCGTTCGCACGGACAATACGTTCATTTACGACTATCACAAGTGCCCCGAGACACTGTCTGCCCGCTACCTTCAATGTCCAAAGTCAGTCCCTGCGCAACGGACACATAGGTACACAGGTGCACATGCAACTCCCCAAAAAATCGCACAAAAACCATTGGACGATCAGTACCATATAAAAAAGAAAAAGTAAAAACAGAACAGGAAAATACGCAACAAACTACTAGAACAGGCAACAAAACGATTAAGTATATACACCAACAGACTACGAAACGTAAAAAAAGAAAACGCACAGGAAGACGAGAGGAGCACACACACAAAGAGATAGGTGATATCGAGGAGGATATACGTATGTACCGCATCCATTCAACAAAAGAGAGGATAAAAAAAAAAACGAGATTAAGCGATGAATACAGAACTCCTCGACCCGTGAATACGCCAGCCTGACTCGAGTAAAGGTATTACGAGGATGGGGACGAGGATGGGGACGAAAGCGGCGAAGAGGGGAAGCCCAAAGCCGAAGACTACAACCAAACGGTTTAACCCGTAAATGCCATCTCCCTCCCTCAACGACCATTTACCACTATCCACTTAATCCCCTCAACGGCCCCTTCGTCGTAGCTTCAGTAATTTCTCATGCTCATGCCTCCCCCATCGTCACATCCTCAGCCGTAGGCTCCCCAGGCGCATCCGCCTCTCCATCGGCGACGATAGCAGCATTCGGGTCTACATCGGCGGGTGCTGGAACGTCGAACGCCGCGAGTTAAGAAAATTTGAACGCGAATTTATCAAAGGGTCGAACGCGAACCGTTGAAACGTCGAAAACGATTGCCGAACGTCGAAAGCGAATCATCGATACGTCGAAGGCGATTTTTCGAAAGGTCGGGCGGGAAGTATCGAACCATCGAACGCGACCCACAGCGACAACGTGTCGATCGAAATCAACAACCGGTGCGGGAAAGAAGGGGGCGAGATCCAGGGCGAAACCGACGAATTCCGCCACGACAACGACAGCGTCGCACAGACCCACACGACGAACGATGGCAAACCACCCCCCACGCCGTCGACCGAGGACCGCCACGCGGATGAACGACCCAACGCAACACACAGAATGTCAATCGACGGAGACATGCCACATCGTCCAAGCAAAAACGAGAAATAACACCCATCGTCAGTTCCAACCCAATCAACCCAGAAAAATCAACTACGCACCAGTCTTATCACCACCATTCAAATCAAGCGCAGCCGTACCCTCCGTAACAGCCCGCGCCTCCTCCTTCTCCTTCTCTTTCTCCTCGCCCTCCTTCACCTCCTCACTCTTCTTGCTCACCGGAGCCTCCGTCTTCTCCCCTCCGACACCCGCACCCGCCGTGCTCGCACTCTGCCCTGCCCCAGCACCGCCGGCGACAGACGCAGAACCACCAGCCCCGCTCGCGCTCGCACCGTTAGGGGCGGCACTCACAACCGCCGACGCAGACCCTTCCCCATTCGCCTTGTTCACATTCAAAATCTGGTGCCACTTTTGCACCAACGCGCTCGACCGCTCGCGGAACTTGTACGTATCGTTGCCGGGTATTTTGTGGTCGGGTAGAGCGGTAATGTGGCGCATAACTTTGCCGATTTTCGAGAACTGAAAAAGGTGGGTTAGTGAACGATCGCGGGAAGGAGGAGATAGGGGGTTGTAGGTAAAGCCACGTCATCCGTGGTTGAACGCGCGGAAAGAATTGAAAAGTGGAACGAAACGAAGGAGGGCGGCGGAAAGAGACCAAGAGCGATGTGGATGGTGAGCGACAATGGATGCTGCTGTAGAGGAGCGCATCGCCAACGCTCGAGCAGGTGACTGAGGTAGGGTGCATGGGCCGCGGGCGCGGGTGATGGGGGCGGGCCACGCCGAAAAGGCGTGCTCATCGACGAGCTCTCCGCAGATCGACGAAACAAATACATGGAAGGACTCGCAGGGAGCTTGCCCAACATACGAACGCCCAAAGAACACTATCAAAGCGCAAAAAGACTAGAAAAAACGACTTACTTGGAGGTGCTCGATCGTAATTCCGTCGAAATTTTCCACCGTCTTGAAGAGCTCGTCGAGAACGGGCATATCCTGAAAGAAGATGTGAGCGCGAATCAGGAACAGTGAACGAGAGAGTTACTTCTTCCTTGGGAGTCGTCTTGCCGAGGAAACTCTTCTGGAGCTTGTGTCGCCAATCTCGGACCTTGAGCGCTTCAGGATCCTCGCCTTTGGCTGAAAATTGAGATCATGAATGTTAGCATCGTGACAAGTTGAAAGCAATAAAATAGAACGTTATATCGAGAGGATGAAAAAAGGGCTCCGAAGGGCGTAAAATCGTAAAATCAACGATGACTCACATTCTTCTTGATCCTCCTCGCCCTTCTCCCTTCGTTGCTTCTTCGCAGGCGGCGGTGAAGCGTTTTTGCTAGGTCCAGCATCCTCATCCTCGCCCTCAGCGTCCCCGCCCTCGTCCTCCGATTCCACCATCGCCTTTGACTTGGCGCCATTCTTCCTCCTCCCACTGGCCGTGGACGACGACCTCTTCTTCGCCGACGCACTCTCGTCCTTCTTCCCCTTGGCCGTCTTCTTCACCTTGGCTGATGCAGACTCGGATTCGCGCTTGCGCTTGCGGGATTTCGTCGTTGACGCCGTCGCCTCGCCGTCGCTGTTGAGCTGGTCGACCTCGGCGTTTTCTTCAGCCTCTGCAGCCTCCGAAGCGAGTGCGTCCCGCTCCTCGAGCCACTTGGCCGGGTCGAGGGCGATACGGTAGCCCTCCAACAAGTCTGCCGACTTTTTGTGCGGCTCGCTGATGTAGGATTCGATCTCGTGCGGTTGGAGCTTGGAGATATCCTTCTCCACCAGCCAGGCACTACATCCATGCCAGTCAGAAAGACTTGATAAACAAAGAAAAAAGTAAAGAACACGTACTAGTCTCCAGCTGGGAAGAACCGAACGCAGTAAAAGGTGGCTTTCTTATTGGTGGGTCTGTCCTCGGACACCGCAGCCGGCACCGTCTCTGGATCTACAACCTAAATCCTTCAATCAGCCAATGTTCTACCGCCCGCGACGCGCTCCAAGCCCTCTCCAAACGCGACGCCGAACTAAAAACAAAACGAACGTACCATCCCAGGCCAAGGCGCATACCCGCGTACTTTTCCAAGCACAATATCGCGCACCTCATAGCTCCTCGGTTCGCGCTGCGGCTTACTGCCTCCTTTTTTGGTGCTCATTATAATATCAAACGATTGCTTTGAGGAGGAGTGAATGGAGAGAGGTACGCGGAGGAGAGGAGGAGACTCGACTGATTGGTTGAAAGCACGAAAGAGCGTCCGGCTAACCCCACCCAGCCCCTTCCACAGGTCACGCCCGCGTTTTCCACGAGGGTCTGTGCTTTTCCAGGCACGTGAGCTGCGCCGCGGTCCGTCATCACCCGTCGGGCGCTTAAACTCTTGATAGGGGCGGAACGCTGGAGAAGCTCGACGTCGACCAACCATATTCTTGAAGGCTTCTCTACAGCGTGAGGCCAAAAAGTGGCGACAGTTGCCTAGATCCAAAACGCATTTTGACGATGGGAGTTCTGTCATTGATAGCAGTCCGAGTCTTGACTTTCGACGGGGGACTGAAAGTCCAGGAGGGCATGATCTTGGTTGGTGTGCACTTTTTCGACAGTCATCGCGGCTACCTCAGCTAATTGTGGAGCTCTACATAAAGAGTAACTTTCATACCCAAGAAGACTCGATTGCAGCCTCCCAACGCCAGGCCACCGATGCACGCATGGCTCTTTTCAAATTGACCTGTCTTCGTCCCTCTCTCAGTTCATCCCTGTCGCGTATTTAGATTCTTCGTCCATATGGCTCTTGAATGACTATATATATGGATATAGATATATATATCCTTCCGATGGTAGGACTTGGCCACCACGTCCGCGCAGTTCGCCCAACACCTGGTCACACAAGAAGATTAATCAGAGAGAGATATGAAAATGGAGATGAAAACGAGGAAGAGGGACAATTTTACGCTGTATTAACAAAGGACCAAAGGTAGTAGCTGGTATGTTATGTCATGCACACACGGAACATGGAACATATGTAACGCTTGAGAGACGTTGGATAGGGGCCTCGACCATTAGAGGCAAGGCCCCCTAACCGTATGTGTACGAGTATTGACTATCACCTTAAATGTAGATTTTTCTCTCTCAATTTTCGTCTCGACACTCTTCAGATGGTGTGTTTCCACAATCTGAAGAGTGAGTTGTATCATTCTTATTCTACTATAATAGCTTATAAGTCCCAGATACATTCATATCATCTGCGCTTTATAAGTAATAATAAATCCCCTCGCGGGCTGTCGAAGGGCTTTGAGAGACCGAGTGACGTCGGGATATCACAGAGCCTCAATTCATAGAAAGCGCCCAGTCAGGGCTTTCTAGTCAAGACCGACATTTCACGTGGGCGAGAAACCACGAGTTCGTTGTTGGACAGGGTTCAACCCCTGCCTAAGTATGGTCCTCCAATATCAGATAACTCGTCATCCCCATAGGCTCCTACACTCGTTCCTGTCGATGTGATACCGAACACGAGGGCTTTGTAAGGCTCAATGATCTCTTCCGAGCCCGAACGGACCAACCCACCCACCACAATGCTCTAAAGTTCCTCAGACGTTGGAAAACATCGCACACGACCATCCTCCCTTTCCCAGTTCCGTAACTATACTGCGAGGAATAGGTCACATTATCTCCCCCGATAAAAGGTCTAGATAACGCTAAGCGCTAGAAGCGAAAGCAGAACGACACAGCACTGCTCATGTGGATCGACACCTCCTTCTCTCCTTACACGCGTTCTGTCGGACTCTGAGCTTGTATGACGCCATTACCACAAACCCAAACCCCAACCGGCGATCGCTCTCTAAAGATACAAGTTCCGGTCGGAGGAAACACGCCCCTGGTCTTAATTCACCGTATACAGCATCCTCAAGGTAGATAATCTACCATCCACGGGCCCATAATACCCATATCCCATACCACCGCGACAGCCTCCGACCACGTCGCAAATGACATTCCCTAAAAGAATCGCCCACACAACCCATTTCGCGGAACCGCGCTAAACCACTCTCGAGAGTCGATACAATGTGACACTCCAGAGATACGGCAACACCACCATTTTTGCCCAAATCCCAAACGATCTACACGCGCCCGTGGCCCAGAATGACGTGAACGATCCCTTCCCTCCGGTTACTTTTGTCCAAATCCAGGTGCCCAGAAACCTTCAAACAACACGCCGGACGCGCACGTCCAGCCCTATCTCTCACCATCACCATCTCCCTACCCAGCCACTCCCTGTAATTCACCTGACACCGGCCTCTAAAACTGATAAACGCCTGCCCAGAGCGGGAGTTGCCTTTGATAATGCATCACCTCGAGTCCAATCCGATAGAGAGCCCAATGCCCATCTTTATCCAAGAAAGTCTCCGGGGTGTAACGTGTCCGGCATGCTCCTACAACAATAGCAGGGTAGGGGCGACAGCTCATATCCGCCAAGGAAGGAGCTCTAGCCCTTTCCGGGCAAACGCTACTGTCGAATTGGGTGGAAAGCACCGGCGGCCTCTAAGATCTCAGCCCTCGAGGCTTGGGTGTATCACGATCAGCCACGTACGTACCACCCGCACACCCCATCTTCCATCCACCCCGTCATCTCACACCTCTAAAAGACCGAAATGAGGCCTGCAGTCCTGCTTTCTAATCCAATCTCAGGCATATCTCCCAACTTAAGCCACCCGCACATACCAAAACCTCGCACGAGCACATCACGCCCCCTCGGATTCCGGGAACACATGGTCGAAAACCCCTATCGCCCATCTATCCAGGCCGTCCTTTTTCGACATTTCGAGAAGACGACGACAGGGAATCGACGATATGAAAACGAAAATAGGTTTCTGACTCTTCGTCATGAAAGCGGTCGAAATTGGATGTCCGACGTAGCCGTTCTCGGTGGGGTCACCCGCGTTCCCTTACTCTGGGCTTGCTTGTCGTTGGTATAAAGACCTCACGGCGTTTTATCGATGATGGAAACAAGGTCTCGCAGTTCTCTGTTCCCCTCCCACCCCTCATCCATACGCTGGCTCTCCATACTCTATATATCGCCGACGACTTCCCTTCCCCTCACCCTCCTCACCCTCTCCTCCAATTCCGACTCCAACGTCCTCTCGCATGCCAATGGTACTCCAACAAACGCGCTACTACCAGCCCTACTTCCTCGAAGACCGCTCCGGGCGCCTCTCCGGCTCCGAATTCAACGACATCCACGAACGCCTCAAGTTCTCCTACCGCTGCTCTCGGCGTTCCTCCACCCTTTGTCAGTACACGATCTTCGAAACGACGAGCCCCCGAGAAGACGCGTGCACGACCCCGGTTTCGGTTCTCGAGTATGGTCCTAATAATACGCTTGGACTCGTGTATTATGGGATGAAACCGCAGAGCATGGCGCGGTATTTGGTCAAGGTGGACCCGGAGGGGAGGTACGTCGCTTCGTTCGCCGATTAGATTGACTGAGAGCTGTTATTGATGATTTCTCTCGTAGCTCGAGACACCGCAAGTTCGTCGCTCAAGACGGACGAACGTACATTTGGTCCTACCGAACACACGAAGACCACGAATGGACTGTACGTCGTCTTACGTTTCCTTCCTCTTCATTCCCCCAATCTCATGTTCTGAAAACTCCTAGTGCGTCGACTCCTCAGGCTCTGTCGTCGCCTTCTACCACCTCAAACTCGCCGGCGAACCAAGCTATCCCAACTCTTCAGGGTGCATGCTAACCGTCGAGGAAGCCTACGGGGATTACGCCTACGGTACGTGTCTCTTCTTCCCTGTTGGGATATCTTCTTCCGTTCTACAGCTGCCCTCTCTGCGTCTTCTCCTCACAGTCGAGATACTAACCCCTCCCATCTCCCAGAATTCCTCACGTCTTGTCTCATCATGCGACACATCGCCGAGCACAATCTGTAATACAGTGCCTCTGCCTCACAAGTCTCATGTCCCACCACCGATATTCCATCTCCCATCTCCAATTATACCACTCCCACATCGCTCCTCAGACTCCTCGCCGAAATTTCATCTCGCTCCACATACTATCACATCCTCACCCTTCGACCAGCGCCCGGCGCACCTTGGGGCGACGAACGCGAACGCTTCCACGACTTCATTTGTACTATCACTTACTATCATTTCCTCTCCTCCTATCCTTCCGTTACGATGATACGATCGACTAATACAACTCTTCCTTCAATTTGTATTTTACTTGTACGAGTACCTACTTCCGACATCATGAGCCTTTAGTACAGTAACCAAGGTTTTGAGATGAGAGAAACGAACTAGAACGGTGAGATATAACTGTGCTCATTCCGAGGCCTTCTTGCGCTGGACGTAATCGTTCGTGCATTTAGACGTCAGCTGCAGTTTAACGGTCGAATAATGTCTCTTGTAGGTTCGTACTTGCGAAATATTGTAAGAATACTTTCTTTTACCCCCCGTTGACTCGTAACTGACTGGGTTCGGCGCGAGTCTGCAGCTGTTCTGTAGGGTCGCACACAGAAGCTGTAGACCAACAACGCCAAACAATACCGCTCCTCTGCTCGATTTCGTTTCCTGTCACGTCGCGTTCGACCTGACCACGATGATGGCGCTTGGAGGATCGTCGAGTTTATGATCAGCGCTCGTTTATTGTTAGATAGGTGAGTGCGTCGCCCGCTTTCTTTCGCTCTCTCGCTGACCTCTGAAGACCCATGTGACATATATACATTTAAATCGAAGACTCTTTTGGATTTCAATGTATCCCCTTGCGCGCGCCAAATCCTGCGTCCCAGGCCACTTTCTGCGTCTATT